AGGAATCCATGAGAGACTCCTATGGCCACAGTGCAAGAACGGATGTTCCTTCCACCGCGACCAACTCGAGAAAGCACGACAAGTGGACGACTACTACCATGTCACCCTGTCATCAAACATCTGCGAAGTAACAGACTGCCCCATCCACGAAGCCAAGAAGGCGGAGCCAAGGAAGAAAATCACCAAGGAAAAGATACCTCATCAGAACCTTCATTGGAGCTTTTGTTACGACGACAGATGCACAATCCATTACAGTTCCAAAACCGACACAGGCTACTTTCCCAGGAAAAGGAAAGGTAAGCAGGCAAAAAACTAGGATGCCGCCAGAAACAGGGTCACACTGGCGAGGGCATACCTAAAACGACCCTTAGGAAAGTACAGGATACCGATGGTCAAGCAAGGCAGTTGCTCACAACCGTATCTGTACAAGGTCAGAACATCCAGGCGCTCGTAGACAGCGGGGCCGCACGGACATTAATCTCCCCACGAGTGGTTGAGAAATACGAAATACCATATCGAATCAAGAGTAAACCGATTCCGATAATACTAGCCGACGAAAAACCCATGGAATATGGAAGCGGCATGATACGAATGGAAACCGAGTCCACCAAGCTACGGATAGCGGGCATAGAATGCCAAATGGACATCGATATCATGGATCTAGGAGGACTAGATATGTTGATAGGTTATGACTGGCTGGACGCCCATAACCCCGCCATCGACTGGCGAATGAGGACGATACTCAAAAGAGAACCTGTGCACAAGGTTGCAGGAGTACGCCACGAGACACGCCCGACGAATCAGAGCTCACCCCAGGACGGGAGATTCGGCAGCATCTCACCGCATAAGATCGCGAGAATCTATGCGAAGGACCCTCAGAAAATAGGAGTCATTTGGATAAGGAAAGTCGCGACCACGAAGGAAGGACCCTTACCACTAGAAATACCACGAGAGTATCAAACCGACGAGTTCAAGGAACTCTTCGAGGAAAACGAGGCTACAGATCTAGCAGACCATCAGGAGTGGGATCACGAGATCATCCTAGATGAAGGAGCTAAGCTAAGCCCAGGACCAATGTACCCAATAGCGCCCGAGCACGATGCTGAGCTAAGGGACTACATCCAGAAGAATCTGAAGAAGGGATTCATCCGACCGGGATCAGGCCCGATGGCCTCACCCATCTTGTTCGTAAAGAAGCCTAACGGAAAGTGGCGACTATGTGTCGACTTCCGAAGGTTGAACAGCGTCACGAGGAAGAACCGATATCCCTTACCACTCATTACAGAGCTCATGGATCGACTCCAAGGAGCTAAGTGGTTTACGAAATTCGACGTTCGGGAAGGATTTTACCGAATCAGGATCAAAGAAGGTCACGAATGGATGACAGCGTTCAAAACGAAATACGGACTGTTCGAGTATACGGTTATGCCGTTCGGTTTGACGAACGCGCCGGCAACCTTTCAATCAGTCATCAACAACGCTCTCCACGAGTACCTTGGGATCTTTGTCACAGCGTACCTGGACGATGTACTAGTGTACTCCAGCGGATCGCTCGAAGAACATGTGGAACATGTCAAGAAAGTGCTCAGGAAGCTCAAGGAATACAAGCTGTACCTGCAGCCAGGAAAGTGCGAATTCCACGTCAAAGAGACGGAATTCCTAGGCTTCATTATATCTACAGAGGGAGTTAAGATGAACCCAAAGAAAATCGCGGCTGTACAGGAGTGGCCACAACCCAAAACAATCAAAGATGTGCAATCCTTTCTAGGATTTGCCAATTACTACCGGAAGTTCATCAAGGATTACTCGAAGATCACAGCACCCCTCTCAGAGATCACGAAGAAAGAAATAGGGTTCAAATGGAACGAGGAACATCAAGAGGCTTTTGTTCGAATCAAACAGATCTTCCTCGAAGCACCCGTACTAGAAATGTACGACCCCAGACGGGAAACGCGAGTCGAGACCGACGCGTCAGATTATGCACTCGGTGCTATATTATCACAGCAGTGCCCAGACAAGAAATGGAGACCAGTGTTCTACCATTCAAGGAAGTTCTCCGGAGCAGAACTTAACTACGACGTTCACGATAAGGAACTACTCGGGATAGTAGCTGCCTTTGAACAATGGGAAGTCTATTTGCTGGGACTACCACATACGATCGAGGTTTTTACCGATCACCAGAACTTGGCAAGCTTCATGACAACCAAGAAACTCAACCGACGACAAGTCCGATATGCTGAGATGTTAGCTCAGTTTGACTTTAAGATAACGCATCGAGCCGGAACGCTTAACGGAGCAGCAGACGCTCTAAGCAGGAGGTCTGACCTACGAGAAGAAAGTCATGAAGAACCACACGACGCCATGTTCAAGAAGATGCCCGATGGCACACTACGATACAACCAGCCGGAACTAGCTAAGGTAGCTAAGGTGGCCGAGCAGGTGGAAACACTACAGCAGCAATGGCAGAGGAAAGCGTTGCACTGGCAACTAGAACCAAGGCCAATCCCACGGGAGATACAAGAAGATGAGTTGGAGCTCAGAGCGATGACCCAAGTCGGGAAAACGTACGTGGCTCCACCCATACGGGAAGAACTCATCAGAGAACTGCATGAGTCCAAGGAATACGGACACGCATCGCTGGAAGAAATGGCTAGGCGACTATCAAGGGTGTTTGCGATACCACGCTTGCGAGCGAAGGTGCAGGATGTCCTAGGCAACTGTTTGGCTTGTCATCAGAACAAGCCCAAGAGACATAAGCCCTACGGCCTGTTACAACCCTTACAGCCACCAACCAAGCCATGGAGCAGCGTAACGATGGACTTCATAGTAAAGCTCCCGAAATCGTTAGAACCAGGATCAGGACGACTTTGTGATACAATCCTAGTAATCGTGTGTCGATTAACTAAGGGAGCAAAGTTCGTACCAACAGAAGAAACCATCACGGCGGAAGACTGCGCGTATGAAGTCTCCAAAGCATTGATATCAGAGCATGGTATACCAGAAGAATTCATAACGGACAGAGATAAGCTGTTCACGTCTAAATATTGGACAACATTCCTGGCCAAACTGGGTGTAAAGAAGAAGCTATCGACTAGCTTCCACCCTGAAACGGACGGCCAGACGGAACGAACGAACCAGACACTGGAACAGTATCTGAGGATGTACGCCAACAAGCTGCAAGACAACTGGGTTGAACTCTTGCCGACAGCACAATTGGCCTACAACAGCACAAGATCGGCGACCACGAAGTACTCGCCGCACTACGCAAACTATGGATATGAGCCGACTGCTCATCGAGACCCAAAGGATGTAGAAAGCATCGCAGTAGGCGCAGATGATAAAGCCCGCCTCATGCGAGAATTACACGAGGAATTGAGCAAGAACATCGCCCACAGGAACCTCACAACAGCCAAAGCGGCTAATAAGCAAAGGATTGAGGGACCAACCTTTAAGAAGGGGGATAAAGTTTTCCTGTCACGACAGAACCTGAAAACTAAGCGACCAAGCAAGAAACTGGATAACCTCCGAGTAGGACCATTCGAAATCCTAGAGGAAATAGGCACAGTAAATTACAAACTCCAACTGCCACCAGGCATGCACATCCACCCTGTCTTTCACAAGAAACTCCTGGAACCAGCACCTCCAGATGCCGAGCTAGCAACGGATATAGAGCTCGAAGACGACGAGTACGAGGTCGAAGAAATTAGGGACCTGCGGAAAATCGGTCGTCAGTGGAAATACTTGGTCAAGTGGCAAGGATGGCCAGAGGGTCAGAACACTTGGGAACCAAAGGAAAGCTTGACGAACTGCAAGTCACTGGTACTTGAGTACCACCGGAAACACCCAGAGAAGCAAGGACCGGGTCCTCGAGGGAAAGGAAGTAATCAAAAGAAGGGTCGAAAGAAGCGTCAGCCTGTAACCAGCCCAAGTCAGTCGACGGTCCGGGTAGCGATGGTTCGGTTGTCGGAAAGTCCGTACCAGGGGCAGAGTTCCCCTCGGCTTGCTCTTTCGCACGGTCTTGAAGGCTCAGGATCGCGTGATCTCGATCAGCGTACGAACGCTCCAAGGCCTCAGTTTCCGCGACTTCTAGACGAAGCCGCGCGACCTCGGCCTCTGCACGGAGAAGCGCTAAACGCTTCTCACGCTTCTCAGCTTCAACCTTTTCCCACTCTTCCTCGGTTACAAACAAACTGCACTCAGCTTTCACGGAAATACAACCCGCACACTGCCCAGACGCAGTGTCCACGAAGCAACGAAGGTTCTTCTCCTCACAGCGCTTACAACGAAACGTCATTTCGTTCCCTTGCTGCCGGACGCGATCAGCCCGGGCCTGACGCTGTTGAGTCGAGTTTTGCGAACGGACACGGCGAGTCGGGGGTTGAACCTTGGGCATGGTTAGGGACGCTGGAGGCAGGAAGAGGCGGCTACAATGGCCCGGGGCGCGCAGACCTTATATGCAGCCCACGCCTCAACGATCGGCACGGCAAAATAATAATCCAGGGTATCGGGACGATACGCCTAAGAGGGGGGATAATGTTACAGGTAACACAAAGGATTCTCTCCTTGACATGGGGTGAAGGGGTTGAAGGCCAACCACGACCAAGTCAGAACGCAACGATGATCGCGGGGCTCGGGGTCACGTGATCAGGATTGGCATCCCGCCAAGACCAGGCCTCCGGGAGGCCAGTGGGGCTAGGGAAGCCACGGTCCTCCCAAACCTCCCTCTAGGATGGGAGGCCAGGGAGGACAGGACCTAAGGCAATGGGTATAAGAATGTGTTGGATTTCATTATTACACTCATTGTGGTCAACTCAAATAGTTCATCTCTTACACAGATTGTCAACTAGTTATTCTATCGTTTATAGAATTGGATTGTCTTTACCTGCAGTTATTCCACGATAACTCTTTTCCACAGAATCGCCAGACAAACCTCACGGACTACCGCTTTAGTCTACCTCGCCTTAGTACGGACCGAGCCTAGAGAAGTATAGCCTAACCCCGTGTAACACCTTACTAACTTCAAGGTATTGTTCTACTAACTTAGGTTGCAGCTTGGCAGGATAGGCACGATCTAAAGCGTACGCGCTAGCATGGGTAGCTGGATTGTGTCCTGTCTGGAAAGAGAGAAGTCGTAATATTCCATCGCGATCTCTTGGAGTGTGAGGATCAAAAGGCTGGACAATACCTGGAAGATGCTTCTTGCTAATAGCTACTGCAATCTGGCGATACATTTGAAAATGGAGCAGTATTGGGCATTCTGGTGTAGATTGCTGTAAGAGCTTCGAGCAGACTAATGAGCTGAAACATGACACGGGTGTGTTATACGCAGTAAACAAGTGCGGATTGGTTGGAACGCGTGTGTTGACAAGCTTTAGTTGCCGGCTGACGTAATTGCTGAAAGGCCTGATGTATGCGAGGTAAAGAAATAGACACCTCTCTACTAATGCGCAGGGAACTTGAACAACAAAGAAAGAGTTGTTCGAGTTCTGGCTAGCTTTATTGTATGAAAAGACTAGCAAGACCCGGCCCTGGCAAATGAAGATGTTGCGTTGCACTGCAGCAGTGTCTGCCCAGCGCAGAACCCGAAGCTCCTCTCCTCTAGCAGGCATTCCGCTGGTCACATGGATACTACTGAACAGTACTTCGACCATGTTGTTATATCGTTTCAGGTAGGACATTGCTTTCTCTCGGCCTTCGTCTCTTAGGGAGAATCCCTTCCCCTCTTTAGAGAAGACTCGACGGCTCAAATGCTTGAAGCTAGTCTGCAGCTGATTTGCTGGCTCTTGCAGGAACGCGTAACCTGGGTGGTGCCTTGACAGATCCTCTTTTAAGGTGTTGAGATCGACCTTAGGCCACCAGTCAAACATAAGGTCTCGCATGATTCTTTCAAGCCTAGCAAGGAGGCAGTGGATTGTATGGCGAAATGTCTCGGGTCTGACCATCCAGGGACCAAGATAGGGTTGTACGTGGTCCTTCGCGTTTGGCAATGGCCCTGCCGTGCTGTAAACGCTCAATTAGGTAGCCCATAGGTGAGAGACTGCCGCGTTGAAGGCATGTTGGGAGAATCTCTACACAGAGGCGCTTACCCTGATCAGCATAGGTTGCACGTGCTGGCCAGAGAAGATCAAGGGTAGTGTACCCTCGCAGCGGCAAGGCGCACTCGAGAATGATAAGTCTTCCGATCCACAGTAGAGCTGATAGGTACGGTGTGTAGTCGGAAGTTGTACGGTATGCTAACTCGTACGGATGGATACCCAGGACACCAGAGAAGTGGACAATTGCTTTGCCTTTCAATATGCCGTCTGTGGACACATCCGTCCAAAATAGCACGAGCAGCTCGAAGACGGTTTCTGATATACGGGAAGAGAACGCAGGCTCTGCCTTACTTAATCCTTTTGTGGACAGATCTGACCAGACAGATTCTATTATATCCGCTTGTGCGTCCGACAGCTGAAGCCCATATACCTCGCTCAAGCTTTGGTTGAGCTTCTGACATACCTGCCATGACCGGAATACATAGCACAGAAAGCGGTTTAGGAAGGAGCGGTACCTAGCTTTTGTAGCGTCTCGTTGAGGTAGCTCGAAGGGATATGCGTAGAAGTGTGACCCCCAGCTTCGCAGCTAGCAGCGCAAGACTTGCGGAGTTTGCTCTAGTGTTTCCTCGCAGCGGTCAAGCACGAGATGAACGATTTCTGATAGTTGTCTTAGTTTTGACTCTGTAGCTGCGGAGCTGATCCACTCCACGCTATTCCAGGTGCCGAGGTGGATAGCTTCATCAGCAGAAGCGGCCAACCTAGAAGTAGCAATAATTAGATGGAGCGGTTTTTGAGCAAACCACCGCGGCCAACCACAACTGCGCAGCCAGTTGGTTTTCTCGTCATGCTTAAGCTTGTTGCTCAGGGACATTAGTTCTTGATCTTGCTGTAGGAGCCTAGCTTCCTCCTTGGCTTCTATCTGCAAAAGAGCGGCCGTCGCAGGGTTGTCTGACACGGATCTGTCTTGGCTTGATCTTCTTCTACTTTGAACTGTATGTGTAGCGTCTGCTACCCTCCAGGTACCTCCTATGCTTCGCCTATTAGGAGACCATCGCTGGACGAAGCAGAGAAGATGATTGCGTGTCCTCTGCCCTCTACTGCACTGCTTCTTCCGAAAATGCAGCAGCATTACATCCTAACTACAAGTTGTTAAGTCGCACTGCGAACAGGAGTAGCCTCGCTCTGGTGGCGCTAGGAAATCTAAGCTAGGAGAGTTATTTGCACGAGGTACAACGTCTGCATCGATCTGCGACACAGGAAGTGCTTTATACTGAGAAAGTATAATTTCGCAGATTAGCGATCGAGTTTTGTGGTGATAGCGGAGGTGGTTACGGAGCGTCTTGTAGGGTATAACTCTTTTACATGGGGTGCACAACAGGTGTCTATGTTCTGGCAGATAGGAGATAATGTTAGGCACTTGAGATTCTGCAGGCTATCTATAATTAGTAAGTAAGGGTGAGGTAAAAAAAAAAAAGAGTGCAGCGAAGCTACGCTATTCACATACCTTGCTCTTTGCTGAGTCGCCTGAATAGACAGTCCATGAGGAAGAGTTAGAGGCGCTTTCAGAAAAGACACCGGCTTCTGGATTACCCGTGTAGACTATCCAACGAGACGCTGTCTGGCGAGACATAACACTACTTTGTTGCTAACAGTAGCACATAACTAAACAGCAGGCTGTGACGTCTTAGTTAATGCGTAGGCAGGTAAAAGTAGTACAGAACAACAGGTAACAAACAGGTACTGCAGTAGCTGCCCTGTGTTAGAGCACGCATGCCTGTGCAGGGCCGAGCTAGACCAAAATAGAGTATTAAAAGGGGTCGACTCTAGGCTAAGGCTGGGAGGGGACAAAGTAGGGCTATAGTCGCGCACTATACTAAATCAGGCACGAACGAGGCTCGGGGTCGTGGCGGTCGCGTGGAGGTAGGGCTACTTTGGGCGAAAGTGGCGCAGCTGCAGCAAAATCATTTGTTGGAAGGTGCTCTCTTTCGCTTACCCTTACATATCCTGTCTCAATAGGGAACCGGGCAGTTTGTACAGCCTCAAGATAAAAGAATCTAGATTGGAAAAGCACTGCACGCCGAAAAGATGGTATCGTCTGCTGGTACCTGGAATGGACTGTCGCTCTTCCGCAAATTCAATCTCAAGCAGCGCGTGATTGAGAACGAAGTATGCATGGCTTAGGTATACTGTCTTAATGCACTGTTGACAGACTTGCCTAACGAGCCGACCGCCTTACTCTACGATCTTGAAAGTCGCTACTTTGTCTTCGTCTTGCGCGATCATCTTCAACAGCCCTGGCGGTTCTCCAAAAACCCACCCTTCCTCCCTCATCTTCTTAATATCCGGCTTCTCTTCTCCTTCCACGGCGCTTCTCGAAGACAACTTGTTCACGTTATGCAAATCAATAAGATCTTGCATCTTACTAACAACCTCTTCGCTTTCATCTGTTCCCTTTTCCCTATCCATCCCCAGATCGTCAGAAAAGCTGAAGCGCGAGATTTTCTTGCCTTTCAAGCCTTCCGGGTCTTCCAAGGAGCCAAATGACCACCATCGAATCGAAAGATCGCCGGGCCAGACATGGTAGGTGTCGCTGACTCGTAGAAAATGTTCAAGCTTTTCTTGGATCGAGGTTGAGTCGTCGCCGAGACTCGACATAAGCCGTTCAGCAGAGAGCTCCCACGCAACTTGTACAGAACCTTTTCCTACCGGAGGAATTGTGATGAAAGTGAATCCAGGGGTATCGGGATCCTCAGAGCGTTTGGCAAGATCTGGGTGGCCTGATATCCGGTGGAACGTAATGCGCTTTGTGGGCCGGAGGTTAAGCACTTTTGCAGAGCCATCTGCTTGTCGGGTGGAAGAAAATGCGAGTTCTGGTGAGTGCATATCGCACTTGCGGAACGCATCCTCACGAGGCGTAGTGTCGAGACATGAGTACTTGGTTAAGATAGTAACGGGTCTATCTGGGAAGACCGAGGAGGTTTGGTGGATGGTAGCGATCAGCTTTAAAGGTGATGCCGAGGGGTTAGAGATTGAGAGAGTGGCTGGTGGACAGAAGTTGAACTTAAGGCAGAGCTCAACTCCGTGGTTTTGAGACGACATATGAAACTATTTGATATGGTGTTGTAGTAGGAGACTAAGAATGCACTGCCGTGGGTTGCAAAAATTCAAGACTGCAGAGGGCAAAGTCGAGAAGCTGAGGGTCGGGGCCGTATTCTCTGATCTTTAACCACGTGCAGTCTAAAGTGCTTTTCTAATGTTATACCCTAACTGTATAAAGGAATATGTCAAAAATAGGCCCCTCGATCACTTGACTTAACCTGTCGGCGATGAATTGGGTCCGAGGCTGGTGCCTAGCATGACGTCACAGGTATTACACCAACCTAACTGTTGGATCGCGGAGGCTCAACCCCGCCCCCACATCTTTACACCCCCGACTCTGCTCTATTTTTTTACTCTTCCGGGATTCTACGATTTCAGTTTCTCGATCCTGATCACATGCCCATCTTCAGATGCGCAAAAAGCACCGAAGAACGACTTAACCATCGGAAGGTCTCAAGAATTCATCTGCTTAGGTTCAAACATCCACGAAGCATAGCCTGGAGCCTGAAGAGGACTTCGAACATCCCATTTGCCTCTCAGTCTGATCTACAAAGTGCGAGGGGGCAGGTACACACGTGCAACTGCTATAGGCTGATTCAACTAGGTACAGTATTCTCAAGGGCTGAGATGCTCCGACGATCCGTCATCCTAGTCCTTGCGAAATGGCCTACACCTTCATCCTGTATGCCTCTTACGACCAGAATGTCACAAATGTGGTATGCTTTCGTCTTCGTAGGAATTTTTATGAATCATGAGATCGAATCCCATCGTCGATGCGACTTACCATACCTTGATCTTTACTGGAGGCCTTGAAAAACTTACTGTAAGGGATTAACCTCGATTCGACTACCGTCAGCGCGAGTTGTACCTTTTAAAGAATTGTTTCATCCTACGTATAGATCTGGGTGGTGGTTCCGCTGCGCCGAGTGCGCCTTATGATCTTGTCAGCAGCTTACTGGACCCCAAGCATGGTGTTTCAAACATTCGCATTACCTCCTCAAAATACTCATGTTGCCCTTTCTTGGCCCCATCTTGTCTTTCATTTACCTCACTTGCTTACATTTGGCGCAAAGCCTCGCCTCCACCACAGCCCTTATCCCTTCTTCGAAATCGCTCACTGGCGATAGAGACACAGCCACATCAGGCCACGATGTTGGACAAGTCTTGAAATAAACCAATCCAACGAGAGTACTTCTCTAAGCGCCTAGCTACACTTCTACTGGAAGAAGATCATTCAGGTACTGTGAACTTGTATAAAAAGGCTACCTAGTAGCGGCGGAGGCAGCTGCGCGCTCTTCACCGGCGCTTTCGTCATAGAGGATGTGGACACTGAATTTGATTCGACTTTCGCTGTTCCTCGAGATAAGTCGCCAAGCATTGGTCGCGGTGTCTATTCCAAGCTGACCGGCGTGTGTATTGACGCATCCGATCTGTCGCGGTAAGCGAGGTGTTACCAAGACAGTAGGGGCAAAAACCAGCAAGAGCCAGGCCTTTACGAAAGACAACCGGATCGCAATGCCAAGAAATGTTGTTATCAAGGTGTTCCTGACAGTGCGCTTCCATTCGTTTGCATCTGTTATCCATCTATTGCAGGAGAAACAGAGTTTTGCAAAACCATGGGTCTTTTGAATAGTACCCTGATGACAGCGATAGGCATGATGCCATCTTTCCTCAGCTTGGATACTAAATGTGGATTAGCAATCCATGTTTAGCGGCGTAAGAAGTGTGACTCACGATAATAAATCCCCTTTGCAAGATGGCACTGCGCACTTTCCTTGGGCTGGCCTTAGACATTCTTGGTACGCAATATCGGAATCATGCTTCAGGAGTGATAGAAGGTCTTTGAGCGCTTCTATTCCCCACTCACTTCGCAACAGGGCGGCGATTCGTAGGGAAATAGCAAGATGGGCTCGTTCGGGGACCATATAACAGACCACTTGTTGAAAATATACGCACTGCCAATCTGGATCCAGCTGTGACTCTTCTTGTGTGTCGCAGTTCCTCGTCTGGTTTAATTGGTACTCTTTCAGGCACTTTTCGCGCATCTTCCGTTGCTGATAATACAGGCTGTCCAAAAGGATTTGAGACTCATTACGTGTCGTATTGGGGTTGCCTCTCTTGATCTTCAAGTGCGTTTGCTAAATAGCCTTGTCAAGAGCTTAGTACTCGGCATCGTCGCTCAGGGCTTTTAGTGTATCCGTAGGTAGCAACAGCAGCATCCCTGGGTCTCTTATCATTATAGCAGAACAAAATTCTTTGGTAATGTCACGTCGTGCGCTTAAGCCAAGAAACGATGCAGTACCATCCACATTGCTCATGTCGTAAAGGTAGTAGCCAACAAATGTCTTGTCACTTCAATGTCCAGCGAAATTCATCACTTGGCCAAGGGAATACCCACCGTCTCGTATTTGTTAGTTCGGTTTGCTGTAGTTGGGAGGACTGTACAAACCATCAACCTTCACCAGACTCTCCCTTCGAACGGCGTGTAGCCCCATACCATTTGGAAAACCGGCTCGAATGGCCAATGCTGAGCACTGACGACCCAGCACATAAGATGATTTCGCCTTCTTGATCGGCCCGTCAGCACACATCTGCGGAAATACGGGGTCCTCTAGGACTCGATGGTCCCAATCCATGATGCGATATTGCTCACCTGGCAACGGCCGGGCAGCGAGAACGTCGTCGATCGTCTTGAAGTCTCTGAAGGCCCCGGATCTTATGAAGATGGGTAAGAGAAACAAGAGGCTGTGGGAGAAAAGAGGAGGAGCGGGAGTCAAATATTCGTATAGGGGGTGTTGATGCCTGTCATGACTTTTAGTTTCAATTGAAGATGGGAAAACAGGATAACTTACTTTCTACTGTAACCTTGCATTCCCTTAGCAAGTTCTCATGTAAAACTCAATTTGATCTCCGGCTCATCTCCTCTCCAACCAACCATACAAACGATATCCTGATCTGAAGCATTAGGACACAGCTAAGCTGAAAGAGTAGTGTTCACCGACCTCATATCTCGCCATGCACAACTCCTTCAACCTTGCGCTCGAGTAACAATGCAGGTTTAATAGGGCCGCAAGGCAAACTCTAACACCCTCATGAACATAGTTGTGGTAATCGCGTTCCCACAAGAGAAGTTGTATATAGGCCCAATTATCGATCGTAAGGAACGTAGGCTTCTTCCTTTCCGTTAACAAGGAAAACTTTGTTCTGAGAGTGTGCCCAATATACTCTCTACATTAGCAGCGTAGACGCCGCGTAAAGAGGTTATTCGAACACTAACAGCAGACACAGAGTTCTGAACGTTTATTAGAATACTAATGTTATTCCGACGTGCGTACGCGGCCATGAAATGTCGTAACTTGGTTTGAACGGTCAAAACAGTTGGCCGTCCGCCTGTTTTGTCTAGTCTTCCAGGAGTTGAAAGTGCGAGAGCATCGGTAAAGTGCTTCGAGGTCTTCACGCTCGGCGTACCGGCATCGTTTTCGGTATCAGGGGTCGTTTCCACAAAGCTATGCTAGAATTAGTAACGCATGGAATGGTCGCTCGAAGGTATAACTCACCTTGTCCAGAGTTCCAAGATCGAATCATAGGCGTATGTGCTAAGAGCTGCAAGCTCCTTGTGAACCGGCTTTTCGTCATATTCAGAGGTGAGAGTAGGCAGTCCACGATGCAGAGTGTCTTGAATTCGATTTGCTGCTGAGTGTTTTATCTTGCCGCTTCTTTTACGAATTGTGTCTGAAGCAGGAAGCATCATGTCGGACTGGTGGATCGATTACAACATCAGACAACGAAAACTTGGACTGAAAGTACGAGGGGAAGTACGGAGTGAACATAATATTAAGAGACTCTTTGGGGCTATAAATATCCAGCTAGCACAGGGATTATCTCACATTGCCAGACTCAAATTCGTTCTATCGCACGGGTGAGTATAATGACATAACACTTACGGCTAAACCTTCCGCCTTCCAACATACAAGGGCCACCATTTATATCACAAGCAAGGGACAAGTGACCTAGGGTAAATCCTTACAGCCTTTAGTACACTCTAATCAGGCACGAGCAGTTCCAAGACGTCGTAAGCTCACCATGAGCCGACCTGAGCTCACCATGAGCCGGCCCTAAGCCAACAAGATTCAAGGGCAACAAGCTCACGTGGTGTTAAGCGTTCGGTTTGGGGGACTATAACTACGTAACTACTACAGAGTGGCGTTATCTATTAGTAGACAAAGGCCTGCCCTTTATCTAGGTTGTCTAGGGTCTCTTTCTGCTACTATTCTTTATACATTGTTACGAATCCGAGGACGGGAACACTCAACTATGACATAGGACGCTATATGAAGTGGAGCGGCTCCAATTCCTTCCGCCAACTCCAAATATCCCTCTTCATCATCTCTTCCTCCATCATGCCATCCACAAAACACTCTCCGAGCAACTTCCATGCCACCACCTCCCTGCCACCAGGCTCATGACCGAGGCCACATGGTCTTGCTAAGACCGGCACTCCATGGCCGATCAAGATCATAACGCAATCACCCGGCTGCGTAATGACAGGCGCAAGGCCCAGAAGTCCTGAAGCTGTCACGATGAAGCGCCGCATGAATGTGCGAGCTTGCATTGATTGCATGACTCCGGCGACTTTGGTGGCGTCGGCCGACGGGCGAGTGGGATCGGGGCGGAACCATGAGGAGAGAGGGCGATTGCGTATGAGGAGTGAGTTGTTAGCATTGAGGAAGTGCCAGTTGCGGTGGTGTGGATGGGATGCAGGTGGTTCAGAGACTGCGAAGGTTAGTAAGTCACAACGACTGAGCCGCAAGATGAACAATTCAAGGGTTGTACATACCGGGCATGGATCGCGTGAGGCATCCAAATTCTGGAGGAGCCTTTGCACCGCTCAGTGTAGTCCCACCACAGAGCACCCAGTAGAAAATAGGGTCTCGATCATTCTCCATAAAATTGTTCTCTCTATCCGAGAACAGCAAGTCCGGCGGATCAGTCATGCTCGCAATCTTTATGTCCATCCTGGCCTGTTCTGGATCTCCATCTGGATAGCTTTGAGACACACTCCCACGCGTAGGCTGAACAACTCCAGTCTTGAACCCGGGCTGGGGGCGAATGTGACCCTTCTCAAGATCCTTTGGATTAATCGCACCGACGCCATCAACCCTCTCCACCACGAAGCCCCAGCAGGTCAATGTGTCTCCATGGACGGCGGGATAGAATGGCTGGACGATGCCATCTTGACTCCATTCAAAGCCTTGCTTGTTTCCGCTTGCGTACCACTCACCCTCAATCACCCCGGGGCGGCGGTTGGGCTTTGCGCCAAAGTCAGGGACCCACGATGGTATCGTCTCTGCAGGTATCGGGTTCCCGATTGTGTCAGTCAGGGAGAGCCCACAGCCGTCGATGAGGAAGAGAATGTCAAGCGACCGCCCCTTCTCGATGGCCGCTTGCGCGAACTCGCGATACACCGTACCGACAGACTTGTCGTAGTCTACATCGATGTCTAGCTTCGGCAGACTGGGAATCTCCAACATGCCGTAGACACGATCTTTTGCATCGAAGACATCGGCGCGAGATGCGAGCATAAGTGCCTGCTTGAAAGACGACCCTTTCAAAGGACCGTGTGTCGGTGCTTGGTTGCTTTTGATGGGTAGAAATGTTACGTCGACCTCAGGGAGGATCTTGCGATGACCCGCGATCTCAAGCTGAGCGATACCGGCGACATGAGGTATGGAGTGCTCCTTCGTCATGGGACCAGCGCCCAAAGAGGCCATACTGCCGCGCGTCGATTCTTGCAGCATATCCATGAGCGGGATATACATGAACGCGCCGTCACGAATGTATCTCCACTGCGTCACTCTGGATCCGCACACAATCGGCATTCCCGCGCGTCCATTTGCCAGCTCCTGAATGATCCACAGCCGCCTCCAATACGGTCTGTCGAAGAACTTGTATATCGCAACGTCATTCACCGGGTCGCTGACATTGTGTTCCCGCAAGAATTTGGACCATTTGATCATGCTAGCTTTCATGCGGAAGTAAGCAACTTCCCGATGCGCAGTGGCAAGGTAAGGATCCGCGTTATCAAAAGTCTCGATGTACTCGGTCCTATACAAGAGACTGGTGCTTTGCAGTGATTTGATGGCTTTCTCGCTGTACGCGTCCGCTTCACCGAGCCAGACGATGATGTTGCCCGCGTTACGGTATATGCTGCCCATTAGTCTGAGTTGGGCTTTCTTTTCCTTCTTGTTCGCTTCGTCTTTACTTTGGTTTATACATAGCGCATCGATCCAGACTTTGCCTCGATTCAGGAAGTACTCCATTTTTCGGAACTGGCTGAGGCCTGCATGCAAGCTCTCAGTCACTTCATGTCGATGGCCATTAACGAAAATGTGCTTCTTTGGTGCCCTGGGATCTCCCCAAGCGTAAGACATGGCGAGGTAGTTGTTCGTGGCATTTGCATGCCACGACTTATTGGCGGCTTCCGAATCATTGCGGTAGAACATTGGGAATGTATCAAGGGGCACCTGGGCCACGGGACCGTCCCAGTTAGACTCGATATTGTCATTATCATCGAGCATACCCATATTCATCTTGAACCCATCGATAATCTCTTGATCGCTTATGACAGTGATGATGTCTTCCTGAGTTACTGTCTTCACCAGATCCATCACCGGAACGAACACGTCGTGTGTCTTGAGTGTCTGCAACGCACGAACGTCTCGGTGCATTTGCGCCCCAAGCGCTTCGTCTGGTTTGTCGACAACCCAATGATCGCAGTGGATGTAGTTTGGTGGGAGGGCGTCTATCACCGGGTCATTAGTGGGTAGATCCGCGACGGTCATGTAGCAGCGAATCGGAGTGCCATCGTCACCCTGTAAGACTTCGATCAGACGGATTTGACGTTTTCCGAGGCCATTCACAGGAAGCTGCAAGTAATCCAAAGGACCACCCTTCAGCTCGTACGTTCTGGGGCTTGCAGAGCTGGATGCAGCCTGGGCATTGAGTTTCTTGAATAATCTCCGCATTTGAGGAGACTGAGTGTGAAGCGGCTCTACCTCCCAAGCAGCGGTGTTTTGAGCAGGCCAATTGCGAGTAACGAGTGGACGAAATACACAGTGTGTAGTTGGGGTGAGTCCTGTTCTTATGTGCGGGGCCAGTGAGCTGAGGTATCAGCCGCAAATGCACGATAGTCACGATCTAGACCAATGGCAGTCATCTCTCCAATTAAAGAATGTGCAGCCTTGTGGTGATGGAGCCTGAGTGGTATAAGAAGCCTCTGGGCGGGCTAGCAGGGATATGGGTCCAACAGTGTCTCTGGTGATGCTTTCCGTCACAAGCCGCAATGAGCGCAGCTCACGCCCAATCGCGCCGAGCTCTCAGGGTACACCGCGGACGTCTCGTGCGAAGGTACTGATCAAGTACACTGCCATCAAGATCGTGGCCACCAGTGCGACGTATGCGACAGTGATTGACAGCGGGTCCGTTTGCCGACTTGTCGTCGATGAGGAGTTGAATGGTATCGTGATGAATGCCCGGAATCTTCGGGTTCCCCGCTGCGACCAGGCAGAGGATGGAATGCGCGCATAAGGTGCGGGCTGACCTGGGCTTCGTGAGCTGTATGACAAGCAACGCCACCATGTATGAGATGGCAGAAATACGACTAATTGTTGAGTTCTTCAGCCTTGCGGTACTTTATTTACTGATGGAAGCTGACACGAAATTCCTAATCGATCGAGCACGAGGAAGTGCACCTCAGCATTAACAGATGCTTTCTAGTCAATGACTGTTGAATATATTTTGTGGCATGAGTCTGTTGGGATTCATGCCCTAAGGGGTAGGGAGAAGGGTGTTTTATAAGCATGCACTAGGCATTTATTAGCGTCTAAGGTTAATCCAAGCTGCTGCTAATTAACCTTGGCACATTAGTAGCCTATAGTTCTTTTCTCTATTAAATACAATCTCTAGTATACCCGAGCGATAGCTCCCTAAGCGTAGCCTCTTACAATGACCAGCAGCCTTTTGTGGACGCCAGCATCATTGACAATGCACACGACGTACGGGATGCACTTGGTATAACAAGCAACAACGTGCTGAACGTCGAGTTGAATCTACAGAATAGTGAACCGAAATCGTTCGATGCTATTGATGAGCTCGTGGTAGGGATCAACGGATCGATCAGGACCCGAGGAGGACTCGACGGCAGTTCCATCTTCTCAGATTGAGGAACTTGTAGAATCTGGGACCAAATCATATGGCGGCATTGTCGCATGTGTATGATGAGGAAAGAGTATCAATGGGCTTCCGAAATGGGTGCTGGTAATGGTGGTTGAAGAGGAGACTGTGTCGGCTATGGGAGAGGATGATTCAGTCGCGAGATGTTGCCGTGCTTGCGCATACCGTACAGGTACTGGTAGATTCGTGGAATCCTTAATGGCAGCGGCGTCATGAATGCGGACAGGGACCTGCGGAGTGTCCTCGCAATAGACAGCCCCTAGGATGGATACAGGACTTATCAGCTGTGTACCTATCGTCGTAGAAGAGTTGTTGCTCGGCATGGGCCTCAAAGCAGTCTCAGTCGCCTCCGCATCCTGTGATCAATTGTCGCTTTTGTGGAAACGTCCCCAGAGACCTTTCGCCGCACACTTGGCCAAAGAATCTTTGATGTCGTGGCCGTTTTGACCTTTGCGCGACGCTGTGTCAGCATTATTGTCCTTCCAAGTCTTGCTAGACGGAATAAACTCACCTTTCGCCACTATTTTTGCCGTCTGTGCCATCTCCCAAGGCCACTGTTCTCTGCAGCCTCTGGATCCATTCGGTGGGTGACGAAAGCGTGGAACGCACCCATTGTGTTGTCGCTGAACTGGGTATCGGAAAGAGGCAGAATACGCTTGTTCGCGAGAGGCAGGACTGGATGCTGGAAGAGTTTGTCCGGATGAGGCGGGTTCAGTCGTCAGTACGTACGTGAGAGTTTGTGTGAAGCTATCAATTGCAGAATATTGCGGGCAGCGCATGTACGAGATCCTCGCTACTGTAGTTCTGCTCTCGTTACCAAATATATCGGTGTAGAGAGGTATGGCACAGCGGCTCATTGGCTCTGAGCGCTGGTTGCTGGTCGCTGGGCAATTTTACGTATGCTGCAAGGGTCCAGGAAACCCTCTCTTGGCCAGCGCAATGGGAGATCTACCGTTCACTAGCAGGTTGGTCAGCATCATGTTCATTCGAGCGCCTGCCCTGCGCATGTCAGCCTGTCACGACATGGGCAGCCTGCATTGGGTACCAAAGTATGCACAGCATGGAATGCGACCGTCTGGCCATCAAAACGGATGGTAATTATCGATTCTTTTATTGTCGCATGCTATCCGAGCCCCTACAAAGCAACCAATCAAACTCCTAAACGCTCAAACATGTATCCCCATATAACGCTGCCCCGTTGTGTTCGCGGTCGGCGCCGGCTTCGGGGCGGGTTCGTGACGGTCGTGGAACGAGGGGGAATGTAATATCCATCAAGCACTATTCGCTGTTAAGTTCAGTTACTAGGTGTACCCGCCAGGACGCTGGCGCAGAAGAAAAGACGAGGAGGGAAGAGGAAGAGGTATGGTGGTCGAGGCCAGGACTGCACGGCGAGCGCGAACGATGTCATTCGAAGGAACAGGGCAACGATAGTTGTGTTATTGGCTGCGTGATGCCAATTAGCACTCGTCCATGCTCATCCTTTAAAAACACCTCGTCGCTTTCGCTCGCTCGTACAGTCATGTATAGGCTCGATGTAAGCGAAAGGGCGAAGGCAGGGGTGCACTTACTACAAGCTCAAAGTCAAGTCGCCGCGAATACTCGCTTTGAGTTCAATCTCAATCTCCAAATTCGCCTCGAGCGTCAACTTCAGTCCGTCCTGGTCCTTGAGCTCGCTGCCCTTTTGCTGCTGCGGCTCCATGCGGTATGGCTGGTTGGGGTCGGTGCCGCGCATGGGGATCTCGCCTCTCATGGCGCGGGCGTATGTGACGGGCCCGTCCATGGATGTGCTGTCCGGGCCGATACGCTCAAACATTCCCATCTTCTGGAGATCGCCATTTGCGTCGGCTTCCTCGAGGGCTTCTAGCGATGTCGTGTGCATGTATTTGCCGTTCTTTTTGTCCTCTTCGATGCGGTTACGGCGAGCGCGGCGCGATGAGGAGCGCGACCGGGCGGATTGTAGGCCGGCCTCACGCTTGTCTTGCTTCATCTTGTTCACAGCCTTCTCCTGCTGCATCGTCGACCGCTCGTGCGGCCTGCTCTCGTAGTCATTGTCCTTGTCGGCCATGTCGTCGGGTATCCTTGCTATCATGCAAGGCCTCGGGCGGTTGGAGGGGGCTGTTCGGGATGGGGAGTGTCTGCGTGATGGAAGAGAAGAATTGCGCAGAGGTGTAGAGGTAACGGCGAGCAAGATGTGAAGTCGTCAGGCCAAGGTCCAGCAGCAAGCGGAGCTACTACACGCCTACGCACGCCACGACTGGTACGGGCTGCTCCACTCCAAAAACAAGATTACTCGCAACGGCCTGGTCCTCTGTAGCTCCAAAAGCAAGGACGCCGCCGCTGCAAGCTTGTACCCCTGCCCATTCACCCGTCGTGCCGTCTCACCGTTTCAGGCTCGCTACGGATGACGTCAGTCCCACATCGAGCGACATCAGCGAGTGCTTTCCCAATCGGGTTGACAGCCGCTGCGTGACGTATGTCAAGATGATGCACATGCGCTGGTCTTTGCAAGTCGACCGACATTTGCACACAAGCTGACGACGCGCGCAACCATGGCGAAGCATAGCCAGTGTCGCGGCCACGGGAGTGGCTAGATCGCCCCCCGATCGCTTAACGCGGACCGTTGATCTTGCTGGCAACGGCTGCGCAATACTCGATCCTGGGCATAATAGACGTCAAGTTTAGACTCAAGCTCGCATTGCTTGCGTGGTACTCATCGAGTTGACGTTGCATGCGCTCTCGGCTATTGGGGTATTATTACAGGACCTGGTAATAGCAGGAATACTCCTGACGCCGCTATGGTCATCACGAGAGCTGAGACTCGACAACCAAGAACACCAACCCGTTAGCATGTCAGCGCAATAGTTCGACAGGTAATAATGGTGCAAGTCATTTGTTATGTGGTATATACTGCAATACGTATCGTAACACTACATGCAAAACTCCAAATCCAACGCCGTTGTGATCTCCCATTATAGCAATCGATGCGTTTCGTGCATTCATCATCGGTCGACTCCTAGTTACTGCGTAAAGTTAGCATTTGGCTTCGGTGATAAATGGCTGCAGGCTTGACTTACAGCAGTCCAAGCGTGAGATCACCGTGGATTTTGGCCTTCAGCTGGATCTCAATGTCGAGGTTGAGTTCAAGGCGTAGCCTCAGCTGCTCGCCTCCGTCCTTTCCACCCTCCTCTTCACCACCGCCGCCGCCAGTGAGACCTCCGAGGGCCTTGCCAGCAGTGTCTCCAACTTGGTTGACGGCGTTACCAGCAGTGTTTTGGACCATGTCGCCGGCTCCGCCAAGTGCATCGGCTCCAGGCACGTTCTCGGTGATGTCGTCTAGCGGACCTCCACCCTTGCCGCCCTTCTTTTGGCGCTGGCGGTTGCGACGGCCTCCAGATTGGGACACGTCGGATCGCGCATCAGACTCGGCACCGGAATCTGCGCCTCGTCGGCCGCGGCCACGCGACTGGCGGCGTCTCGATTGCGACTTTGACTTTTCTTGTTGGGGTTCGTCGGATTCGTTGTCAGCGTCGCCGCCGTTGGTTTGCTTCTTGGATTCTGCGTCCTCTTGCTCAGCTTTCCCTTCGCCATCGCTTTCGGGGGCAGGAGTGGCGTCAGGAGTGGGCTGCTGTTGAGGCTTCTTTCCGCCCAGCTTCTTCGGCGTCTTCCTTTCGGTTTTCTTACTCGATGATTCCGCACTGCCCTTTGCGCCTACCGAGGCGTTGGCATCCGCGTTTCCCTCTCCGGAGACAGACTGCTTGGTCTCTTCAACTGTGTCCGCCATGGTGCTGTTTGGATGGTCTTTGGGTGGGTGGGAAATAGTTAGACGGGTGATGCGTAACGAGCTGAATGTGCTTCGGGAATTGTTGCGAGTCCAGAGCCACGGCGCAATTCGTTAATAAGAGAAAAGCGGCCTGGGAACAGGAACCGGTTTGAAGCTTCAAGGTACCTGCTACCCCTGTCGCACTCGAGCCACCCGTCATGCAGTCTGACGCACCATGTGGCACCCACATCCACCCCACCGCCAGCGTCCCAAAACTTGACCCCATCCCTGCGCGCTGCCAACCTGATTATTTTAGATCTGAAATCGTGTTTGCGCCGGTCTAGCTGTTCCGCTCAACCCGATCCGCTGCAAGCTCGTGTGCCTCTGGTCTCGCTTGCCCGTCATTGGCGCGCGCACCAAGCCCAGCAGCGATGCGTCGAGCAACGCGTCAGCTGAATGCGCTTAACATCAACGCTTTGGGACATGCTGTGACACGGGCGAGGCCTCGATCAGTGGTCTGGCGGGACGTTTACTCATAGGGTGCGGGAGACCGTTTAGTGCTGGCGCAATAATCGCAACGCATTTTCGTAGCGCGCACAATAGATTTGAGGTAGCGCAGCTTCGAAAGAACCCCACGATGAATTCGACATTATGAGCGTTGTGCTAACGATCGTTGGGAAGACGCAATCGCGGGGCGCACCAGATGTTCCCCGATGGCCGGCCCGAATTGCGCCGGTCTGGCGGGAATCGTGACGACGGCATTTCCATGTGTACCTCTTTCAGAACTCAACGAAAGCAATCAAAGCAACCCGTCAATTGGACAACAGAATACCACTTTTCTAGTATGACAGCCCCAGAAGCTGCAGATGCAGCCGCAAAGCAGCGAATCATCAAGCACATGAACGCAGACCACCACGACTCCGTACGCGCCACCCACTTCTGGTACCACTGATGCGGAATTCGAGTTCCAGTCCTAATTCTGACCGCAGATACGCCGGTATGCAGAAGCGTACGCTTCCAAATCCGTGATTCAGAGCCGTTCGGCGCAAATGGTCAACATTGATCTCAACCAGATGGTCTTGAGCTGTGGTGGCCAACAAGCTATTATCGCCTTCGACCCACCGATGAAGGCCATGCGTGAGGCTCGCGAGAGGCTTGTTCAGATGGACAAAGATGCTCTTCAGACCCTGGACCGAAGCGACATCGCCGTTACGAAGTTTGTTCCTGCGTACACGCATCCTGCTCATCTCTGGAACTTTACGCAATGCGTGCTTGCACTGCTCTTGCTACCGCGGCCGGCAAACTGGCAGCCCGGATCGCTTCTCTACAACACGGTGCTGTATCTTGTGCCAGGCTTCGCGAACTTCGTCGCCCGAATTGGTTGGACGGTTTGGATCATCATGGTACCTATTCACATAATCGAAGCCATCATTATGGCGAGGAAGCTTGCAAAGCACGGATGTACATTTCTTGATGTGGTCTGGTGGAAGTGGGTGGGTACGTGTCTCGTTGAAGGGTTCACTTCGTTCCTCAGGCTGAATGCTCTGATTGCGGAGAAGAAGAGGGACAAGGACGCGAAGAAGCATTAGGGTGTGATGAGATTCTGTCTTCGCTCCAGGGGGAATCTTGTAAAAGATAGAAATCTTAATTCCGCGACGTCGTCTCCGACTGCGATGCACCCAAATGCCATCCCGGTCGGGCCTCCTCCTTGATATCCACATGATCCAACTTTCGCAGTGATTTTTCTTCTAACAGTCTTCATCATTCTCATTTTTATATCATTCTGATCGGCTAACTCATATCTGACATATCGTGCACAGCTGATTCGTGCTGAGTTCAGCTCATGGACGGTAGTGCCAGGCTACAGCCATGCACCGTGGGTGCTACATTGGTCAGTATCGAGCACTTTGGAGTGGCTCAACCACAGAGAAGAAACAAAAAGATTTCAACCTGCATATGATACCCACGCCTTCGTCTTTCATCCAGTTCTTACCGACACACTTAACATCGTAGGATCGATCTGAGCCGAGACCAACACCTGACGACACAGCGCATGAGAAACCTTGCTCCATACCGCCGCGATGCCTTCGAAGCGAAAGAGCGAAGCAGTTACGACACCAAAGCCCATCAAGAGAGTAAAGACAGGCGGCGCCTCCACACACACACATCACCACGAAACAAGTCGAGCGGCAATGAGACACCTGCCAACAGCAACATCAAGAAAAAAAGCCCGAACCACCATTTTATCAAAGCCCACGACCACCTACAGCTACTGTGGATGATGCAGAGTACCCTCCATTCATGGCCCTGCCGACCGAACTGCGCTGCCACATTTACGGCGATCTGGCGGACATTATCTACGATCCCGTTTTCCCCGAGCCCTGCATCTGCAGTTGGGAAGTATATTGAATGTCGACCCCACTGCTTCTACTTAATAAGACTATATACGAAGAGGTCAAGCATCCCACGGTACCAAAACCCTTACAGAAGGTCAACGATCACCTTGTGCCCAAACTCGTTTTGGGCCCGACACGCACTGAGATAGACCCTGTGTACATCGCGCTCTCGGATACCTTCCATCGCGCCGGCAAACAACTGCGTACGTTTCTAAATGGGCCCCAAAAGCACAGTGGCGCGGTCAAATATGTCAGCCTCAAGATTTCGTCTTGGTACAACGATACGTATTTATCGCAGCATATGCACAGTAGACGTGGAAAGGTTTCCAATACCCAGATCAAGTGTCAGACCAAGCGCTTGCACAGATTTTTAAACCAGATTTTGAAAATAGTGGCGGTTAGGAAGACCTGCGAGATTAGCATCCGACTCCTCATACACCCATTAGGGCTGCTTCATAAGCGAGACTATAGGTCTAGGGTTCAGTTCTCTTCCTACATGTACTACGAAAGAAAGGTCGCGGAAGACTCACGGCGAGCGCTGAGTGTCGGGATGAAACGAGAACTCAAGAAGGTGTACTCATTGTGTAAGCACACACATCTCGACGACAATATTGTGGCGACGATGGTAAACTACTACAAAGGGCAGGGTATGAACATCAAATTCGCAGAGACGCGCGAGAGAGATTGTGACTTGTTTGACATGGCCAAGTCATTCTATTTAATGTCTTGCCGAAGGGGATACAGCTGTACCTAGTCCTGTCACCCTCCACATCAGCACGAAGATGTTTTCCAGAGTATTTGACAAAACCCGCAATGCACCCTAAGGATACACTCCGTGCATTACTCTTCGGATCCTGTGCCAATGCCTATGCAATGGTTTTAACATGGTGAGGCATATGTAGGATGAACCGAGCTTCTCGCGGTCAGCTGGTGTCCTTGATATGCGAATGCGATGGCAAGCATGGCTGCTGAGGTTGACGTTCGCGTCGAAATTGTAACAATGTGAAGGCTAGAAGTTCCCCGCCCAGGAAATGCGCAATAGGACATGAGCATCCGACCATTGCGGTTCACATTGCTCACGCACACCGTGAAGGATTGGAGCACAACCTTCATCAATAGCGACAAGGCCGACGTGGGCAGCAATGACCCGACGAGTGTATTTTCAGACTCTATGTAGACATTCCAGTGCCATTTTCCATCGTTCATTATACCCTGGCAGCGTTGTAGGAGACTAATGACTTCTTCGCACAGATGTTGACCAGTAGGTGGTTGCTGGCCGCATTGCTCATATTGTCGATTCTATCGCGACGTTGTCTTCCTGTCGTGCACCGTGGGGCATATTCGATCGCGCGTTCTTGGGAAGTTCGTGGAGGCATACGGGGAGTGCATCGCGCCGAAGAGAAAGGGTTCGCCATGCTCTAGGTGACATCAGTATCCAGGTGCAGTTTACATTGCGCACACCAGTGCAATTGTATCCGCGTCTATTCCGTTGTCAATGTGTGTCAATAGATGCACCGGAACGTAGTCAGAAGGCGGCGGTTGGTGTTGATCCATAAGACCACGGTAGTTGAGAGGGCACGCAGATGCGCATCGGCCATGGTAGGAACTCAGACTTGTGAAATGGTACATGCTGTTCCTACGTTTGCGATATCTCGGCACCAAGGAACTCGACCAAGAGTTTTGGAGCGTAGAACCTATACTTCGTCGAGAACCGGCGTGTAGGGCGGACACGGAGTCGAGCGCTCAGTTCTTTCGGGTTGACCCATGGGTAAGTGCACGAGACTGGGAAGCAATGCGTCTTGCGGATGTGTCTTGCGCAGCGCGCAAAGCATCTCTCAGATCCTTGGTCTTGGGATGTCCGATGGATAAAGGGTTCGGCTTCGCCGGGCATCACGGTATGTTGTGGAGGCCATTAGAAACCGTTGCGAAGGCCATAGCGACTAGTAGTGGACGGTGGAGTATGGGGGCTCGTAGTCCAGTCCCTGCCCTGGGGTCAGTGCGAGTATGAAGGGCGTTGCGACGCGCACAGGATGACCGTGGTCGCTGACTTCGCATTCGTATATCACTTCTCTGTCGGGCGCGGATCGGTCTAGTCGGCAAAAGGAGGCACATGTATGCGTCGCGATGTACGTAGGTGGTGCACTCGTTGGGTTGTTGGTGCTCACCTCGGCGTTGCCGCTATCGATAATGGCAGTCTACGGGTGTTTCAAAGAAGCAGCTAGCTGTACGCATCGACGCTATGACGTACGTTGGTGTCCACGCCTCACCACCGTGTTGGCGCGCGCTACGTTGCCTGTCGAACCTAATTGATATCCTAAATCTGTATCACACACACAACCACACTCTTCCTCCTCTTGCTGTTCATTCTACTCGTCATCGTTAACACTTTGGTGCGGGCCTTCGACTCAGCTATATGTCACCCTTTTGTATCCCTCCTGATTACACTCACTTAGTGCTCTACTAAGACCTCACAAGTCCTCAAGAGTACAGAGCGCCGCGTTGCGTGCGACGCATTATTTGACATGGTGCACGGACATGGTACTTCGATGGTGTCTGCTAACACTATTGCTCTCACGACTCTTCTCTACAAACCCTCTTCAGCCCACGATCTGTCGCACAAAGTCGGTTTCCACAGATCGTGGAATTCCGGTTTGTTAGTGCGAACATTTCCATAAAGTTTGAAGTAGATACGCTAACGGCGTCTAGGTCACTCTACGCATGGAACTATGATCGGGCTTACAATCAACCTTCGTTATCCACGATGCAGGCTCATGTCTAATTATTGACAGAGTCTTCCTATTACACAGCAATGAGTTGAAAGCCCTCAACGCGAACAAAAGCAACTATGACGACGGCGATGCGCGATGCGGAAAGTCAGACGTAGCTTGCAGCGGGCCGTTCGCCTCGACCCGCATCCTTGGCTATATGTCGAGACATCACGACCCAGACTCGTCCAGAACGCACAAAGCTCGAAACCTGAAGTGCGCCCGTGCACACAAGCGTAGAGCGTCGCTTCCACTGGAAGGTCATGCCTCAGGTCAAGTGTATTTGGTGGCTGCAGGAAAAGGCCCTTCCCAAGTTGTCTTCGCCCAAGCTGAACTCGGCTTTCTGGTATCAACGGTGAAAGAACCTCTTCGCCAGCACTAGCGCTTCCGGATCTCTACACCGATGTAACGCCGCTGGAATCGTTCGATACCCGCAGCTTGAACTCCACGCTCGTAACGGCGGCCCACTTAACTATATATGTGAGACCACACCCCAGAGTGCGGGAATATCGGTCGGCTACAGTTGCACACTTGTCCCTCCAAGTCTTGAGCTATCTTAATTATTCTTAACATCTCTTGTCTCTTCCTCTCTTGACTCGTACTCCTCTCTCGAATCCTAATTCTTTCTTGGCTCCGACTGCTCTTTAGACTTCGACTGTTCTTTTGACTCTTACTCCTCTATCAACTCCAACTCCTGTTATAACCAACACTCATGGAGGACGCTACCTGGAAAGAGACCCGACCAGGGCGATGGGAGCGCGCGCAAACCTACCTCGAGAGGATTAACATACTCACCCGCAATGTTCCCAACGCCATCGGCCGCGACAACTGGGCCAAGAACGCCGTTGCCAAACTCGAATTCCATCCCGACATCAAAGATCCTGCTGCCTACCTCCGGACTGCTTGGAAACAAGTGCGCTACAACCATCCGGAGATTGCCGCTTTCCCATACAACGGTCGATACATCTACCGCGTCGGAGACGAACCTTCCATCGCCTTGTGGGTTTCGGCCACATTCTCCGTCGCGGAGGGTAAGACTGTTGATGAACTGTTGGGTCGAATTCCAAGGAACGAACAGATGATGTGCTACTTCCTTCCCGACACATCCGAAGTCATGATTTGGTCCCCTCACTACCGCGTCGACGCCCGCGGCGCAATCTTCTGCCTCAACCACCTCGTCGAATCCCTGGCAAACATGAACCCCAACCTAGTCTTTGGAGGGTGTGCCAAGAACCTGACGCCGAGCATGGAACTGACACTCGGTATCGGGCATGCGAAGACACCAGAGATTGAGGCGCAAGCCGAAAGCCGTCTCGCAGCACTAGAGCCTCACAAGCCAGCCCTGGAGCTGACACCCACTATGAAATCGCAGAGACCGGGATACACTCAGCGACAGTTCGTTAAGTTGTCCAAACGCGACACAAAGACCGTCATGGATAGTTGCGAGACTCGCGCTCTCGCCATCGACGTCGCTCTGCACGCCGCCCTCATCAGTTCCGTTGCCAAACTCGCACAAACAAAGGAAGCGCGAAGCTTCATGGCGTCTTTCCACTCCAATCTCCGCACTCTGATCCCAGAAGGCGCAGCACCAGAGAATTCGCCCACAAGCTACACCAGCGTCATCACCACGGAAGTCATCGTCTCGCCAGAAACCGACTTCGACTCCTACTACTCGCAACTCGCACCCGTCTATGCTGCCGGCTACGCACCGTACCTCCCGTCGTCGCCATTCTTCCACCAGCGCCTCGAAGAGACTGTGTACGCGAAGAAGTGCGAGGCGGATGGATCACCGCAGCCGCGTTTTGCTTTCCTGGGCGAAGTAGACGAGCAGGTCAGCAAGAACATCGGCGACGGGCTTGTCAAAGTCAAGGACTTTTGGCTCGGCGCCGAGACCCTAACCATGCGCATGATGGTGCACACGTGGATCTGGGAGGGCCAACTCGTCCTCAGCGTCTGCTTCAACGAGAGCTATTGGGATAAGGAGCAGGCGGCGAGTCTGCTCGGTGGCATGGAGGATGCGCTGACGGGGGTTGCGCTGATGAAGACATCGAGGGTTGATAGTGCGTCGGGTTCGAAAACTTCGTTGGTGGATGTTAAGTTGGCGGAACTGACGATATAGACTGCTTCGACCGCGTAGCTAAGATTCGATCATCTCTATTTAAAGTGCACGATACCATGAATAAGAAAGTTTCCTCCTGTTAACTCACGCAAATGCATGTGATATTGATCGCCTCAGATATAGCCTCTATGGTAATCAAGTCTGCTGTGGTCTGCGCCGATGTCCGCGGACAAGTGCTTCAAGCACAGTGGGGTGACCACTACTTCTTCCGGTCCGTGAACATTGCCAGTCATGTCCTCATCTGAATTTGAGTTTGATCGCTCGCTCCCCAAGGCCTACAACTACAAAGCCACTATCTAGGCGTATACGTGGATTTGGTCGCGTGTAATGGAGCAACGGCTAATCAGTTTAAAGCCTACCGAGAGCACTTGACTTTGCCTGGGGTCCAGCCCACCATCCGCGTAATGCCTCGTCATACATGTTGCGTAATATATGCTGGATGTATTGTCTAGTCTACGAGGTTGTGCCGAAGTCCGCTGTGGCCGACAACAGCCCGCGGATGCTGTCATCGCCATATTTCCTAAGACCAGTTTCGAGATTCTGGAGACTCTTCTTGATAGCCTCTTTTCCTTGAGATTCCATGAAAGCCACGCAGGCAATCGGGTACTCGTGAGTCATCTTGAGGGTGAAATGTGGGTTCAACTTCCATGAGTCCATGATTCCGTCGTCCTTGTTTTCATCGTCGTTGAACCCAATGTCGCTTCGACATAGACCAGCATACCGTAGAGCGTCTTTCCAATTGGTTATCCTACTCTCAATTCCATCCTTGTCAAACCACAGCTCCATCTGCTTAGAGTAGGGAAGCACTCCAAAGCTATGAGTATGGAGTGACAGGGAAATAGCGTTTTTGGATCCACGTCGTATTACAACATGTATGTTCTCTTGATCGAATATCTCTTCACCGATTCTCCGCGGTACTCCAACATTTGTGCTCGGACAGAGCAGTATATCGCGAGATGTACAGCCCTTGATTTGAGCACGCCAATGGGGGGAACCACCCCGCGGGCGACATCGTTTTCGTAAGTTCAGTCCGCGAGCATAGTTCGTCGCGCGCATAGGAATCGACACTTGGTATCCAAGGCTAAACTTGAAAGCGTCCTCGACACTCTCGCGCGTGACTCCGAGCGCATACCACAACAACGTTAAAAGATAAGGACAGCCCCACGCTGAAAAATGGGTGGCCGTCCTAAAGAATAACCCGACGGTACTCTCACTATAATCGACTGTAAATCTCTCCTGCCCTGTCACAGACAGTAGACTGTAGATGCGATCTCGAGGATCGCGGCATTCCAGCGTGCGACCGAGCTGGTAAAAAATGAACCAGAAGGGTATTGCAGAACCGTGGCGGAAGTAGGTCCCTTTCAGTAAGGTCTCAATCCTCCTCAGCCGTGGATCATCCTGACAGTAATGTAAAAGCTCTTCCAAAGCGCGCGTTTCTGCCCTGCTACAAAGGAAGATCCGTTGCGGACTCCGGACCGATAATAGCTCCTGAACAGTCCAGGCGCGGTTCCAGTAAGGGTGATTTGCCAAATCAGTCGTACAGATATCGAAGAGATCATTCCTGTTCTTGAAGCACCCGTCGTTGGAGCTAACAGGTGATGCCGTGTCTACCGGGAACCATGCCTCACCGTACCTTCTCCAACCAGTCGGCCCAACACCTACGAGACCTTTCCGCTTCTCATAGCGACTACTATTCGAGGCAGCAATTGCACGCTCCATCTGCCAAAAAAGGTGTGGGATACGATTCTCTTTGCCATTACCAAGCCACACGCAGACCTCTTTGGCGTTCTTGTAGATATCTCCCATCCGCTGCACCTGCAGACTCTTCTCGACATCATCGCTCTGATTGATACAAAGCGCGTCGATCCAAAAGTAGTCATTAGAAATGTGGCTCGCAACTTCCAGGAAGTCATAAAGATTTTTTCCGACTTGCATCTCTTGGTAATTTACCGAAGTTGGGTAGGGCATCTCTTGGTAATTTACCCAGATTGGGTAGGTTTCAGATTGGTCTTCCCACGTGTACGAAAGGCATTTGTATGCTGCACCCTCTGTGTCTTCCCACAGCTGAACTTGGATCTGACTATGGCCGTCCATCGCTATTACTCTGAGCAGGCGCACTGAATTTGAATTGACCAACGGCTCATACACGAATTTGTTTTGACCAGTTGGATACATCGCTTCGCTGTCCGTTGTTGTAATCTGAAGTACGAGCAGTGACAGTCTAGCAAGTCGGTCTTGAGCTTAGGCTCAGAAGTTGGAAATAAGCTGATGGAGGCGTGGGAGAGTAGGTGCTCTGTCACAAGGGCATCTCGTCTTGAACAATGAATCCAGATGGATGGAATTAGAGAGACAGACTCAAGAAGGACCGATGTTTCCTATGCTCAGAGAACGGAGCTTCTTGACGTAACGTAGTGTTGTTGTGATGTGCAGTATAAGCTGTCTTGCTCCCGACTTCCGCGGCTGAGCTGGAGGTAGTAACACCCAGGATGCGAAGAGGAGAACTCGACCCCAACTGAGAACTGAGCCTAGTTTTGGATCAGGCTGATCTTGGAGAATGCGCTTTCGCACGCGGGATGATTGCGATAGTGTTGACGTGGTTCGCTGAGTGCTGTCTGTGACCCGCAGGCTGCAGGCGAGGCTCGCACGGTGCAAGAGCCGAAAGACTAGCGGAATGATAACATAGACACTGCAAAATGTAGCTCAAGATGAAAAGAGGCTTTGAAGAGCTGTGGCCCTTGGCGACATGCTGTTGTAGGAGCGATGGGCGTCTAGCGGTGGGCCTGAGTAGCTGCTGCCTGCTACGGCCAGCCACTCATCACTTTTGTCGCCTATGATTCGTTCCAAGGTTATCCTTCGCAGCCCACTCTCCACAACACCAACATCACGCATTCACCATAAGCCTCATCACGGCAAAACCTTCAACAATCGATCAAAAACGGTTCGTATTGATATAGCCAGTCCCACCTGCTCTCAATACTACACATGCCTTTTCCGCCATGTAGGCGCTGTCCCACCACCGCCAGCCTGCAACAAAAGAAGATGATAACGTAACCGTGTGGTAGTTGCCCCGCTATATAGAAGAACGCCAATAAGGATATGAGGTATCGTGCAACGAAGCCAGAACAAATAGAAAGATGTCGACGATAGCAGATGAATGGCAATCATAATGTTTGGATGCAAACAAAAGCAGTGTCGTTATAAAAATGCAGTCCGCTCCGGGATAAATGGGTATATGTAGTGTAGATAGTCCGAGATGCGATGTGGTGTAGATGCGACGTGTTGTAGATGGTGTGGATGTGGTGTGTGCTCAGATTCGCACAAAGTTGGTAGTGCTCGCGGCGGCTTGGTAGTTTTGCGCTGGAGGCAGGGAGGGCAACGAGGGCAAGGATAGACGCCCGGCTGTAGTCAAAGACCTGCACTTAGCTTATCTGATCTCAACATGAAAGATGAAGATAAGAAAAGCTGCGCGCTAGGAATGGGTGGGTAAGTAAGAAGAGAAGCACTAACGCTCTCGGAACCATCTTGCGATCCTGCTCTTCTCGTCGGCTCTGCCCGCCTCGAGATGGGTGCTGCGCTCGTAGAGTTCCTGGACGACGTTAGTACACTGGAGGTGCTATAGGTGATGAAGACTTACTTCGTCGTCTTTGTTGATCTTGATATCCAAGATTAGATTTCGAATCTCTTCGCACCTGTGCCAGTTCGGATACGGAGTACCTTGCGCGCGTTGTACTCCAACGATGACTTCGCCCATGATCTCAAACTTCCGCCAGTTTATCCGCTCCTTGCCGACGACCCCGCCTGGCGGTGGCTCTCGGCTGTCGCGTTTCCCTACGACGCTTTCCAGGACGCTGACGCCTGGGTGGGGGGCGAATGCGGAGTCTGTCTTCTTCTTGTCGCCGACGAAGGTTGAGTTGCCTTCCGAAGCCGATACGAGGTCGCGGCGGTGTAGTGGGATATATGGTATGCGCTCGCCGGAACTGTTCTCCCACGCCAGCCGGTATGCGGAGTGCGACTTGGTCTGGCCCATGAGGATGTCGAGCTTCCAGAAGTCTTGGTTGGTGGCTTGAGGGACCAGCTCCCGAGTTGCTACCAGTCGTCCAATTGCTGTGCCGTTGATACCTGCCATGACAGCACCTAGCATGTTGTAGTTGTTGAGTTTCCGAAGTTGTCGTGCAATCTTCATCCACTTCTCCATCATGAGCGCCCTGTGCTTGGGCTTGTCGCGTAGGAGGATGTAGTTGGTGACGAGGTAGGCGACGTGGTTGAAGTGCTCGGTCATGCGTGTTACGTTTTCGAGATTCTTGCATCGCTTCTTCTCTTCGGCATTCAAGCTGACGTGACGTACAAGATCGCGTGGTCGCACCGAGGAGAACATGATCCAATCTATCCGGGTGAGTTCCTTTGCGATGGCTTCGTCCGATTCACCCATAAGCTGGTGCCACTGGATCTTGGACATGGGCTTGATTGGATTGGGTTCTAATTGTCGAGCGAGTCGTTCGTTCTTCTCGACTTGGGTGAGCAGAATCTGCGATGAGCTCATGGAGCCGTTGGTTGATGAAGCACCGCCAGTCACGCTGCTACGGGCAACTGAATTCCGCGCCGAACTGCTCATAGACATGTGGCCGAGTGCTCTTGAAAACTCGTCCTCGTCGGAGTCTTCGTCCAGGACGTTATTGTGGAACGTCGGTATGTTTTCGTTCTGGGCTCGTTGGCGGTCGCTGCATGCCCAGTCGGTGTCGTCATCCTCAGTGACCATCTCAAGATCGCGGATAATCTCCGTTGCGGCGACGGAGAACTCGCGGTTCAAGGCCAAGGACGAAGCAAACCTCCGAATCAGTCGACGGGTGGTTGGGTATGCGAAGTCACCGGGATAGTAGGACACCCAGTGTTGCAATATCGACAGGTAACGGAGCTGGGCAATGATGCGGATCATGGGCAGTTCTTTTTCCTTATTCTGCGACTCGAAGCGCTTGATGATGGCTTCTAGTAGCTGGCCCGGGGTTGCGAATCTCCGATACAGGGCCAGGAAGACGGAGACGAACTTGGAGTCGTTCTTGGACATGGGCTGGGCGAGGAGTCGGTCGACCAGCTGCTCGAAGGTGTAGCCATTCTCATCCGACGGCTTCACCGACATGATGCTTTGGCCGGCGTCCGAGTCCTGGTCATCAGACTCTTGCGAATCATAGCCGGGCGACTCTTCAGCGTTGAAAAAAGTTTTGTTGGCGTCGCTGGGCTTATAACGGTGGCCCTTGATCTCGCTAGAACCCCGTTGAAACCTCATGGAGATCTCCGAGCTAGCCCGCTCGTGCTTGCGGCTCCAAAGGTCCTTTTGGGTCATTGATTTTACGGCGGAAGAGTTGGCCCGGCGCCGCGCCATGGAAGCTTGGGACCTGGCTGCAGGGGGTCAATGACTTGCACCCTGGAATGGGCATTGAGGGGCATTGGGGGGCATTGGGTATGGGCAATTGGGCGTGTAACAAAAGGAAATGAGCCACTTACGGCGCTTAGCGGCTATGGCAGCGCGAGTGATGACGGACAGGCATCCTCGGTGCGTCTCCGGGGACGACTCGGAGGTCTGAAACACGCTCACGTCTCCAATGAAGGACTTTGCTTTCTGCTCCACAACGGCCGGATCGACCTCGCGGTGGGCGGGGTGCTGATCGCACTTGCAGGCTACGAGGATAAAGGGCAAGTGAGCCTTGGACAGTGTGCCTGGACTCAGTCAGCATGTCGCGTACGAGGCGCGTCGGCTGACGCGATGGCGGGGTACGCACTCAGCATCTCCGGGACCTTGCCCAGGCTCTCGTGTTTTGTGACGTCGTAGAGGGTAACGGCGGCGTCCATGCGCGGCGTTGCAAAGTCGTGTATCGTCTCGGGCCACTTGATGATGCTGCGGTCGCCCACATGCACGTCGTTGAAGGTCATCTCGAGGAAGCGCACGATGTAGGGGGTGCCGTCGATGGTCATGCGCCGCGAGCACGAAGTCGTCGTGGCCGTGTCGGGCAGCCCCAGGGCGCGACGGATGAAGGTCGACTTGCCCGAAGCCCGCGCGCCGATGACGGCGATGTTGAGGTCCTGCATGGTTGATGCCGAGTCGCTGTTGGCAGACTATACGCTTATTGTTAGGGTTGTTCCTCCCCAACACGCAATCGTACTCACGCTCGTCGAGGGCTCCGAAGCTGCGTCGAGGGCGGCCTGGCGGTCCTTGTGGTGGGTGGGCGAGAGGGGCCCCTCGGTGTCGGACGAGGATTCGGCGCTGCTGTCGCCTTCCTCGTGCTGGGTGGAGAGGGCCGTGGGCTGGGGGAAGTGGTAGCGCTGGAAGAAGGCATCGTCGGCAATCTCGTCGGCCTCGCTGGCCTCGTCGGTGCGGTCAAGCTCGCTGCCACCGTCGGTGTCGCTCTTGGGCACGTTGGGAGCCGAGTATGCGCGCGTCTTGATGCCAGGCCGCTGGGCTGAGGTGCCCGCGCTGCTCTCTCTGCGCGGCTGCGTGGCCTGTGCCATCTTGCCCTTGTCTGTCGGCTTCGAGGGCGGCGCGTGGACTGCCCTGCTGCCTCCCGTGGCGGGCATGGCGGGTCGGGTGCTCTCAGGGCGCTCACAGAAGGCGCTCACAGCGAGGGCGGGCCCAGGTGGAGGCGTGTGCGACGGCTGGCGGACCCCAGGCGCAATGGGGACATTGGAGAGGGTGCTAGGGATGGGCAATGGGCGGGCTCTGTGCTGCTGGGGAGGCGGTAGGCGGTCGTGATGCTACGTCGTGTGTACCTAGGTATGTAGTATTTCAGCGGGGAGAAGTCAAGTTCATGGCAGTCCAACGGGGTCTAGCTCGCCTGCGCCAGGCGATGCGCCCGCGTCGCTAACCAGCTAGCCTGCATCCCGCTCTCTCCACACGACAACTGAGACGCCTGAATCGCTGCATCGCTTTCCCCTTGGCTGATCGCATGCCCTTTGAGAAGTGCACAATCACAAGCATCCACGACCTGGTTAGCTGCCCGGCCTCTGCGGCCCGCCTGTCACCCTTCATCTCGTCTCGCTCCGCCGCACATGCTTGGACAGCTGCCCGCCAATCGTCGGCCCTTCTGTGCCCTCGTTCGCCCTTCCGATTGGCAGCCATCGCCAACCTTATCGGCCTCTGATATTGGTTGCCTTCCATACAAGCTCCAACTCTCGACTCCATCGGCTCCAAATCTTCCGCCGCCCTTGGCTCCTGCTCTCCAAACCCTCGACCGCTGCTGCTGATCGACATGATCGCCAGCTACCTTCGTGTTCTGACTGTCCGCTCCCCCACATCCCATCCGAGCAAGATTGAACACCCACCTGCAGAGGATAACATGTCATATCAGTGAATAACCTGGAAGCTTAGACCTTGTTGACTTCCGCTCTTGCACCAATGCAGACTGCACCGCGCCTATCCAATTTCTTCCTTGCTTTAACAGGGTCCCCGCAAGCGGGGGTCCTCTCGCATTCTTCCATTTCAGCGCTGTGGTTGGACGAGGCGGCGAACCAAAATGCTTCGCGCTTGTACCAAACGCGCATGTAGCTGACGCCGCAATAGAACCCGCAGCTAATGCAATGTCATGCACCAAGAGGCCTCGTCACCTCCTCCATCACCCTATCTGATGCAACCCTTCACCACTTTGGAACGCCATGCAGAAAGATCCCTCCCAGCAATACATCAAATGAGCCGATTAGAGGCACAGCTCCAAGTCACAATGCCCTTTTCACTCTTGTGGATCTGGACAAACTCCTTTCAGAAAGCTCTGTCCCCCTTTGCACCTCGGCATGCACTAGCTCATACTATATTGATCTGCGCCCAGGTGCCATATCTCCGACTGATCGGCACTCAATTACACGTGTGCAAGGCCAGACGGCGGAAGGCTTTAGCTAGCACCACGATCAACGGTCGGCTGATCCCTTTGTCGTCTTCGCACAATCTATGAAATGACTCGTCCACCCCAACAGCTCCCATGTCCGACACAACATTATCACGCACTTACAGGTCGCATATACGCCTGTACATGGTCTTCATGGAAGAACGGCAAGAACACATCCCTCCACACCAGCTGGTCAGGCCTGATCATCGTCATTAGTACAGTATACGAAGCAGAAGACTTTGGTTGACTTACAGTTTCCCCTTGGGCTCCAGGTCAAATTTGCGGAAGACATGGCCGAAGCCGAGGCGCAACTCCGCCCAAGCCAGACTGCGAAAAGTTACCATATTAGCTTCGAATCGCACCTGAAGTTACCGAGGACCAGACTCACTTGATTCCCAGGCACATACGTGGGCCGCGCGAGAAGGCGACGAGCCACTTGTCCAAGTCCGCAGACTCATCGAGCCAGCGCTCGGGAACAAAGTCGTCTGGCTTTGGAAAAATATCGGCGTTGAAGTGGACGAACGTGCTACCGCACGATACAATGGTCTAGCACGCAATCAGCAAACGCCTTTGCCTAGAGCCAAATGCAGACATACTTGCGGCGGCACCTCGACTCCCGCTATCGTTGCACCGGCTGCGGGAACGATGCGCAAAAGGCCAGAGGTAACTCCCGATGAGAGCCTGAGCGACTCCTTGATGACCGCAGTCAGATACGGTACCCTTTCGAGATCGCGGACCATGGGCTCGTTTCCGATGAGAGATGGCCATGCCGCGGATAGTTCCGACTTGAGCTTTTGCATCTTGTCAGGATGCTTGAGCAGGTGGAAAGCGCCGAGCATGAGGGTATTGCCGACGGTGTCTGTGCCACCGAACATGAGCGCTTGGGCCTCCTCATACAAGCTTTCAGCCGATGGAATCCGCTTGTCGCGATGCGCTTCCGGATCCATTAGCCGATGGTAGATGGTCATGTTGTGAGGAAGAAGTTTGAGCTTTTCTGGGTCGTCAGTGAGCTCGTTGATCTGCTGAGAGAGTAACTGCAACATGTCAGTAGGCTGCTGTCTCAGCGAGTAAAGAACATGCCTGGTTTAGATCGATCATGCCCGCTGTCAACGGGCTAAGCTTCTTGGACAGATTAGGCGGGCATTTTAGTATGAAGTTCTTGAACAAATCAGAATACTTGAAGTACATAGCGACGGGAGTCGCCGCATCAAGAGCCACCACAATAGGTGCCTTGAAGTCAGGCTCATCAACTGCGTGGATGGATTTCCCAAAACAAAAGGTCGTGATGACATCTACACTCATGCAGCGGAAGGCGTAAAACAGATCAACACTTGCGGATGCATTGCTCCGCCGCTCGAAGGCTGCACAGAGAGCCTTAGTCTTCTCCATCAGCAGACCCTCTGAGCTCTCAATGGCAGCCGTCGAAAAGGAGCGATTGAGCACATCTTTGCGGTTTTTGGCCTCGGCATACGTGAGATAGCCGAAGCTAGATCTGTCCTCGTTAAAGCTCTTGTAGAGCGTCGCTTCCTTGTCCCAGCGATTCTTGTTGTTGTAGATGTCGTGGTAGGCTTGGGGGTTGGCAAAGTGGAGCTAGGCCCTCATAGTCAGCGACACGTTGTGGCACAAGAGTGGGGTAGGGGTGTCTGCATGTTCGCGATGCTTCACACACCTCGTTGGGTCCAATACGAACAACGTCGCCTATCGTCGCGCACCACACGGGTCAGCGTTGCACATTCTGTGTACTGTGTGGCAGGGCTCTCGTACCGTATTGCGCATGCAGCTCGACCAGGAAGTGACAAAAGGACCGGTTTGCGATGCACTCAACATATGCTTTCCAGTATGTCGTAGCGCCGGCGAGGGGCGGTCCCGGAAACTTGGCCAGCGGATGGAAGTAGACGTTGTAGGTCACTGCGTACAGCACGTAGGCAAGCAGGGCTGTCAGTCCCGCAGACAGCAGTACCGCTGCGCTGGGTAAGGACTCGACGATCGGCATTGATTGGTGGGACACTTCGCCCGGCGCTGTGAGGATAGTAGGAGGATGAAGTTGACCTCAATAGTCTCGCGCAACTCTGGCAGACGAGTCGACGACGGTATCCGTCATCCCCACTTCGTTAAGGACAACTCTCCAGATTGCAGACGACCGTGGCCAACCGGAGCACCTGGCTGATAGCGCGGATGTCTGGCCGGTCGACTGTCTGCATGCGTGCATGTCGCCGGCGTAGAGCCGCGGTCACACGGATGTCGGGAGCGAAGGCAGTAGTTCGAGCTGCTGGCCTGAACGTCGCAATCGGTACAAAAGGTCACGCTAAGTGTGGCAGGGCGACCCTCTCGTTCGCACTGTTCCGATACCTGCAAACCTCTCGCTACGACAACCATCTTGCGCCTCATAAAACATGGCCGACATTGGAGCCCAGATCGCTCACGCAAGTTGTTTCTCCATGCGAACGATCGTCGCGTTGCTAACACGAGCGTATAGGACTCGGACGAAACCGACTCGGCATTTGGCGACGATTCGGCATCGTAAGTTACCCAGGATGACGAACCCGCCAACCAGCCGCCTTCTGACACGGACCGAAGCGAGACCACGTCCCTGAAATCGGCCGTATACAACTACAAGTACCGCAACGGCCGTCGATACCATGCATACAAGGAAGGATCATATTGTGGGCTGCCCGCTCGTTCAATACCAATGCTGTTCCTAAGTGAGCACAGGGGGGCCGAATGACGAGACATCGGCAGACCAGCTCGATATTGTGTATGGCCTGCGACCCATCTGGTGAAGGACTTGTATTGACTCGACTGGGTAGACATCATATCTGCCTCCTCCTACTCGATGGCGAGCTGTTCCTGGCACCCATAACGAAACAGCCCATGGTACGTTTAGATTCAGACAAGACACCATGACCGTTGGCCTTACGCTGACGATCGGGTTTCCTAGCACGTCTTAGATCTGGGGACTGGCACCGGTATGCAAGGAATACCCTGATCGACGAACGCACAAGCTGACCAGTCAGGAATCTGGGCTATGTCAGTCTCACGTCCTTGCATGTCGACTGACAAACTGACGCGAAACCAACAGCGACTTTGCCGATAGATTTCCATCGGCCGAGGTTCGTTCAGACGTGCGAAAAATAGTTCGCGACACCATTCTAACAAATTCAGGTACTCGGAACCGACCTCAGTCCCACCCAACCTTCCATGGTCCCACCGAATGTCCGCTTCGAAATCGACGACTTCACCGAGCCATGGCTTTACAAGAAAGACCACTTCGACTTCATCCACATAAGATCCCTCTTCGGCTGCGTGGCCGACTGGCCAGCCTTCTACAAAGAGTGCTATGAGTATGTCCACACCCAACAACGTGGAAACAGCACCATGCTAACCCCACCCCAAGCCACCTTCAGCCCGGCGGCTACATCGAACAACTCGAATTCTCCGTCGTCCCCAAATCCGACGACGGCACCGTAACCCCCGGTTCCATCTACGACCGCTGGGGCAAACTCTCCCTCGAACTCGGCGACCGCTTCGGAAAGTCGCTTCGCACAGCCGACGAACAACGCGCAGGCATAGAAGCAGCTGGATTCATAAACGTCGTCGAGCATCGCTGGAAGGTACCTGTTGGTGGCTGGCCTGCGGATAAGCGGTTCAAGGAGCTGGGGCAATATAACAGGATCAGCTGGGAGCAGGGTATTGAAGGGTGGAGTTTGTATCTGCTCACAACCGTCATGGGATGGACGAAGCAGGAGGTAGAGGTTTATCTTGCGCATATGAGGACGGCATTGAGGACGAGGGGCATTCATGCGTATCAGGAAGTGTAAGTTGTTCACTCTTGGCCACCGGTTTGTTCCAATACTGACGAAAGCTTAGGTCACTGGTCTACGGGCAGAAGCCACCGCGGCCAAGAAAGGATGACGATGAATGAGACAACATGATCAAAAGTAACTGATGAAGAAAATCAAAACGCAATTATATTGTCGCACAAATTTTCCACTTTCGCGTGAATCTGATGAGCCTGCTTCGATCTTCAGCGCCCTCGCGACAACGTTACATTCCTTCCTTCCTCCAACATTGCGCGCACACAGAGATTGATGTGGCGCATGCGTTCCACTGCATCCTTCACGTCCGCCGCCGTCGCCCCCAGCACCGAACCCATGGGCAAATCGAGCACCGAATAAGCAGCCAGCTTTGGCATCGAAAGCACGCGACCCATGCAAGACAACTCGGGAGAACAATAAGATAGGCTTCAAGCTCTCGTTGTTTGCAAAATGGTAACATTCATGTTCGTCACTCCATTCCACTCATGTCTAAGGCGCGACACGCTGCTGCGACACGATCCGGCTTTCTGTCGACAGCATCCATGTTCTATATGTCGCCGCGACGTAGGCCGCGATAATGATGATCTGGATCTCGAGATTCTGTGGAGAATTATTTCAAGAAACTCTTCCGACGAGGCTTCATGTCCGCCACTCTTCACGCTGGCACATGTAGCCTAAGACAGAAGCAAGAGCGCATACCGTAAGCCCAGTGGTCGATCAACGCGACCCGATCATACGTCTATTTGGATACTGATCGATCACGATTGTGAGACACACAAAGACAACCACACTGTTCTAATTATACAACAGTCGCGGGGTAAAGTGCTGGTGGCGTGTACGTAGGTAGACTAGGCGGTCACTAGTGTTCCTCAGCCTTGCTTGCTGAAGCTCTTCGCAATAGTACACTTTTTGACTGTCTTCATCTTCTACATTCCCCTAACTCACAGCTTGTTCTTTTCACTTTCGAGGAACGTTTGAACGCACTATAGCAGCAGATCTGCCACCTTGCTTTTATACTATCTCCGACGTCTTGCGTTACCCACATCTCAGCCTTGCACGCTCAGTGTACCACCAACAATGGTCAATGCGGTCTTACGTGTAGAGAAGGCCGATTTCAACCCATCAGATAAGCAGGCCGTGTACGAAAGACATGCTCTTGACGCACATACGAAGACTATACGCGTTCTTGACGTGCGACCGATCCCCCAAGATGCCACCGAAGGCACACCGGTCGAATGCACTCTACGCATCATCAATCTCGACGCTGACCCCGCGTTCACAGCACTATCATACGTATGGGGCGACCCAACTCCTACCCGCAACCTTGTGTGCGATGGCGTTATCTTTGGCGTTGGCGAGAATTGTTACTCAGCCTTGTGGCACCTAAGTAGGAAGCTCCAAGGCATGACCATATGGGTAGACGCGATATGCATCGATCAAGAAGACGTAAGAAAGGAGAAATCGTGGCAACTTCCTCTCATGGGAGATATCTATACAAAGGCTGAGCAAGTCTATGTGTGGCTGGGAGAGGGTGATGAAAGATCCGACCGCGTCATGAGATATCTGGCGAAGGGCGGGCTGAAGAGATATGTCAAAGTTGTTCCGGATGGACCGCCGCAGTATCGACCCTTTATTGCGGCGCTTCGTCTTGGTCTTTCCTCTTGGAGTCTCACGCACCACCCGGAACCGTTTTGGGGTAAGAATTCGGCTGTCTACCAAGTGTATTAGGCTAACGTAGAAAGGGAACAACAAGCCTTTACTAGCTAGGTTTACTCGCAGAGTGCAATATGTCTCAGGGTTAGATCTCGTCTACGTTTTCGACCGGCCATGGAAGAATCGACTGTGGACTTATCAAGAGATCCTGCTAGCTTCCTACCCAGTGATTGTGTGTGGAAGTGAACACGTCCAGTGGTCTGATTTCGAGTGGACACTTCTCTCGCTCAGAACATCGTTTCGATACTTTCCAAGAGCCGCTATCGCATGGGAGGCAATCGTGTTTGACAGGGGGAACCTACAATCGATTAATCGACCGGCGGAACGTAGCGTACTCCATACTCTTCACGAGCATGAGACGATCGTTAAGAAAATCCTCTCAACACGAAGATGGTTGCTGAGTACATTTTCTGGTATACTCCTGGCATTCACTATGATATCTCTCTTACTCGGTGTCGTGTCTATCTGCGCTCGGAAGTATTCTAGGTGGGGGGTAAGTTTTCAACTTGAGGGCACGACTGAGAATTTGTTCATGTTCATCGGTTGTTTCGCGACTGTATATTGTCTCATGTTCTTCTGGTTCGCGGTACGCCCCACGTATCAAAGCTATCGAGGCGATATCAAGGAGACTGCGTCCGACGACTTAGTAGGTGCGCTGTACCAGAGAGCAGCTACTGATCCAAGGGACATGGCATACGGTATCTGGGCCATCTTACGCAAGCGTGGAGCAAGCGATCTTTCTGCGCCGAAATATGATGTCGCGAAGGAGAGACAGATCCCTTTGCTCTATCGTCAGCTCACTGTTCATCTGATCCAAACGACTGGCAATCTACGGTTCCTCCATATCGCTGCTGCGCGACGGCTACCAGGAACTCCATCGTGGATCCCTGATTGGTCTACCTTCAATAGCAACACTTGGCGGGAAGTGCCAGGGTTCCCAGGAACCGATCTTCACGGAATGGCTGTAAGCTATCCGCCAGATTCAGAATACCGACTCAGTAAGCACCGCGCTCATCAGATTGTATCCCTAGACTCTACTCAAAGCATCCTGACGGTGCTTGCTAAGGAAACTGGTGTTATTTGCGGTTGCATCTCTTTTTACCCGATAACGGCTACAGCGTTAGAGACGGACGAAAAACGCGCCCACTTGGACAATCTTCGAAGCATGCTTCGATGGGCAGACTGGGCGCGAACTATAGGCTGCAAGATCTGGGCTGTCTTTTATACGAAGCCATTCCATGAACTTTTGCCTATTAGCGCGGGAGCTACTTGGCCAAGTCCCAGAGATCGAACCAACTGGGGTAAAACTCTTTCCGGGTCGAGAAGAGAAAGTCTGGAGGCAAACCTTACTCTCTGGATGAATGGCAACAAGGTTCCGAGATGGTTTCGCAAGTTTATGGCAACTCAGATCTGCCTGTGTACCCTGGTTAATGAGCTTAGGCGAAGCATTTGCTACGTAAGCATCTCTGCCAGACCCGGGACGTTCTGCCTACTCGCTTGCTCAGATGAGACAAGGGTCCATGATCGAACTCTGACGGTATGTGGATTGCCGGGTAGCATAGTCGTGCGCAAGCGCAATGAGCTGGATAACGCGGTCGAGATCATCAGTCCTACTTTCATGCAAGGTGCAGCTACGGTTGGCAACCAGGGTATTAACCATTTCGGCGACACTGTAATCGAGAACCTTTTTGTTGAGTATCATTTTCATTGAGGAAGATCAGCCTGGGCTCTGATGGAGAAACACTACAATAGACCTGCTAGCTTTGAAAACAATTTAGCGCTCATTTTCACCTACCTATATAGACCTTCGGTATTGTGGGGGCGCGACGCCTCGTGAATGTATACCCGCCTGACGAAAGGTCCTGCTATACCATATAATCATAGCGTAGGAGTCAAGAGAGTTATGAGCAGAACGAGATGTCGGGAAGTCGTCTTTTGAAACGTTCAAGTCGGGTGTGCAGAGAGGGTCTGGGTTGAACACAGCCGATGGCGGCCAGTGTATATACCACGAGTGCCGCCGCCGCTAACATTCTCGCCGAATAAAAGATTTGGTCTGACAACATCATGCATCACCCAGAAAAACACTACCTTTTCAGCCCGTCAACCGTGGGCGCAGTAACTTTGTCACCCGGGCGTTATCTTCCTTATCTTGCAAGTTCCGTATGAGTGGGTCAAGACGCAACGCCCCGACGGAAGTGGATTCCTAGGGCGCAAAATCTGCCGACACCTGGGCAGGCAAGACCACCCATTGCACTGACGCAGCAGAAGTAGTGTGACGACTTTCCAGACGGAGACAATGGTATCTGAATGCCATTCAATACCATGTACACGTGAAGATCTCAACGACCAGCGCACAGATTGGTGGTGCGCGAGAGCCAACATAGTGCGATGACCTTTCCAAAGATGGCTTCGTGGAGCAAAAAAGAAGCTTGTTTATCAAAAGTCGATGGCTGCAAGTCCAGTAAGGCTGGGAATAGATGTTTGCGAAGAAAAGGGCACAGGAGAATACGTTTCTTCGAGAAGTCGAAGCATGCCCAAAGTACCTAGGTACAATAGAGGGCAAGACTTGAGGCGGAAGGATCATGATCCCTCTGGCACTAGTACACTTGCGCAAGAGAGCGCTGGAGCGATCCGACGAGACTTCCGTCGGAACTTCCGTGTCGGTTACATATCGCATGTTGATGTTACACAGACATCCTACGGCTACGCAACTTCTCCAACTTCGGTCATGAACAGCAACGCTTATCACCGCAGTCTATGTAAACTCTGCAAAGATATTGGTGCTTGCTACTTCCACACAGCCACCTGTAGATAAGACAGTCCCGAAGTTGGAAGGATCACAGCAGCCGAGCGGCTCGAGCCATATCGGAATGCTGCAAAGTACAAGCTGAACATGGCATTCATACAGTATATTAGAAAGACATTTTCCAATATCATGAACCTCATACTTATCATTCAGTCTTCTTGAAATTATCTACGGTTGTTCAAACGATACCCAGCCCCTCAGCAATTCATCCCTCTATATAACCGACGTGCAACTTGGAACCATGGGCTCGATAGAAGCCAATGGCTGGAGACCCCTGAGTGTAGGCGTGATTGGTGGAGGCATCGGTGGCCTATCAACGGCCATCGCACTCCGTCGAGCAGGCCACTCCGTCACAATCTACGAGCGCAACGACTTCGCCGGCGAGGCAGGAGCGTCCGTCTCCTGCGCAGCCAACGGTACTCGATGGCTACACGAATGGGGTGTTGATGTGGAGAAAGGCGATCCTGTTGTCTTGAAGAAGCTCATCAATCGAGACTGGACGACGGGGGAGCCGGTCAGCGTTTACGATCTCGATGATTACGAGGAGCGGTGGGGTTATGTCTACAACATGTTTCATCGTCAATACATGCACAAGATGCTCATGGACTGTGCACTACAAGAAGAGGGCGCTGGGACGCCAGTGAAGCTGTTAGTAAACCACCCGGTAAGATCCATGGCCTCTCTTCTCATGACTGTGCTAATGAGAGGTTGTAGTGCCAAAGTATAGACATACCAACCGGCTTGATCAAATTCTCCAACGGCAGCTCCGCCCAACACGATCTCATCATCGGAGCAGACGGTATCGGTTCCGTCACACGCAAGATCATCGGCCTGAACCCCGAGAAGCGACCCGCAGAATCCAGTTGCCTCCACGCAAACGTCATGAGGAAAGACATCCAAAAACTTGGACTCGAAGACTACTCCCTCAACAGCGCACTAGAGTACTGGGGCGGCCAAGAGGGCAAGTGGGACAAGATCGTCCTCTCGCCCTGCAACGGCGGCGAACTTCTCTCATATTACTGCTTCTTCCCTCGCTCGGTTGGCGACTACGCGAATCAAACGTGGGGAGGCGCCGATTTGCCCGTGGAAGAACTCCTTGCTCCTTACCCTGAGCTCGATGAGAAGGTAAAAGCCCATCTCGCTATTGGTATCGAGGTACGACCGTGGCGTCTTTGGGTTCACCAGCCTTATCCGTACGTTGTCAAGAACTGTATCGCGTTGATTGGCGATGCTGCGCATCCGGTAAGAGAACATTTCCTCAGTGTGAAACCATTCTTAGGCATTGAGACTGATTTTCGTTTCTCAGATGATGCCCCACCAAAGTCAAGGCGCCTGCATGGCGATTGAAGATGCGGCTGCCCTAGGCATTCTCTTCAGCAAGAACTACTTCAGGGGAGACGTGCAAGAGTCGCTCGCAGTCTACGAGAAAGTCAGGCTACCTCGCGCGACCAAGGTTCAGGCCTCAGCTGCCAAAGCAGCGTACAACATCAACGAACGTATTGGTAAGCATTTTGGCATCAGTGACCTTTTGGCGAATGAGTATTAACGAAGACATCCGCAGGCTTCAGCAGCAATACATCTATGTCAAACTACAAGGTAGAGGACGAGTCGAAGAAGTTGACCATTGAAGAGATGAACGCCTACGACATGTACAAGGACATCGACCAAGCTTATGCGGAGATGGATGGAGTTGCATACACCGACAGATACATCAGAGGGCTGCCTTTCGGGCTGCGGTTGTCGAACGGGGTCCACATTGCTGGCAATGCCAGACTGTAGGGTTGGAAGATAGATTTGAGAACTGCATATATGTATTGCTTCCAAACATGCATCACCGCATACGGGTGTTCCTTCGACACTCTATTTGTTCAACTCCTCAGCCCTCTTCTTGAGGTCCTCCTTGCTCTCCGCTTTGGGCATGTTCTCGGCCATGACGGGACCCTATAAATGCATTAGCTTCCATTCCAACCCATTTGTATAGCAATGGAATGCGAGAAGCATACCGGGTTGGCCTTGTGAGCCGCAGCGTGTAGGTTTCCGCCTTCGGCGTGGTTGTCGTGCGAGGATGCGGTTGAGTCGGAGGACTCCTTTGCGATCTTGTCGGTAAGGCCTGTGGAGGCGATGTGTCAGTTACGTTTCGAGCATATTTTGCAAGATGGGTTGGATGGTAAGAGGAGATTGCCACGTACTGCCAGCAGCGCCCTGCTCAATTGGGTGGTCAGGCATGGTTGTTTAGGTTGATGTGGTGACTTGTTGCTTCGGTAGTCGAGATTTCGGGCCGCCGATGTAAAGGAACTCTTGAGCGTAGGCGTTTACTTTGTCTTCAAGGGTCTCTTCTTTCACGTCGAGGTTCTTGACGTCTTGTTCGAGTGCGGCTGTCTCGCTGACTTTGTTGTCGGGCAGATCGCGGAGGTTGGGTAGTTTCTTGTAAAGGGCTTGTATCTCCTCAGAGTAGGCTTGCAGTTCGGCAATGGAGGGGGCTGAAGACATGGTGGGTTATGTAGGCCTAGGCGTTGTAGCACCTGGATAGTGCGTGATCGGTGACGTAGATGAGTGTGGCAGGCCCGCGGCTCAAAGCTGGCTGGAAGGGGAAGCTGCAGCTGGGTGGTGGGGGAGGGGCAGCCCTTGGCACCTGGGAACTTTGGTTCTGTGGACGTAGCCAGCACCATCCAAGACTACTGTGGAGAGGTTGGTGGATAAACAGGATCTTGCGCATGCGTATCATGGATCCTGTGTCGGCGGCTTCTCCGTGGTAGATGTCTGATCTGGCTGGGTCACGTGTTCGTCTATCAACGCAGCGTGTATTTCCTTCAAGAAGGATATCGCCGCACACGCAGACATGAGAAAGGTCGAATAACTATGATGTGCGTTGATGTGGACTTCAGAATATATATTGTACCGCCGGCATACCTGACGACAAACCAGATAGGACGAGAAGGGGTATGCTCGTTGAAGTCTTGAGAAGATAATCGCACTCCGACTATGTCCACGCTCAGTCTTGTCTTCGAACAACACCTACTAAGGAACACTAACCCTACTGTAGAAGATCTGCTTTGTTGCCTGCACGACAAAAGCGAGGAGACCAAATAGAGCTATCTGTGGAGCGAACCGATCGGGGATGCGCCTGCCTCCCAATGTCTCGAAGCAGCTGATGCTGGTCTTGGTCAATAAGACAGCGTCGCCTTGTATGCATGCTTACGCTCCGTATAGGTTATCAAGAGCAGCCCATTGTGCCATAGGGTTGGAGAAAGGGTCATGCCATCTGCTACTGGGCAAGCTGTGAGGGCGTAGGCAGACGTATAGCATATCATACCACCCGCTCAACAAACTCACGAGACACCAGACAGCAATCCAGGATCCGGGGTTGTGGGAGAAAGACATCATTGATGGGAAGTAGGTGGAACGGCATGTTTCTTAAGGGGACGGTGCTGCTCTACATATGTCAACATCGGATATCGGGTGGAGATGTGTGCCCTCTGCCGTTCTTGCCGGAGGGTAGCTATTGAACGCGTAGTACACTACAAGCTTTGGAAAAGACGATCGTGCCATGTAGCTGGAATTACATGCGACGAGGTCGGGTTTGTTGATGTTCGGCGCTCTCTTGTTGATGGCAAGCTGTAGAGGCGTCACCAGCATTGCGTACTCCCTCCCCGCTGTCAACTCCACTCCTCGCCATATTATTGCCAACCACGGTAAGGCTACTGCGCGCAATCGAAATGCGACGACAAAATCTTGCACTCGGGTCTAAATACGATAGCGCCACCATGGGCTTTGCGGGGAAGGACGGCAGGTTGGTGCGAAACGCGGATTAGCGGCTAACTCAGCCACGGCGACCGCGTCGCATGGGTGCTTGGCCATGTCCCGCCCCTTCCAAGCTTCACGGCCGTTTCGCCTTTGGCACCCAGCGTCATTCCAGGGGACGTCAAGCAAGAGATGCACCAACACATGACCCGGACACTCACTCCTCGCCTTATACTTCCTCCTTGATGCCGTTGAATTCTGTAGCGATATGAGGCACGTCCTGTCCCGTCGATCGTTATATCCCCATCCATAGCCATATACCCCGGCCGGCCTCTGCACCGCGAACGACTCCCGTTAAACCCGCTGGACGGAAGACACTACCAACGCGTCGCCTCTTTTGACATTCGATATCGCCATGCCGTCGCTACTCGTGCACTCGCTGTTTGCGCGCCAGAATCCGCTGGATGAGGCTAAGAACACGCTCAGTTCCTGGGACAACTGCATGGCCAAGGCCTACTGCAAGTGCGTTGCAACGCCAGGCCTCAGGCTACGTTCCCTTTGCTCACAGACAACAGATGGCCGGTCATAGTCGTAATCATCATCGGAGCCCTCATCGTCATATCTGTGGTTACCTGCATAGCGCGATGCATATGCTGCGGCGCCGAGTGCGCGTGCTGCTGCTTTAGATGCTGTACGTGCTGCTGCAGCGGCAGTGGTGGAAGAGGCCACAAGCGCGTCAAGAGCGATCCCGCCGCCCCGTACCCCACGCCATATGGAGCGCCTCCTCCTCCCATGAACCCCTACGCCCAGGCGCATGCCGCCGCGCCGCCTCCTCCGCCCATCGACACCCGCCCGGTGAACCAGCAGTACCGCTCCAACGCCATGCCGACCTTTGCACCCGTTGCGCAGCCAGAACGACCGCAGTTCGCGACCTTCGATTCGACACGAGCCGTCGTCAACGAAGACTCGCTACCCGCAATGCCCACATGGAAAGACGGGCGCGACGTGCACGTCCAAGTCGAGGAACAACCCGCGCCCCAGAAGCAAGGCGACATGGAGATGGACAGGCTAGACCGCAACGGCAGTCCAATAAGCGGATCAATGGGAGGAGTGGCAGCGGCTGCCGTGCCAGCAACACGACGGTCGCCTGGCCCGGGCCGGTCGCCAGTATCGCCAATGGACAACTACGGCCACGGCTACCCCCAAGGCGGCTATCAAAACGATTCCTTCGTCAGCGAAGGAGCGCCGTTGAACGGCCAGGGTGCATACGGGCGACCACACGCGCAGCAGGACGACTACCGGAGAGGTTCGCCCGCTCACAACCTATCACCAGTCTACAGCGCAAACGAAGGATACGCACCACAGCAGCAGCAACAGCCCTACGGCCGCCGCTCGCCAGGCGCTCACCAAGCCTACGACTCCCACGACCAGCTGAGTCAATACAACCAACAACCTTCCTACAATCAACCGCAAACCTACGACCAGCGCGACTACTACGACGAACCCGACCACCGCCACCAGTCTCCCTCACCACCCGCCGCAAACTCCTACGCCTACAACAACGATCCCTCCCCATCATACGATACCTACACACCCCCGCCAGCACCAGCAGCGTTACAGCCCGGCTACGCAGCCTCTGAATCAACCAACCATGGCTCTTTCACAAATGCGGCGCCAGCATACCCAGGGCAGAGGTCATATACGCCTGTGGCTGGAAGTGTGGGACAGCAGCAGCCATATCGCGCTTTCACACCGGGCGCGGAACAGCAACAACAACAACAACCACCGCAGCAGCAGTATACTGGAGTTAGCAGGAAGCCTGTCGAGGGGTCTTATAGGGAAATATAGAAATAGCATGTTTGTTTTCGTATGTAGGGAGAATGTGATACCCATACAAAGAACTTGGACATTGTGCTTGACGGTTCGTGAGCTGAATCTTTGCCCGCATCTCATCTTGTGTTGTCAACACCAAGGTTCAAGTAACACTAAGAGCAAAGAGAACATACTATAATTGTCAATTCAGAGGGTGCAGTTCATCGAAATATCTTGCGGTATGCCATAAAAGACTATAATTCGTAAACATCGTCATCATCGTCATCATCATCACCATCTACATGTCCGATAGATGTCCGGACACCTCTCCATCAACCACGAACCCGAGCTCGCTCATCGCCCTCTCCCATACGCCCTCCATCATCCCCATAACCCCCGTCTCGACACCTCATCACGCGTCCCTCTCATGCTTTACAACTCCATAATCTCCTTGGGAGCACCCATATAGCTCAACGGCCCCTTCTTAACCATCAACGTCATAACCTCATACAGCGTGTCCTAAAAGCACACACACCATACGTCAGCGAAAGCCCCAAACAAGCATATACAGAATCGAACAATAGAGAGTAAGGAAATAGAAACGCACAGCAGCAGCCATAGTGGTTAGTTCGGCGTTGGTGTCGTAAGCGGGTGCAACCTCGACGATATCAGCGGCGATGAGGTTGATGCCTTCGAGGCCGCGAATGATGGTGCGGAGTTCGCGTGTGGTCCAGCCCCCGGTTTCGGGGGTGCCGGTTGCGGGTGCGACTGTGGTTGTTCACGTCAGCTATGCCACCCAAGTATATTTCAACTCTTCGTAAGATTGAGGACTTACAAGCAGGATCCAAAGTATCAATATCGATACTCAGATACACTGGCTTCTCCAAGCCGACCCTCTCCCTAATCTTCTTGATGATGCCATCGGTGCCGATCTTGTCGACCTCGCGTGCTTCGACGATTTCGAAGCCACAGTAGCCGTCGTTTTCGTAGTCAGAGGGGCCGGATAGGGTCGTGCGGATGCCGGCGTGGATGTTGGTGTCGTTTGCGAGGAGGCCTTCTTGTGCGGCATGGAAGAAGTAGGTGCCGTGGTTTATGCTGGCTTGTTCGCTGGGGGCGCCGCCGAAGACTTTGGGGCGCCAGGTGTCGCTGGTGAGTGTTAGTGGATGGTTGACGGGGAGGTAATGGAAGGAGGAGTGTGTGGCTTACAGATGGCTATCAAAGTGGATGACGGTGATGGGGCCGTATTCTCGGTTGATGGAACGGAGAAGAGGGAGGGTGATGGTGTGGTCTCCTCCGAGAGTGATCAAACGAGGAAGTGTCTTGCCTGTCTTCGAGGGGCCAGGCTTGTTGGCATGTGTGTGGGGTGGGCGGCTCAACAGTAGGTTGTGGCCTTCCTCAATCTGCTGAAGCGCATACGCGTTGTCGTACCTACACGAATATACAGGTTAGTAATTCTAAACACTAACTCTACAAACATCTGAATGTGGGAAGTAACGTACGAAGTAACAGGAATGTCACCGCAGTCCACAACCTTAGCCCACGAGTTGAATGGGTTCGCCGCAAGTGGAACGTTGTAGCCGCCACTAAATCCGATCCTGTGTGAGCCTTTGGATCACAACACAACAAAAGTAAGCATGCGACTGCTTTCAAGGAAACATACTAGAGATTGAGGCGGCGAGAACCTTGTCTGATACCGCTGGGCCCGAAACGAGCACCTGGGCGGTAGGATGTGCCAGTGTCAAAGGGCGCACCAATGAACGCAATGTCGAACTGCGTGTTGCTAGAGAGACATGGGTGGTATGGAAGGCGGCCGAATGTGGATATGCCGGAGAAGATGGAGTCGGCCTGCAGTCATGTAAGTCATTGTTGTACAGTGCCGCTTCGGATTGTTGATTCGTACTTGTTTGCCGCCATCGCCAGGAAGTGTGTTGTACCACAGTCCCTCATGAGGACCATTCAAAGGGTCCTGATCATGACCGTGATCGCCGTGCGCAGCTACAGTAGCCGCGAAGCTCAAGAGTGCGGGAGTGAACTTCATCTTGCTGGAGTCTCAGGATAACGATGGAGTGAAACTGAAAGGGAGGAGACGGATGAACAGATCTGGAGACTGCGGAGAGCTCGCAGTAAATAGCTGAAAATATCGAGCGCAACTCTATCAGTGACTTGCTTGACCAGCTCACGTTAGGTAAACTGCTGTTAGGTAAACAACATTTTTTTGGAGCTACCCCTGCTCCTTGATGATGTCGTCTGCAGGCATAGCACCGTACTGCCTCCAATCGGTTAGTGGATTCTTGGGGAAGCTACAGGCCTCGATATTGGGTTGACGTATGTTGTGAGATCGGGATTGTGTGCTTCGCGCTTGGAGTTGAAGAAGTGCTATTACGAGAATGGGGCTGGAGAGCTCTTCCGTCAACTACGTCTACCTTTATGAACAGCCATCAGAATACCATGATGGTCGCACCAACTCCTCTCCCCCATCCTCGTACTCTTGCGCAACTTCATTCCACCGAGAACGACATGCATCGGCCGTTGCTGATCGATGTGGATACCCACCCCGCCATGTACAATGACGGGCGCCATGGTGATAAAACCCGGGGAATTCGACCAGTAATCTTCCCCATAGACAATATGTAACGCTGATATTCAGCAGCTTCGATCGCTGGGTATCGCAGCCTTATCTGAAGCGAGTCAAGACGCGTAGGAAAGTTACGCTAGCTCATGCATGCAAGTGAGCTTTCCGGTGAGGTTGTTACGTAGTCTAGAGCTTTACATCTCTACGTAACGGTCTTTCGTAGCTGCTACATAGTACGCGGATTGGTTCGATAAGAATTGTGTGATCCGGATGCATCCTTCGAGTGCGATCTCCGTGGCAGGTTAGGCGATCAATTGATGGGCCGAGCGGCAGCGCATGCACGGTTGCATACGTGGTTCACTCATGCGTTTCTAGGACGAGGTACCTTGTCATTGAGGAGAAAACAAGGCGTGGGGTACGCAGCGATCGGATAGCTGTGCGGAGGTGATGATGTGATGAGGAGTGAGGTTCGTTCGCGGAGCCAGGGCTCAGATACCGGCGGCACTAAAACATCTCGCTTAACGTATCGAGTAATTTTTGACACTTCGTGCATTGGTGTCTCCGGGCAGCTATCTATCTCTATTCCGTGCGTCTACACAGTAAGACGCGTTGCTAATACCTCCGAGGTCCGATCGACCTCACCCGGGCAATGATGCGAGATCACTATCTGTGTATCGGCTCTGCTTCATCTGGAGGCACGCCTAGCTCCGCCCTGTCATCCGAATCCATCCTTTCAAACGCTTTCTTGACTTGGTAGTCCCAGTTACTCCAAGCAACGATCGCCCATTCTGCAAATCCGACAAGATACAAGGCAATGCACTGGCCGACCCATAAGCCGCCAAGACCCCAGCCATGGAAAGCAAGCCAAATGCCGAGTGGCAGAGCTCCGCAGTAGTAGCTGACGATGTTGACGGTTGCTCCAATGTGCTGTCTTCCCATACCTCTAAGAGCGCCTCCGCAGCTGCCATTGAGTCCGTCCGCGATTTGAAAAAGTGCAACATAAGGCATTACCTTTGCAGTGAGCTTGATGACTTCCGCGTCATCGTTGAAGATCTTGGCGTAAAAGTCTTTGACTCCCATAAGGACAGCCAGTACAAGCGCACCTAGCAACATGCTAAGTACCGCAGCCACGTTGGCAGCTCTGGCTGCGCCTTTGGCGTTACGTGCGCCGAGGAGGTTTCCAACACGCGACGAGGTAGCGACACCAACTCCGAAAGGAATGGTGTTCATGACTTGGTCCGTGGTCATAATGACACTTTGCGCGGCGAGTGGTATCGTGCCGAGTTTTCCTGCAACGAGCGCAACGATTTCAAAGGCCCACCACTCTGTGCCGACATGTATAACTCCCAGTAGAGCAAGCCTTGAGAAGACCCAAAGGTTTTGCAGACACTTGCGGTCCCAGCCGCCCCAGCATTGCCATCCGTCGACGAAACGAGCATATGCGAGCAGCAAGAGGAAGGATGCCCAATATGCGATACCGGTAGCAAGCGGGGCGCCGAGGAGGCCCATTTGGAAAGTGTACACGAACAGGTAGTTGAGACCGGCGCTGAGGGGGGAAGTGATCAATAAGACATATGTTCCGGGTCTCATGATTTCTAAACATGTCAGCATGAGTTTGCGAATTGCCGCAGAAGACGAACCGTACCTTGAGCTTGCATGTACTTCTTCAACGCCTCAAAATACACGTAACCGATGCCGCCTGGGGCGAGCACCGAGAGGAACCTTGCTGAGTCTCTGGCGATATAGTCCTCTTGGCCGAGAGCTTTGAAGAGCGGCTCGGAGCAGAACCACACGATGGCGATGGGTATGTAGAAGAGTAGAAGAACGACGAATGCGCGCTGAAGGATGATACCCAGATCGTGTCGATTCTTACTTCCCGTGAAACTGGCAGAAGCCAGCGTGTCGATCGCGGTGGTGCCACCAAGAGCGACGAGCCAACCAGTAGCCATTGCGAACATGTACGAGAAGGCAGCGGTAGCCAATGCTTCTGGCGAGAGGCGTCCGACGATGAGGACAGAGACTGTTTGCAGGGAATTCTGCAACGCGTATGCTACGACCACAGGGAGTGATCCTTTGAACAGGACCCAGAACTCGTGGAGGATAAGTTGGGATTTGGATGCAACACCATCCTCGAGTTCCTCGGCTTCACCAGTAGACCATTCCTGATGTTGTGAGTCTGGGAGAAGAGAGGTTCGTTCGTCAGGCGTGGCATCATCTTGAGTCGACCTTTGGAGGAAGTTTGGCAGCCATGACCGGTACTTATCCGCTTCGTAGCCCATGACGAGAGGTGGATGAATAGAACGAAGAACGTGTGAAAAGTGAAGAGAATTGCCCAACAACGAGGGCTAATATGTAAGGCAAAGCTCTTCCAATCCGGCTTTGATACCCACAAGATGAGAAAGGCAAAAAGCGAGCAAACCTTACATCACGCATTCTCTGCACATCCCGAATCATCAGATAGACCGGCATGACAGCACCTCTGACAATACACACTCTTCCAAACCGGTGTAACCACGGGCGTATCTACCCTACCATGAGCAGTAAGACCTGCAGTCGCCAACAAACGAAGCAGCATGCATGTCGCGTCTAGCCCTAATCGACGTGTGCAAAGATCGGGCGTATCTTCCAGCAGGACAGTGCGCAGCTGTAGCCTTATCGACTTGCATCCGCGCGCTTTTGACTAAGGCACTTCGGTAAAAGGTTTTACGTGAGGCGAGGACGTACTGTACGCGTTCGGATAAGTGTAGTCAAGTGGAGCTGGGAACAACGTTGATGCTATTGTCTGGGCGCGACCTCGGGACGCTCGTGGAAGTGCCGGCCACGCCGAAGCTTCCCCGCAACATTGCGTGCTCGATAGTCAGCGCGCGGGAAAACGCCTTCTACGCGCAGAGTGCTAATGAAGATGAAGGTGTGGTTTATTCGCCGTGAGACATCGTGTGATGCCCGGAAGAGCCCGGTCGAGGTTTCACTGGAAGCTTAGCGAGTGTGCCGTTCACGTGGCGCAGGTCAAACTTTACTTGCTTTGGCCTGTGTCCATGTAGCCAGGCACATCCACCAACGACGATGTTAGGCACGTACATGAACAGTATCGTTCAGAAATAGAGTCTGATATCTAGTCGTTAAATTCGTAATTACCATTAAACAAAATGATTCTTCTCTTGGACGAAGATGACCACAAAATCCGCGAAATCCAGCGGCAAACAACCGAGAAAATGAAAACAGAACGGGGTATAAAACATTACTAGAACAAATGCTAGTCATCTTAAGCTTCACCAGCCAGCGCGGCGGCGACAAGGATGTCAATGCCACTCGCATGTGTACTTGGGTTGCCATTGTCGCTTGGCCCCTGCCACAAATCTATAATAACGCCTCCATCAACCCTGGGCTGACTCCTCGCTGCATTCGCGTTGCGCATGAAGAATTGCTGGACACCTTTTTGCGGTACATTCTCGTACAATGTTGATAGACCGCGAACGTATGCGCCCTTGAACTGCGAGGCGACGGGGTCGAGAGCGCCACCGACGGGCTCGGTAAGGATACCGCTGGCATCGCTGAGTTTGGATGTCGACGCCGTGGCGAGCTTGTAGGCTTCTTCGATGTAATCGCCGTCGTTTGTTGCACGAGCTAATTCCGAAAGGCCGGCCAGGACGATGCCTTGGTTGTAGGTAAAAGTTGTTCTGCCGTTGTTCTTGCAGCTCGATGGATCGATGCCATCGTTTACTAAGCCGTCGGAATTGATTACACCTGACTTCTTGAACCAGTCCCACTCCATCCGAGCCCAATTGGTGTAGTCCTCTTTTTGCTGGCCCTCGGCGCGGTTTGCCAGATGGGCAGCAACGGATAGGAAGAGTTCGTTTGAGATGGCAGCGATGTAGTCACGGTCTTTGGACCACCATAGGCCGCCGTCGCACGGCGTATTCCAGCCCGTAGTCATGTCTGCGAAGATATCCCTGGCTGTGTTGAGGTACTTGACGTCACCCGTAAGATCGTATGAGGCTATCCAACCCATGGCCCACCAGCCCTCGTCATCATAGAACTTGTTTTTCCATGCATCTGCACCGTGCTGTTGGGGCGATTTGGCGTATGTGTTGGAGATGATCATAAGGGCGTACTCCTTGAAGTCGGTATCCTGGATACCGAAGCGGGCGATGGTCTCAATAATGTTGCCAGACTGCCACCATAAGTCGTTCCTGGTAGATATTAGATTTGGTCATTGTGAGGGGTGAATTGCGACATACCATAAACCAGTATCATAATTGTACCATTTTTCTTGTAGAGTTCTTATTGCTGAGAAAGCGTCGTCGGCAAAGTCTGCGTATATGGGAGTACAATAGAGAAGAGGTATCAACAGCGCTGTGAGGTACTTCATGGTGGATTAAGGAATAGCGACAATAGGGATTACTGAGGTGCTTCGAGTCCGATGGGAGGATGTTGACTTGATAAGGAAGTGACAACTAACGGAGGCGAACCGCTCTGTGTTTTATGTTTTCCCCAGACGCTGTGACAGTGATCGAAGCGACCTCGACCTCGAAAGTTCAGGCAGATGTATCAAGGAAACGGACTGTAGGCTGGCGTGTGAGATCCATCCAAGTCATGGCAGTGCAGATAACGCCGAGAACTCCAAGACGGATACTGTACACAAGCAAACCTGTTCGACATATCGAATGTACCTATGGCATTCTCTGCCGCATAAAGTCATCCCTGCCGTTACTGTCCTTGAGCTATTGTTAGAGCCTGTGGCACAGCTAGCCAAGCGGCCTTGCGGATTATCAGGCATGGAGACTCATGCGGGCGAGAGCCGTCGACGAGTCAATGACTGTGATAGACGGCATGTCCATACACCAAACGGTGAGGTTTGGTACTGTACAGCGGTAAGTAAAATTAGGTTTGTCGGAGCCTGATCGACGCGGACCCTATCATGAAGCGACTACTGTCTAGGAAAGCGCTAGAGCGGATCCGATCTGAAACACGGGGAAAAGACGCTGGGTATACCTATTGGTAAGGGAGATATGGGAGATTGAAGGTTGATTGGTTGTATATCTGAAATATCGCCTGTTTGGTTAGGTCGCTTGTGGCACAGGGGCCCTTTCGTGGCTTGTGAAGCGTTGTCCAGCCTTGCAAACCCTGGAAATCCGCACAGGAGCATCGCGTGTAACGGGGAGCCCTTCCTGAGGATATCGCGCGACGTCGACGGCACAGTTGGGAGACGACTCCAAGTCGCGCGGCAAGGCTCGAATGCATGCGACCCGTATAAGACAATGGTCGAACGTTGTTGGCTGTTGAACGTGGCTGTCAGGCCTCCTGTACAGCTTTCATTGACCATTCGACGGTCGCACTTCCGACTGCTGAATATCCTGGCATCATGCTGGCGATCGCCTTCATAGGGCGCTATTGGTATCAGCTATACAGTATAGCCGGCGTTATCTAAGTTGTGCGCGGGCTCGGCCCAAGGATAACTGCGGCCGGCCTGGTGAGACCGCAGCACCTCACCGTACAGACAAGGGCCAATTCTCCGATAGTGATTCGAGGCCGTAGCTGCGGTCGGAAAAGGTCAATCCTTCTTTCATTTCTTGTTGCTGTCTTGCTGTTGTTGTGGTACCAATTGGACGCGATGTTGGCAGGACTCAGCCTCGCCGCGGATGCTGTGAGATCAGCCAAGGTTCACAGCAGACAGCGCAGAGCTCAGCGACGGATAACGGTCCGCTTCTTCTGAATACATGATCGGAGTTGTGCGCAGGATATGTACAGCTTCTAATCGCCCGAGCGAAGGGTCGTCACATTGACGACGTTGACGAGATGAAAAGTGGATAGGCTGCGACAGATGTCAAACAAGTTTTCACTCAGCGGCAAAAGGCCAGAATTAGTAACGCGCTCCAGTACGCGCTGCACGCGTGAAAGGAGTCGACTGCCGCCGTTCAGCCGGAACTGCAGAGGTGAGGACGTGTCGAAGTCTGTAGGATGTTTGCACGCGCAGCGCATGGTGTGGTGACTAATGGATTGAGGTTAGTGCCAGATGATGATGATGCTGGTCACGTGCTGCGCGACTTCCTCGTGCCTCTCAGCTACGTCAGCGGGGTACTGCCCCACTAAACCCTCCCACTGTTCGCGTACCCGATGTTGGCAAAGAGCGGCTCGTACTCCGGAGTATGGCTGTGAGCTAGAAGTAGGGCGAGGGGATAGTCTACCGTTACCAAGAAAGCACTCATGCTAATCCAACGCTACCAACTATGTCTCTGCTACGCTACCAACTATCCAGTTCAGAAAGCAATTATGGGAGAAGAGAGCCGCGGCAGCACATGCCCCTCCTTCCAACTTGTACAGCAGATCTCATTCATAGCGGGGCAGTGTTCGTCGCGCGGCAGAAGATCTGGAACCCGTACCCACCTTAAGCCGTGGCCAGATGACGCGAATGCCATGCAAAGGCGCCAGATTACCATCAATCACACATAGCGGAAGTGCTGATCTACCTGTAGTGGCGGCCTGTGGCGTCTGCAAACTGGTATACATCCTGGCAGGAACCCCTGTAGACCCTGCCAACCGTACATGTGAAAGAGCAAGTAACAGGGCCCACTGAGTACACGGTACGACTGCTGCTGCCCTCTCTCACCCACACCTTTTGCGGCTACGGTGCTTGCCTCGCGAGGGATGACGTACGAGTTTCGCAGCACGTCACTGCAGCCTGGACGATGCTGAAGGGTAGTATATAAGACTGCTTCTGCTTGCCTTCCCTCGATCCTTCATCACACTCATCTCCAATCCACTCAACTACAACTACCACTTTCAGCCCTCAACCAACCAACCAACCACCAACAATCAACATGTCTGACTCCATGCGCAAGGGACTCGGCGAGCAGGCCTCCGAGAAGAGTAAGCTCACTGTCTGTATCCAACTTCAGTACACCATCTGACAGTCTCTCAGTGACCCCCGACTCCCAGAAGTCCACCACCCAGAAGGCCAGCGAGAGCCTCACTGGAGCCGGTGACCGTATTGCCGGTGCCGTCCAGCCTGGTACGTCTCTTCCACTAGTCACTACCTACCACCCGGCCATCAACTAACACATACACCAGAGGGCCAGAAGTCCACCGGACAGAAGCTTGGCGACGCCACCCGCTCAGGCGGCGACGATGCCTCCGCCCAGGGTCAGGGTGTTATGAAGCAAGCTCAGGACGCTCTCGGCAACGCTGGTCAGAGCATCTCCGACACCCTCTCCGGCGCCACTGGCCAGAAGAAGTAAAGCACTCGCTTCTTCCCCCTGCTTGGTAGCTACGATACCTCTTCCTCTCTTACGACCATGAAGACCTGAGAATGGACGAACATGATACTGCGATGGATGGAACATACCCTTTCGGCGTGAAAGCCGCGTATCTATATACCCTACAATGAATGAAAAAACAACCTGATCAACAACTTGTCTTATGCTATGACTTGCCTTCCGTTGTTTCTTTCACATTCAGTTGCAACTTCGACCATCGATTGGTTGCCCTGGCGCTCATGCCTTCTCGGAGTACCAGTTGGTATTTTCCAATGCTCGATGAATGCACTCAGCTTGAAGCTGTTTGCTGTGCCCTCACAATTATGGGCATGATGTGGAACCCGACAAGAAAGATCGGACGTTTGAAGGTATAACTTGTGCATGATACAACTAGAACTCATCGCATGCTATAAATCTTCATCTTCCACCTCCTCCATCTGCACATGCTTGAGCGTATTCTCTGCCGTCCTGGCCTCGTCAGATATACCATCCATCTGCCCCTTGGCCTCAGCAGCCATCATCTTGTACTCTGCTTCTTGTACTGCAGCCTCAGCCACTTGCTCTGCCATATCACCCGCTGACGTATTCTGCAACCTCAAGAAAGCATCCAGCTCTTCATCCTCAGCTGTTCGTGGAACCTTCTCAGCGCCTGCCTCGGCCTTGTCTTTCTTCCCTTCATTCATATACCCTCCTTCCCTCAACTTGTCAAACTCGTCAGGTTCGAGTAACCGCCCCTCGCCCTTTGCCAGCTTCACCTTCTGTGCCACAGACGCCGGCATGAATCTTGTCGCTTCCTTGCGCAGATCGCGGACTTGGGGTGCGGCTTCGTAGACGATGGTGGGTTTCTTGGGTTCGGCAGGCACAGCAGCTTCGTCTTGCAGGTCTTGGGGCAGATAGCGTCGTGGTATAGGCGGCGGTGTGTCGCGCGGCATGGGGATTCGCTTCACGTCGTCGTCCGTGTCGCTGCTATCGTCGTCTTTGCGCTGTCCGTCGCGCGATCGCTTGCCGAGAACACCGCCGCCTCTGCCTCCCCGGTCGCCTCCTCGCCCTCTATCGTCGTTATTGTGTTGCCGCTCTGGCTTGAAGACAGGCGCTTTGTCGCCGAGTGCTGCGCGCGCCTTGTTGACGGCGGCGAGATCCTTCTCCAACTCCTGTAGCCGCTGTCGTTCATGTGGCCGTATTGCGCCGCTCTGGTCGAGTTCTTTGAGGTTGTCAATATCGCGTTGTATGCGATTGGGGTTTCGACGCGCGAGTTTCTCGTTGCGCTGCGTCTGGAGGTTGGCTTTTTGCTTGCGTATCTGCTTCTGCTTTTCGGCCTTCTTGGCTTCTTGCACGGGGTTGTAGTTCTTCTCTTTTGCCATCTTGACGCTTGAAGGTAGGCTCAGGTATGAATGAGCAGTGTGCGGTTGTTGGTCGACAGCGCTGTACGGAAATTGAGATTCTGGGGACTGACGTAGGTCCGTGCTTGAGCCGCGGCGCGTCGCGAATGTGGTCCGCGATGGTACTCGAACTTCTTCAGCGACACCAATCCCTGTCGACTCTCTCCACCACAGGGGCGGAAGACTGGCGCCATGTTTGTTCCAAGAGCGCTCAGGCTCAAGGGCGTCCGCGAGAAACCGCGGCCCAAGCCTGCCCAATCTGCCCCCAAAGCACCAGTCACGGGTGACCAAGACGATGCGCTGGTCGAGGCGATGCAGAAGACAAGAACCAGCTCACCTACTAACCAGCCAGAACAGACTGACCTCAAAGCTACCAAGCCTGGTCCCAGATTTACCACCAAGCCTGTCACGCCAGAGTACGTTGGCCAGCTTGCTGCCGGCATCGAGCTCATCTTCACCGACTATGCCCACCAGGAAGAGCAGCGCGCCAAGTGGCTGCAGGACCGTTACAGAACCGTCGATGGCGAGGAGAAGTGTACACATGCCCAGGTCTGTGTCTACCCCAACAATTGACTTTTTGTACAGACATCCACCTCACCGCCATCCTCGAACACCCCAACATCTCCTCCCTAAAGCCCGAAGCCTCCCAGATCCTCCTTCAGCAAGCACTCCACGATCATCCCTCCGACATGCTGGAACTCTCGAGCAATGGCTACCACGTCCGCCGCAAGCCCTCGTCGTATCCTCCCAAATACCTACCCCGCCGTTCCTTCGAAGTCACCGATGACGAGGGCCTAGCATTCTGGGACCAACGGACAATCTACGTCGAACCACACCTACGCAACATCTGCCCTACACCAGCAAAGGTAGCATACTGGCTTGCGGAGCATGGCGAGTTGCGGCCCAAGTGGCTACCCATACAAGCAGTCCATACACTGTGGAACAGCTGCGCTTTCGTTGTCCTCGGCGGAAGTGTAATGCACGACGATGTCTGGCATAAGTGGCGAGACGCAGACAAGCCTGGGAACTGGAAGATCATGACCAAGGTGGAGCATACCAAACGCACCGCTGAATACGTTGCGCTACTTGAGGCACAGAACCCTAGAGGAATGCGCAAAACTATGGTCAACGACAGCGAGCTGCCTCCAATCGCGCAACCAGCAGTGCTTCCGATGGCGTACACAATCGAAGCTCCTCGTTCCAAGACCGCTCAGGTCCTACCGCGAAAGCCAGAAGAAGCAGCGATGGAGACCACTGCGGCTGCAGATGAGCCACCCGTCAAGCATAAGCGGAAGAGGCGAAAACCAAAGAAGGCCGGCAAACCCGCTGGTGGAGGCGAAGTCGATGGGGATGATGCTGAGGCTGCCCATGATGAGCCGAGTGCAAAACGCAGAGGTTGAAAGACGACGTTCATGTGATCACCTACCCACGCTCACGGCGCAAGGACTTGCAATTCGCGAGCAAGCATTGAACGCCCCAATCAGTAATCTGATAGGTCAAAGCTGAATAGCCTCACGATAGCGCGCAGTAACACGGCTGCTGTTGATTACCCCGACTTACCCCGCTTACTCGCTAGTACTGACATACCATGCTTGCCGAAGCCACAGATGGATCGACAGCCAATCCAGACTGCAACAAGGGAGCCGAGGAAACGCGTCGCTATGAAAGGGCGATCGTGCGGCTACTCTAGCTAGAGTATATATAACCATAATATACGAGAACAACATCTTGTCGTTCCGTTGACTGTGGTGGTCATTTCTGCCTCGTTCGTCGGGCCTTGCTGGTTGATTTCGCATACATCGTGTTCGCGTAGTAAGGAGCCTGGCAGTAATATGGCTACCGTCGTAGAGAAGACGGCTGATGGAATCATCTATCGCTCCGAGAAAAGCTACCCGATACCTGACCTCGACGTACTAACTCTCCTATTCGGTATGCCCATCTCTCCGAAAGCGCCTAGCATCATTCCATCAAGCTCCTCAACTAACGATACATCTTCTCGTAGACTCCGAACACAGCCTAGCCAAACCAGACACCCCCCTCCACGTCTCAGCCGCAGACCCAAGTCTAATCCTAACCACATCGCGCGCCCGCCATCTAACCCAAGCAACATCAGCCGCCCTCCGCAAGCATTTTGGTATCGGCGCGCACGGCCCAGGAAAAGATGTGTGCTCCGTTATCTCGACCGGCCATTACCTCCTCCCTGTTCTCGCATATGGAATCATTGGCGCAGGCGGTATCTTCTCCGCTGCGTCCGCGGCAAGCACTGCCAGCGAACTAGCCAAGCAAATACAAGGCGCCAGCTCGAAGATTCTTGTCACTTGTCAAGATACCCTGGAGACTACGATTAAAGCTGCAGAGGATGCTGGGTGGGGTCAAGGTGGAGGTGGGCGCGTACTGCTTATGAGTGAGGGGAGGGAATGGTCATTGAAGATTGTTGGCAAAGACGGGAGGCCGGAGAATAATCTTATTGATGAAGGAGATTTACTGCCGTGGACGAGGATTACAGACAGGAAAGAGCTCGAAGAGAGTCTGATAGTGCTGATTTATAGCTCCGGTACGACTGGATTACCAAAGGGAGTAAAGCTCTCGCATCGCAATATGGTGAGCCAGACTGTTAGTACGGGGGATATGATGAAAGCGTGGGTGAAAGAGAAACGTCCGGACTTTGAATACCGGACAATCGCTCGTAAGTCTCGAAGCCGTGTTCTTAATACGACTTTCGATAGAGACGTAGGCTGACTTCCCACACCAGACCTCCCCACCGCGCACATCGCCGGTGTACAAGGCTATCTCATAAACCCCTTCTACATCGGCGGAACCGTATACTGGATACCACGTTTCGATTTCCCGCAATTCCTCTCCTACAACGCACTTTACCGTATAACCTTCTTCTTCACCGTTCCCCCCATCCTGCTCCTAATCGCAAAATCCCCGTTAGCAACCACACAATTCGCTACCCTCGAGTTCTGTATCTCTGGTGCCGCGCCCCTAGGGAAAGACCTCCAGTATGCGGCAAGCCAGAAACTGGGTGGTGAGGAGTGTTTTATAGATCAGACGTGGGGGTTGAGTGAGACGACAGGGAGTGCGACGATTATGCAACCGGGGAGGCATGATGATACGGGGAGTGTGGCTATGTTGCTGCCTAATATGCGGGCTAGGCTTGTTGATGATGATGGGGAAGATGTGGAAACGGGGATGCCGGGCGAAGTGCTGGTGAAAGGGCCGGTGGTGTGTAAGGGGTATTACCACAATAAAGAGGCGGATAGAGAGGCTTTCACCCAAGATGGCTGGTTTCATACGGGCGATATCGCGGAGTTCAGGAATGGGATGTTCTACATAGTAGATAGGAAGAAGGAGTTGATTAAGTACAAGGGCCTACAGGTTGCGCCTGCGGAGTTGGAAGCGGTGCTGCTCAGTCATCCGCTCGTGCTGGATGCTGCGGTTATTGGGGTGCTGACGGATGATGGGACGAATGAGGTGCCGAGAGCATACGTTGTCGCTGATAAGAGCAAGATTCGGTCGGAAGACATTGTTGGATTCGTCAAGGGGAAAGTTGCTGGGCACAAACAGTTGCGTGGTGGAGTTGTGTTCATAGACGTGATTCCTAAGAGCCCGGCTGGCAAGATCCTTAGAAAGGATCTGAGGGTTCTGGCGGAAAGAGAGAGGGGTGCGAAGCTATAAGCTGATTGATGTAACGAGACGATATTTGAAGCGTATTTAGCTTTTACATGAACAAAACTCACGAAATCGAGCTATAGGGTACCTGTGTAGCTTTGGAGGATACGACGTACTTTTGACGTACTTGGGTAGCTTTGCAGAGCAGCGAATACCTCCCGGGGCCATCGCTGACTGCTGAAAATGCACAGATGTCCCATTCGATCACCAAATTTCACTAAGCTTTGGAATTGACTTGTTTTTGACGCCCGCCTTATCACTGCCGTGCTATGTGCCCCGCGGGCAAAGACACGTTCCAAGGCGGCGGGAAGCCCGTTCCTGGCATTCCGAGAACCCTTGCTTACCGACAGCTTCGGGTTGATCACCCACACGTTCGGCGATCAGCTTCTCTACTGTGATCTTCTGCTTCGATCCTCATCATCGCATCTTGAAGGACCACCATGCGCTGATCGGCTACACTATAAGCGTGGTTGTTTTAGGTGTAATAGTCGCTCTTGTACTATGCACCTCTCTCTAGCCAACCGAACGCCGACCTTCCGTTGCGCGGACGATGCTCCGCGCCTATCAACATGGACCGGCCGTGTGTCTCCACATTGAGAAAGGGATACCTCGTAGCGTACTTCGACTGGTCCGGTCCAGGTCACCAGCTGCCTTAACGAGGCATACACGTGGGATTAGTAGGACTGACCGTGGTACCGCCGCATATGACATCACCAGAAAGCAACACCGTGTACCTTTCTCCCATCCCACCAGCCTAAGATCACCACGTCTCACTCCAACGATCAGAAACATGGCTCGCATAGCGGTATTTTTCACAAGGATATCATTAATGCTCAGTTTTAACATTTTGTTTTAGCAACAAAACCAGAAGATCCAGGATATCCTTCCGACCCTTGAGAACGAGGCAGATCAAATCGACCAGATCGCACAGATCAGAGGATGGTTTCGTCCAAAGGAAGACAGCGCGTACTACCAATTAGTTCAAGACTACCTCAATGAAAAAATCGACGTGAAAGAAGCCACGTCGCGCATCCTGGAACCCATCGATGAGAAGATCAAGGAGGCCAAACTCGACGATGTGGACTTCATGGACCTATGGACCAGTATCATTCACTCCGCAAGACGATCAACATTCCGTGGCGGCGCCCGACCACAGCACCACCAACTCATCGAACTACTCGCCGCATTCAAGGAGCATTCAATACCGGACAACAAGGAATATGACTACCTCTACAAGGAAATGACCGACTTTGGCATGGCCTGTCGTGAGGCCTTCAACGACGCGCCAGTCGCTCACGAGGGCTTCATCGAGATGGAGGTGCAAGCCTGGACGAACATGAACTACTTCTTCGCCCGTGTAGCAAGGGAACATATCCAGGATCTCTCAATGTACGCCATCTTCGCGTTACGAGAAGCTCTCGAGACACCTCCCATCGACGACCCAATGTCGACGGCCAACCAAAAGTACGATGCAAACGTCCCTGCAGCTGCAGCTTGGATAATGGAATATGGCCACAACCTCTTCCGCATGGAAAAAGATCTCACGCCCACCGATAAAAAGCAGGGCAACCCAGCACGCGGAGGCGAATTATGGAAGGGCAAAAGCGAATTCAGCAAAGAAAGATGGGCGCTTTGGAAAGAACGGTTCGCAGCGATTGCGGTTATGGAGGGTGTAAAGGAGCAGACGAGGATCCATGCTAAAGACGCGATAGAGGGCATGGAGAGGAGCCAGACGTATGAGCTTATGAGGTAACTTCCTGCAAGTCTGACGTGCTGATGTGCATTTGGCAGGTTTATGTTTGCGGAGGAAGTGGTGCGTAATGGAGATCTTCAGCGGCTTGGTGGAGGATTTCCTCAATCATCTAAGTGAGGGACTAAGCGCCAGAAGAGAGAGCATAGTGGAGTTGACGGCTAAGTATGGCTGTATCGTTGTCACAGTATGAGTCGAGGCGGGGCATGGCGATGGTGATGGTTCCGTGGTCACGGTATCTTCGCTAGCGACTCAAACATCGAATGCATTCCTCCATGGCTACTCCTCTTGCCTATGCCTTTGTGCTCGCCCCCAAAGCCTCAATTCCTGCATTCGCAACACTCAAATCCTGCTCGACGCTTCCTCCACTAACACCCACACCTCCAATCAACTTTCCCTCGAGATAGATCGGTATTCCTCCCCCAAAGACTACCAACCCGCCATTCGTGTTCTGCACATCGTAGAGCGGCGCACCAGGCTGCACCGCCGCATACAGATCCGCACTAGCATACAATCCATTGAACAGCACAGCCGTCCTAGCCTTCTTCTGCGAAATGTCGATGGAGCCGATGAATGCGTTGTCCATACGGTGGAAGGCAACGAGTAAGCCAGAGGGATCCACCACGGCGATGTTCTCGGGGATCTGGAGGGATGTAGCGTTCGATACGGCGGCATCGATGACGGTTTGCGCTTGCGTCGCAGATATGACGTAGCGCTGGGAGGGTGTGGTGCCCATGCCGTTCGTGGTGTTCATTGTTGCGGCGGCCGAGGTGACGGTGAGGAGGCTGAGGGTGGTACTCAGGATAGTGGAGAGGAAACGCATTTTTAGTTGTGGGTGGGTGTGTTAAGACAGGCTTTGTCAATAGTGATGTATGATTTCTGTGTCGATCCAAAGGAAGGCCTTGGAGATGTGGGTAGGTGGGTAGGAGGTGGGTAGAAGTAGTCAAAGAATAGGTAGATTTGCAATTCGTATTGTAATATCTTGTCTGCCGTCCCGTTCGTTCATTCATTACATACTCTGCTTATATACCGGATTCGGCCATCCCCTCCGACCTAGAACCTGGAACCATGTGTCTAATGCCTTCTCCACTTCTGCATCTTCATCTGCAGGTACGAGCCGAACCTCGGTAGCAGATCAGGCCTTCCATTCAGCTTTCAGGAAATTTCTTCGCCCGCAGCTCAGCTTTGTACAAGTCATTGCTTGCTAACGATAGTGCATCTCAGCTTCCAGAATCGTGGCGGTCTAGTTCACCGGAGGCAAAAGATTTCAGGGTGTAGTGTGCGGGGGCATGAGCTCAAGTCGTGGGCCGTTTCCGCTCGTTAGACCTATTTGGGCTTGGTCGATGAGGATGGCGGCCGGCCCGGGCGATTTAGTGTCGGATGGCAGGGACCGATCCGATGCTCTTCTCCCTCACCGTGGTTGCGCGGCTGCGATGACTTGACTCGCATTGTGCGGCGTGGGTCTTTATAGTAATCGCGAAAGATGATGGCGTGAGACGGACGTGCTGAGTATTTGAGATCTTTAGTGGCTGATGTGGATTGATCCGGGAATAGAACGTTCAAAACCTGATGCGCCAAAGTAGTGTACCTCTCGCTATGACAGACATGTCAAATTGATCATTCCTCGTACGAGCAGTGCACGTCGGTGACATGTCGTGCCAGCCGCTCGTCTGGCGTCTCTCCCGCGGGCATATGCTCGATACGTACACGACACAACCGGCATTCTGGTCTCTTTTCGCGCTTCTCCTCCATGAATTCAATCCACGCGTGTCGGATCTCATCATCTATTCTCTCTCTCGCCTCTTCATCTTCGATCAATGACAAGAGTACGCCAATCTTCTCTTTCATGCTCTCGGACTCTTCGACCTGTTTCGGTGCAGGTTTGAGCCATTCGCTGCATATCTGGTTCTGCACAGGGCCGACTTTGAAGCGCTTGAGATCGCCTGTCATGATGCTAGCGAAATGGGCTGCAAGCTCTGTGGCATAGCGCACGAGGTGGGCTTGTAGCTGTTCTCCTGTGTCCCAGAAGAGATTGTGGCTGAGCCACAGACCCATGTGCTTGATGCGGTACATGTATTGCGCGGCGGTTGATAAAGAGAAGCTACATGATGTTGATGTCTCGGTACAAAATATCATGCAGGACCAGTATGGTGGGAGCACGAGGGTCTGTCCTGGCTTCTGAATGATTGCGATGCCGTGCTGCATTTCCGAAAGGACGCCCAGGGGAACGTGTGAGGTGTTGCCATCATGCATACATTCGTATGCTGTGCGGAGCAGGTTTAGATTGGCTTGCAGCGGAGGAAAAGTGAACCATACTTTCGAGCCGGTCAACAGCGTCGTGGAGAAGTGGTGTTCATAGTACTCCAACTCGAATACCTCCCCTGATGGGGCAACGGTCATCTGAAACTCTGACTGACCCAGTATACCGTCGCATTCCCATCCTGGTATCCAGCGCTTCTTTTGGTTGAAGGTAGGCGACTGCATATGGATAACCGCGCCAGGCTCAGAGTACTTCACATTACCGATGTTGTCGAGCAAGTGCATAATGGCATTTGCGTCCTCTTCTGGCGAGCCACGCGAAGGTGCAAAACGGAAGTGATTTTCACCTCCAATGTCGCTTTTGATCGCATTCTCGACTGCCGCGGGGCTGGGTAACGACGTGAAAGTGAACGGCAACTCCCCGGTAAGGTTCGGCGTATCCCAACGAGATGGGCCAAAAACACCATCTCTGTCCTTGCGGAAGTTTCTTAGCTCGTCCTCATTCAACGGATGGATACGGCCGCCTTGAGCCATGTCGAAGGCAAAGGCCGCTCGGTGATCAGACTGTTGACGTTCAAGCTCGGCCATAACGTCTACCAGATCCTGGTCGTGTAGAGTTGAAGTAGATATGACTGTACTTGTTCGTGTAGATCGGGGCGTCGGTACAGTGACAAGACGATGTGTTGTCGGGTCAAACGTTGTATCGCCGTGTTCTCGCAACTGCGTACCGGACCCGGCGGACGCAACCGATACTTTGTGTGATGAAGGATCCATAACAAGTAACTTCAGGAAGAATTTTGTTGTTGTTGGTCTTGATGAAGTCTTATATCTACTTGGTGATTGGAATAATATTGGGCTCTAAGTTCATGAGAATTCCAGGCCTTACAGGACAAATGGAGAGAGCTCACGGTGGAACTAGCACCGAATGTTCCTGACGGGCTGTTTCATTCATTCCTCGATTAAACTTAGGGTGTAGTGGCTAGGACGTTGCTGGCTACTTCGATGATCTCTCGATGGTCTTACCGCCCACAGTATTACGGTCTGACGAATCCGGTGGTGACAGCCCTTCTCGAGCTGGTTTGGCGGTGCATCTTGCTGTATACATTCCTTTCATTGGCTCAAGTACATCGGCATGAAAGCATACGAGTGCCTTCTGAATGTACGAAGGCGCCACAAATGACGTAGGAATCACCGCGTATAAGTGGGTTGGGCGGAGTGAAAGATGGATTAGGCATCAGCACACACGCCGTGAATGATACCGTCATAGGCTCTGTTACTATCGCGTTAAGGGTGTATCACCAGGTGTGCTTCGTCGCTGTCTAGGCTCGTGATCTGAGTGATCTTCAGTTCCGCTGGTTCAGGTGGAACGACTGCAGTAGCCTGGGCATCTTCGTGACACTCGATAGTAGAGAGAGACCTGGGTACTGCATCTGGTAAACTGTCAGACGATATTGAACTCATCGACAATGATGTGGCTAATAAAGAAAGAGAATGCATTTGGCCGTGGTGAGTGATTGCTGTCGAGGCGGCCATAGACTGAATGCGATAAGAGAAGTGGACGCAACGCTCTTGTGCGAACGCATGGAATTGATCTGCGGATGCGCAAGAATCACGAGTACCACTGAGCGCTTCGCAATGAAAATCCACTGTCGCGTTGGAGTTGCATCGCGGTATGGGTGGAGGACGTTTGGTGAGGCGCGCACCAGCCACCACGCCAACGCCAAGAGGCTAGCCCGCCTAGGCTAAGCCCGCCCACAGGTCTCAACACGGAGTTGCAATATTGAATTCGCGACCGACGACAACCCCACGACTAACACACAGGTATCACGCCAACACCGCCAACATGCGTACCTACGACGATTCCTTCAGCGGTCAAAAGATCTACCCGGGCAAGGTGCGTTAGATTGCCTCTCCACGTCTCGCCGCTCGCCCCTCGGATGTCGAAATCCCGCTATCGCGACGGTAGCAAAGCGAACACCTGGCGGACGAGGATGGAACACTACAATGGGTCGGACATTCGCTGATGGCATAAACAGGGCAAGCTCTACATCCGTGGTGACAGCAAGATCTTCCGCTTCCAGAACGGAAAGACCGAGTCCCTTTTCCTCCAGCGCAAGAACCCTCGCAAGATTCACTGGACCACTCTCTACCGAAGGGCGCACAAGAAGGGTATCTCTGAGGTTAGTCGCCGCCAACTCATATACACGCCGCTGGGACATGTTTGAGAGGCAGTGAACTATGACATCAGTCTGTACTGCGGACAGACTTGGGCATGGCAAACATCCTCAGCGGCGATGTTGCTCTCATCGCAACATACATCTCTACTCCCCCATCGCGGACTGCGCTAACCACCATCTCTCCAACAGGAAGTCGCCAAGAAGCGTACCCGCCGCACAGTCAAGCACCAGCGTGCCATCGTCGGTGCCTCGCTCGACGTAATCAAGGAGCGTCGCAGCCAACGTCCCGAGGCCCGTACCGCCGCCCGCGCCGCTGCCATCAAGGAGGGCAAGGAGAAGAAGGCCGCCGCCGAGTCGCAGAAGAAGGCTGAGAAGGCCAAGAACGCCGCCGCGTCCGCACGAGGCAACGCCGCCAAGGTCAGCAAGCAGGGTGCCAAGGGTGCCGCACCAAAGGTGCAGGCAAGGACTCGTTAAGCTGGGTTCGATATGGCGTGCATAGTCTGGGTTATGGCTGGTTTTTCGGGATGACTCGGTGTTCCTTTACTCTCTGAATCTCTCTTCCGAACAAACACACTACGGAAAATGCAATGAATGGAATGGCATCATGGCTTCTTCACCTCTTTTTGGATCGGTGTACCGGACACTGTCCACATTAGCGTCTGGCGCCATAGGGCAAATGCAATACCACGTCCTCACGAATACCGGAAGAGCTTGAACTCACATGTGTATGCACAGCATGACGAAGGAGTGTGAGACATTACAACGAGAAAGCCAGGGTGAAATCATACACATCCTGCCTGGAAGAGGTAGTCCAGACAACGGCGGCATATGCAGGCATTCTGACGAGTTGCCCAGTATGTACAGAACTCAACCAAATGATTATACTACTGCGACTGATGCCATGATGTTCTCTATCGTATACCACCTCTAACATCTCAAAAACTCCCCTTGTTTGGAACATAACAAAACACACCTATCATCCGTACGCTTGATGTCAATGTATGTACTATCGTCTCCTCATTTGCGCGACACCCCCGTATGCGCAACGCTATCGTGATGTACATCGTTACAGAAGAGAGGTGGCGAACCTTCGTGAGCTAGCAGTATACATGTGTCTCGCACGCCATCATGTAGCTACCCACGAACTTGGCAGACGACTACAACAAGTTTTCGTGCTCTCCACTGCTATTTTGAGTACAGATCTTCCGTATATGGCGGCCTAACAAGTGCTCGAGTGTCAATGGCACAGTGTTTGGGTACCTCCTGGATGCTGCGCATGGTGGTCATTCATTCATTGAAAGTACCATGTATATACCACCACAGGCACGGGCGTACGAAAGTAAGTGCATGAGCGACTGTTATTATTACGTACTAGACGTTGACGTAGACGACGGGAGGTATACGTGTACAAGTAAACCAGCATCATGTCCTACAACCATCCACATGCCAAAAGAAGAACATGCGAATGAGTATCCATCTGTATCGTATTCAGAACACCCCCCCTTATCGACAATCCACCAATCCCCCATCTTCTGGTGTAAGCAAGATACCCAGATCAAAATACAATACAATCCCTAACCCCTACTCACAAGAGGGAAGAAGTATGCCATCTGGTATCCAAACACCCCGCTCCGTCATTGTCATTATCATCTTCATGTTTCTTCATCCTGGCATCCTAGTCCAAGACCTCCATCATCGAAGCTCTCTTCTCCTCGTCCTCGACCAACATGCAGCGAGCGCGGCAGACGTCTTCGACAATATCGACGACCTTGCGGAAGCTAGAGGCGGCGCCACGGGTTTGCGTGAAGCGTGCGAGGCAGAGGTTGGCGCGGCGTCCGTGTTCGAGTACGACGAAAAGCTCGATAACGAAAGTTACGGGCTTGATCTTGAGGTCTGTGAGGAGATGTGTGTGTTAGTAAGTATTTTCTTGGATTGCAGAAGTAAATAGCAGCATTACATCGCCTTACAAGTTCGGCTTCTAGCATCTCCACTTCGAAACGCCAGTTTTGCAGCCGCCATCCGCTGAACAGAAGATACGCTCGGGGTGGTGGGTACTTACGGTTGCTCTTGTCAATGCGTGCGTTGATCGAGTTTGATGCGCGATCCAGTGAGACGTCCTGAACGCCAAACCGTTGCCAGTCGCGCAGCAGGCGAACAAGGTCCTGACGAACTTTGCCACGACCAATCTGGAAGCATAGCGTCTTGCTGGCAGGCTTGATGTGGAGGAAGCGTGATAGCCAGTTCATCTGCATTTCCGGTGGACCAGTACGAGCTGTATCGTTGTTGTTGTCAGAACTGATGTCGAAGTTGGACAGAATTGAAGACGAGCTGAAGTTGAGCCCTGCAAACATGTCAGTATGAGATACAAAAGTAGAAGTAGAAGAAGGTGAGTTCACCTCCAAGTTCCATTGGCGTCTTGCCCTTTTCATCCTTAGACTTCTTGCCAAAGAAGGCGAAGAAGCCCTTGCGAGTCGAACCGTCGCTCTTCGCGGCAGCAGAGCTGCTGATGCGCATAGGGAATTCGCTTCCACCGCTAACATCGGACCGCCTCTGATCAAGTTTATTACTGTCAATGTTCGCAAAGGGCGCACGATCAGTCTTGATGCGGTCATCGAGACCCTGCCATGCCTCTGGGATCTGAAGGAGAGTGTTTGACTGCTTCTTCTTGACTTGGTTCTCCTTGTTCTCTTGGTCGCGCTCCTGCTCGCCAGTGTTGCGACGGAACCACAGCGACTTCTTCTTAAGCAGCATGTTCTGCTTCTGGAAAACGGGAGCGGTCTTGTTCGTACGTGGAGCTTGCAGATCGTGCTGTCCATTCTCATATGGTCGAATCAAAGGCACAGCAGGCACCTCATTAGTTACATTCGTCTTCAAGCTTGCACCACTGCGCTTGCGGATGTTCAGAGGCGCGACACGGGTGGGAGATCCATCGACGATACGGATTGTCTGCTGCTGCTCGGTAACTACACGACGGCCAAGAGGCCTGACGGGGTCAGTGACAACTCGACGTTGGGGAATATGGATATCAAACCCATTCCCGTTATCGACCTTCACTTCCTCCGGTATGGCGCGCAGCGGTGTACGCTCGGGAGACTTCGCTGGAGCAGATACTGTACGCTTGCCTCCAACCCCAGGCACCATCAAGCGATCGAGATGTTCAAGAACCTTGTTGAAGTGTTCAGTGCTATCATCATCCTCGTTCAGTCGTCGAGCAATGTCTGCACGTGTCTCCGCCAACTTTCGCTGCAAGAAAGTAGTGGGCGTCTCAACGGGAGTTGGTGGTAATGGCCGCTCTCCAAAAAATAGCTTAGCACTCGGGGTAGCGGCCAGAGTACTGCCTCCTGAATCGCGGGTATTGGAGAAAGAAGTAGGAGGGCTTTCATATTGCGAGGCATCGTGGTAAGCATCTGAACGAACGCTCGAGCCGACTGAAGAGCGGTTGAAGGCCTCTTCCATGACTTTGCCCAGCTCCATGCTAATCTTCCGAGCCTCCCCCTGGATGTACTTAGTAGGGCTTTCTGGCTTGCGAAGCTTCAAGCGTGGCGTCTCTGAGCTCATACGAGCCCTTGGCCTAGGAGTTGACCGAGTTTTGCTCGTCTTGATAGACGGACCATACGACCCAATGGACGTATGAGGTCTATGAGACATGTAGTCAGCACAGGATCCAACCTCAGTCTGCCAACTGCTAGTTGTCGCTGCTGAAGACCGGCGATCGCGCAGGTGCGAAAAGCTCACACCTCGCTTGCCCATACCAGCAGAGCGAGTAGTGACAGGTGGGCTACTAGGCCAGTGTGAGCTCGCGAGGGACGAACGAGACATGGAGCGTCGCTGGATCGAAGGAGCGCAATGAGATGGAGTGCTCTGGTGGGAAGGCGTGCTTCGTGAAGAGCCGCGGGACATTGCGGAACTACGCCTAGAGTTGTTTCGCAGAGCTTGAACGCGTAACGAGTTTCCTGTATGATGTCCCAAAGCTGTGGCGGGGCGAAGCTTTTCGCTGCGGCCGCTGTGTCCCCGATGAACTGTGACATTCTGATTGAGTGAAGCGTCTTCAGGAATGGGAACGATAGGCTGCCGCGAGGCTCGGTATGGGTCGTAGCTAGCTTCAGAGACAGGCGACTCGTAGAGACTGTGCTTCGAATATAGATGCTCATTGTGCAGAATCGAATACGTGGATTGTGAGCGCTTATGAGCATTGCTGTTGATTGGAAGCTCATCCATGTCCTTCCGCGTGGGCGAATGCCGCGTATTATGGTGATGATCGCTGTTGGAATGGGCTACGGTATGGTGTGCGTCCGGTTGGTAATTCTCCAGTTGATCGGTGTGATACTTTAGAAGTGCAGAGTAGAAGTACTTCTCTTGGTTTGGTCTGTTTTCAGGTATTAGCAGATGCACATGAACCCAGTAAAGGAGGTTGCTCACTCTTTACTCAACAACTTTTGGATCAAGGTCTCTTCCTTTTCGCTATGCCAGAGTGTACGCAGGTACCGCAAGATCTCGCGGTCCACGGAAGTGCGTTCGAGAATCGTCCACTCGGCGATAGCAGGAAGAGGGCCAGTCCAGTAGTCGACGTTGGCGTTCTCTCCCACGAAATTCAGCTCTTGCTGATACTTGCGCAAAAATGGGTGGTCCCAGATCTCATCGATTGAGATGCGACGGTTCGGGTCAGCGACGAGTATCTTTCCGATGAGGTCTTGGGCCTCTCTAGAGATGTTGTCGGGCATGACATACTTAGCCGCGGCAATATCGCGAAATAGGTGCTTTAGATGGCGCTCATCGCCAGAATAGTTGAAGGGAGGGGTGCCGGTAAGAAGGACGAACAGGATGACGCCACAGCTCCATACATCTGCCTTTCCTCCGTCATATGATGTAGTCTTGATAACTTCTGGTGCTGCATAATGAGGGCTACCGCAGGGTGTGGTAAGCTTCTTGCCGATAGGCTGTAACGCAGCCATGCCAAAGTCGACAAGCTTGACATTCATGGTATCTCTGTCCAGCAGAATGTTTTCGGGCTTGAGGTCGCGGTGATGGATATTGATACGATGGCAGTAGATTAGGGCTGCGATGATCTGACGGAAGATATGTACGGCGTGGATCTCGATCAAGCCATGTTGCTCGTGGATGTAGCTGAACAACTCGCCGCCTTCGACGAACTCCATTATGAGGTAGCTGAACCATGTTAGGCAAGTAGTTTGTTATCGGTGGTGTACTTACAGCTCATCGCGGTTCTCCCAGATATCATATAGGCGGACAATGTTGGGATGATCCAGGAGCTTCATGATGCAGATCTCGCGCTCCAGGCCGAATGGGATGACCTTGCCGTCGGGATATAGTGACGAGTCCTGCTCCGCGATAAGGTTGGCCAAGCTCAAAGCGCGCACCTTCTCGGCCGTAGCCTTGGAGATGATCTTTGCAGCACCATATTGCCCTGTGCCGCTGTGCCTGACAAGTCGCACACGCGAGCAGCCACCTCGTCCAATGGTTCTGCCGAGCTGCCAAGGGCCAATGTGCGTTTTGCGTCGGCGGTTCGAGCTGGAAGCATTGGTGCTCGCGTTGGAAATCTCAGAATCGCGCTTCGACTTGTGGGGACGGGCTTCGTGGGCTTGGACGGCGGACAGACGCTTGTTCTCCGGCGAGTCTTGTTCGTGACTGACAGCAAGGGTGCCGTTCGGGACTATAGAATCATTGTGGGGAAGTGGATGCGGCGACGAAGAGGCGTAGCTGTTGTGTCGCTTTCCATTGCTGCGCTGGATGCGTGGGCCCTCATTTGCGCGGTTCGTGCCGTCACCGAGCGCGCGTCGCCGCGTTGGTGGGCGGCCATGGAAGCTGGAATCCATGTTGTGGGTAAGGGCTTGCAGTGGTCAAGGTGGAAGGTCTTGAGTAGTGCAGCTGCTATGATTACGATAAAAGGGTGGAGGAGCCAAGAGATACAAGACGATAAGGTGGGTGTCCAAGAGCGTAAAAAGCTTGCGGTGTGTTGTTGGGGTAGCTGGCGTTGCTGCAGTGGGGGGTATCAGGCAAAAGCCATGACGGATATGCTGTGTGTTTTTGTTGTTGTTTATCGCTGTTGACACTGAAGGCGCTCGCCCGATCGCTTGACCGCCAGCAAGTCTGTAGACGGGACCGGTAAGGGAAAGGCGGCTAGATGTGCAATGCCAAGTGATTCTGCTCTCGCTCCGAGAAGCTAACAAGTAGATGGATGCATACAATGGGACCGGCTATGCAAGTGTCGATCTTGGTGAAGAAATGAGATGTTGCGAGGGAAGATTTGTGCACAGACGAACCGGTGGAAGCGCCATCGGATGCAAACGCGGCGGCGGCAGGAGCAACATCAACACCAGCCACAGCAGTGGCGATGAGCTGCAGAAGCAGGAAGGTGTCTCTTTCCCATGATGAGACGCAAACGAGACTTTTGGTATTGCAGTAGTAGTTGATGTACCAAGCAGTATGACCGACAAGCATTGTCATCATCCCAAACAGAGCGAGAGAAGTGAAATGACTGGCTGACGGAAAGAAGATGAGATGAAGAATTGAGAGACAAGCATTTCTTACCGACGTATCTAAAATCCGAATATGGTTGCTTCGCCTTCCTTGCGCGCATGATGCCAGGGGGTCTTGCGCGTGAGCTTGATAACCTGGCATACAACGTTTACCTCTTATATAGGCGTACTAGGCGACGATATATGCTGGAAACCGAGATGAAAGAGACGACACAACAAGGACTGATGCATACAGACAGTGGGACTTCATACCGAAGACGAGCAACGCGTCCCTCATAAGAGGTACGCATTACCTAGAGGCTGCTAATCGACTATGTTCCATGAGCTGATCGCATAGCAGTTCCGTCATGCGATAGCAGCTGAGACGAAAGCGCGTCGTAATGAAGTGAAAGCGCGTCCGGCTCCGCGATGAGGTGAAGTAATGAGAACCCTGGATGTTTGCAGAAGCGTCGTCCACATCCACGCCCGTGCCAAGCCGCCCGCCCGCACAAACCCGAACCCACTCCAGCCCCCGGAGCCTGCCGAACCACTTGTACCGGCAATGTGGTTCGCACCTCTTTTTCGCTGCACTTAACCGTCTTGCGTTCCTTGCACGAATCAAAAGCTTAATGCGGCGACCGCTCCTTCAGGAACATAATGCAGATGTTATATGCCTTACTTGACTACATGCTATCAACGGTAACAAAGGTAGGCACAATAGGCATGACTTCACCCGAATCACACAGTATTTTCGCTGGATGTTGCGCAGGGGTGTTGACTCAAGGAAGTCGTGGAAGTAGATTCACGGCATGGTGATGCGCAAAGGTGAGAATGTGAGGTAAGTCATGATATGGTATTTTTGCTGGTAGCAATGCAGTGCGCGCAATTTTGACTCCGCGCCGCAAATGCAGTCTTTCGTAAAAGCGAAGCGAAAAAGAATATCTCCGAGGTACAATTCCTCTCTGAAACATTACACCCGTAAGCAAGGTCGCCGTGGAGCCCCCCTTCCCACCCTGGAAAGCACATGCAGGCTTCCGCACCGACCGAACCATAAGCTTCCAACCACCGGTTTCCTGGTACGGTGTCCCATCTCTAACCCGAACGACAACGGAAGCAATGCGGTGCCAGCTACATACAACCATCGACAACCGAAACGCGCGTGACCAATGCAAATATACCTTCATACATACACAGAGCAATAAAACAACAAGTAAAAGGTATTCGCGATCCGCCCGAACAAAATATGTCCCGTAACTCCCCTTTCCATTCGTTCGTTTCCCAGGGTAGTCCAGTTCAGAAATAACAAATAAGCGGACGTGATAAAACATGCATAAGTCGTAACCAGAACGATGCCTTTAGCGCAGACGATGTGCGCGAGAGGAATATTGGACAGCGTATAGGAGGAGGTGAATAAGTAATACAGAAGAAGTAGAAGTGAAAGTGGGAGAGGCCGAGGATTCTCCATGGAGTAAGAAGGCCGATGGATGGCGTAGGTTCGGCGATCAGTGCTTCGAGTCTTCGATTTTAGGCGACGGAGTTTCGCGTTTGCTGTTGTTGTCGTCGGCGGTGGCTTTCCCACATCCTTTGACGAGTATGTGTCGCTGTTTATCTGTTAGTATTCTTACGATCGTTGTTAGGTAGAGTGACAAAACATACCTTGAGCGCATCCTTCCTCGAGAAGCTCTTGTCGCAGTGATTGCAAGGGAAAGGCTTAACAGCAAGATGAATCCTCTTATGCCTTTTCAGGTCGTGATTCCGGTTGAAGCTCTGCGGGCACTGGTCGCACTTGAACGGCCGGTCGTTAGCAGCAGGCTGTTGGTGTTGCGGGTGGCCCATGAAATGAGGCATAGCTGCCGCATGTCCGCTGTTGAAACCTGGCATCATCGCGGGATGGCCTCCGACAAGTGCCAGTCCACCGTTGGGGTTCTGGACGTTGGAGAAGACGGGTGCTTGGCTACCGGGGTATTGTAGTGGTGGCCTTTGCTGGTATTGATAGGGTGATTGTGCAGGGTTGTTGGAAGGGATCGAGGGGATGGAGCCCTGAGATACGGCGGGTGACATCCGATGCATGGATCCACCAGCGCTAATGGGGCTTTGTTGCTGGCTTAATGTGGGAGATGGGCCAGTAGAATAGGGGAAGTTGGAATGCTGAGGAGTACTGGCTGTGTGGTAACTATATGTTGGAGTCGGTGGTTGTGGTGGCCTGAAGGAGTCCTGGCTAAGGGCAGGCGACTGTTGTGGTGCCGAGGAAGAGACTGGTGTTTGTGCGCTCATCATCTGTTGGTGGTGGTGTTGCTGATGTTGATGCTGGGGTTGTTGATGTTGATGTTGTTGTTGATGATGATGTTGTTGTGTGGATATCGAAGGCATGCTCGCTCCGTTGGACGAAGGCGTAAAAGGTGGAAGTTGCTGGTTCATCTCATATGGTGGCGGATTCAGCCCTTTGCCCAGTGAGTCTTGTCGTCCAAGCTGGCCTTCACTGCGCGGTGGAGCAAACATACCTCCACGGGCTTGGCCGTATTGGCTCTGCTGTTGATGATGTGCAGCCGGGTACCCGTAGTGCGCAGCCGATCCCTGCGCTGGCGGGGAGTAGATGTACTGCTGCCCGTTGGAGTATGCCATTGCTGTGGAGTACTGTGCGCTGCTTGTAGAGACTCCTGATGAGCCTATCACATCACTGTGGTGTGTATTTGGCGGAGTCAAAAGGTTGCCAACGCTGGCTATCGTAGTCGGAGCCTGTGATGACTGAGATGTGGTGACGGTGTTGGTGAAGGGATATTTGTGCATGGGTGGTGGGGGTAGCTCAAAGCTGCCCAGTTGCTGGGCGTGAGGCCTCCGCGTTGCAAAGCTGGGAGGTACACCCATTGGGTCAGACCCAGGATGCATGGAAGACGGATGAGCCACGGCAGCAGCCACGTTGGCGGTTGTGTCCCGGGTAGGTCCTGATGACCTCCCTGCTTCAGATGAAGGAGGACTTGGTAGGGATTGCAACTGTGACGCTGCAAATGGTGGGGTGTAGTGCGCACCGGACCAATACAACCCACGTGAAGGCTGAGAATCCACGGAGGGCAACGAGCGATCCGTAGCTCAAAGGCGTGATGTGAGAGGTAGGGGCTCTAGTGGAGAGGAACAAGGTACAAATGATATGCAGGTAGTGGAGGGAAAGGGATCTTGTAAAAGGTCCTCCCAGTACACAAATACCCGCTCGGTCTGTGGATTCGCGATGTTGCTCCGGGTCTAGTCTCTCGTCGCGTCAGACGGCTAATGGCTGCTCCGTCCTTTGAGATGCTGCAATCGAACGAACGGCTCTGGCAATGGTACCTGCGCTGGTTCAGGCGGGCAGTGATACCGAAAAACGCACGTCTGGCCGCAAGTGCTCTCGAGAGTCTCAGTAACTGCGCGATGTTAGTGGTGCTCGTCGTCGCAGACCGTAACAGGAGGGCGTACAAGAGATCAAAAGCAGAGACTCGTGGAACTGTGGTGTTGTTCAAAACGGACTGTTCGGTAGGGCCCGGATTCCTGGTTGCGCAGACGTGGTGCTACTGAGGCTATTACACGGGATGTGTATACGATTGTTTGGGGCTAAGGACACTGAGTCGTCTACTATGACGGTGCTGGTGTTGTCGTCCAACGTTGATGGCAATGCTCCAGATTGGCTCTGATGGTTCTGCCGTTACTCGACCCAAGGTACTGGGTAGCGGTATTGCAAAATGTGGTGCTGTGCGTTGATGATACGACCCACTGATCCTTTGGCGGGCGGGGAGGTTGAGCCTTGTGAGGTGCTGGTGGTGGAGTTTGAGGCGTGTGGAGCGGCGATCACTCCTTGTTAAGCTCGGGACCTGGGCGCCCTAGAGGAGCGATGGCGGAGAATGGCTGGAACCTGGGTGGACTAAAGGCTTTGTTACCGCGAGTGAGTGGAGAGCGGTAGCCCTCACGTATATGTATGGCGGGCTAAAGATGTCAGGGTAGGTGGGCTCGCGTGGCTGACTGGCGCGCTGGGGCTTCAGGAATATCAAGGGCTCAACCAGGCGATAGGGTCCGTCCAAGCGTTTTGAGGATCTGGATCGGGATGGGAGATGAGAATTAGCTCGAGAGCACGCCTCAGGTGAGCGGGCGGGAGCGCTATCCACAGACGCACTTTGTCATAATAAGGCAACGCAAACGAGGCACGGCAGAAGTAATGCGACGAATGAATGACAAAACCACACCGTTCAGGTCCAGTTTAGAGAACTAGTCGAGCATGGGGCCGCACACAACAATGCATTGCCAGGGGGTGAAAGCACCCACCGTAGCCAGACCCTGTCCACAGGCCATCTGTCGGAGTCTGCTGGAGTGCGGGACGGCTTGGACCAGCAAAGTGGAGGAGCAGTCGCTTGCGCCGGCCCGTGAGCTCTGAGGACGTCTGATTATCTCACATCACACTTGCTGATGGGCAACGAGGAGTATCCCCGTGCCGGCACTTGTTTCGACCCTCGTCCATTATGACGAGTAGTGGCGCAAAAGGAAGAAATTGGGTAGGCATGCGGCTGCTCCCCTGACCCAGACTCGCGGCACGACAAGAGACGGGCAAAGGACAAAATGCTTTTGTCTTTCCCAAGTACCAAGGGTTAGGAGCCTACTGGCACTCTAACATGCGTTGGGACTGGCGCCAACAGGACCTGGGAGAGCCTGTGGGCGCACGGACATGGTCTGGCCCAAACAGTGCCGGGGCAGAGACAAAGCACATTCAAAGACGACCCTTACCTGGTTTGCCCAAGCTCGCCGTTGCTGGAGGCCAATCCCCGTTACTAGCAGCGCTGATCGCAGAGGTAGTCCGGTCGGTGGGTAGCAGAAGCGCTATCCAGCAGGTAGGACATGAGCGCTTCCGTCGCAGGCCTCATCACGCTGCATTGTCGCGAGCTTCAGCGTCAATCATGGTCTCGCGAGAAACAGACAAGAGGCCAGCTGGGAAGTGCTTATCCCTGCAGGGATTCCAGTTCGGCGACCTAGGCTGCGACCGTGCTTCAACCGCTCCGCGAGTTAGCTGACGACATGGCGCTCTGAACGAGCGGGCTAGCGCTAGCCGAGATGGAGCATGACTGCGAGCAGCACATGATGAAGCGATGGACTACCGTGCGCTTAAGCGGGCGTGTTTCGACGGCAGGATGAAAGAAAAGTGGGAGGTGTGCTCGAGTGTCGGATCGACCTGGCACCCGTTCCCTGTACGCGGTCATTGCTCAGTTGACCAGTTGCGGAGCAATATGAAGACAGTCAAGGCGTCATTCCGGGAGGCTGCTGTTGGCCCCGAGATGTGTAATAATGGGCCACTTGAAGGGTGAATTGTCGGGCTAAAATTAGACCTTTTGCTATATTGCCTGCGGCACGTGTGCCTCTGAACAGGCATGGTGCAATAAGCAGAGCATTCGATACCCTGCTCAACTCAATCTCTCTGACGCCAGACCCGGCGCACCGTCGTCGTACATTCTGCCTAGATGGGTGGATCTCCACGTGGAAGTGCATATTCGGTCCATTTTGCGCGCGTCTGGTGCCGTCTTTTGGGTCTTGGAATCTCCGTCGCTGCAGTGTGTGTCGCAGGCAGCGGCGTCCAGCCTCCAGCCTCTGCGGAAGCACAAGGCGCCGGCGGCTTTGCGTGACAGCTGCTGCACGATGGAAACGCATCGTGGAAGGGCTTGCGAGGCGTCAACGATGCATCTGGCGGATGCTGTGTCGTCGAAGCCTTTCCCAGCGGCCTGGTTTCGCCAGTTGGCGGAGTGGCGGAATGACATGGCTACAAGGAACTGGGGACGACTCCGCGGTCGATCGGGCTCTCGGTTGTCTGCAAGCCTGGCCGTGTGGTAGTTGGGCTGATGCCACAGACCATTGTTTTGGGGCAGCCGCTGCGAAGCCATGCCCGTTGCGCTGCGGTGCAGGGCCAAGGCCCAGCAGAGATCTCGTAGCCGCAGCCGATGGCCGGCTCCTTCAGCGCCCTCAGCGCCCGCAGCGAACTGCGAGAGGCTGGTTCGGTGGCTTGCTGCTTCTCCCCGTCTCGGGTCGCGGTAGGCGTCACAACGTGGACAGCCCCGGCCATGTGTCTGCTTCCGATGGTGCCAGGATGCTGTGGGTTGACAGCTGCTGCACGACAGAAGGTGCAGAAGGAAACAGAAGGAAACCCGTCACATTGCATCGGCATGCTCCCTTTCATCTCAGCGTGTTTTGTCCCAAGTGATGGGGTGGGCATTTTCGTGTCATCCATGGCGCGCCTGCCCAATCACCCCAGGCCGTAAGCGAGGCCTCCGCGAAGGGCAGTCGCGATGTGAAGCCGACCGGTCGTGCCTTCCTATTGCGCTTGCATCGCACATGGCAGCGCACCTCGAGTAGAAACATGCGGCATTCACTCCTCACCCACGGCAACAAGCCTAGGCCCATTGCAGCAAGCCATGCGTCGACAGCACCTAAGCAGCCGCCAGGATCGCCGTCTGGCATGGCTATCCCAGCGCCCCAGCTGCAAATTATCCCCTCTACCGGTTCTGCACGCTTTGCTGATCTAAACAACGCGCTATACGTGCGTACGGTACCCTTCAACCCCACCCATCGTCATCATCTCAGCCTTGCCAGCTCAATCTCCGCCTAGGTGCCAGCTAGATGACGCCGGCTGTCGTGATCCCACGGTACTTGGTACGTCGCCTCGTGACCAGCGACGCCAGACTTGCCCTGCACCTCACCGTGCGTGTCTACCAAACTCCAGTCCAGACTATCAACGTCCGCGGCGGTCACCTCCGCCAGTGTGGCCGCGCTAAGATCTCGCCCGTTCGACTTTACAGATCTCAGCACAAGCGTCTCAGGCGTTCGGAGTGCCCGTGGCTCCACATTCTTGGCTTCGTCACACGCGGGCTGCAAAGTCTAATCAGCGCGCACCGACTCGACCAGCGCAAACATCGTGCCCCTTCCCCGTCACGGCCCAGCCCTGGGACGGAAGTCCTGGTCCTCTAACCGACGACGCCCACCCGCACGCCTGGGACCGTCTCTCCCCACCACCCAATCCGATCAAATTACCTTTCGCTCTCGCACTCTGTTCCATCAAACCGTCGGCTACCGAGCACGGCGGCCGCGTTTGGAGCCGCATTTAGTCATTGCCCACGCTGTGCGGCACAGTTGCGGCATCAATTCTCCTCAGCGTCACTAAACTCTGTCTCGCACATTCCAGTGTCTTGGACCAAGACTACTACATGCGCCGTCGTCTTGTCGTATACTCATCGTACACACCGTACAGGGTTTACCACTCGGGGAAGTGCACTTCCGTCAACGTCGGCAATACTTGACCGGCGCGCGACTCGCAGCAAGGTCATCGTGATCTGAAATGACATCTTATGCACCCCACGTTATCAGAGTTCACAGCTTTGTGTTTGGGCTCGGCACCTTCTCCTGCGTGCTGCAGCCGTCAGCGCAGCCTTCCCAAACTCTACTACGCACATCCCAGCACCGCTAGGCCTTGACTCGCCAGACCCTGTCCTACACGGTGTGCTCAACGCAACTCTGCGTCAAAGCACGTTTGGGCTGCCCCCCATCACAGCGCTCCTGTCTAATTACCAGTTCGTGCCATCACAGCATGATTTGTCTTCACCATGTTCCCCGCCTACGCTAATCACAGCTGGCCATCCCCCAACGCCTGGAGCCTCAGCCGCCCAGTCCGCCTCGCTCAACCCGACCTCGCTCTCTATCTCTGTCAATATTCTCCGTTAGCGCTCCATCCTCATCTCCCCGAGTATAACACCGCAGAAGACTGTTTTGTCAAGAAACGCGTCTGTGCTGCGGGTATTGAGGCCATCTTTGGCCTGCTCGACTGTACCTGCGTCAGTGGTATACAGTAAAGCACAAGTCTGTGTGGCGCCGCCATCATCTACACTCCACATCGATGATCCCGTTGATCGTCCCCAGGAGCGTTGTGCTTTGCCTGGATGAGCGCGCCAGATGTCGTGTCCGCTAGGCCCGACGCCCAGCGCCCGCAAAGCCATCCCGTCCACAGGTGCGCCACGCATCCATGATGCACGCAGGGAACACCGTTGTCGAGGTTTTCCTTTGTTCGGAGCATGGCCTACTTTTGTCCTAAGCTGCTGCCGTTGGAGGCTTTCGTCCCCAGGCCCCGAGGGTCCAGCCAGAGCAGACCCTCCATGACTCGTCACTGCCCGCGCGCTTCTTTCATCAAATCGAACGAGCATACGATAAGCTGTTCACGGCAAACCCCGCTAATGCTATTGCTCCAGGCGCTGACTCGATTTTGACTGTCAACCAACACTGACGTGCGCACAACGAACGCGATTCGCCCTCTCGTACACCTACGCTCGTTGCGAGCGCACCAGCCACTAAGAAGGATCTATTCAATTCCTCTCGCTTGTCCGCGCGTAAACATTGGTGGATAACTTCTGAATTGGAGAAGCGCCAATGATGTGGGCCGATGTTCGCAAGTACGGAAACCTGCTTCCTATGCTCACGCATTTTTTCTTTGCATGTTCCAAGCCAACCATGGGTGATCCACCTCCAGCATGTTTCACTCCCTATCTTCAATCGAGGGGCATAGGTACAATCGTTTTACGTGTCCAATACCCTTTACCGCGCGTGCTACTCAATGGGGGGGCCTCCATCTCGCTTAGCGATACGAGAAAACATCAGACCATAGTGGCCTTGTGCTACAGCACCTGTCTGCATGCAAAGTGTTCTCGTCAGGCCCAATCACAATTTTCTTTACTTTTTCTCGACTGCTTTTACCGTCCTGCAATCTTCTGGCCCCCCCTCAACAACAAAACGTCCTGGTTCGCAGACTTGCGATTCGTCCGATGCGGACTGAACAGCATACACCAACTGCGAGGCATCTGTCTGATCGTCGCCAAAAAGCACCAGAAGATCCACCGGCTATCTCGTGATCCTCGAATGAGATTACCGAGATCTCGTCCTTGACTGTCAAGGTCACACAACGATGCAGATATAACAAGATGACCTTCTATCACACGACGTCAAGCTCCCAACTACTAGTCTTGTCGCTGATGCTTACTGCAGCTTACGCTCCTACCTGCATCCACTTGACGGCGTAAGCACTCCCGTCTGACAGCAATCTATGGTACGGCAGTAAGGGAAATGCGGCTATCTTTGGCCCGCCTTAGCCTGGCGTGCTTGGTTGCAAGTGTGGCTTGCCTGACTGCCAAATGCATTCGTCGTCAAGCATCGAACGTAGAGATCGCCAAGGGACGGCTCGCGCGCGTTTGGGCAGTGTGTACTGCGGGGCGAAACTGGACGAGAGAGAGGGCGTTTCCCGTGTGCACTCCAATTGAGGGCTTCGCTCGAACCACTGCGCTTAAATGTTGGGTCTGTCACCTGTCAAGCGTATCGACAGGCTGTGGTTTTGTTCTGCATTCGACCAACTATCACGGGCGGCAAACCTCAATATGCTAGTCTTCGCTGTGACGGCGGGCCCCTGACAGCTGAGGAGACCTCCGTATTGACCGGACACGGCGCCTCACCCTTTGGCAGCGGCGTACACACACCGATGGGCCTCTAGTGACGGCTCATACTGAGACCGTGTCTCTCCTTACAGACCGGATACGTGAGTTTCCGTCTGACCGATCACGTACATTTTCGGCCATCTTTTACGAGATATGCCTCTTGCTCGCTAGTCTTTGTTATCGTCGTATCACACATGTACTCAGCTTACATTGACCCAAGACGGAGTTCGGATGCTTCGATGCACCAGTGTTCTCCTTCCGGAAACGTGTACATGTCTTCAATTGCCAATATGTCACTAGACGGACTTCATTGTCTGACTGATCTCGCACTTGGTCGCTAGATGCTGCCTTTTCTAACATCTCCGGACATGTGACCTTACTACAAAATGTATCACCTAATATCCGTATTACTACGTCACTAAGTTCGTTTTCTCGGCCTCAAGACTTCCCAGACTTGAACGCGGAAGCCAGAAGAAAATCAGCAGTGTGCATGACGCTCCCACCAACACCCCTCTCGGTACGCCACGGGCCCAACCTCGAGCTTCCGTCAGGTTGGTGTCGGGGTCGGAGCGTCCCTTCCACCGTCACCGTGCCATTCCACTAGCACACGCCACAAGCTCGCGGGGTGGCAGCATAGCAACTGTCCATGCGTATATCCTCCGATGCAAAAGCTCGGTGGTGGTGTATGCGCATGGGTATCTGTGTTATGCGCATGAGTGTGGTTTACGTCATATCGCATGTATTTGTGCTTTTCACATCACATGGGAATTTAAGATCGAGATTCTGGATATGTTGGTAGATGATGTAATACTACAATGGTATGTGTGAGACGACAAGGTTTGACACAGACACATGCAGGTATTGTCGTTGCAATTCGATTATGTCAAAATTTCTCATTGTGCGAATCTCATCATTCTGGATGTTGACACTTTTGCATCTTCAGACTGCTCGGTGGGCAATTGACCATATTTTCATGACAACTGGGTTCGTTTAGATATCGAGGTTCATTTCGTCGAAGTAAACAAAGGTGGGTGGTGACTCCCATGATCTCTGTTCACTCTTTTTTGTAAGTAGAAACGTTCGAAAACTACGGAACCCAATTTCGTGGATTTCCAGAAGCCTCGAGGTAGACATGTGCGAGCGCACACATGTTCAAAATAGAAATAAATTTAAGAAGTTGTTGGAGCAGACGAAACAGAAATACGTATTCCTTAAACGTGCTTTTTGATAATTTCATCTACACGAGGAATAATGAGGAGCAAAGCCCTTGAAGTCGGAGAGGTATTTATACCCCAGAGATCTTCTAAGTAGCACATTATGTTCTTCCTCGGATTTTGAGACATTTTCGTAGGAGCAGCCCGACAACGGAAAAGCCATCAACTAACCGCTCCGCTGTTTTGGTGGTTTTCATGTCGCATATATGTAGTATTATTTTGAGGTGTTCCGAGTCTGGATACTTGCAGTTCCTTTCCTTCGACGGAGAACATAAGTTTTCTGATCTCTACATTGAACTTGTTCAAGGTCACCCAAGATGATTCTGGTTCTGTTGGACTGGCTTGTCCTTTTGTCCATATAGTGAACACATCGGTTTTTGAAATCGCTACTTCATAACAGCTCAAAAGAAGGAAGAGCATGGCTTTTGTGCAGTCTCGTTTTGGAAAAGGCCGGTGGAAAGTAATGTAGTGAAGAGGAAGAGGAAGCTCCACATATAGTTTGTATTTTGCGTCGACAACGCAAGGGCTCATGATCTTGCAAACTCGGTCTCTAGAATGGCGGTGCGAGCAGGCAGAACATCCACCATGCACTTTGTCTATTTGGTAGCGTCTCTTCGCAAAGCCATGTGTTGTGTAATTCGATTTTTTTTTGGGGAAGATGGAATGCCCGCAGCGTCTTCTTTCTCGCCTGAGAACATGTCCGATTCGTTGTCGGTTTTCAGAGACAGTCCAAACGAGCCAGAAGTCATAAGGATTTTGGTGTTCCATTTTTTCGTGCTGTCCACTCGACAAGATACATGGTATTCCTGAATTGCGCTTTTGGAATCCACCAGGGCGGAGGACATGCAGTCTTAGCGATCGACTTTTGGAAGTAAAAAGCTTTTGGTGGTATTATAAAGATGAAGAAGAGAGCGCAAGAAATGGAACAGTGATTTGGTATCGAAGCTGTCTTTTTAACATCTCCATAGGAGTCGTGCAATGATCACAGCTCTTAGCCTCGTATTTCTGGCGCAGCTATTTTTGAGTTCTCGGAGGCGAAACAACATATTGCAAAATTCGTCGGACTTTGGAAAGAATCCGCAGAGACTGAGGTATGAGGAGAGAGTATTCTCAATTGAGAGGTTTTGTAAGTCGATAAGACGTCACGCTAGCTGAACGTCGTTGGCGTGGTGGGTAAGTATGCTGACTGGAGTTCTGCACACCGACTACCATCTCATCTTGAACTTTGCGTAGTCGTATTAGCAGTACACTAGCAATATCCCAAGGCTCTCTTATCTTTGGGACTATATCACGTCTTCCCAAACTGCGAATTTAAAGCAGGAGATCAACAATTCCAGTTTATGATACCCCCGATAGCCGCCATCCTCCCCTATCCACTCTTCTAATATCACGCATGCAACCCAAAGACCAGGTCCCCCCTCTCAACCCAACCGTCCGGTCAGGATCGCTGGGAATGGTGGGGAGTACTAGAGTGAGAGGCGCTTGAGCTGGCACATATGCTGAAAGCGGTGAAACATGCGTCTTGTGCGTGTGTGTTTATGGGTGGGTGGTGCAATGGGTTTCGTCGTGTTGCTTTTGCTTTTTGGGGAAGGGTGGTGCAAGATATATTGCATGGTAGGACGAGATTAGGGGGGATGGCTGAGCCACCCCGAGGAGGAATGGAACTTGTGAAAAGTCCATGACGATGTAACTGTAAATTTATTAGTTGAAGGTGCAGTCGTTTCTTGTAGTTGTAGTTTCGTGATGTCAGTAGCTGTGAAGTTCTCACTGATACTCGCGATATGATTGAAGCATCCAGAATGCTATTTGTATGTGCTGGTAGTCTTAGTGCAGTTGAAAAGCTTGACTTGAGAGTGTTGAAACCATAGCCAACAGTTTACAACACTACGCGGTAATCTTTGGTAGGCCATGGGAGGCCCCTACAGAACCGATAGTGCTGTGAATCGGCGAAAAGTATTAGACGATGACGCAGTGCAACGCTCCTTCGTACCACCGCATTGAGCTATCGTCGGTAGCATCCTTCCGTATGTTTAACGACACCAACGGCATCGGAGACATTTGTTCGCCGGAAAGCGGATTCGGAGACTTCTTCCCCCTTAGCCTACCTCTTCGCCTACCGATAGCTCTTGTCTAGCAACGATGAAAACCCGCGCCGGTCTTCGTCTCGTACCTATATCAAACAAAGTATATGTAGCATTGCGCTTCACTCTGAGGATCAACTTACCCTACTCAACAGCTACACTCCAACCCCACCTTTTGCACAACCAACACCATCAACCATGACCGAAACCTCACCTACCAAACCTCCTCTTCCAGCGTTCGACCCGCAGAACTGTCAGACGTACGCAGCGAGTTGCCACTGCGGTAGCGTACAGTACTCAGTTCTACTCTCGCCGCCGCTGGCCCAGTGGAAGGTTGTATCGTGCAACTGCAGCATCTGCACGCGCAACGGCTACTTGCTCGTGTACCCCGAACGGTCGCAGCTACAAGTAAAGAGCGGTGAAGACATGTTGAGAGACTATTCCTTTGGTGTTAAGAGGGTTCTGCATAGGTTCTGTAGTAGGTGCGGGAGTGCGGTCTGGCTTGATCCTAGGATGGGCGAGTTTGGGGATACGCCGCCAGATCTTCTGGGAATGAATGTAGGTGGTATCTGTCCCGTAGGGGTTGTCAATGTGAGAGACTCGGGGCTAACCGGAGCAGGTTCGTATGTTCCATGGTGTTCAAGCGGAGGAGTTGGACGTTGTCCATGTTGAGGATCGAAATCCATGAGGGTCAGGGAATGGAAATATGTAATGATACATGGAATCTGCGTTGTCATCTGAGTGAAGACGCGCATGCGCTCGAACGCGCGATGCTTTCTACGCGAATGCAGGTGCTCGCGATGTGATCTGACCGAAATATACAACGAATAAACGCGTGAAGGTTTCAAGAGTGACGATGTAGAGAGTGCATGCGATCAGGCGTCGTCGCGTCCATGGCTGAAATTTCGCGATGGAATTGATAAGAAAGGTGGACAGGATGCGAAGTCAAGGTGCTCGATATCGCCAAGCCGCTAACCTTCAGCCTCGGTGAGGTGATCCCTGCCATCAATCCGCGATATCTCCATCACTCAAGTCTACCAAATCTCAACCTGTGTAATTGCTACCTGCAGCTAGTGGTCAGTATGTCACGAGTGCGCATTGCTCTCAATAGCGCACCTTCCAAACAGTCCTGCCAATCCGCCTGCCGAACGTTCCGCTCCTCCAGCTACCATACGCATCGCGATCTTCCCCTCCCCCTCCAATCCCGCATCCGCTGGTCGTACTTCTGGTACGCCAGTATCCTCGCTCTAGGCATCACAACCGGTCTAGGTGCTCGCCACTTTGCCGCGCCTCTCGGTCTCCCAGAGCCCGGCTCAAGAGAAGACGAAATAATCCTCGACTCTCTGCGGCGCGACATCGATGCTCTCGAAATCGTGCAATCCTTGCGTTCTCAATCATACAACCTACACACCGACACAGCGCTCCGGTCAGGGCCAGGATTGACGTCCTCTCCTCCTGGATCGAGCCGAAAGATATCAGCATACAAAGGGTGGCTGGAGCTGGATCTGGACTTTGGGAGAGAGAATGCAGGCAAGAAAGGTATATTGGGCGTCATGAGTGGGACGCGGGGATTGGGTGTACAAAGAGCGTTTTGGAACGCCGAGACAAGAGAGATGGTGGCTGTGGTCTGGATAGGAGGAGGAATGAGTGGGTGGCCCGGTGTTGCGCATGGCGGGGCTATCGCAACCGTTTTTGAAGAGATAATGGCGAGGATGGTCAGAGGGCCAGATGGCATTGTGGGTGTGTATACAATTTCCGGAAAATATAGAGGATACGGTCATGCTGACACTGAAGATAGAGCCAGTTCACCGTCCAGACTCTCTCAGCCTAACCTACGCCAAACCGACCTACAGCCTCGACTTCTACGTCCTCCGCGCCTCCTTCTCAAAACCTGACCTTCCTCAATCCGAGCCGCCGCCTGAACCTGAAGCGGAACCTACAAAGAGTTGGTTGGGATGGCTGTCACCACAGAAGGATCTGACGAAGAAGACCGACGCGTCGAGACAGAAACAGGAGATTGTTGCGACGCTGGAGAGTGTCGGCGGAGACCTTTGTGTCAAGGCTAAGGGCACGTTCAATGGAAGTAGCCCTGTCGTCTGAGGGGTTGCGGTGGCCTCGTACTAGTGATGAGATGAGAGAAGGCCCTACATCAACGGAAGGGAGACTTGATAGGATACTTGAGAATCGACATGCAAGCTGAGATACCCAATAGCGAAATGATCAGATCAAACAGGTTACAAGAAATGGGATGATACCTGGGCTCGCGCGTCTGACAAAGCAAGATACATCGCTCCTTGCTGCAAAAAGAGATGGATGTCACTGGCATGGGCAAAAAGAAACAAAACATACAACAGCGGGGATTCGCTAGTGGTCACCCACCTAACTACTAATCCGCCGGTACACTGCTTGTATATGGCTGAGCGGACGGGAAGCCTAATTTTCAGTGTCCTATGGTCGTATGTGAAAGAAAAGAAGAGTCAATAATCTTATCTCCTGCTTGATCAATTGTTCTCGTTACGTCTCGGATGGCCAGTTGCCCCTTGGACTTCCCACAGCAAACACTCGACGTCTGGCTTGCACTAATTCGCACCTACAAGGACGCAGAACAAGATGGTAATGTACAAGACGCCTTGGCTCGTGCGGCCAGTTCCTCCGCACTCTTTCTGGCCTGGAAGATCCAGCTTGGGCAATGCCTTTGTCCTTCTCTCTACTAGCCCTCTTGGAGATACTCTTCGCGTACGGCAAGCACGAATTCGTCGATGTTGTGCTCCTTGTCATGGAAGAGCGAGCCGAGTATACGCTCTACGACAGCCCTGACAACATGGTTGATCTTTTTCTTCGTATGGGCATGCTTTACCAACAAGAGAATGTGTGGGAAGAAGCAGATAATTATTACCAGCATGTGCAAGCAGCAAGTGGAAAAGCTTCTGGACGTAGGGATACTCGGACAAGGACTATCGAGGATGCTCGTCGGCAGCAGCACCGGCAGCAGCACCTGCAACCTCAAAAACGATCAAGGCAATGCGGTCAAGATTGAGTTGATCCTGCGCCGTCATATAATGACCGCCCAAATTCTTGTCTAGTTCCAAAATCCGTAGCTTCCCGAGCACCCGAATGGCCTTGCGGTCGGCGGTGCTGACAGCGAGGCAGTGGTGAGATGAGCGCGTCCTGCGAGTTTTACCGAAGCTGTGTGCTTCGTGAAAGCAACCAATACCGATTGCATGGTGTTGGTGTTTAACGAAGCTTTGAGGCGGTGCATCTTTATCAGTCTTCCTCGTGTAGAGTTGGCGAACGGCGGCAACACTGCGAATGTAGAACCAAGGATAGTCGGAGCGAGGAATTTTCTCGCATGGCCAGTCTAGACTGTGCCGTTCCAGTCTACCGACCTCAGAATTCTTGTCAAGGATGCCCACATGAGGCAATGTGTCATAAAGAAAAAAGCGTATTGTTCTTCAAGTGTTCGCTCCTGGTCAGCGGAATTCGAACAATTGCGGCTTCTGACGGATCTTACGGCCTGCATCCAGTACCAGATCTTCCCTACAACAGTCTCCTACTAGTTCATAATGTTGGTCAACAGGTCTTACCACAAATGGAACAGCACACCCCGCAAGAAAACATATGCGATCAGTCGGCCTTGTGTCCACGGGTACCCAGGCCAGATACTTTTGCTTTGTAACGCTGAATTTCCGGCCAGCTGATAGCTCATAGAATCCGCTTTCGTACATCTTGTTATGAGAGCCCGGTTCACTGTAACTTCGCAGGAGGCTGGGGTGATAGTGTGCCTGTCCTGCTAAGCTTTCATACGCACTGAATAATGCCTGAAGTCCCTTCATGTAGTGACTAGCCAATATATCCGTTTCTTCGAGACGTACACCAAATGCCATCGCACGGCAAAGCCTTTCAAAGCGGACGTCCTCAGCTGAGGGCAGAAGAATCGACATAGCTACTACATAACACATAGATATCCAATTCATCATATCTCTGGCTGACTTCCGGGTTTTTGTGTCAGTTCCGAGCATTGCCGGCCAAGTCGGATCCATATATGGCTTTGAATTGATGATCACAGTAGGCTCGTCCAAGATTGTCCCTGATATGTACAACACCTAGAGAGTTAGATCTGTTGTATAAAAAGCCAACAAGTAAACTCACTTTTTCTTTGACAATAGCATGATCATAAGGATGTGTAAAAGTTGTAGTGCCTGTGTAGTAGCGCGTCAAGGGGACGAAGTTGAATCCGATAGGCTTCCAGTCCGGCACCCAGCTCGGTAGATCTGATGATCCTGGGGAGCAGAATTTGCAAGCTAAAAATCTGCTGACTCTGTGCAGATTGTTCCGCTCAACTTGGAGCTGCGACGGATGGAAGACACTTCCAATCCACGTTATCCTAGGAACTAGTATGTTGAGAGCCGTCGCTGCAATCTCTGTGAATACTGTTGCCTCGCTCTTGCGGTAATTGATCATTTCCATTCCAACTGCTGTTTGTGTCGACAAGAGTGCAAAAACTCGGTCTCGAGGATCTGTGGCTTCAAGTTGTTGGCTCCTGCACCATATATCGAAAATTCGAGGACCACCACCCACTCCCATTTCACGGCCAAACTGACCCACTCCCAAAGCAAAAAGTCTCAAGATCGCTTTTCCGGTATCGCGAACATCTCTTTCGCGACACACAACTTCTCGAATCGCAACGCACACTTCTGTGGCGAATCCGCAATGCAATAGGAGTTCAGTTGGAATCTCCAGTGCACCGGACATAAAAACGGATTTCGTCGCGTTCGAAAACTCTTGTACAATCCAAACACGCCCAAACCATGGGCGACAAAAAAGAGAGGCCCATCCGGCCCAACCGCGATCAAAGGAAGAAAGATTCATCTCTTCCAGAGTCTTCAATCTGTGCCGTTCCAAATCCAGCCGATGCGGAAACCTTTGGGAAAAGCTTCTCATCAGATTAATCGCATCTTCATCGTAAAGTTCCTGTTGTCCGAGCCAGAATATGACCTTTGCGGCGCGCTTGTAGATGTCTCTCATCATAGCCACTTGGAAGCTCTTCTCTTCTTCGTCCCTTTGGTTGATGCAGATGGCGTCTACCCACAGTAGGCAATTAAACTGCTGTTTCTGTAGTTGTGATAAGACACCCAAGAGATTGCGTGTAATCGACTTTGTATGCCCATTGCATATGATCTCGCATGGCGATGTTGTATCGCCCCAGACATATGAGAGCGCAGTGAATTGCGTTTTTGAGTCGAGGTTGAAAGTTTCGAGAGTGATCTGAATGCCTTCTTCGCCCGTTCCCGATTTGATGCGCAATAAGCGGATGGCTCGTCGGTGCGGCAGCAGCGAGTATAATGTGGCGTCTGGCATTTTGAAGTTGTCCCCACTCGTTTTGTGCATATACTCTCAAAGGAAAACACGAGACTACAGCTCGAGGGGATAACCGACTATTCAGTGAGGTAGCCGGTGAACTGACCGGATATCTCGTAGGCAAAGTCGCGTTCGTCCGCGTGACGAACTCTGGCGCCTGATTCGCCAACCGAGATCTCAACAGAATCCTCCACCACATCAATACACGAGTTTCATAACCGAGAATCGATGCTATTGGGGTTATATAGCAATGCGCAGCAGATCACATGACAACCAAATAACCACGCCACTTCGCGAGCAGAGCCCCACCACCACGTATATTTGGATAACTTAGCGACGACCCAACTCTTCGACCAATCCAACTGGATGGCATCCTGCGCCAGGTTTTCCTGAGAATTCCCTCATCATGCGTGTTTTGTGTCTTGAGAACCATAACTAGTTTAGCTTCGAGGAATTCGTTGGCAAGTATATTCCGCCGCATGCTACCTAGGTATTCTTTCGCATACCTGTGGAGCAGCTGGATGCGGGGTTACTTATGCAGACATAATAAATGGAACATGGAAGAACAAATTCGGCTACATTAAGGTCTGTCTTTGCATGAAGCAAGCTGAGAAGAATGGTCTCCAATATTTTTGGGTCAATATCTGCTGCATCGACAAGACAAGCAGCACTGAGCTATCAGAGGCCATTGACTCCATATACTCCTGGTATGACAAGACGAACACCTGTTTCTTCTTCTTGGAAGATCTTTTGCCTGGGACAAAAATTTCTATGGACTATGGCTAGGATCCGGTGGTACTCGCGGCGCAAAGGGGGGTCGAGGTGATGGGGCGGGTGATGGAAGAGGAGGCGATGGGCTCCGATGGTTCCTGCGCCCTGAATACAGACACCGTCTCATGTCTTGTTGGCACGTTAACACATGCTTCTGGTACTGAATACTCGCACATGGCGGCACCTTCACCACGGCTGCCACAGTAGCGCGCTAGATCGGCGCTAACGCAGGTAAAAAAGCTTAGCACATTGTACTTGTTGCTCATACATTCTATGCGATGACTGTGAAATCAGGTCGGCACTTTAATGTCGATGAATTGACTGGAGGTTGTGTGGGTATATTCATCTAGATTAGGGAAGTGACTGCCCAAACAGGCGCTCTGTGACTAGAAATGGTTGCGCCTGCAACTTCAGGACGTGCTCGCCTGGTGGCTAGTGGCTCTTGCTTCATTGCACCTGCCAGCACCCGCCAGACCATACTTGCGTGGTTCAGCTCACACTCACCACTCTGTCTGCACTCTTCAACTCTCTCTCGCTGCTGTTGCCTAGGCATCTGCGATGCTGCGTCTGGTCGCCGCACTACAAATCTACACCCCGACATCCTGATCCGACTATCCTCGCTCGCCCCAACATTCGTTTTCCGTGTCGCGGTCAATCACGATCTCCCGTCGGTCTACCGACGCCTCGAACCATACGTATACAAACGACGACAAGCACTCGAGATCCGTTCTCACACGTCCGGGCGAAATGTACCTAAGAGGGTGCGGTCAAGTTTTGTTGGCAGCCGGCCTGCTACTGCTCCCTCTGGTCGGCTCCGTCAGCGTAGACGATGACGGTACATGGGTGGTCGGAATCATCGATGGTGACAAATGGCAAGTCAGAGACGACAGAAAACCATCTCTCTACACTGCCGACTATGGCGACTGCCTAGGCAAGAGCGCAATCAATGTCACGCGATTCGACGCTGCCTACTACAAAGACAACATGACGATCATTTTCCACCTGGAAGGTGAGACTGGGCTACGAAGAGAGGACATAATGATGAACATCGGCGTTTATGCGTACGGCGAGAGTCGATTCGACCTGACCTTCAACCCTTGCGACGCCAACATACTCAGCGCTTGTCCCGTCAAAGCCGGCGTTCCCATCGAGGCGGCGGGCATCATACCGATCAATCAAGACGACGTCGCAGGGATTCCAGAAATCGCGCTGAGCATCCCCGACTTCGAAGGCCAGGCGATCCTGCGGTTGTTTTCAAACTCCACACAGAACGAAATCGGCTGTTTTGCGGCACAGATTACCAATGGCTTCACCTTTCAGCAGAAAAGCTCAGTGGGCTCAACGCTAGGATTCTTCACTCTCATAGCCGTCGTTTCCTCTTTTGTTACAGCCGCCTACGGATCCAACATCGTCGACATGCGCAAGCATTACGCCCATTCGCTGTCAGTGTCTGTGGTCTTCGCGGTATGGCACCACATCTTCTACAGCGGGGCGCTCTCAGTGAACTGGCCCAGCGTCCTCGTGGCCTTCTGGAGCAACTATGCCTGGGCTGGGGGTATGATCTACTCTGAGCCAATGCAGAACACGATCAACGATTTCATTGGCTCGAACAAAGGAAACACGTCGCATGTCGGCGCCGCAGGTACGGGCGAAAGCAATCCTCATCTTGGAGGAGGGGTCGACATCCACCAGATATACAAACGAAGCGCTCTTTCTCGAGATCTGAATCTCCAATCTGCCCTAGCCAAGCGCCATCTCGTCGACGTGAATAGCGGATTCAAATATTACGGACTGCCCGTAAAGCCTGGACTGCCACTTCCGGGCAACTATTCTGGATTCGCTGGTACCCTTGCGACGGAACACATCCCAGCAAGCAACGCTTTCATGACCGGACTGCTCTGGTTCTTGGTCTTGATTACATGCGGTGTTGTCTCTGTGCTCTCCCTGAAAGCTGTCCTCGAAGGCTTGAGTAGCATACGTGTTGTCAAAAAGGACCGCCTAGCCTTTTTCCGAACGCACTACCTTACCTTCGCTCTATCGACTGTCCTGCGAACGATTTTCATCGGGTTTTACATGTTGACATTTCTGGCCATGTTTCAGTTCTCCTACCTAGCTCTTTCAGGTCCTGTTGCGGTCGCATGTGTAGCCTTTTTCGCCGTAGTATTCGGCATAGGCAGTATCGCCGCCTATGCTTGTTTCTCCAGACTTCGGATCGGCAAGTATGCCTCTGAACCCGACTGCTTGAACATAGCCAAACGACGCTTGTACAAGCTCATTCCGTGGTTCAGTATTTCGAGGAATAGCAAAGTGCCGCGCTCCGAAGATGAGGTTTACATCGGTTCAATTCCTTGGTGGACGATACACGCCACGGCGGATACCACGTCAATCCATGACGACGAGCAGTACACGACAAGGTTTGGTTGGCTCGCCTCCCGCTATAGGAGAACTCGTTGGTGGTTCTTCGTCGTCTGGCTGTTCTACGAATTCGTTCGAGCATGCTTCCTTGCTGGCGCATCTACACAGCCCTTGGCCCAGGTGTTCGGTCTGCTCGCTGTTGAGATTGTCGCTTTTATCGCCTTCATCATCCTTCGACCTTTCGAGGGACAGCGCCTGAACGTTTTGGCCGTGTATCTTCTCGGCTTTAGCAAGATTACTACTACAGGTCTTTCGGCAGCCTTTGATACACGGTTTGATATCGCTCGCATCCCTACAACCGTTATTGGCATCATCATAATCATCATCCAAGGTCTCCTGACGGTCGCTGTGATGGTTCTGATCCTGATCGGCGCTGTCTCAAGCTACATGTCCATCCTGCGGAACCGCGGACGAATGGCGCCGTTGAGCTGGAACCCGCTGCGCGAAAATTACTTTGCGCATCTCAATTTTGCAGTGCAGGATATTCCTCGATCGCGACCGCGTGCGATATCGATGCACTCGATGCCAGAATTGCCGAAGACACCATACTTTGAAGTAAAGAATGTGAAGCGGATGGCCAAAGTTGAGGATGAAGATGATGAATTCATGCGAGAGATTGACAGCGATCATGCGACGTCCGAACTATTACTTCCTACGCAAACTAGCGATGGTACCACAGACCGGCCCAACCAACGCAACAGGAGTGAAACTCTCCAGTCGCAAGCATCTTACTCCAGTCTACCCAAGGCGGCTCGCCTGCATCGTCCCAATTGGAGCAGACACGGATACAGCGATTCAGTTAGTACGGGACGCCGCAGGGCTTTGGGCGAAGCTCATACGAAGACTCCCAAGCAGAGTCACGAGACAATCGACATGTATCCAAGCCCACTTGGCATCCATGCTGAGGGACGCATTACTCCAGCTTTTTCTTCTTCGGCACTTTGGAACGAAGACCATTTCGACACCCCAGACAAGCGAGCAGCAAGCCGACTGGAATCAGTCTCACGATCGAGCTCGAGGCCCAAACTGGAGACTAGGATCACCGAAGAGAACATACCTCCCATTCCGAAGCATCGCAATGCAAACTGATTTCAGGATCATACGGAGCAGCCATACCACCAACATCAGCAGCAGCAGAGACCTATAAGCCGAGTCTATCCTCACGCAACAGCTTTCGATCAGCCTACCACAGTATGATACGACGGAATGGAAAGAGCTCAGCAGCTTTGCCATTCGACGAATTCCCGTGAAACATCGCTCTGGCACATCTGCATTGGACTTTCAACACAGCATCAGCAATGAATACCCATGATTCTTTGACAACAACCCATATACCCACAGTACCAAGCAGACGACATTTCGTTTTCCTTTTTCTTCAGCAGCATGACGTTAGCAGTATCTGCATGGCTTCGCAACGGGAGAAAGACCATCTCAGCGCTCGATTTAGGATGTTGGATACGGCATGTTTACGAAGTGTATGAATAACGAACAAAGCCGGATAGTAGCTAGACGGAGGCAGGAGTGGCAATGCGCATAATAGAACAACGATGATGATGAAACATTGCGTCGCCGATGGTGAGCTATGCTACATTTGATGAGATTGGTGCATGCACGCGTGATGTGTGGTGTCGCCCGGTTAGACTCCACTTGTACCAACTTTTTCCCTCGAGCGTCGACCGGCGGCCCGCTCCTTGTGCGCAGAAGTCCGATGTCAGACATTTCGACGGCGCGTCACCAGCCACACCACACCAAGGGACCTCACCAGCGCTAAACCTTCTCACCGCATACATGGATGTAAAACAATAAATCCTGAAACGCCTATGAGAGCAATGTCGGTTCCCAGCCGCTCTGCTTAATCTTAATCTCCACGACAGAGGACATGGAAATTGAAAGCAAGATTGCGGTTCTGGGCATCGAGGGTCCGATCCAAGATCGTGTTTTGCTGTTAATTCCGATGTGCCAGGTTAGCCGTGCTATTTCCAGAAGATGCCTTGGAAAGATGCCATGGCCTCGAAGCGATATGAGCATGCCGGTCAGGCAGTCTAGACCACGATTTTGCTTGCAGTGCTTGGAAAGCCTAGCTCCCGCGGTTCGGATGATAACATGGGTTTGCGAAAAGGTGGTGAGACGTTGAGACGAAAACCCGTGTGACCCTTGTGCCGTTGCCCTGTTTGCTGAGATTGCCTGATGGACTGATGTCAATATGGGTGGATGACCCACGTTTGAGCTGTGGCGTCACCTCATCAACGAGGCGAGAGAGCGGCTGGAGAGATGGCAGCACGGGTGGGTGGAGATTTGGAGCCGCTGTTCTGTGCAAGGATGCGGAAGAGAATTAGATGGGCCGCCACAGATGGCTACGTCACAGTTACGGACACAGATATGCACGATGCACGACAGTTCTGGGAATCTTGCAACGGTGGAGCCATGCCGGATAAGAGCATCTGGGGTGATCAAATATGGGTGGATGATGGCTACAGGTGAGGAGAAGGAGGTGCGCGGGAGGGCGTGGTTGGCACGATAACGGCGGTCTCGCGTCGCACAACGTCGAGCAGCGGTAGTGTTGGCGCACCAAATCAGCAGCATGGGCTTATCGAAAGTCGGTCTACCTGCTTCGGGTGCTGCGAGGCCAAAGTCATCGCGATCATGAGAGGAGTATTGCGTTGCCCATGGGCCCAGCCACGCGCAGGCTGCGATCGCTACTGCATCAGGGAGCACCAGTGACGTCGGCGTTCTTTAAGGTTGTGGCGCGCGACCCACACTCGACACGCCGCTCGCAGGGCCAACCCTGTTTTGCGCGACTGCTTTGAGCGCGTCCGTCGCCCATCTTTGCCGCATCGGGCGGCTTGGTTGGCGCAAACCTGACTTTTCCCGCTGACGTTGCGAGCTTGGCTGTTTGCAGACGCAGCACAGTCACCTGCAGGAATGGAGTTTGAGTCGGGAAATTTCGTTACGCAGGTGAAGATTGAGGTGAAGGATTTGGAGACAAGGGTTGGCTGGTGGTTAGGCACGGACGCCGCGTGACGTAGCTTTTGTGCAAGGACTGTCGTTGTTCCGGCGCCTGGCTCGCGGCTGCTTATAAGTGAGAGGGCTCAAAGCCCTTTGTTGTGATACCACACACTCCCAAAACTATACCATCTATCTACCAACGAACCTACGAACAATCACCTCTCTACCTCGAATCCTCCACCCACTACACCACCGAAACCTTCACCAGAACAATCATGGGTGCCGTAGTATCTTGCATCAAGTCGGTCGTACGTATCCCTCTGCTTGCCTGCCCACATGAACTATCCCTAACACACATTCTAGTTCCGCACCATCGGAAACTGCATCATGGCCATTGTCAACGCCATCGCTGCTGGTCTTAAGGCAATCATCAACGCCATCGTCTCCCTCTTCGGCATCATCATCAGCTGCCTCACCTGCGGACGCGGCGGCGGCCGAAAGAGGACAACGCATACTAGTAGAGTCTAGTGTGAGCCCGTTTCCCACATGTCGCCGTACTGATCATCACTTCTCTTTGTGAAGGATGGCGCATGAGGAGATACGGGTACTACTGAGGCTATATCTACTACCCAACTACTACGACGACGAACGACGATCGGTCGACGGCCGTTACTTCTTTGTGCCAGGACCACATGACGATACGTTTACACCATATCGCCGAGAGTTCTTCGCAGAGTAACGGACGGAGCGCGATTGTTCTTTTCGAAGGAGAGAGTGTGGATGTTTATACCCTATACCCCCCGGTATCGAGCAAGGAAGATGGATGCGGTAATGAACGAAACAGCAAGCATGGAGTTTGAGCGAACACTTTTTCCTTTTGTTTTGTACAGTCTGAGAGAGATGGATGCTCAAGGGTCGTGGAGAGGAAATCATTTTTGATCGATCACGGACCTGTCGCATAGATACCCCCAGCTTTCAATCAGACTTACTATAATGACCATAACCGTCTTGCCATGGTGACTATTTTCAATGCGACGATGTTGACATGTTGGGCTGTTACTCACAGTATTTGCAGGTCGCCCCAGATGAACATCACAGCTGCACCCTCTGTTTCCCTATCACAGCCTACTGCACCATCGGCTCCCCAATTTATCCTTCGTGACCATGGTTGCCCTGCTGCATTTGCATTGCAGGACTTCGAAAACGTAGGCGGTGGAAACAATAGCGTCTGCGCCACACATGCGTAGTGCATGCGCTTGCATGACGCCGTTGAAACGTAGTTGGTACGCTACAAGAACTCTCCTACACTAAGACCACTTCATCACTGAAGCTAAAGCAGAACATCTGACTCTCTCATGTGACAGTGGTGGTATGAAGCTGCGGGTTAAAATTGAGCATAACCATTTTCGATAACGGTGTTTGTCGCATCCTGGAATATTTCGCGCATTCAATAACACAGGTGATTGTGTGATGTATATACTGTAACTACGGCATGTAGTAATATCTGCAGGTCCCGTAGCATGTACGTATTCGGTGGTGTGACTTGAACAAGGCATACTTTTGCATCTATAGCGTTATGTAGACAAGAACGATGGTCATGGTGAAGGTGTTTCTGAAGGTATATAACGACACCGTATCAATAATCCATGTCTTTCCATCTTGAACCTACCCACCCCACCGCATAAACCCAAAAACAGCATTCAGCACAACCCCCATAACAACAGCAACCTGCCTCCTCCTCGTCCAAACCCCCTCCTCCCTAAACCCCCACACCAGACTTCCCAACGGAAAGAAGAAGCCAGTCAGATACCCATACAACATATCGTCCAACCCACCTTCTTCCACCGCAAACCCCGCGCCCCAGCCTGCATCCGTGCCAGCACCACCAGTCCCCGCGGTACCGCCTGTGAGCGAAGCCGAGGGATCGTTGGCAGAGGAGTCTAGCCATCGGTCTTCCAAGACGCGGATTTGTGCGGGCGTGGGCATCGTGTCGGGTGTATGTGTGAAGGAGAGGTTTTGCGTGAACGTAGCACGGAGGGAAGCGATTTCGTCGCGGGTGAAGCCTGAGCTTAGCAATCTGTCGAAGCCTTGAGCTTGGGGCACGGTGTTCGCGGTATTCGTAGTAGCCGTTGAACTACGTCTCCGTGCATTGTGGTCTATTGTCGTGCTACTTGCGCGCCGTCCCGGTGTAGAATAGGAAGATGCATAATGCGACTTCAACGCTATCTCTGTGTTCTGAGCGAGTGTAGCTTCGCTGGCGAGTTCGGGGGCGGGGAGCGCATCGCCGAGGGAACAGTGTATGTAGTATTTCTTTGCTTCGGATGGTATGTCTGTGGTTGTACCGTATTCGACCGCGGGTGTTTCCCGTAGAGGTTGTTTCCCTTTGTTCTTGCTGGCTTCGCCGCTACCTCCTCCCACGGCATCGCTGCTTTTGGTATTCCGAGGAGGCGGCGGTGGCGGTAATCTCAAGGACTTCGATAATGGCTCGGTGTCTGCGAGCACCTTGCCCGCATAGATGAGGCGTAAGCGCGCCGAGGCATGTTCGGACGGGAGGTGTTGGCGGATGAGCTGTTTGAGAGAGAGGGTCGCGATTGTTCGTGGGGTATGTATTGAGAGCGGGAGGTCCGGTACTGAGGCTGTGAAGCGGATGATGAGGTAAATGAGTTGCTCGGGGAGAGCTGGCGCATTCGACATGGTGGTTATGAGGGGCTGCGGCGGCTACTTGAGGGTTGAGGTGATCGTGAGCTATCAATTGCGAATATCGTATCTGTCTGGGTTCATAACGGTCGCAGCTTCATTATTCGCAATGCTGTGGGATGTCTGGCGGTGATCCTGCGGTTCGCGGTGTTTGCGCTATGGAACATGCAACGCGGCAGCTTGCCCGGAGCTTAGCAACGCTGAGGTCATTATATCCGAAGTGCAACCCGCCATGTTAAGTGCCCCTCTTTAGCCATTCCCTACATCACCACTTCGCGCATCCTGTTCAGTTGTTTAATTTAATCGTTCTCAAGATGACGATCATTCACATTGTACTATTCGAGTGGAAGTCCACAGCTTCACCAGAGCAAATCTCAGAAGTACCTCTACATTTGTCTAAACATACATTCATATATACTAATACATCATAGGCTTGCAGTCGTATGCTCGGACTGAAGGAGCAGTGTCTTCACCCAACTTCCCAGAAGCCATACATCAAGTCTTTCTCAGGTGGCAAGAACAACAGCCCTGAAGGCCACAGCGTATGCAATGCGCCAGGCTCCCTTACACCTACTAACATGGACAGGGCAACTCAACCCATGGATTCGTAGTTGAGTTTGAGAATGAAGAGGACCGCGACTACTACGTATACAAAGACCCTGCCCATCAGGATTTCGTAAAGTTTGCTGGAGAGGTGGCGAATGGTGTCAAAGTCTTCGACTACGAGCCAGGGAAGATGTAGATGTAGTGTCAGTAACAAATGATGGATGCGACTGGGACCCAGTGCTGCGAGAGTATGCTGCCGACTCATGCAAATGTAATGGTATCCAGATAGCGCTGTTGTTGACCTTGCAATTGTGGTATCGCGAGTCTGTATCGCACATAAGTAGAGAAGCCAAGTAGCAATCGTGCTACCGGTGGTGCTAATGATATTCGAATTATGCCATATGTATGTGCAACGCCGAAGATGCAACGCCGGTAATGCTTCTATAAGTTATAGTGATTGAATCGTAAGGGTATCATGATACGCTGAAGGACTCGCCGCAACCGCACTGCTCCGCTAGAAGATGTTAGCCTTGGTCTCTCGAAGTACATTGTGTCGGTACTTACTGATGTTGGGGTTCTTGAAGATGAAGCGCTCGTTCAGCTTGTCCTCCAGCCAGTCCATCTCGCTTCCAATGATGTTCAACAGCGCTTTGTTGTCGATCAAGACTTTGACGCCATCCTGCTCGACCTGCTCGTCCAGCGGGCTTGGCTTATCCACATACTCCAAGTGATATGCCAGTCCCGAGCAGCCCTTTGCCTTTGTACCAATCCGAATAAGCTTAGGCTCTGGTAGCTCGAGAAGTTCACGTAGGTGCGATACTGCCGACTGTGACAGCTTGATGGTCGCTTTCCGTGGCCCGAAGTTGTAGCGGCGCGGCCGTAGCGGCTTGCTGGAACCCGCTGCCTGCTGTGGCTTCTGTGCTTCGCCTTCGGATATGCTCACGTTCGGTTGCTCGGCAGGTGTCGCGGGGATGTGCTCTTGCGGCGGCAGTTGTGGGGTTTTCGCATTGTTTGCCTCGGCTGCTCCGCCTGCTATCGATGTGTCGGGTACGCCAGCATTCCTTGGTGGCGGCTGAGGGTATAGCGACGAAGGGTGGTACGCGGTCGCCGTCTGCATCTGCCGCTTAGCTGACTGTCGATACGGTATCGACGAGGCGAAAGTGCGCGCGCATTGCGGGCATCTGCGGGGAGTAGCCGAGGGAGCGGCGAATCGTAGAAATATCGAGCCGGAGCGCGCAAAAGCAGTTGTGGTTCGAGGCAGCGACATGATCAAGGGGCGAGAGGTCCAAGGAGTGCTGCGAGTGGACTTGGTATGGCGCGCGTGTTGAGTGAATAGATGGCAAGGTACGGCTGGTGCATTGTCACTAAATTCGCCGAAGCCTATGTCATCCGCGGCGAATTCCGGGGCAATTTGACACGATTATAAAGCACGTGCTGATTGGCTGCCAATCTCCCGAAGCTTCGGAACTTCGGAATCTCAAGTCACACCATCATAAGCCCACCTCACCTTGAAAGTTCACCTGGGCACCTTGTCTTCGAACAAGCCGCCGCATTGTAACCTACCCAGGTACCTGCGGACTCTCTCGCGTGTCTGATCGCGTAGCTTATTGGCTTTGGGCAATATTTAAGTGGCTTGTCCCACTCTGCGTGATCGCAGTCAAGTCGATGGTAATCCTAATCCATGGATTGGTGCTGCTTCGCCCGCGAACGACACAGGCCAACCACGGATCATAGCAACAAACTGGTAACTGTAGTATCGAGCATTTCCAATGGGTCAGCCACATAAATGCAATAGCAAATTTTTAATAAGTATAAGTTAGTGTCCTCTTCTTCATCCGCCGCCTTCAACACCAGCGACACTGCACACAAGAAACAACGCCGCCCGAACCACGACCCTATCCCCTAGGTCCACGCATGGCCGCATCAACCATGCAAAGTACACAAGAGTCTTTGCTTATGGCCTTACCAACCGAAATGCGCTGTTACATCTACGACTACTTCCCCGAGCGTGTTTTCAAACATGTATTCCCCACGCCAGGTATCTGCACCTGGGCAGTACTTCGAATGCCGACCGCCCTACTTCAAGTGAACAAGACGATCTTCGGCGAGGCTCAAGAACACTTGAGCACAAAGAATGTGCAGAAGTCCCCTAAAGTTACAATCGGCCCAGTATCTACCGCAAGGAAAGCTGCGTTTACTTTAATGTCAGACGTCTTCCACAAGGCTAGTAAACGACGCTGTACATTGTTAGGCCAATCCCAGAAGCCGGGAAACGACAACGGGACCAAGCTCATCAGCCTCGTCCTCGCATCTTGGTACAACGAAACCATGCTGCCGCTACCGCTTCAGAACCCTAGCCTGGGCGATGATAGTAAGGTCCACAATCAAAGAGAGTGCACAGCCGGGGAATTGCATCTTTCCGTAGGGCACACTTTGAAAAGAATGGAACGGAAAAGGACTTGTGAAATCAGCATACGAATGTTGTTTCCTGACGACGATGACGACGACTTCGTGGATTACTTGATGTATGAGATGATGCTTGTAAAGGACATCACACGACTAGCGCTAAGCGCCCAACCGGGTCTTGCACTGAAGATTATACCTCTGGGTCGCCGTCGCAGGCATGAACTCAAGCAAGAAATGAAGATGTTCCAAAGCATGGATTTGGAAATTCGAGAAATGGCTTCGAGCATCAAAATTGGAAAGCCAACGGCACAGGATCTGTCACTCTTCAATATACCCAATCTGCAGACAGTCGAAGCCACTGGCGCGTAACTGATTTGCTTGCTTGGAGCCAGTCAAACCGAACTTAGTTGGTAACAAGAGAACGAAGATACGTCTCGAAGATATACTCTGTGTTACTCAAGCTTTGCAAACTACTTGTTTGTCAGGAGCTGATGGTGTGCATTCAGCAATATGCGACGCGAATTCTAGCCGCTGAGTTCGTGGTCTACCGAACGGAGTACAGTCGAAACACATGTTTGGGAGTGTACAGAGCGGCTTCGAGAGTCTCTTGTAAAAGACTAATATAAAACCCATTCAACCCTCAAAAGCTCCGCACCCGGACTAGGGGGACGACTGAGTCAGTATGAATCCAACGTGACCGTAGTAGCTCAACCACATCTTCGTGTCCCTTCTTTGATGCAAGCATCATCGCTGTGTCCCCGAACTTGGTTGTCGCCGAGAAATCAATCTTCTCACTAGTGAGCAACACCTCGACAATGTCTTCATCCCCCCTTACTGCCGCGAACATTAATGCCGACTGTCCATGCTTGGTCGTCATGTTAACGTCGACCTTATCAACGCCAACCAGTAGCTTGACGATGCTCGTGCTTCCTGCCAATACTGCTGCCATTAAGGGCGTCCATTCTCCAGTGGGTTCCCCGTTGACTTCAGTCCTCTCGTCGCTGAGCAGTAGCTCAACGATACCGATGTTTCCTTCCGTCAAGGCCATCATTAAAGCCGTACACCCGTTCTTGTCTTGCACGTTGACTCTGAGCTTGTCAGAGCTAAGAAGAATCTTCACAATCTCCTTGTCTCCTTTTCTCACCGCCTGAATAAGTGGCGTTGGTAACGCTCCAGTTGCAGCTCCATGATTGACGTCAACGCCAACCTTGACTAGTTCATCAACAGTATCTTTGTCTCGATACTCTATCGCCCACATTAGTGGTGTGGGTATAGAGTACTGCGTCTTCATGTCCCCAGTGCTGTTCTGAAAGAGCAGTTCGAGCACTTTCATATTCCCATGCTTGGCAGCCCAACGGCAATGCATCCCAAAGTTTCTATCCAACTCTTTCAATTCTGCATTTCGATGTTGAATCAATCTGGCTGATAGCTGTTCAATGTGACGGCTATCTCCTGAAACATACCATATATGATGCTGCCAGTATGTTTGCGCATAACCATAGAACGTGAATTCGTATTCTGGATTTGAGTTCATTGAACCACGCAGTTCTGCAAGGGTCTTGCTGAGGTCGAACTTAGGTTGCTTCCTAGACCCGAGAAGCTTCTTGGCAAGATGCCGAGTAGTGCTGGTAGTACCCATAGTGCTTTGCAGGATGCTAATCGGCGCTGAGCTTGCCATCATGGGACTGAGCTTAGTTTTCGACAATCGTGTTTCGAAAAAGCTATACCCGAGATACGTAACAACGATGTCTGCTAACATTCTTTGGGCGTCTTCGAAAGAGAAATCTATGTGTCTCACGTCGTCAAGACCGTGAATGATGTACTGCTTGACGCTGTGATGTATCACTCGGACGGTTGATTCTTCCTCATCAACAGTAAGAAGACATCCACAGCAGGCTAGTGCTGATTGAACATCGTTCAACATCTTAGATGGGTCCCAAACTGCATGTCCTGGATCAACGCTTAAGGCTTCTCTCAACTCGCTAGTCGTTAGGGGTCGGTGAGCTGCCAACACAACCTCCAGAGTCTTTGCCTGAAGCGATGGATCTGAACTTCCTGACTTGTGCAAGATGCGGGAGAACGTTTGGGCAAGGTCTTTTGGTAGGTCTCCCAAGGCTTCGCGGATAGCGTGATCTGTCTTCATACTACACAGAGACTGGATCTGAAGAGCCGCCCAGAGGAACATCCCTTGAGAGCCCTGAAGTAGCGTGTCTTGAATGTCCAATATTAAAGTAGAATCTCCAATGTTTAAAAGATCCTGATCCAGACAACGACAAAGTTCTGCTTCGATGAAGCTTTCGATGTCTGGGTTGCTTTCCGGCAATGAAACGATGCGAGCATCCAGGAGGCGACGTGTAATTGAGTGCAGACCTGAATTCGAATTTACTAGGTCAGTAGACGTCTCGCATACAGTTCGTTCAGAGATATCACTGACCCCTTTTTGGCTCTACCCGGAAAGAGGCACAGACAAAGACCTTTAGTTTTGCTTGGATATCCCTAACTGCTTGTGCCAGCGTTGCTATTTCCTCGTCAGGGCATTCGTCTAGTCCATCTATGATGAAAAAGGTTTTATGACTGGGAGGATAGCTCCGGATGATCATTCCCAGTAGTCTATCAACGTTTCCTGTGGTGTGTGTATATTCGCATACTTCTGAAAGTGTGCCCAATTCAGAAACGCTCCGCAGCATTTGGCGCGCCAGCGAGCCAAGAATGGTGCGTGCTTGCAGACTTTCAGGTAGATCGTGCCTGCAGAAGAAGTATGCTACCAAGGATCGATCCTTTTCGTTAGAGAGGCTGAGATCGTCCACGATGTTGGCTAGCAATACGGATTTCCCAGACCCTAGCTTACCAGTAAGTACTAGGGTGCAAGGATGCGAGCAGTCCCTCCACTCTTCATACTCCTGGAAATGTGTATAAAGTGATGTGTTTCCGACCTTTCTTATCTGCTTCCAAGTCGTTTCATGATCGTACATGGAACAGAAGTCGAGAACTCGCTTCTTCGCAGCAAGTTTTTGTTGGTACGATGCGGAGTTGAACATCGATCGAGATAAAGCCCTGAAACTGGAGCTTTCTTGAGCTTCACCCACTTGCATCTCTTTCTCAATCGAATGTGCCCATTTTCCGAGATCACACTGAAACGCTTTCACATTCCCATCACTCAAGGACGACGTGAATTGCTGGAGGGCTGACTTCTGCCCGAATCTGAACAAATAACGACATAAACCAACTACCACGACGAAGTATTCTAGGAGGTAGGCCTGTAGCCTTGTCGAGAGCGGATAGATTACGGCAATTTCCTGGTGGCGTGGACAAGAACGACCAATGTCCATGAAAATTGATGACAGTGTTTCTACGTGGTTCGATACGCTCACAAACGACTGCATACTGTCAGTGAACGATGTGGACGCGATGATAACAGCAGTTACGGACCAGCAACGACATGCGCACCAAAGACCACACACCACATGCTATCAGATTTTGTGAGCCTCCAACCATAATATCCCCAAGTGCAGCAAATTGCTGCACAGCTTGGAGGAAGTTGGTGAAGCGCGGCCCAAGGCATCGACTGCTGAACTTCTTCGATATGCGACGGTCCACTTCAGCCGTCAGTCGCATGACATCGCTCGGAGTGGGTGGCGCTAAAAGCGACTGCGACTTCAATACGCGAAACGCGGTCTTCTGCTCGCTTGATAGGTCGGCTTCGAATTCAGAGACAGCTTGAGCGAGGCGAACTTCAGGCTTCAGGGGCGAAGCTCTAGCGAGAGCTTTTGACATGGTTGTGGCCGAAAAGCTGCAGAACTGGAACGACAAGTCAAACTGAGGGCCATAGGCTGTTGGTAGGTTGTAACGCCAGTGGTGCGGTGTTGGGAGGATTACCGGAGTAGTCAGATGTGCGGGCGGACGTTGAGAGAGGAGTCGATTTGGAGTCGCTCGACGGCGGTACCCTGTTTTGACACGGGCGTCTATCGTATTTCTTGCCCACAAGACAGAACAGAGGACGAGAAAACAACCGCAGACTGCCAGGCGAACGATCAGGCTGAAAAGCGTCTCATGTGCTGCGCACTAGGCTGACAGACTGCGCGTGGCTGCGCATCTCAGCCGCAACCCCACTCTCTTCCTTCAATCGCACTGTTCAAGAGAGTGGTCGCTGTTCGGCATGCCATACGTTGTCGCGCCGCGAAAGAGGTCGATCCGACCCGGAGCAGATGTGAGACGAGTACCAGAGTACGGTAGGTCGATACCTAAGCTGTCCAAGCGGGCTTCGAGACAGCCAAATGAGATGACGTCATCGCGCCAGCCTGACAGCCACACCCCGTTCAGCAGAACAGTTGAAGACCTACCTCGCATAAAGTACGATTCTTAACACGAAGACTTGAAAGCTACATTGCCTTTTAGTTTTACTATCTTATGTTTTGATGCTGATGTAGACTTCAGCGCACCTGTTCAATGTCTTCTTGTAGATGGTGACCACTTGCACTGGTACTACTACCGGTGGACTGATCTGTCTATGCCAGCAGAGATAGCTTTGAACAAGTGTGCTTCCTATGTTGTGATAGCAACGGCGGATATAGATGCGACTGATAGACTCAGATTCCCAGTCACTTCATGCGATCACTTGTCCGAGATTCAGAATGTTTGCGCAATCATGATATTATTGTTCTCTTATTAATCAGATCCATCAAGACCTCAATCTCAATCCCAATCCCAAAAACGCCTAGCTACCGAGCCAAATCCCAGTGGTATATGCGCATCCCAAAAAGTCACTTTTGTTTTCCCTTTTCCGTTTCCCAAGTATTACATCCCCATATCTTCCCCAGGTTTATCAAGCAAAGCGTCTAGTGGATGCCGTAGGTCTGCTCGTAAGCGTTGCTAACGCTCTTGTGGTGCTCAACAACCTTGTTCTTGAGAGCCCTCCACGCCTTCTGGTAGTTCCTTGGGCCAAGCTCAGCAGCCATCTCCTTCTCTCCAGTAGCAGCGCCCTTGCGGGGTGCCTCGCCGCTCTGCCTGGGGCTGGAAGCGAGGGATGAGCTGCGGGATGCGGAGGGAGAGTTGCCGGGGCTGTAGTAGACGGCGAAGGCGGAGTTCATCTCGCGGTGGTGCTGCTTGATAGCCTTCCATGCCTTGGAGGCGTTGGTGGGGTTGCGCTGAGTGGAGGAAGAAGGACCCGCCATGGAAGAGTTGCGGGATGTTTGTGTGGAGGCTGATGGGGTAGTTGCGGAGGAGCCGGTGTAGTAGGTGTTGTAGGCAGCGTTGACGCTCTCGTGGTGGGCCTTTGCGTGTGCCGCAACGGAGGAGAGGAAGTTGGTCATTTTGGTGGTGGTTGTTTGTGTTGTGGTGATGATCGATGTGAGGTAGATGTTCGAGAGTCGATCGATGACTTGGTAATAGTAGTAGTAGTAGCTTTGCTTGGAGGCTGTGGTATGCTTTGCTGTGTTGATGCCTTCATCCTCACGTACCCACCCATCCCTTTATACTCCCCCAGCCCATCCCCAGAATATTCTCTATGACACCCGCCAAGCATCACCGGTCACGCCCTGGGACCAAACCTTTGCCAAAATTTTACTCAGCACACTCTGCGCACGCCCTGCACATGTCGACGAAACGATCGTGAGATTTGAGGCCATGCGGCCGTCTGATTGGCCGCGGGCCGACAAACCCACAGAATTCCTGTCAACGAACACCTTCACAGGGCGTGAGAGGGTCCGTGCCACCATCATCATGACAATGAGGTGTCCACGCCCTACCCTGGTGCGTCTTTTCCGAAGGCGCGCCGGAGCGTTTCCCGTCGGCGGCTAATTTTGGCAGGGCGCATGTGTGTGTAAAGGCGCGGTGACGAATTTTCGGTCGTGTCCGTTAGCTGCTAGAAGACTGCCTTTGGAGGTATGGCGGGGAAAATCTCTGTTATTGGCTGCCACGCTCCGTCGCACCACGTCGTGTACCTGATCCACGCAGGCCCTTTCCCGCCCCCGAGTTGCCCGTCGGATGCCAAGTTTGCTCCGGTCCTTTTAGTCTAGACGCTGCTGTTGCACTGGGAGTGGATGTTTGTACGTAAAGACCGCGTTTTACCTTGAGCGCATGTCCGTTAACTGTTAGAGAAATGCCTTTGGAGGTTTGGCGACGAGAATTTTTTGTTCGGTGAGCGCTGGGGCGCGTGACGACGGTGTGGATAGGGGGTGTGGTGTGACAGCAAGTGAGTGATTTTTCCGCAAGCTCACGATCGTGTTGCCAGGTCTTTCTCGATGCCACGAAGGTGTCATCTGACGACTATCGTGACTCCGAGTCTCGCGGTGTGCTACCGACGATGACTGCGCTCATCGCTACAGCGCCGCCCGCCAGCGTCTACCACTCAGCTTTTTCGCCATCAACATGGCGCCATCGCAGTTGCCAGCCTGAAGTATACGCACATGTGTTCACAAGGATGGCCCACGAATCTTTCAGTGCGCAATTGTGATTTGGGTCAACATCCCAAGTCAAACGCCGCTGGATGCATTGAGAGATCTATCGCGCGAACATCTACAGATTCAATCTATGCAAGTACACCACCCCTTTCATAATCGGACTGCAAGATACCCCACACCCCACCATATCAGCAATAGCAAGCCCCCCAGCCAACTTCCTGGTATCGCACTACCAATTCGCGTCGCTCCCGCGATGATCGGTTCTCCTGTGGGGTAGACATAGCCGTCGCCAGTCGACTGTCCGTGAACGTCTCCGCCATCTCCACCTGAACCGCTCCCTGGCGCATCTGGCCCCTTAGTCAATGTGACGACTGTTGTGACCGGCTGAAGATTCATCGTAGTGCCCTGGACGACTACAGCAGTTCCGCTATGCTCGAGGCTCATCGTCGTGCCATCAATTGTGATGGGAGCGCCCCCAGGGACCAAAGTCGTACCATGATCAATCACAATGTAGCCAGCGCGATTCTGCGTGTACACATGGTCTTTGAAGGTTAAGGCAGCTGCGACTGTAGATGTATACACGTCGCCGAACATTGGAGTGATACTGGATGTTTCGCCGTTGATAATGAGTGCTGTCGCGGAAGGTGAGAGTATGAGTGTTGTCCCAGATATAGTCAGGGGCTCGCCGCCAGGAGAAAGAGTTTGATCTGCAATAATGTATTCTGTCTGCGCATTGGGCGCGATGACTTCGGTACCGATGGTGAGTATTGGTGGAAGTAGGACCGGTGGTTGCGACATGGGCGCGTCTGTGGTAGCAGGCTGAAAGGGTTGCAGCGAGATGACAGTAGTTCCCACGACAATCTTGGTCCTGCCTTCTGAAGTCTCTACTACAATAGGTGTGTCCCCAACAGTAACGATCTGACCTGGTGTAAGAGTAAAAGAACTTCCTATTACGAAGTCACCATGACTTGGAGCTTGGCCAATAACAATGTCAGATATTCCAGCTGGTATCGTTACCTGCGGAGAGTCCGCTGTTGCCGCTTGCGTCTGTTCTTCTTGTATAGTGGAGCCATGTTGTTCTCCGGCTGGGCTATCAAGCCAACCCGTCGCAGGTATCTCAAACACTGGGGAGCATCCTCGACACGGCCGCGTAGAGCTGAAGTTTGGCTCGCTGATTTCGTGATGCCCGTTAGGGTCTCCAATCTGTGTTGCCGCTGGCGGAATTGGTTTTAGCCCTTGAACTGTTGACAGCATTGGCGGCGTCCCTGTGGCATTTCCTTGAGACGTAGTCAACACAGTCGTCACATCCGTCGGTGGTCCGTCGGTGGGAATGAGCAATGGGTTCGAAATCGGCAATGGCGGAGTCGGTATGGCTCCAGGCGGGGCCAGCGTTGAGGGTATGAGATTTGGCTCTGAGAGCGAAGCACTGTGAATGAGTCCGGGCGGCTGCGAAGGTAGCGCGTTAGAAGGAGGTGTTGGGTCTACTGGAGGCGCAAGATCTGTGGGTGCACCAATATTGGAGTCTATCAGACACGATATGTCAGACCGGCCATCGAATATTGGGCTATTCAGCGCCACTTACTTGGTTCCGCTGTCATAGAGTGTTGGACTCCCGAGGTGACTGCTGACCCATAGTCGGCTAGCTCTGTATGAAAGTCAGCGCGAAGAATTCTAGTGTCCTATGAAGGCCAACACCTAATGCATACCCGCCTGTGCTAGCGCGGATGTGACGCCTAGCCAAGTCGCACATAGGCACAAGACATGACACAACCGAAGGTCGGCACCGGAGTACATGATGAACACGACTTTGGACACAGAGTATTCTCAAAGAGCCATAATGTGGGAGTGGTCACTGCGAAGAACAGAGGATACAGTCTTACATTACACCCAGGTGACAACCCTTCTCAAAACACCTAATGCAGGATCTCAGCAAACAATCAAAAGTAATGAATCAAAAATCTCCGCGTCCTACATATACCGAGGAGGTGGCCGGTGACTGAGATAAAGGCTAGGACTGTGGTACACAACATCTACTTAGATTGCTATTGATTAGACTTTCTTGGATTCTGGGGTTACGATTGTGCCGATTGGAAACGCCCGAATGCGGAGATGGCTTTACCCGGAGCGGGAACGCAACCTTATACGTCGGTTGGGTGTTTACCAGAGACTGGTTCCTTCCAGGTACCTTAGCGAGCCGCAACCCCTGTACCATACCCGGGTTGCCTGGAATCTGACGAGGATACTTGTGAACGGGCGAGTCACGATTGCGCAGGTTTCTGATGGGAGTCTTTAACCAGGTCGAAGGAGTTCTATGACAGGGTTTGAGGAGAAATGCCATGTGTCCGAGCAGCACTTTAATGCGCAAGATGTGTTGGCCATCTTCAGCGTGTTTGTCAGCTCATCGTAACTTAACGTGACGGTGGCTGAGCTTGATCATCATAGTTCTGTCACACAGTCGTACCACACGCTTGTGATCTCAATCTAAACTTGGCGTACGCGCATTTTTGATGACGCAAGAGAAGCCAGCAATTGAACACTCGAACGTTACTGACGACATCCATAATGTAAAGGTGGCTTGTCGACCCAACATGCAGGTTGCTGAGAGCCCGTCCGAAGCGCTCGTCGCGGGTGGCGTAGGTGACATTCAGCCGGGCCCATTCAAGCGATAATCCCTCGATGCAAGGTTGAACACACGTGGTGAGAATGGGTATGGTGTGCTTCTATGTGTTCGCTAGAAACGTCCCTGTACACTGCAGAAGGATCGTTCGACACGCGCTCACTGTCCTGCTGACCCATCTTTCTGGGCACGGAAGAGCCTTTAGGGTGTTGATAACCTGACCATGCGACTGCTTTTAGGGGTGATAGTGGGAGGTTCATGGGTGCAGCCGACGCGTGCTTCGCTCACTCCGAGCTGCAAGGGGGTTGAATCTTGATGCGTTGGCTAAGGAAATATCCTTGAGGTGTTTTCGACGCTGCTTATCTGGTGAGACTCAGGGATCAGTGCAAAAGGCCGGGATGAAAAGGATCAAACGATAGGCGTTGTTGATGAAAGAACCTGAGGCAGCGAGATCGTCAGTGTAGTACAACTGTCGCTGTCAGTCTGCGTCCTCGCCAAAACGCTCGCATGTTCTAGGGCTGTTGGTTTCCGTACTGCCGATCCAATACGATGATAGGATCAGCAGCATCTGTGGACGTTGAGGAAGGCTCAACCTTAGCATACTACTGGCGACTAGCAGTCGCATAAGTGGCGAAGTAGCATGGTACAGCGCTCAATGGAGAGGCGATTCCGGTTACTTTTCAGATCAGTCGCTTTCAAAAGTTAGCCAAATGATAAACATTGTGATGAGCATTCGTGGCTGGCGTTCTGATGCTGTCTACAGGAGTGGTGATCGATGGCTTTGCGTGGTGCTTCTGGTCGTCTGTCTTTCGGTCGGGAGTTGAACGCGCCGGCGGTATTTGAGGTCACAGCAGCGCAGGCTTGTTTTTGACTACCACGCATAAGTGATGTGCATTCGTGCCGTTCTTGAGGTGTTCTGGTGATGGCAGGAGCGATGGGGCGGCGGAGGACTCGCTTACTGCTAGCGTATCTTGGCACCAACGCAGCTGCGAAAATGAGTTTCGTGAATTTCCTCTTCGACTTCTGACAAGCGCCAACTAACCCCAACGACAACACAGATTGCACCAGGAGACCCGACATCAGGTACGCTATACAGAACGTCTTCTACTCGGTTATACGGAGCCGTTCAGCATTGCGACATCGACGCTGCCCCGCGAATGTTCCGCCGCCGTCAGCCTTCGCCAATGGATTGTATGGTCGCACGCGAGTCGCTCGATATCTACACTCCTACAGCAGGCAGTATAAGGCGGGGGACGCTTCGGGCAGCTGGAACAGTGCTGCGGCTTCGTCGACTTGCAACTGAGAGCAAAGGCTAATTTGATTGTGGACACAGCGTCTTCTGAACAACCGCAATCATGGGGTATCTATCCTTCCCTCACCCTCACTCCCCTGCAACCGCTAACACTCGCCAGTATCTCACGAGACTCTCGCCACAAGCGTTCCGCGTCCGGTGCGAAGCGCGCATACTACCGCAAGAAGAGGTATGCATAACCCGATCGCTTCTCTAGTCATGTCTAACATGGCTTCAGGGCTTTCGAGAAGGGCCGCCAGCCTGCCAATACCCGTATTGGCACAAAGCGTGTCCATCTTGTCCGCACCCGTGGCGGCAACCGCAAGTTCCGTGCTCTTCGTCTCGAAGCCGGCAACTTCTCCTGGGGCTCCGAGGGCATCGCCAAGAAGACCCGTGTCATCGGTGTCGTCTACCACCCCTCCAACAACGAGCTCGTCCGTACCAACACCCTGACCCGCTCCGCTATCGTCCAGATCGATGCCGCTCCCTTCCGACAATGGTACGAGGCCCACTACGGCTCTTCGCTCGGCCGCAGGAGGCAGGCCAAGGCCGGTGAGAAGGAGGAGGACAAGAAGAAGTCCAACTCGGTCTCCAAGAAGCAGGCCGACCGCTTGAAGAACGGAGGAAAGATCGAGAACGCTGTTGAGAAGCAGTTCGAGGCCGGTCGTCTGTACGCCGCTGTCTCTTCCCGTCCCGGCCAGAGCGGTCGCTGCGACGGCTACGTCCTCGAGGGCGAGGAGCTTGCTTTCTACCAGCGTCTGCTCAGGAAGTAAGGGTGATATTTGGGGCTTCTTCGGTGCATTGGTCAGGTCAAAATGGGTGTTTAGTCATGTATCTGGTCTGCATAGTCGCGGGACACTGAATGCACTCGGCATGATAACGCCACTTCTCTAGATACCACGAGACTACGAATCATGGGTTTCAAATGTTCATGTGAACGTTCTTTTCTTTCCAGTCCTTGTCCGCAGATTGTCTTCCCATTGCACCTCATCAACGTTCCAACATGACTAGGACCTTTCTTGACCACAGGCTAGCCATGTGTCGTCGACTCATTCAAGGCACATTGTCGTCACAATGGTAGGATGCAAATGACAAATACCCCCACTAATGATATGGCTGGGAACGATTGTTCGTTTGTTCATCATATACTATTCGAGCCATGGTCTTTCACATGTCAACCCCTCTTGCGTTCTAGACTAATCACACCTCTTCCAAAGCCCATCTCTACCGTCCACGCACTGTACATCCGAGCACCTGGATCATACCTCGGCACACGCCCGCCTACAGTTTCGAGGCCGCAACCGGGGAGCCGACCTGTGGTAGCCGCGTTAGCTTACACTCACATGCTTTAATTTTACGGAAGACAAGCAGGGTAGTGGTAGTGATTGCGAGGTTTATGAACTTTATTCGTTTTGGTTACAGACTCTTATGGTCTGGACATTGGTATAAGGTTACAGGATATAGCAGTAGATGTAAGGAAATTGCAAGGTATCGTAAAGTGTAAGTTACAACTTGGAGGCTCCCTTGGGCGGACCTACGTTTGTGATCTCGTTGTAGAGCAGTCTGGGACGTCGTTAGCATGTATCGTCAAGCAAAGAAGGGGTCGAACTCACGATGTCAAAAATTCGGCGTAGTCTTCACCAGTAACCTGGCCCTCGAAGTACTTGGCCGCAAGATGGAACTTGTTGCCTTTTGGTGCCTTGTCGCTGAGCGCCTTGGCCTGCTCGTGCAGAAGCTTGAGCGCGTAGTCCTTGGTGACCTTCTTACCCTCAGCAGTCTCGACGTTGTGCCTGGTCCATTGCCACAGCTGGCTTCTTGAAACTTCAGCAGTAGCAGCGTCCTCCATAAGGTAGTTGATGGGTACACAGCCGACACCACGAACCCAAGCTTCCATGTAGCTGAGACCAATGTCAAGGTTTTTGCGGATGCCGTCCTCAGTGACCTTCCCAGGTACGTTCATGTTGAGGAGGTCGTTGGCGGTGATGTGGACGTCCTCACGGCGGACGTGCATCTGGTTGGGTGTAGGCATGTGCTCGTTGAAGACTTCGCTCGCGATAGCCGCAAGGGCTGGGTGAGCTACCCATGTACCGTCATGACCAGCGCGTGCCTCGCGGAGCTTGTCCGCGCGCACCTTGGCCATGGCAGCGTCGTTCGCTTTCGGGTCGGTCTTGATGGGGATCTGGGCAGCCATGCCGCCCATGGCGTGAACGCCGCGTCTGTGGCAAGTCTTGATGAGAAGCTTGACGTAGGCGTCCATGAAGGGTGAGGTCATGGTGACGGAGTCGCGGTCGGGGAGGACGAAGTTGGGGTTCTGGCGGAAGCGCTTGATGGTGCTGAAGATGTAATCCCAGCGACCGCAGTTGAGACCTGAGGAGTGGTCGCGGAGCTCGTAGATGATCTATGTAGCAGTCAGCATAATCCCAGTCGTTCAGTAGTGCTCTACGTACCTCATCCATCTCGAAGGCAGCGGTGATGGTCTCGATTAAGACGGTACCGCGAATGGTTCCGCGCCTCATGCCAATGTAGTCCTGTGCCAGGTTGAAGACATCATTCCACAGCCTCGCCTCAAGATGTGACTCCATCTTGGGCAGGTAGAAGTATGGGCCCGCTCCACGCTTGACGAGCTCGTGTGCGTTGTGGAAGAAGTACAATCCGAAGTCGAAGAGTCCACCAGAGATGGGCTCGCCATCAACGGTGAAGTGCTTCTCCTCAAGATGCCATCCTCGCGCGCGAGCAATGAGCGTGGGGAGTGTTCGGTCGGTGCGCAGCTTGTACTCCTTCTCGCCTTGCTTGAAGTCGACTTGCTTGCGGATGGCGTCGTAGAGGTTGAGTTGGCCGTTGATCATGTTGTCCCATGTTGGTGCAGATGAATCTGGTAGAGGTTAGCTATCACGTCCTTTCGCATCTGGATGATTGATTGCATACCCTCAAAGTCGGCCATGTAAGTCCAAACGTTCGAGTTCAGAGCATTGACAACCATCTTGCGATCGGTTGGGCCAGTAATCTCGACGCGCCTGTCAACAAGACCTGGCGCTGGCGGCGCGCCCTTCCATGCATCGTTCTCACGGATGTGCTTGGTCTCTGGGAGGAAGTCGAGAAGGTTTCCCTTGTCGAGCTCTGCTTGTCGGATTACTCGTCGCTGGAGCAGCGCCTTCCGGCGCTCATTGAATGTGCGGTGGAGGAGCGCAAGGAAGACACAGGCGTCCTTGCTGAGAATGTGACGGTTCTGGTCGTTGAGGTCGCCGAGGATGTTGACCTCTCGCAGGATACTATCGGCGCTAGCTGCCATTGTGGAATATATATATGTCTGGTACAATTGATGGATATGTTCGAAGGACTCAAGGTACGAAGGGAGGAATGCAATGGGGTATGCAGCGTGCGGAGAGGGCTGGGCGGTCGGCAGATAATATATTCATGATACAGACGTCACCCATCTTGACGTCTGGGCCGAGGATCTTCTTGGTCGGCAGACTGATGCAGGCTAGTCGGCTGGCCGTGAATGGTAAACGCCAGGCCCACGTTCGGGGGAGGGGAGCTCCAAGCTTGTGACGGTGCCAAGTCCGGAGCTGAGATGCGGGGATAACCCAGCCCGTTAGCACTAACTCACCCGATCAGTACAGCAAACCCTGAGCAACAGTGGGCTGGAAGACGAGTAGACGCAAAATATCTCTGCGCAGTATCGCCGTGGTAATGATTTTCAGAGGGATTCGTGGATATCTGGGGCTGCTGACGGAGTGCGCCGGCAACTGACGGAAGTCGCGATGCTGATGCGTGATAGCAAACGCGTCCCCGATAGCTTCGCCGGCCACTTCCGATGGCGCGCACAACTAGGTAAGAGAGCGCATTCTTACCACGGCACTTCCACGAAATTCTGGAGCCGCGCAACGTTCTTATGATTCTCAGTCATGTCCAGCAGCAATGGGCGATGTCGATCACCGAGCGAAGACGTCAATCGATCGTCATCCTTCCACGGCGAGCAGCACGGGAATAAGATCAACATGATGCATCGTAAACCCATGCAAACCACGAACTGTAACTGTGTCGCCTGAGAACATGCGACAATATCTTACCACGCTGTCCTGCATCTACGAGTGGAGAAGTTACCATACCCTCACACGCATACCATGGCTTCGCACCAAGGACATGCCTAGCAACCGAACACCTTGGACTGTCAGATGCGTAAGAATCAAAAACACTCGTCTTTCTTCTGATGGCAACGCCGGCCTACGAATGACACAGTGGAGGTTTGTTGAAAGTATGTTGAGGTTTGGATTGGCATTTCATCTCGCGGACGGCTCTGTAGGATACCTTGACTAACTCATCGTAAAGGTATACTAGCTACAAGAACCCTGTCACATCTATCATCCCTTCCAGGCTCTCATCTTCCAACCTCTAGAGCTTCTTTGGGGCGATCTCAAAGGGTTTCGCCTCACCCTTCAAGCTGAAGCTGCAGACTCCACTTCCACCACATGAGCCAGCGAGGTTCTGGCCGACCGTGAAGTAACCTTCCGCTTCATACGTCGCCTTGTACTGCGCACCCTGGTACTTGACGTCGGCTACGTGGGTAAACTTCAGGGTGAAGTCGCGAGATCCGAAACCATCGCTTCCCTCCAGGACGTTCATGAGCCAATAGCCATCGGATGTGCCATCGCACGGCCAAGTCCGGTCTAGGGGGTTCTCGCCCTTGGTATACCATTGCGCTTTGCAATTCTAGGGACGCATCAGCAAACGTACTGGAGTAAGAGACAGGAAAGTTTAGACGTACAAGTCCTTGACTTCCAGCTGGCGCGGTGACGTTGGTATCATCGAATTGTGCGGGACCGAGATCGATCACATTGGGATCCGTCACGTCGGCTGTGATGGAAGCCCATGGGTAGCTACCAGGGCGTCCCGACGGGGTAAAGATATTTACTCGGGTGACTTGCCAGTCCTGAAGTGCACTCTGACGGGCCGCCAGGGGTGATGCAGCGGCTGAAGACGTAATTGCCAGGATGGCTGCGAAGGCGGTTTGGGTGAATTGCATGATGAAGATTGGTTCGAAGTACTTGTTGGTACCTAAAAGATGGGATCTTCTTTCACCGACACCACCACCCTTATATATGACTCTAGGCGTCCAATACGAACATCGTCATCATCGTACATCCGCCTTCCCGAACAGGTACCCACGATCCTGCCTTCATGAGGAGCTTCGCACGGCACATTGCATTAGTCACCCCACAGTCAGGCACCCCGGGCCTAATTATAGCAGGATCGACGTCAGCGTACTTACGCACTTCCCACTTTACGATGCTACATTGCTGATGTTCGTACACTATCATTAGAAAGATCTGAATATCCAATCTACCACGAAGACTGTTGAGGCTCCTGCTGAGATATTCATAAAGTCACATTTTCCGGATACGCGCTTCTTTTGTAGCCAGGTTCATTGGCCAAGGCGCGTGTTGCAGCTAAACCGCACGCAAAACCAAAGTAAATAAGTTTCGATAAATCAATGTCTCCTCCATGATGAGATCGAGCCATTCCCAGGCTCAGATCAGGGTAGTAGGCGCACTATGACAGCGTTTGATACGGCTTCTATGTCACGAGATCGTATGGTGAATGCAACAGGTCATTTCAGATCATGGCGAAGGGATTGGTCCTGGTGTTCGAGTCTCATGAACCACACATGCTATCATGATGGATATTGCACCGACGCATATACACAGGATACTAGAGAAGATCAGCACGTACGATGAAATATGGTCGTCGTAACGCAGACCACTACGCAAGTTAGCTAGTTCTGGCTCTGCCAGAATCCGTCATGGCAAGAGTTGCTGTATGATGGGAGAAACTCGCACGGCTATCGCACGCGATGAGATCGGATTCGGAGTCCATTGGCCATGAGCGAGCCTTCAGAATATTGACTGAAGACGGGCGATATTCACGAATAATACATCAAAGGTATTTTAGATGTACATAACCTATTCTCGTTCGCTACGTACAGTCTTACGATCAGGATGACTAACTACACATTAATACCATGGTGCTTGTCTTCGACAATCGCTACACTTTATTAAATTGGAAGCCCAAGAGACTCTTTCAGAACGTTGACAGTTCGCGCAAGAGCTATGCATGAATTTCAATAGAGCTCACTGCTATCCGACTCCAAAGTGTAGCTTCCCCATCCCTTCCCGTCCATTCCCGTCAAATTTCGCCCACCTGGCGCAGTCCAGTGTCATAGTTGGCTCCCCCTTATCTTCAAAAACTGGATGAACTCTAGATATTCGTTGTATTGTTCTTGAAGTTGTCTTCTGGTGTCCTCCTCCTGTCGTATGCGCCTCCGACGTAAAGCGACCGTGCAGTCTAGTTGTGGAGAGCTAACTTAGCGGAATTTCCAAAGTTGCTTAGGAGAGGGATACAGCTCACATTTTAGAGGCTCTTGAATCCATTCGCGCGACTTAGGGGAGGCAATCAATAGGCCAATAACAATGCCGACCACCGCTACACAGACGCTTACAAGGGTGAAAATGTCTTGTCGCGACCATGTCGTCTGTGGTCTATCAGAGGTGCTAAAGGACTGGCTAGAGGGTGAATCGGCCTGGCGAATTGGTGGGATTGGAGAGCACCCCACGAAGACAATATGCGAGAGTATCATCACAGCTGCAAAAGGTAACATGCTGGAAGGTATGCGATCACGTGAGCTGAAAGGAGGATAAGAGGAGACAAGTTTGGGAGGGCCTTCGCCGGCCGGGGGCACCACGTAATATCTTGTACGAATCTCGCCGACGGCGAGTGTGTCTTGGCGCATATATTAATGTAAGCCCCCACGAAAGGGAGACGTTGACCCAATCAACTACGTGGGTAGCCAGGCTGTGAAGACGGGCTGAGGCTCAGCCACTCGCTGTTAAGCTTTGATTGGTGGACGAAACCTTAGGCGTCTTGTTTCCTCACACTAGTGGAGGTTCCAGTGCTGAGAGATTCATCTAAGCTGTCAGTTAAAACTTTCTACTTAAACTGAGGTAGCCTGGCGAGGTGGTTTATAGAACGATATTGGCGAGAGCTTCCCTCGTTGTTCACGGTAAAACAGCAGGTGACGTAGCCGCATGGGTTTTGTAGTCATTCTGGAGGTTTTGTCGCAACAATCGCCTGATAAGGCCAAGTGTTCTGGTGTTCGAGGGTCCGCATCTTGGGCAGATGAATTTACCAACAAGTGCATAGTTCGTAGATGTACCGAGAATATCGGTAACTTTGTATGACATGTACAACGATGTTTCCATTTCCAAGTGCTAACTTGCAACTCGAGACTACGGAGGAGATTCGGAGCTCAAATACTACGAGACGAACTTGATTTACGCTGTCGATGAACTGTTGGTAGATAAATTTGAACCCCCAAGTATCCAGCCTTAGTGGTAGACATTCGCAGCCGATACATAATTCTTTCTCTTCTGACTCAGAACCCCCCGCGCCGTGTTCTCAAAAACTCGTTGTAGCGGTCCTGAAGGCTTTGGCGGGCCGCTTTCGGATCTTTCTTCTTCCAATCCTTAATGATGAAATGTTGGCGTTGGGGTAGCGGCAAGACATATGAATCTTTGGCAGCTAGTGCATCATTCCAGACTAATTCTCCGTTGAAGTCTGAGTAGGTGTACACACAAGGTCGCATGCATCGTGCCAACTATTTGATGGGCCTGCGTAGCCACTCCTGCATTTTGGGGGGTGCAATGAATATACCACCCACCCCAACCATAACAGTGACGATTGCGACACACCCGGACAAGGGTGGACAAGTTTTGTTTCGATCAAGGCTGACCACTAGTAGTAGGGACAGCCGCACTTGGGTGGCTTTCAACAAAAGAGCGAATTGGGACGACCACTGTATGTGTGGGGAGGACTTCGGCGAATAGCAACAAAAAGAGCTTGTAAGCCTGCATGATGCAGGAGCCACAAGTACAGGCGGAGGTAGCAATGGAGAGGTGCGAACTGGTCTGATGCGCCCGTTATTCTTACAGGGCGTCGTCAAAACCTTGATCGAGTTGTTGCTCGCTCGAAGACGGCTGTGTAAAGAATCGGGCTGTGTGCAGGTTCAGCAGGCGTACCAAAGTGAAGTCTGCCTTGTTGTCCGTCCGACCGGTCAAAGACCCTGGCCTACAAGATTCACCGGCAACATGTCCAATCCAGGAGTGCACAAGAGACTGTCGCAAACCACCAAAGATTATACCAACACAATTTCTCCGACGTGCATCTGTTTCTCCCAACATTCGCCATCCATCATTCCGTGAACGTAACTTTCACCAATAAGATGGTACTTCTCATCCTGCCATCTTCGAAACCATCTCGGCCCAGATTGACCTTCCTCACGCCGCACAACGAATGGGACATCTCCATCGATAAGGATACATACCAGGTCGCCAATTCGCACGTCCGAAGGCCCTATACCTAAATGACCGGTACTCGTAGCGAAATACCGACGATTCCGGAAAAACCCTATAGCGGCGAAATAACGATGCTTGTAGTCCTGCAAGGACGGATCGGAGAAGTCTGAGGGGCTTCGCAGATTCCAGAACACTCTCCGCATTGGCTCTGTTGCCCGCCTGTTGTATCTTCCGTTCTCACCAAGTATGCCGCACTCGGTATCGACTATTGGTGTTCGCCACGTTGCATCTTCCTTTTCTTCGGGTGTTTTGTACGCGAAGCAACGGGCGTCTACAAAGTCTTGAACGATGTTCAGTCCACGTCTAAGCGTATTCGGCATGTCTTTGAGCTCTTGCGCGCTGAGTGAATTCCATGACCATCCAAGTTGCTCCACACGACTTGTAATAACCCCACGGATGGTCAACTGGCTGTTCTCCGCCCGGATGACCTGCTCCAGCCGGCATTTACCAGCCGAGTAGACGGGAAACCGTGGGTTCCAGATCATGATGGGCGGTGGCTGGGTCCAGTCTGGTACCCAAGATGGCAGCCCTGGATCATGCTTAGGATGCCGGCTTCTCGCTAGTATTTGCAAGTTGTTTTGCCGCATGAGTAAGGCAGCAGCCACCTGTGTATACACTTGCGCGCACGTCTTGTTGTAGTCTGCCACAACGCCCAGTTCCTTCATGTCGCTCGTCAGTCCAATGAGGGCGAATATATGATCTACAGGATTGCCCGCCCCGAACCCCGTAGCCCGTATAAGTCTTTCAGCAAGCGGTATTCGCAATCCAATGCCATTCATCGACGTCTCGATTAGCCTTGGGTCACAAGCCTGCAAAGCATTGAGTCTTTCGATGCGACTGCCTAAGGCGTTATTGAACTTGGCGTTGAGCATTGGAAGCTCCATCAACGCAGTAAATGCCAGAATCACATGCCTGTATGCGACTGATGATGAACCGCAGATGACATGAACGTTCTCTGCAAGGTTCACTTCTTGTACTATCTGCAGTGAAGATTACACACTTAGCGGTTTCCGATACAAGAGATGGCGAAATTGACTTACCCAGATACGCGTCCACCACCGTCGCTTGAAGATCGCCGCCACCTGGGTAGTGGGAAAGTCCGTTTTCAGAGCAGACGATTCTTCAGACAAAACCTCTTCAAAGAGTCGACGCCGCTCTTCGAGACAGGGACCATCAGGCATATCGTAACATGCCTTGCCAATATGAGCCAAAGCTTTCATGGCGACATCACTCCCATCATCCGCGGTGCCAATCCATCCAAGCACAAGCTCTGCCATTCCGTAGATTTTGTCCATTTGCTGTACTTGCGCACTTTTCTCTTCCACGTCTGCTTGGTTGATACAGATCGCATCTACCCACAGCAAAAGGATGCGATTGTCCTCTTGCAGGCGCTTGAGTGCGGCATTGAGACTTTCGGTTATCCAAAAGACACATTCATCGATAATGATCGGGCACGTCTTGTCTGAGTTCCCCCAAACATAAGAGAGAGCTGATATTGTACCTTCGGTAGGCAAAGGTAGGAAGATGATTGTCGCGCAAGGAACGTTTGGTCGCTTCCAACCGGACACCTCCCGTGGCCGTTCCAGGCAAAGTACCCGAATGTAGCTTTGTTTATCTGGCAGCGCCGAATATTGATAGTACTTCAAGCTCCACAGGTTCGGCGGTTTGGTAATGTCTGAGTCCTGGACAGCGCCTAACCGCAGAGCTTCTTCCCGAGACGTCCGGAGAGCGTTGTACGAGTCATCATGTTCCAGAGAGCGGGCAACTGGTAAACTATGCCAATCCATATCCCATAAGATAATGATGCTTAGTAGGCTTCCTGTTCGTGATTAATCTGCCGTTGCGAGGTAATGAGGTTGTTGGGCTCAGTCGTAAACAGCGCAGGCAGAGAGGAGGAGCTGAAAGAGTCGCCGGAGACGAGCTGAACATTGTGCATGCCTAGCCTTCAGCTTCGATCGCGACTAGCGCCCACAACTCACCATAAATGTTCACGAACATCACCATTGGCTGAGAACAATGGTGTGATCAAAAAAAAACTTGAGTGGCGCCCCAGGGGTGGCTACAATCCGTGTCGCATACATACATTCAAATCTGAACAAGTAAGTAGCTGGTAAGACAACGTATACTCCTACTTGATAGCGGTTTTAAGAATGCGACCTGAATAATAGCCACCCCCGGTGGCGCACATAAGGGTTGGCCGCATTGACGAGACGTAGTTTAGATGAGACGATAAGGGCTCACGTGCGCCTGCGAAGAAAGAAAGAAGATACCATTCGACCCGTATAACTTCAGCGACGTTCTACGCAGACATCTACAAGTTTGCGCGGTCGATACGCTTGCCGCTTTCATCAAACCGGATCTGCTTTCCGCTAACCAACGCTTCCTGCAACCAAGCCCCAATCTGCACAGCCTTGACAGCGTTCTGAAACTCCAATGGCACCGGGGTGTTGTCTAAGCACGCTGCGGTGAACTCGTTCGCCTCCTTGACGAAGCCAGGCTCGAATCGGCCCCAGTAGTCACTGGGTACTTCTCGGGTGATACCAGCTTTGGAGTAGTAGTTGACCAGGTTCTTCTGGGGGTTGAGGTTGACGGTAAGCTTTCCCTCGGTACCTATGATCTCGGTGACATCCTCTTGACCGTGTGTCATCATGCGAGAAGCGTAGTAGTGTGCAATTCTGCCGTCCCAGAACTCGACGATACCAACGGCGTTGTCGTAATCCTTGTGCTGCTTAAGACCCGGCAGGATGGCGACGACACCATTTGCGGAGATGGACTTGGGCACTACGTTGGAGCCGAAGTACCATAGAGTTAGGTCGATGTCGTGGACGGACATGTCGACGAAGACACCGCCAGACCATGCAGCGTACTGAACGAAGAAGTCTGGGCGAGACAGTCAGTATACAGATCATCAAGATATGAACGATCTCATTTCGTACCTGGGTCAGGGTGTTGCCTGTCGCAAGTTTGTGATCGAACAACGGTGGGTCTGCCGATGGCACCTTCTTCGATCTTCTTCGCGACGTCTTGGTAGCTGTCGTCAAATCGTCGTGAGAACCCGCACATGACCTTGAGGTGTGGCTTCTTCGCAGCTGCATCGACGACATCTTGGCAGATCTGAACGCTGGTAGAGAGAGGCTTCTCGCAAAGGACGTGTAGGTCCTTCTCGATAGCTTGGAGAGTCTCCTCAGCATGTACCGAGGTTGCAGTGCCGATCACTACAGCTTCGAGACCCTTGTGCTCGAGCATCTTTTTGTAGTCGTCGTAGAGTGTCACGCCGTATGGCTCGAGGTGCTCTTTGCCCCATTTGAGCTCTTGTTGATCTGGAGAGAATGCGGCGACAAGCTCAGCACGTGGAGTCTTGTTCAGGATGTTCAAGGCGTGTCGAGCGCCCATGCGGCCGAGACCGGCAACAGCGACTTGCAGTCTGTGAGGAGCCATCTTACAGCGACTGGGAGATGAGTAAAGTCTTGATGTTTTGAGCTGGCAACAAAGAGACAAGGAGTCAGATGGAGTGAACGCAGTATGGACATTGTGAGGAAGACATTTTATACGCTTTGTGCGCAGATCACTAATTCTCGTGCCTCTTCGGAGGAGGTTTTCGTAGATGTTTTGTCCATCTTCGGTGAGGCCTCTGATTGGCTAGATAGCCTTCGTATGAAGTTCGGAGGAGGTTTTCGCAATGCAATGCGCGCCAGTGTGGGGAACATGCGGGCGGCGTGCTTCAAACAGGTGCCAACAGGACTGAGCGGGGTTCGGAGGAGGTTTTGGATTGTAAAATACGCCAGCATTAAGGTGAAGATCCGGCAGCAAGACCGTGCACGAAGAAGGTGCAGCGATGGCAAATGACCCCGCAACGGCAATTTCTTCCGCCTCCCACTCGGCCAAGCAAGCCGCATCATGTCGCGACGTTTGGTACCCGTAGATACACTCTTGGGGGTTACGCTGGGCTGCATGAGCCTCTGATAGAACAGTGCCGCTGCGTTCCCATCCTTTCGCCATCTTGGAACTCAGATCGTCGAGTGCAGGGTGCAGGGCAGAAAGCGCCGGACCTTGCTTGATGGGCAAGCCTTGATCAGCTACGGTGGCGCAGGTAGCTACTATTCCAAGGTTTTCTTCAATCGGGTCAACATCTACCACGTATCGCGCATTTCAATCGCGACTTTTTGCCAGCCTTCCGGATTCCGTCGTCACAGACGCTGGGCCTGACGAAATTACCTGGATACCACTTCGCTGAAGATGTATTGGATAAGACCCCCAAGCTGGAAGACCATAGGCTGCCACAGTCGAATTCGCATCATTTCAAAGTGATGCTTCGAAAAATGGGATTAGAGACCAGAGCTTCGCCTTGCATGAAACCATGCACATAGGCGCCTCCAACAAGCCGGAATGTGTCAATATCGATCTGCCGGAGTATCAGAGGTACACGAGACCCAGGTACGATCCATATCGAATCCTGCTCGAGAAGAGACCCTGAACCCACTCCAAGATATCGCCTACCCGTCAGGAACAACCGGAGATGAAGAGCATGCGAGAACGTTGTCTCGAACTCGTCAAAGCCGATGGTGTCTTCTTGTGCTGTAGGTGAAACACTACCGTGTAAGCCCAATGCTGCATTCGAAGACGATGATGAACCGGTAATGTTGGTTGCTACCAATGCCGTAATGGCGTTCATGAAAGCTGGATCCTCGGTGCTTTGGAGCATATCTTCGACCCGAGCCGATAGCATTGAGGTTATCCAGGAAACGTATGCAGCATGATAGCTATCGGGAGCAGGATAGCGAGGAGGGACTCCCGCCGTGTCCGTGATCAGTGTTCGCCAAAAAACCTCCGACCGGGTTTGCCCCGTGTGATACGTAGGAGGCATCGCTTCGAAAATTCGGAGCCACCCAGGAAATGGTTTTCCATTGAGAATGGTCTCCTTGTCTTCGCCGCTAGCCACGACATCATCCAGTCGAAATCCTTGTACTGTCAAACACCGATCCCATTCATTGACACTGAGGACTCTGGGAAGATTGCCGGCCGCTGCGAACCTCTTATAACCGGTGATACCCAATCCAAGAGCTCGGTCGCAACTCCAATCAGGAACCCAGGACGGCGCAGAAGCAATGTTGCGAAATCTATCACCTTCGGCACAAGAGAGTAATAGCAGATCGTCTGAGTCCTCGAGAATCTGTATAGCAGCCAGCGTATATGTTTCCGCAACTGACCTCTCGCCATAAACGGGTGACAAACGGCTCTTTAGCGCAACGGACTCTCCTGCAATGCCGAGCAGCGAGTAGACCTTATCTCGGGGATCTATCGATACGAAACGGCGGGATCTTATGAGAGAATAAAGTAGGCTTTTCGAACTTTTGTTGACGTCGAGAACATTTGGGACGCCATGGCTTGCTTGTTGTGAGCCCGTCATTCTGGCTATCCATCTTGTCCATGATGTGACTACCAGAAACTCTGACACTGTTGTGATAGCCTCCCAGCCCACAGTATGACTTCCGCACAAAGCAATCATCTTCTTGGCAAGCGTTATTTCTTGTATTATCCATGCGCGAGTGAAGTATCTCCTTTGGAAGAGGTTGGCCATGGATGTCCAGGCGATGACATTTGCACATTCTCCGAGTCTTCTAGACAAAGCCGGAGTCCCCAAGCCTTTTGGCGTGATGTCCATCAATCCCTCGATCCTTTTGCGTCGCTCGGTGCTTCTGCAACTGCTCATCAAAGTCGTTATCAACCGGAATGCGATGCTCGTGTCCTTGTCTTCTTCGCCCAGCCAGGCATACACCATTTTGGCAGATTGATAGATAGTACCCATCATACGGACTTGATGAGTACGTTCGTCAGCGTCATTCTGGTCGATGCAGATAGCGTCTATCCAGTAAGAGTTGCGAATGTGCGTGTCGTTGTCGCGTGCTCGAAGTAGGAAAGCATGGAGATTTTCAGTCACCAATATCTGATGCCAGGCCTGATGAGATCTATCGTTAGACTGAGACTTCGCCATGCAGAGTAGTGGTAATTGCGGCTGGCTTGAGCGTGCTTCTGCTTCCTTATTTTCGAGTGGTTTCGGCGAGCCCCAGGTGTATGACAGTGCAACATATTCTTCCTTTTTGTCTGGGATATTAACCACCTGAAGCTCGCAGGCGAGAGGGTCTGAATGGCTTCCTGGAAGAATGTTCACGAGTCTGACTTGACCCGCAGGCTTTAACCGTAATACCGCATACAGGTCAGCCATATCCGTACAGGAGCCGCTCACGATGTGTTTCGTTGTCTGTCAGTCTGGTGCGTAGTCGCGGTTGTTATGATATCAACAACGATTAAATTTGATGAAAGCTCCATGGGATATGCGAGACATGGCAACAACCTTCGCAACTGAGCTTCTAATATTCGGCGCTTTCTTGTTGAGAAATCTGAAAAGCCACGACACGTGGCACGCGGGGTAGGGCTCGATATGCGGGGTAGTTTCAGGCAGTATCTTGCTCAGCTGAGTGTAATTCATCTCAAACCTCACATTGAGACTACCGAGGCCTACCCAAATTTCCCACCATCTCGATAACGTCTTTGCGTTCTTGGATGCTACTACAGAACCACCTTTGCGCTTTGTTTTTAGGAACAATGGCCAGCAAACCCGCCACATGCCAGTTCCGGTTCCAGGCAGTGCCGGGCATTTTTATCGACTTTGTTGCAGAGGCCAGGAACGATCCTTCTTTCCGCGCCACAACCTTGCCTGGACTTGGGCTGGTTGCGAGACAATACGAAACGGATCGTGATCAAACCGCCGACAAAGATTCGTCAACTAACCAAAAGCCTTGGGAACGTTTCCGCGAGTACGTTCATCATCTGAACAGTCAGAACGCACCTTCCACGACGTACAAGGTCCTGTATCTCACAAGACACGGCCTGGGCTTCCATAATTCCTTCGAGTCGCAGGTGGGGCGAGAAGCTTGGAACGTGGGTTTGACGTCCCAATGTACATTCTTCGATTTTCTGACTATGGGTAGAATCATTGGTCACACCTGGACGGGGACGGAAACGTTGTCTGGGCTGATTCTCAACTGAATATGGATGGTATCAACCAAGCGGAGGTTCTGGGCCAGTTCTGGTTGGACGCTGTCTCCAATGAAGGTGTGCCATTACCTGGCACGCTGTATACCAGCCCGCTTGCTCGCTGTCTTAACACCACTCGTCTCGCGTTTTCGAGGATCTTCCAGGAACAGGGGGTAAAATTTCAGCCGATCATCAAGGAGTCGCTTCGAGAGCTTGTGACCGACCATACTTGCGATCGAAGGAGCAGCCGAAGCTGGATCGTGGAGAACTTTCCTGATTACCTCATTGAGCCTAATTTCTCCGAAATAGACAGCTTGTGGACAGGTAAACACTGGGAGACACGGGATGAGCATACAGCAAGAAAACAAGCAGTGTTGGAAGATATCTTCTCGACAGATGAGAGTGCTTTCATAGGACTTACTGTACACTCCTACGCAATCTCAGCGATCCTGAGAGCAGTTGGATTGTCCGAGTTCAGGGTGCGCGAGGGTAGCAGTATTGCGTTGCTTGTCAAAGGAGAAAGGATCGGGGGTAATCTCTAACTTGAAAAAATATCTGCGCAAACTAAAACGAGGAACGAGAACACCCTACTAGAGCAGCTAACCACAGGAGTTATCCAACTTTACACGTCGTTTGACAATCAATACTTATTTTCAAGCCAAGCGATGGACAACCATGCGCTCGTACTGTATGTAGTAGCGCTGTCGTTGTTGTTGCGGTATCCGTTCGTCGCCACCCAGTGCAAGGTGCCATGGTGGAGTTGCTTGTGATGTGATAAAAGGGTAGGTGTGTGTAGGACGATTCGAGAGTGAGTAAACTGCGCGCAAATATGTTATCAGCTTGATCAACGTATAAGCCTGTAGCATGAGTGCATACCGTCTGCAGTGGAGAGAGAAAGGGCGCGACAGGATCGGCCACGCGATTCCGTGCGCTTCGTCCACGCTAGCGAAGAGGTGATTCCCAATACGGCTACAACCACACCTATGACACCTATGATGGCTTCAGTGGACAAACTATCGTTTCCAATCTTGCTGTCGCGGTTTGTATGTCGTCGCAAGACATTCGAGTGTGAGTGGGCTGGAATGACCTGGATGGATGGGGTAAATGCCATTAAAAGTACAAAATATTGGTACGACATGGGGGATGATGTCTGCAAAGAAAATGTGATTGTTTGGGGGGAACTCAAGTATCAGCGCTGATGTTACTTTGAACAATTCGGGGGATTGTGTTCCTGCTTCGGATCCGGATGACGCTGCGCCAGGGCAGCAAGGACTACCAGAGGCTGACATAAGGCAACCCTGGGAGGAGCGGCTACGGAACACCAGTTGGAAAACCGGAGAAATTCTTGGCAAGCCCAATTTCGAAACCTCGAAACGCTACAATAACGACAAACCTGTAAATCTTAGCAGGGAATATTTACGACCTTTGCAATTCTACGTAAGTAAGGTACATATCTAGGTATGTTGTCAAGTTGTGCAGTGCTGGATTGCACCTGTCATCTCCAAAGCCTGTTCAGCTTGTCCCCTGAATGTGGTGGATGAAGCATGGTGAGTGAACCACGAGTCACCAGTGGACGGTTTGGGTGATCGCGAGACTATCCGTACATCCACCACAGGCTCAAGCAAGGTAGTGACCCGATTGTTTGCCTTCTTGTCAAGCTTACTAGATGTGCACCCACGTCGCAGCATGGTGAAACTGGTAAACTATACCTATAGGGGCTTAGTCGATGGATTCGAACATTCAAATTAGCGCGGCTCTTCCCTAAACTAAAATCAGCACTCCGACAAATCACTTTGCTCTACACCAACTCCCACCAACGATAACAAGATGAACGAAACACTCAGGGAACTCCGTCGCGATCTTGCCAACAAGTACCGACAGCATGGCCCCCGGATCGAAGAGAGGTGGCGTTCGCTCAGTCAAGAACAACGCAAGAAGATCATGCAGGCTGGCTCTCGCGATGGCGCTGTCTTGAAGCATGCTGAAGATACGAGCCTGGAGAATGTCTACAAGTTCATTCCCGAATGGAATCTACGCGACATTACTGCACCCTCATCAAACTTCTTCCTCGACATGCTAAAGCACCGGGCCACCCTACCACTCAAAGACCAATACGCGACTGGATTCAATGGACGTCCAGGCGATCACGCGCACATAGTCGATATGATGCAGAGGAAGAACCTACGACTGCAGAACGCCGACCAATACATGAATTGTTACACGCTCTTCCTGACAGAGGACGGCTACGGTGAATCGGTCGAGATCCTCGCAGAAAAGCGAGAAGAGGTTCTCGCAAACATGAAGGCGGCTATCCAAGCTCAGGTCATAGTACCGCAAGCTACTGGCGAGCTAATTCTTATGCGACAGATAAACCTGCTGCAGCTACTCAACTTTAGCATTGAAGGCATTCTCGATACCGCGTCTACCACGCGGACCCAGGCGAAGCGCCCGAAGAAACCAGCCGACGAGGCGACTGCAGCTTTAGCAAAGTTGTCCGTACACTCAGCTCCGAAGAAGGTCGAACTCTCAGACCTCGTTGGAGTGGCTCACGATCAGGTGTCGTCGCGTGAAGACATCGTTAGTCTCATTGCCACTGAGCCTACGGTCCTAGCCCATGAAGTCAACTTTTGTTTCTTCAGTAGGCCAGAACTTGTGGCCGACGAGAAGGGCCGTATGTTGCCTGTACATACAGATAAATACATCAGCGGTGCTGTATTGGATGCCGTCCAGAACTCGGTAAAGACTGCTGCCACATGGAACTACGTTGGCCGTCTCATGGAATTACTGAAGGGGACATCAGACAAACAGTTCCGAGCGACTATCCTCAATGAATTGTCAAACACTTGCCACCTGGAATATCTGCGCGCCCAGAATGGATTCAAACGTAGTGTGGCTGTTGGTTTGGGAGGCAGCAAATGGTTCAAGCGCATGTCGACCGCACAGAAAGACGGCATTCCGCGGATCTTGCTGAAGAGAAGCCCCGAGTCTTTCACAGTAGAGAACCCGCAATTACACTACATGCTCCGGCTCTGTCAGGACGACATAAGCTGGTCTGGGGCTGCACAATGGCTTCAGAAGCTGGAGGACCTCCATCGAGCTCACCCGCTAGAGCGAGACAATCTCTCGGAGCGGGAGTACGACTGCCTTGGAGACTTGGCCATCATCGTCACCTTCATTCAGTCTCTCTCGTCAGTCGCGCAATTACCCACACCAAACCACAAGAAAAGCCAGCCATTCGTACCAGGATACACATCTTTGGACAAGGAACTAAAGTCACTGAAAGACGGCATAGATCTCGGCGAGTACGCTATTCCGATCGACAACTTGCTGGAGCTGGGTATGGCTGAGGGCGCTCTGGCAACGCTGGATCAGTATATTGTGGAGAAGACGGGTACGAAGCTCGGCTTTCTTTACCAAGATCTAGTTGAGAACTGTGCATCTAGCATCCAGCAACAGCACGAGCAGCAAAAGGCAAAAGCTAGTCAAGGCCAAGCCGAGTACAGGGCACCAACAGCTCCCGAGACCCCAGCATCGAACATCGGGCAGCGCAAGCAGAAGGAGAAGACGCGACCGGCGCAAAATCCCATCTACGAAATAACGCCACAAGCCACCATTAATGATCAGCCCGCTTCGTCAAAAGAGACCTTTTACGTCAAGCCATCCACTGCCGCCGTCTTCTCGTCGCTGTTCTCGAGGTCATCGGCAGCTCGGAGCCCAGTACGGTGGGATGCGTTCGTGGCCGCCATGAAAGACTTCGGTTTTACAATCGATCCCAAAGTCGGCTCAATCTACACATTCGCCCCTCCTGAGAAGGTGTCAGTGCGCAGAGATATAACAATCCATCGGCCGCATCAGGCAAATATCGAGGAGCGACTCCTTCTGATCTACTCCCGGCGCCTGAAGAAGGTGTATGGTTGGGATAGCTCTACGTTCGTTGCGGAGTAGGCGTAGTTGATTTCGTGTGGATAGTTATATAGGCGCTCGGCTCTGCTCCTAACACGATACGTATGGTCGCGACTGGGGGCGTGATTCAATCGAAAACCATGAATGTGCAAGACTTCGATGCATGCTCCGATTTTCTCATTCCTCGAACGCGCTTTGCGCGAACGACAACCACTCTAAGTGTGATATTAGTTCGCGACATTGATTTGGCGTGTCGACTGTCTTATTTCCGCGCCAGATGAGGGCGCCAAAATTGGGGGGCTGAAGCGGCGAATTTCAAGGATCAGCAGGGCTCTTGCCGCCGGCCCGCACCCGCACCTGCTTCTCTCCTCCAACACCGCCACCTCATACAAGGCAAAAGTTGAATAGGTCGGCAGCCTACGTCAAGACAAAAACATGCAGATAAGGTAATCTATCGTTAGCGCAGGCTCTAGGGTGTCTAGTCTTTCCCTTGGATAAGCTGCCACCGCATTGTGATCGCGATGGGCTCATATGACACGACGCACCAGGGAGAGTATCATTCGCGCGCCCAAGATGATAGCTATACACAAGTCCTACATTCAGGCTGGCCTTTTGAATGTACTAAGCCTCAATATGGGCGGCAATGTGATCTGTGTTCGGCTTTCTACGCCAGGATGCCACGTCGGAAAGCAAGCCACACCGGAGGCTCGCAGTCTAGCCCACAGGAGCGGCAGCGTCAACTCATGTCACTCATTCGCCGGACATTATATCCAGGTGTGGGGCGGGCGTCCACCTCAGGTTTGTTGCGACAATCCATCCAGGCAGAAACGAGGCGCAGCTGTCACACTCCATGAGTATTTGAGACTGCTATTCGCACGACTCCAAACGTAAAGTATCTGAACGACAATTCGAAGATCTATAAACCTCGATTAGGCTTCTATCACATACTCCGCGAATCCATACGAAATAATGACTACCCCACCGCTCACAGAAGAGCTTGTGTACCTTACCCTCCAAGGTGTTTTCGTTGGGGAACACTTGCAGCTCCGTCAGACAAAGTCTATCCGTAAAGCCATTATAAAGCACCATTTTAACCCCGAAATCAGAGCTCTTACGCTGAAGTATAACATACATACTATCAGCACCATGGCGAAGACCTTATTGGAAGACCAGATCTTTGCTTCGAAGACGGCAGCAAAAGCACGCTTTCCTGACGTCTTCGAAGGCCCCTCTAGCCAACATACGCAGTCAACTACTTCTGGATCCGGAATTTCAACGAGCAGCGCAGCAGCTATACAGTCAGCGATCCCTGAGCCTCATGCTACAACGAGCGGCGCTGCGACTGTACAACGTGTAGGTGCATACAGTCCAGCACAGCTGCTGGGTATTGGGGAAAAAATGAAGTTGAAGAAAGGAAAGAAGAAATTGGAGACTGGTACGTTCGTTTAGCCAATTCTCAAGCCAAACTAACATAGCGTTGAAGTGGGCTCTCAGTATCTGGAATTCGACTCCATATCCTTACCACTCTGGGATCAGCACAGGATCCTCGTCAGAGTTCAATACACGCTTGAGAAAGCCTGCTACGACTTCGCGCAGAAACAGCTAAGCGGCCTTTTGGAGAGAGAAGGCTGGGATTGCGCAGAAGCAGTTGAACTCAACCAATGGGCTAGAACATTGCTCATTTACCACCAGGAACTGAATCTTGATGACTTCAAAGATACTGCACAGCCTTTGCCTAGTCTCATGGAATTGATCGTCCAGCTCCGCCATGACGCTGTTCACCGCATTCGCCTGTCATCAAGTGCTCTATTGCAACATCTCGCTAACGCTGAACTTCTGGCTCGGCTGCTACGAGACGATACTTGCAGCAGATCCATGTCTACTATACGACAGAAAACTCAAGAAGCTATCGAGAGACTGGTGCGCAACAAACAGTTGCTCGACGACGAATTGGCCGATATCAAGAGGGAGTTTGCAGCAAAGAGAGCCGAGTTGGATCGTCAAGAAGCTGCGTTACTAGAGGCTGCGGCGAGAGAGCACAAAGAACCCGCAGTTTCTGTGAGCGGAAGCTTTGATCGAGTATTGGTATCAGATGACATTAATGGCATCGATGAGAAAACGGACTCGGCATGGAGTCGTGTATATGACGACGTTCTACCTGACAGCGCGTCTTCTAGATCCGAAGGTATGCCCGAGCCTGCAGTGGGACGAATGGTGGAAGAAGATGCTATCAATGCGACGGATAAAGATGTGGAGATGAACGACTCAGCACTCATGGCTCCTGTAACCCCACTACCATTCAGCGATAATCTGGTCGAATCAATCAACTATCACGAGCAAGACCAAGCTGAGAAAGATAGAGACCAAGCTCTGTCCATAGCGGCGCCGTCTTTGAAGCATGGGGGGAAAGAGCTTGACGACAATGAAAGTGGCCCGAAGCATCTTTCAAAGATTCTGTCTTCCAATCCCGACGAACCCGAACCGGACAAGACCACAACAGTCATCCTGGAAGGATCGGACACAGGTGGCAACCGTCAAGAGACAGCAGCACAACTCGAGTCGAATGGGTCAGGTTGCGAAGATTCCGGCGAAGTAGTTCTCTGTGAACGGAGCATCAGTCCCGTTGATGCGACTGTACCTGAGGCTGCAGACGACGCCAACAGCAAGCGCCCTGATTCACCTATGGGCGACGAAATGCCAGTCGAGAAAGATGGCGCGGATGTTCAAGCGACACAAACTCAGACTCCTCCTACACAAGAAGAATTGGAGCTCATGTTGACAGAATTAAATTCAGAAATCATGTCGTCAGAAGTTCGCAACAAGGAATTCGGTAAGGCGGATCCAAGCAAAATCTGGCCCTCCACCAACGATGAATATATGGGATTGTACAGGGTATTAGGGGATATTGAGGACCGTCAAAGAGGCTAGTTGGTATTTTCAAGACGACTGGCGAATGTCAAAAAATTGACCGAGGAGGTACATCAGTCAAGCTTTTTACAGTATTGTTTGTGTAAGGAGGAATCAAGCGATCACTAACAGCATTCAATGACCCTCCCATTACATTCAAGGGAAAGTCTAGACACCTCCGCAAAGTACAATTATGAAGGGAAAAGGCCAAGAAGGCTACATTGTGTTAATAGTCTATAAACTTAGAATGTTAAGGCCATGTGGACTTCGGGGTATCTGTCTAGTTTTTCCCTTAGCTAGGGTGCTCCTTATCCGCGACCCTCCTCCTCTTCTACAAACACAATCAATCCACTACTGAATCAATCCTTCTCTTTCCCTCCTCCTTCTCAGCCTTCTTGGATTCCTTCTTCGCCTTGCTCTCCGCCAACTTCTCCTTGGTCTTGGCCAAAGCGGACTTTGCGGTACTACCCACTTTTGCTTTGACTTTGTGTGAGAACTTGTTTTTGGCTTTGGCGTCCAGATGCTCCATCGTGGTCATCCTCTCTGGTGGGAGGATTGAATCGAAGGTGTGGGTTGTGTTGACGCTGTTCAGGCGCGGCCTGTTCGTAGAAGTATAAGTGGTTGTTTTGTTGTTATGAGACGACATTGCTGACTTGGGTTATATGTGCTGGTTTGCGGTTATATGGGACTCGAGAGTCGAACATTTTATAAGTATATTAGATCGCTCTGTCGGTCTGCCTTGAGCAGTCCACTGTGAGCAAACATGTTGATTTGAGTATATACGAATGAGGTTGAAGTGCATTGTGAATGAAAGCGGTCGAAAGTATGCGCTGAGTAGTCATGGTTGACGATAGAAGACACTATCTTGCATTGCTTGGAACAACTCGCACTGTCTGACTTGTTGTAGAGACATACTAGAGACGAAATCGCAGCCGCGGACTGTGTTTTTTCATGGCCTGAGTGCTAGACCAGCCAAACTGGTCCATTGCATTCCCGCTTCTAGTCGCAGTCGGCATGAGATGACTAGTCTCAAGATGCGCAGAGCTGGGACTTCGCGCAGAACTGGCACCCCAATTTTCTGCCATGCCGCTTCCCGAACATTGAGTTTGTTTTGCAAACTGCCACAGCTCGTATGTAAACAACGCCCTAGTTTCTCGCCCATTCGTTTTCAACACTAGGCTGCTGATCGCGCTCAACATGTCCTGGCAAAGCGCCATCGAGGCGACGATTGCCCTCCTCAATAGCACGGACTGAGTCCTGGCTGTCTTCTTCAGTCTCTTCCTCGATGCGATCAGAATAGCGGTTGCTGTTGTATCCGGGTATGTAATCGATGGCTCGTCGAGGCTCTGTGTCGCCGTTTCGCTCGTCGGCGATCATGCGGGAGATACGTTCGGGCGCAATACGATGCAGCCACGACTCCTTCTGTGTGGGAATGGCGATGATGAGGATCTAGAAACTCATATTAGCAATTGATCCTCGCTGCGCTGCAAACCCCCACTACGTACCTGCCAGATGAAGACCATGCCCACGACGGACATGAGCATGCCGGCAACCACTTGCTCTTCAGCCTTCCAGAATCTAAAGCAGCCATCAGCTCTGCCAGCATACGTGATCTGGCATGCGTCGGCCTTGTGTGTTTTGTCTGGAAAAGGCCATGCCATGTCGCGCGCGTTGGCTAGGCCACAGCACTCAAAGGCATCCTGGATCTGTCGGATGGCACTCGCATCCTTGTGCCTGAACAGCGTCTGCCAGCGCTCGCGCAATCCGCAATCTAAACCAGAAGGCGGCGCGGCATGAGTGCCGACGAGGGTAACGACGACCGTCGAGTAGATGAAGATGAGCGTGTTGGCGATGATTACGAGTGGCGGGCGCTGGATCTCGCCGCGCGCCAGATGCTTGCGACGCTCTTGCCGACGCGTGAAGTCATAGCCGCACTCGAGCAGGAGGCCTGAGACGATGGGTAGAGCCGTAGTGAAGCCGGCCAATGTGTCGGAGATGGGCACAGAACGAGCGTTCGCGCGGGAGGCAGCCCACCTAGACGTGTTAGCGCGGTCCTAGCATCGTCGGTTACGATGGGAGTTTACCCTGCGAGCGCCGTTGCGATGACGAGATACTAGATATTGTTAGGACGCGCACGTGAAAGCTCGCACCGTATGAGACCCTACTAGCACGCTGATGCAAGTCACGACCTGCTTCCTAGTGTACGTCATTTTGCTGATGGTGACTCGGAGTCAGGCAGCCTAGTCGATGCTAGAGGCGGCTAAGCAGAGTAGCAGCAAAAGCGAAAGAATTCGTCGTAATCAATATCGCAGAGGCGATGGCAGACAGGCAGACAGGCAGACAGCGGGAGAGGAGAGGAGCTCTGGTGCGGCATAGCTATAGCTTCTCCGCATCCCAAGCAGGCGGAAGGTTACCGCCGTACAAGGGTCCAGAGGACCTTCTGCATCTATCTCAGCGCAGAAGACGATTACTGCTCACTCAGTGCCAATCTTTTCTGAGGCGTCACCGTGAAACGTGCAAAGCCTGAACATGGCCTCATCGGTGAGACGCAGGCCACAGCAAGGGCAGTCCGCGGAGGACAAGCCAGCTGAAAGCGACATGGCAGGGCTCTGGGTACCCGGTGACGCATCAAAGGACACGCACGCTTGCATCTGCGATGCGCTGCATCAGGCGGCTACACACAGACGGCGTATCACCCTGGCCATGTGGTAGAGGCAGTCAGTGGTGGTGTGAAGGAGTTGGGGACAGGAAGGGGTGTCTCACGTGTGATTGGGCTAGAGGCTAGCGTTACCGTTGGCGGCTTCTGCGCCGGTTGATGTGAGTTCTCGATCTCTCGATCCAAACTTTTTCCATAGCGACGTCATGCCTCATCTACAATCGCACAATGCCTGAGCGGGGTAATATTCAACTTCTCTCAAAGCACCCAAGAGAGTGAGGCAGTAACGGCGCGTCTTCTCGTCAAATGTCAGCTTGCTCTCAGCTCGTGTGACCACAGGAAGTGGCTTGCCAGTGTGTTGTCTGCAAAACAAACGCGTTTGTCCACACGATCACCGTCGCCTGTATGCTAACATCATTGGGCCCCAGTGCCTAGTGCCCTTCCCGTCCTGCAAAAGCGGGGATTAACTGTTTATACACGGCTAACTACGTGTGAAAGTCAGCCTTAACTCGCGTTACCGCCATCGCTTTGCTTTCCTTCGTTTTCCCAATCTCGTCCTCACCTCAGCCTCATCGTGCAACACATTCACTGTCCGACATGCTGCTGTTTTCACCGCAACGATGCGACGCTCTCCTCAATCAGTCAGCAAAACAAACGGGCTCCATGTTTAGGCGTTTCTCGGTTCCGCTCTGGCCAGCCAGCCAACCCTCCATCCAACTCTCACCACGCGCACCCAAGCAGCAACAGCAACCTGCCCGTCCCTCACCACCAAGAAGAGGACAATCACCACCAAAAGAAAATACAACCACCCAAATGTCACACCAACCCGGCACCCCCCGCTCAGCGGCCTTCTCTCCCACGCTTGGAAGCATTCCAGAGGTCTTCGAATATGAGCCTCTCGACGACCAATTTGGTCCAGCTTCACTCAACGACGCGCCCGAGACCCCAGCGGCTTTCTTACCCGAGGCTTCCGACCTGAGTCCGCCGACGCTGACCCGAGCGACGTCGTGGCCCGCGATCATCCAGTCACCATCCCGGAGAGTCGCCTCACCTTTTGCTGTCTCCAAAGCACTGCGCAAAATCCTGGAAGCCGATCGAGTCCGACGGAGGCGCATTATGAAAGTCTATCTGAAAGCCATCGTTTTCCTAAAGTACTTATGGCGCGCAAATGAGCGTTACGGCAACGTCATGGTCACTACTGGCATGTACATGCAACGATGACCGACGCGAGCAAAAGTTGGGATCTTTAGGCGTTTTAGCATGGCAATGGCGTGAAATGACACGACATGATTGTACTATGATTTTATGGTTTACGACATAGCGATTGCATTGCCTGGAGGGATGCATAGCCGCTGGCGTTTGGCATTGGAAAGGCGTTTTTATTCCCAGGTGAATATTGTTACTACTATAAGCTTGTCTGGTATTAGCCAGCTTCGTGATCTTTTGATCAAGCACTGTGGGTACAGTACTACATCAATTCAGACTGTATCAGAAGGGATCGCTTGTGCTTTTCGTGTTCTTCACGCTGTTCAGCACTATTCACTCACTCTGCAGCGATAACGTCCATTCACGATACAGCGGTTGCATCACACACTCCAAAGCACCATAATGTTCCGCCACTGCCATACAGACTCGACCGGTCCGCTATCAACGATTCCAAACAACCTTCGCTGCCAGATCGGTTCTATGAGTGAAGGCGCAGGCACCTGGCTCAGCGACGTTTTGTTTCACCCCAAACGGCGCCTTACGACACACCTTGGCGCCCGTGAGATTTCGAGCAGGTCCTGAGGCATCTGAAAGCAAGCAAATAGCAATCGACCGGCCACACTGCCTCCCTGAGTTCAACCCATAGACACGCAAGATGTCTTTCTTGAGCCTCTTTGGCACTTCACCCGCAACGCCTGGATATACTGCCGACCAAGGTTCGTCATCATCCTCATCATCATCAACTCGTTCATTATCCCCTTCTAGCGATCGAACGCGTGCAAGCTCTTTCTCGACAACCACGACTTCTAGCACTTCACCGAAGAAGTGTACGAAAACCATCGTGCACCCCCCGTGTATACCAGTATGCAATAATGGCGCTCCGATAGAACTGCCTGTCACCCAAGAAAGTAAATCAAAACCTAGACGACCGACAGTAGACACCGCGTGTTCTGCTTCGTCGTCGGATGAGAGGCCGTCGGCGTCCACGTCCACGTCCGCATTTGCATCAACTATACCTGTGCTAAGACCTCTGCGTCCCGGTGAACAATACGCAGGAAATATTGGCCGTCTGGATGAAAGCACTATCGCGGTTGAGGTTGCACTTTCCAGCGAGGCTGCTAGAAGAGCTGAGAACTCGATTTGGTACATACCCAGGCATTAGGGCAGGGATGTGAGGATTTATCTGGTGTGAAGTCGAGGGGTTCAGCAATAGGAAGCTGAGCTATCCTCAGAATACATGCGCATAGCCAAGTAATAATGTCTGATATCTATCTGCCCTTGCCGATAATGACATCAATACCCCAACTCCCTTAATCTCTCCTTCCAAAACTGCAATCTTGCTACGTCGCAAACGTCACTTCCCCCTCTTCCCACCCAAAGATCACCCCCAGGTATCGACTCCGTTCCCGCCTCACACATCTTCTCTATCTCTTCCCCCGCGATCAAAAACCACTGTGCAGCCGCAGGTACATGCATGGCTGTATTCTTGCCCAGCCTTGTACCAGGTGAGTATTCTAGTGCCATGGCTAGAGTCACACGAGACAGTCTGGTGTAATTTGCGAGAGCTGGTGTGGTTTGAGCGTCAGGGTCATGTGCGGTAAGTGCAAGGAGAGTGTTGAAGTCTTTCCATTTGGTGGTTGCGACTTCGGGGGTTGCTGGGTTCCGGATACTGTGAGTCCATAGCTCGGGACCTATTATGACAACGTCAGCCATGAAATGTAAAGGGTCACAGACGGCAGGCCATAAATATTTGACATGCGTACCTTGAAATGTCTCCGCAACATGTAGGCTAAACCCGGGTAACTGACTCCACAACCTCTTCCCTTCGATCACAATCACCTCTCCAACCTCAATTTTGCGTGGGGGCTCTAGGCCAGGCACATCCCAGCTCCTGGCCTCTGGCCCTCGGTTCACAGCATCTGGTAGTCTTGCTAACTCAACGCGGTACGCTACTAGTAGTTCCAATTCTTGCAAACTAGTACATGATTCAGCAGCCGAAAAGTAGAGACCGACAAGATCGGCCAAGGCGAAGCTGATGTCGTCTTGCGCTTCGACGAGGGAGGCTGTTGCGGAGGCAGAGCTTTGGGGCGATGTTTTGGAGGAGACGAGCTCGTCGATGATGGTGACTAATTGTTTAGGTGCTGGAGTGGATGACGGTTCGGAAAGCCATTTCCTTGCCCATTCGGTCGTCATGTTGGGAGGTTTTGACGAAGTCTGTTGTGTGTGTGTGTGGAAAAGGTATGTTTATGAGCTGTACAACTTTTCCAAGAGCACACTCAAGTAACAGAGCTATTCTAAAACTGGCCATACACCTGTATTATCCGCATCAGCCCTTTCTACGCCCTTTACACCTCGACACACGATGGTTGGACACACCACGTCCGCCATATCGCCACTCGTCCTATGACGTCACGGGGGAGCATACACCGGGTGCTGCATGCCAGCAGAAACGGCCACGAAGGGTGAACACCTGTTACGAAATGCCAGGCGCGATAATAAAGACAAAGTGATGTCTTGGGCTAGTGCAATGTTGTATAGCCGACGGAAGGCTGATCGGTCTCTCGCCGTGCGTAATGTGTTGTGACCGATTGGTTGATACTGGCATATCCGGGGTAGCTCACGCACGAGTCATGTTGTTCCTGCCCAGATCTTCGCCACATCGCGTCTCCAGCTTTCACTCTCGTCTACCCCGCAAACATCGACCCTCCAAAAGACGACGCGTCTGAACATGTTATCAGTGTCGCAAATGATGGCCTCTTTCTATCACGCCTGACATATCGCGTTTGAGCAGCAGCCAGTGCTACCCATTGTAGGGGTCCTTCGCCGCGTTATCAACCTCCACCCTGGATCGTTATACAGCCGAGGGAAGCTTAGAGGGGCATGCCGAACGCCTACATGCTAGCGCCACTGGTACCAACTACCGCGTGTACATTGCTGATGTCTCAAAGTCCTTCTCTCGATCTAGCTAAGACCCAATGTATCTGTTCTTCACCCATCGCTCTTCATGATGCGTGCTTTTGCGCGAGCCGTCTCGCGCCGTCAGTTCAGTGCTCACCGGCAATTACTTAACCCAAGACACCACAGGAAGTTCGCCTCCGTCAATGGACCGAACGTCAAAGGTCTTACAGTCATTGACCACCATTATGAGTAATTGACATTCAATCTATGGGGATGCACGTAGCTAATCACAGTCCAGTGCGATTGTGGTGGGAGCCGGTGGCGCTGGCCTTCGAGCCGCCGTAGGACTCACGGAAGCTGGACTCAAGACCGCATGCGTATCGAAGCTCTTCCCTACCCGTTCGCACACCGTCGCCGCGCAGGGCGGAATCAACGCCGCGCTCGGGAACATGACTGAGGACGATTGGCGTTGGCACATGTATGGTAAGCAAGTGTGCTATACAAGCTAGCTTTACCTAACATGTGAGCAGATACCATCAAGGGATCAGATTGGCTCGGTGACCAAGACGCGATACACTACATGACGCGCGAAGCTGTCCCGGCAGTCGTTGAACTCGAAAACTATGGCATGCCATTCAGTCGGACGAACGAAGGCACTATCTACCAGCGAGCATTAGGCGGGCAATCGCTCAAATACGGGAAAGGCGGACAGGCCTACAGAACCGCATGTGCAGCAGATCGCACCGGGCATGCAATGCTTCATACGCTATACGGACAGAGTCTCAAGGAAGGTGTGCAGTTCTTCATCGAGTGGTTTGCGCTCGACTTGATGATGAGCGACGGCAAGTGCGTGGGCATAACAGCGCTGAATATGGAAGATGGCACAACTCACAGAATCTTTGCTCGGAACACGGTGCTGGCTACTGGCGGATACGGAAGAGCATACTTCAGTGCAACAAGCGCACATACAAGTACGGGCGATGGTAGTGCAATGGTTTCAAGAGCTGGACTGCCGCTCCAAGATATGGAATTTGTGCAGTTCCACCCTTCTGGCATCTATGGCGCAGGAGTATGTTCATGGAACCAACCAACTACAGAGCCTCTCAACTGACGGCTACACTAGGTATTAATTACAGAAGGCGCCCGCGGCGAAGGTGGATATCTCCTCAACAGCGAGGGCGAGCGGTTTATGGAGCGCTATGCTCCTACTGCCAAAGACCTGGCATCTCGCGACGTCGTCTCTCGGTCCATGAATCTTGAGATCCTAGAAGGCCGCGGCTGTGGGCCGAACAGGGACCACATACATCTCCAGCTCTCCCATTTACCCAAGGACGTTATCATGGAACGCCTGCCTGGAATCGCAGAAACAGCAGGAATCTTCGCTGGCATCGATATCACGCGAGAACCAATACCGGTGTTGCCAACAGTACATTATTGTATGGGCGGTATACCGACGAATTATCATGGACAAGTGCTGGACGTAGACGCCAAGAGTGGAAAAGAAGCTGTTGTAGATGGTCTCTACGCAGCAGGTGAGGCTGCATGCGTAAGTGTGCATGGTGCGAACCGATTGGGTGCAAATTCGTTGCTCGACATTGTAGTATTCGTGAGTACTTGAATCTTTCAAGCAAGCTTGTTGTACATACTGACCGTGTTCAGGGCCGCGCAACAGCACTGCACATCTCTGCAAATCACTCCCCATCCGCACCACATACCTCAGCTCCCGAAAACGTCGGCCTCGACTCCATCAGTGAGATAAACACGTTTCTAGATGCCAACGGAAGCACGCCGACCGCCGCTTTACGAAACGATATGCAGGGCACCATGCAATCTACGACCGCCGTCTTCCGCACCCACGACTCATTATCCAAGGGCAACCAACAACTTAGCGACATCGAGAACAAATATAACACCGACCTCCGCGTCACAGACCGGTCCCTGATATGGAACTCCGATCTTGTCGAGACACTCGAACTGCGCAATCTCCTTACCAATGCTTCGCAGACAAGCAAGGCGGCGTTGACAAGGACTGAGAGTAGAGGGGCGCATGCGAGAGATGATTTTAAGGAAAGAGATGATGAAGAATGGATGAAGCATAGTCTTACGTGGCAGAGTAATGTTGGACAGGAGGTCACATTTGGTACGAGGGCAGTGCAGATGGCGACGCTGGATGAGAAGGAAGCGGCGAGTGTGCCGCCTATGAAGCGCTCGTATTGAGACCTCCCAGCACCTTCGGCTTGGTTGAGGTCTCCACTTCGTCTTTGCTTGCCTTTCTGGTGGTCACGTACGACTCAGACGTTGACATGGACCTATCTATTCACCTTACTAGCACGTCCATTCTGGACTATTACTACAACATGAAACCTGGCTCTGTTCGTATTTATTGTCTCCCGTGTTCTATACATTGTGCAGCACGACGAGGTATCGGTCTACGCAATGATGAGTAGGGAGCACATATCGTTGCAGCTATTTACGCCTTTCGCCGTCGAATACAGTGTAGACATTTTGCAAACGAAACCGAAATCCTTCGCATAACCCTTCATCTCATCGTACACTATCTTCTATCCATCAAGCTCCAGATGCAAGCATTACAACCATCTAGTCGTCCCAGCACACCTTCAAAGCTACACATCAAGTTAGCACATCTTCTTACGCCACCAAGTCAAAGTAGAATGAGAAAAGACTTACCACAAGGGAACGGAAAGTACATATCCTGATTCTCCGTCAAATAAGCATGGTACGAGTACTTCTCCTCGCCAGGCCCCATCTTCTTCTCAACCTTGTGAATCTTGCCCTGCGGACCAAGCGCCGGGCGTAGATTCTTCAGTCGAGCGACTTCCCTGAGCATAGTCGTGAGCGTGATGCGCGTCATCGGTAGTCCGAGACACTGGTGTGGCCCGTATCCGAGGTGGATGTAGGAGTCTAGGGGGCGTGTGATGTCGACTTCATCGGGGTTGGGGAAGATGGCTGGATCGTGCGATGCAACGCGGAGGTTCACGAAGACTGCATCGCCTGGTTTTAGGTCTGTCGTCTTTCCGTTTTCGGTGATGGAGGTGGGCTTCGCGACGGCGCGGATGACGCCTGTTTCGCCGTTTAGACGGCCTCCTTCCATGGTGTAGTGCATTAGCTTCTCGAACGCCTCCTCGCTGTCGTCTTCAGCGAGCTTCTGGATCTCGGGCCAGTGCTTCTTGCCGGCGCCGAGGATGTAGTATTCAATCGTTTGAGCAAAGAGCTGGCCTTGGTTGGATACCATTCCTCCCGCTGTACCGAGAATGTGACCCCAAGTGAGTGTTTCTGGTGACATGCCGCTCTCTAGCAATCGCTTGATCATGTGTACACCATAGGACTTCATGGTGGTTTCCTGAGGCCAGATTGTCGCCATGATGCTGGACAAGATTCCAGAGTTGGCAATAGCCTGAACATTCTTCTCAACGATGTTGCCCAGCAGTTGTGTTGCCTTCCTTGCTTTGACGTGCAAGGGGAAAGACGATGCGGGGTCGGCATCGAAGAAGATCAGAGCAAAGACCGACGACATGATAAGATAGAGTTCAGCCTCTGTGAAAATACCGTGGGGCTGTGCAGCCGTCTTTAGCGGCAGCATGAACAGCTCAGAGCAGAAGTGGACGTGGGCAAGATTGCCGATGGAGCGGATGATGTCGACTTGGTTGAAATCGGCAATCTTCACGCTCTTCTCTTTCAACAGCTCCCTGGTCTTGAGCGTGTAGTAGTTGCGTACCTCCTTGTCCCATGAAGAGACGTAGAGTGCTTTGCTGACCATTTGTCTGGATGCGGCGTTCTTGGGTCCGTCGCCGGCAAGCATGAAGTCGGCTGATGCGGGACCCATGATGTATTCCATGGCTCTACCCCAGACGACTTTGAAGGTGGTTTGATCTTTCATGATATCGGTGGCGAGCTTGTACTCTTTGACGAAGTGCGGGTGTGCTGTTGCCACTGGTTTGCTGAAGTCGTACAAGTTGTCCTTCTTGAGATCGGTGAGAGCCACCTTCATCGCTGAGGGAACTGTTAGAGGGTAATGTGCGTACACGCTGTTGTACTTGAAGTGCTGTGGGAAAGCGCGTAGGAAGAGCTTGTAGAAGACGCATCCATTGTCAACACCAAGATCGCTATTAGCAAGCTGGTAGCCCCAGTTGGTCAACGTGCGCGGGTTGTAGTCGTGAGTGTAGAATCGGTCGCCGCGGACCAACGCTACCGCGTCTGAAAGAACTGCACGAGAGACGGTGTACCCTGGGCAGAGACCGGAACCTGGAGCCATGGGTTTCTTCGCATCCTCGACAACGATACCAGGGTAGATCTCAACCTTATCGGGATGGTCGTAGAGGTGCCTGAGTTGTTCTTGCACGTACTTGTCGGATGTGATGTCTTCGAAAGTGTTGTGCGGCTCAAGCTTGAAGTATTTCCTGAACTCGTTGAGCGAGCCCAAGTTCCAGCTACGTGCTTGCTCGATACCGAGAACCTCGATAGCACGGAAAACAGCAGGAACTCTGTTTGGTCCGAAAGAGTTGGCACAGTCTTCAATGCTTGATGTCAAGATGTCGACAAGGCCTTGGTCAGGTAGCGTGCCGTTTTCGCTTCGCTCCAGATTAGCGAACTTGCGTTTCGATGGATCCGGGTCGGTCTTGCTGTAGACTTTGTTCAAGGTACCAAGGAACTCGCCTTTGCTGATAGACTTGGGATCACGACCTTCGCCAAACATGCCGTCCCACATCTCCTGCGTCCACTTCTCGTCGCGATCGGAGACTGTGGAGTGCCATCGGTATACGAGGTTGAACTCAGCTGAGACCTGGTTGCCAACACCCATGGGTAGGTCCGCTACCTCGGCGCGGGGATTCAGCTGCCAGTTACTATCCGTGCGGTTGAGATCCAGAATCGTGCGGACGTAGTCGATCAGAATGATATTGACGTAAAGGCCGCAGGTGATGAGACGACCAGTTTGAAACAGATCATTGTCGTACTTCTTCCAAGCTGCATCGTACTTGTCCTTTGCCTTCTTGTCAGCTTCGGCATCGCCAGTAGGTTGGGGTGCTTCGGTTGAAGGCTTCTTGAAGCGCCCTTGTTCGTTGATCGCGGCCAGGTTCTCGACAGTGTAGTTGTGGAAACGGTTGAACATGATCAGCATGGCGCCTACACCGGGAGGGAAGAACAACAGTCGTGCTTCTGAGAAGCAGTCAGGCTTGATCCTTCCATCGCGTCCAGTTCTCATCATGTCTTGCTCCGCCTGATTGCTTCCATACAAGGGCGATAGATCAAGGTAAGAAGATGTCATGGAAACGGCAAAGTCCTCATGGCTCGTCCGGAAGCAATCGTGAATGATGATAGATGCCAGATAGAATAGCATGCTCGAGATCCTGTTAGGATGCAGTTCGGCATGCTTCCTCGTCATAATACTGTCGAATACCACACCTGGGTCTGGGCGCGCGGGGGTCTGCATCTGAGATGGTTTGACTGTTCTAGCATACGGCGTTCCTGCTGCGCCCACTTGAGGGTCAACCAGACTGTTGTTTGAGCCATCTGCGGATCGATACTGGAACTTCTCTCCCAGGTACGACTGCGGTGGGTGTTGCAAGTCGCCCCATAGCTGTTCTAGGAATTTGCCTGTTACTGCGTCCCTCGTTTTGGACCCGTCGGGCAGCTTGGCGGCGGTCCGGATAAGACCTTCCATAAGGTAGGTTTTGTCGTCAGTATAGCCACCAAGCATCTTCTCCTTCTGAATCTCCAAAAGGCTTTGGATGTTGTCGACGCCAAGGTGAGACATGTCTCGAAGACTGCCCTCAATCTTCTTGTACAAGCTGGCCTTCTCTTCTGGGGCAATCTTGGAGCCGTCGCCTGTCTGATCGGGGACCGGGGCTGCTGCAGCTCCTAGTAAAGCTGCCGCTGTTTTGAAAGAATTACCGATCTTGTTTCTGAGTGTAGTGATTTCAGATGGGTCAGCTGGCTTTGGAGGCTCTGCTCCTGTGCGGGTATCGACATGGGAGTCCCACGCCGCTTTCGCATCTGCAGTTATTGCAGCCATGGCTTTGGGTGTGCTGGAAAGTTGCGTTAGTGGCATTCTCATGTCTGGCGGTGAAGCTGTGACTAGAGACAGAAGAGATGAATTTCTTGGCGGGCAATCTGGAAGGCTCGTCTTGCTCGAAGATCTGGAAATTGGTAGGTGCCTCCAACCGGAAAGACGGGAATTGCAGAAGGAAATATGAGTGACGGTGGAAGGAGTAAAGGAAAGGTACTGTCAGACTTACATTCAGTCGAATACCGTTCAGCGAATAGTCCCTTTGTTGGGTACGCGACACAAAGTATCTCGTGGGGTCGCTAGTGCTTTTACCGCGTCTGCAATCGACGTCACGATGTCCAGCAATGCCGCCCGTTCCTCGGAGCAGCAAGAATGGGATGTGACAGACAAGAACGGGACGACCAGCCTTGCAGATATAAGTAGTTCAAACCGAACAACCACTCAGCCAGCCAAAGAAAAAGCAATGAAGGGTATATGTGCGCAACACCAGATCAAACGCTAACAGAACGATCAAGTAGTTCAGCACAAGAGGACAATGGGAGTAAGGCTATTGTTCGTCCCACAATGCATCCAGCCTCAGTCCTCTTATACACGCGTCCTCACACGACCAGATGCGTAACTGCGGCTGAAGCTAGCAGTCCCTCTAGTTCTCACCGGGAATCGTCAAATCAAAAAGCGCCACCAAGCCCAGCCCGTCACAGCTGAAGAAAGGTCCTCTTCTCCATCGTAAGCCGCGGCCGGCCGTGCCCAAACACGGTAAATGGCCAATGGAAAGTGATTCGATTAGCCAGTTCGGCAGGTCGAAGTAGTGCTGCGGCTAAGGCTAGGGCTGATCACGAACGGGCTGCCCGCTGGGGTTGTTTGGCTGATAGGCAGAAATGAGGGCCCGCATCATCTCAGCCTCGATTTGCCTGTTTGTAGGCACTTTCAGGCAGGCAGCAATGGTTTTGAGTGTGATTTGCAGTTCGGTTCAGCCTCACTTGCTTATGAGTGTCGGTGAGCGTCCTTTTGGAAGATGCGTGGGTGGGGAGATGACAGGTGAGTAGCATGCTCTTCCCGCGCTTATGCAGGGTTTGTTCGGCGTTCATCGGGGCGATATGGGAGTGGCCGCCGGGCGCGCAGATCCATCAAGCCATCACGTCGAAAAAGCAATACATTGGGTTGTGATGTGAAGAATGGTTGTACCCAGAAGACAAAATCGAGCACATGCTCAATGTCACGCGGCTTTTCAGAATACTAAGTTGTACAGGTGGTTTAAGCATAAATGTGAACTCATCACGCAGCTACATCGAGATCTGTCACCAAAGGTCCTTCAGCGAACAAGTGACGAACGTCTCTAGTGTGATTCAGCTGGCCAGAGGCATCGGCGCATTAGCTACGGGTACCTGCGGAGGTGTCACCGTTTTGAGTGGGTGTGACGGCCTACGTCTTGTAGTTCTACCAGTCCGCCTCGCCGCAGCCTTAGCGGCTCCTGTTGTTACTCATATGTTGTTCTTTGTCTTCAATTGGTTCTCTTCTCGCATTCCCCATGCGCGCAAAGCCTCTGGGCCCTACTAGCACCATGCACCTGCCAAGTGCAGCCTCCTCAATGAACCGGTACCCATCGCCTGATGCGTCAATCTACCAGATGCCTGGCAGGATGGCGTACCTCTTGCGCTTATACTTGTCGCCAAACTCCTTGCGATAGCGCTTCTCCTTCTTCCAGGCCCAAACTCCCATCTGTCCGACAGCCACGATGATGAAAATGACGGTGCTCAAGCTCCAGTTGACAAGTGCCACACCGATCCAAGCCATTGCTTCGAACATGTAGTTGGGGCATGTGACTAGATCAAAGCCGAGACCTCTAGGGATACCGCGCTCCGTGCTGCCTGGACGGCGCAGGTTCTTGAGAGTCAAATGTGTGCTGTAGTTGCAGACCTCGCCGATTGCGAACAGGGCGACGCCGAGATATGTCAAGAGCGGATTCGAAGGCTTAGCAGCCGGGCTGTTAGGGCCATAGCTCCAGTATGCCAAGTTGAAGCCCGAGAGAACCCAGTAGTAGCCGCTGTTCTTGAAGATGTTCATGATGGGCATCGTGGCCGACGAGAAGCGGTGGACGAAGAGGGTCTCGAACTCGCGCTTTGCAAAATGGGCAACGCACATGAGGAAGGTAAGCTTCTGGAGCTGCGATGGAGGCGCCGAGGTGCCATAGATGAGGGAGCGGCCGAAGTAGATGAGCGGGTGGATGAGGAGAGGTCCGAGGTATTCGACGATGAAGACGGTTCGCCATGAGATCTGGGGGCCTTGCACGCTGTTAGCCATCTCATATTCCATCGGGCAATATGCATCTTACCAAGATCCTTGACATCTACAGCACTCTTGTTCCTCAGGCCAGTGTCGTGGACCGTGACATCCCGCACATTGTTGATTGGCGATCCGTCGCTGCCCTTAGTAACCCTCAATCGGTGGATCGAGAACCTCGAGGCCTTTGCGATTTCCTCAAAGATTTGAGAGGCGGTGGCATCAGACGGGACGGTGATGGTCTCGGGGAGATTCTTGATCGGGCGGCCTATAGAGGGGTTAGCCAACAGCAATCAGAACGCGCTCAGCCAGGCTAGACCCAACTCAATGAACAGAGAGAACATACCACGGGGGCGCACGACGAGTGTAAGGGGCGACGCGGACATGGTTGCGTGCTGCGTCTATCGCCTTGTTGTGCGTGAACTTTTGGTAAGGTGGACGATATTCTGAGCGGCAGCCTCGGCATACGTACAAGCTAGGCTCAAAGGGGCCAGCTACTTCGTCATTAGGGGAAGCTACCAGACAGAGTTCATGAGCATGAAATTGTGCATTTAGCTGATTTACGTTGACACTGCATCAAAGGCGGACTGCATAGTCTCGAAGTTCATGCATGATGAGATAGCATTTCGACGTTGTTCTCGTGAACTCATACCCTTCATCCAAGCTGAACCACTACTTGCCATGCGACTTCAGGGCCCATGCATGCAACCATCTCGCCAATGATGCCCTTAATCGAACGGGGGTTTTTCAAATCGCTTCCTTCCCAAGAGACAAGATCCTATGGGTAGTCAGTACCAATTGGTGGTTATTCATGTATGTGCTGCTCGCGTACCTGAGCTTCTGCCATCTGCCCACGAACCCGAATGGGCATGGTAGCCAGGTCAAGTTGTTGCTCGATTTCTTCAACAGTCATGAGCCCTGGCACTTTCAGATCAAACAATGACATGCCGTCGGAAACGGCTTTGCCACCTTCGGCGGCTGTTGGTTGAGGATAGTCGGAGTAGTCGTCCTGCTCTGCTGCGGCACTCGTTTCCCCATCACTCTTGTGCTCTTTCCTACGACGCTCTCGAGACATGGACACATAAGGCTTCTTGTCTAACAGAGCGCGTAGCTCACCGTCCAATGGATGCCACTCGTACGTCTCGGGATCTAAAACATGCTGAGTTTTGTAGTCGCCCTTGTACTTCATCTTGACGCACGAGTGGATGTAGTATCCCATGTAGTAGTACTGGTAGCCACCTTCAAGCGCCAATGCTGCTTCTCGTAGGGCGCTCAACTTCCCAAACTGCCATTGCTCGAAATCGGAATGATAGAGCATATAGACACCACTAACACAGTGAGGCAGCAGATCAAGGATGCCCATAGCAATGAGCCGTCCATCGAGTCGGTAACATTGGTGGTATGATCCTAAGAGTTGCTCCTTCCCGTCGACAGTTCTAGAGGTCTGCTTCAACGGCGAATCACATAAGAAACGCTTGAACCCCGACTGAGAAATCTCATGAGGCTTCTCCTTGTGCACGTTTTGCTGGTAGTTCTTGAACAACTCATACTTCTCGGGCGTGAAGGCTGCTGGTTCGAGTGTCACCTCGAAGCGATGTGCGGGATCAGGTGGGCGCTTGACATTCTGGAGTTCGGTCTTGTGAATCTCACGGCTGAGGTCAAATGTGTTCTTGATACGAGCTTTCTCCCTGGGGTCGTCAGCCTAGTAACAAGCACACGGTACTTTTACGCACTCTTTCGATATTGGGTAAAGCCTAGAAGCCTCTTTCATGTAAGTCTCGCCTAGTACGTAGTCATTCCAATGGTTGACGGCCTTCCTCTGATCCTTCGAGGGCTTGAATGAGGCGACGGGTAGCCTAACCTCGGGTAAGTCCCTATTCAGATATCTCTGTAACGCTGCTTACCGGATCGTGTAGTGCGGACAGCAGTGTCGCAGCACGTCGGGCTTGTAGAAGATGGTACCAGATCTAGAAGCCGGTATCAGCTGCTGTTATGGGCATAGTGCTGCGATGCAAGATGCTTGTTAACATGTGCCGCGTATGAGTGGGTCGTTACCTTCTCCAGCCGCGGTCCACGAGGATCTGGTAGACCTCAACGGTCAAGCTTTTCGATGAGAAGTAGTAGCTTGCTCCTAATCAGGCAAGGTCAGCCAGGGCTCTCGGCGCTCAGCCTCGTTCCGATTTCCCCCGCTCACGCCTATAAGGCATGGCAGCCATCGCGATGGCAGCATCGACTATGCGCTGTGATGCAATTCATCTCGCGACCCGGGATCTGTACTCTACGACGTCTGCCGACGCGTAGACGGTGCTTGGCGTCGATGCATCGCTCGAGGCATGGGTGGGCGCGGGCAGAATTGCAAGCGACGCGGGGGCAGCACGTGAGCGCAGGTAACCTTAACGGAACATCAAATGCAGGCGGGAAAAGCGCCGGCTGCAACATTGACGCCCATTGTTCGCGTGAGAAGGCTTGACCGCTCTGACAGCGGTCTGCAGGCATGACGATCTATCCATGACTGAGTAGGCATGACTACGAAAATCCACGTACGAGAATTGGCGGTTCTACTGCCATTCGATGCGTCCTTGCAGTACCCGCACGACTCACTACTGTAGCCTGGAAACGACCGTTAGCAACTCGTCCATGGCAGGGTCCGGAAATGCCTGTCCGCACTGCTGGGAGCAGCGAAGACAGGTTGGTGGCCAGCCAGACAGGCACGAGCCGGAACCCAGGGAAATGGTTGGAGCAGAAGATACCGAAGGGCGTCACACTGGACTGCATGAGGGCAGCATAAGCGTGGGAGCTGGTGGGGGTAGTGGTCCGAGGCGGAATCGAGCGTCGTCGCGGCGAGCGAAGACAGCCGAAAGGGGAATGAATAATAGCTCCTTGTCTTCGCCCACTTGCTGGAGATCAGGGCTCTTCGGACTGACGGTGTTGGTCGGGGCGGTCAGGTAGGGGGTGCGATGATGTTCTGGCGGAGAAGCGCGGTCGGTCGCGGGGTCAGGACACTCAATAGCACGGCGAAGGTGTTGTATCACAGCGTGCAGGGCGCGCACCAGAAACTCTGGCCAGCGTCTACACGGGGGCAATTGCGCGTTTTCTAGTGGGCAATTCATCCCTTAAATGCCTGTACGTCATCCAGAGGCCGGGCAGGCAGGCAGAGAGGCTGCAGGCGGCGCGCTGGTCTCGCGTGCCCCGCCGGCTCTCGCTGCAGCGCCCTGGGACCGCAGACGGCCAGTGTTTGGCGCTTGCCGGCGAGATCTCTGCCTTGTCTGGCAGCGCGCCGGGGGCTTGATTGCAGTTTTTGTGCAGATATGCGCAGCGGTGCAGAGAGTGGCAGGCACCCCGGACAAAGCTCCTCTTGCAGGCGGGCCTTGGCGACAGGCGTGACGCTTCCGCGAGCCCTTAGTTTCCACGTAAAAAGTCCCTGACCCGAACCACCTACTAAAACATCCATCCACCATGCCGAACTTCTTTGCTGCTCGCAGGCTCCTTCAACATCCTCAGCCCCGTCATCCGCGGGACTGAGCCTTGCTCAGCCCTTTTGCCTCCCACACCCTCCCCCTTTACACTTGCTCCCCACCACTGCCCCGTGAAGCCTCCCACACACTCACTGTCGGCTCGGCTTCATTTCATTTCACCGCCTGGCTCGTCTCTGCTCTTCCGACCAAGCCCCTCTTCGAGTCCCGCGGCTGTCGCGTCGAGCGAGTCGCATACAAGCGGTGCCATTTGATATCACCGCGTCTCTCCAAGACACATCAGCGCCGACATGGCCGCTACCCAGCAGTTGTCGATGCAGTCGCGCACCGGTCGCGTGAACCAACGTAAGTCTGCTCACGAGACCCCACAACGACTCCCAAAAATCTGAAGCCGTCCCGCGAATTCCTCCTTCCTCACCGCTTTTAACTTTCGGCTGATTGGCGGCAGGTTATGGATCCCAAGGCGAGCGCCTAGTCGCCGGCGTTGTCCCGCTTTCTGCCGACAAATACTACGTGCTCCTCATCCAGTCCACCAAGCGGAACGGATGGGTGCTCCCAAAGGGCGGCTGGGAAACAGACGAAGCCACTGCCCAAGATGCCGCTAAACGCGAAGCCTGGGAAGAGGCTGGCATAATATGCAAGATCAACTACGACCTCGGCCTCATCCCTGAGAAGCGCAGACCCGACCAGCTCACCTCTCAGGCCCCAAAGGCCTCGTACCATTTCTTCGAAGCGACTGTCGAGAAGCAGGAAGCTCAGTGGCCTGAGCAGCACAAGCGGAATCGGAATTGGTTCAGCTATACCCAAGCGCGACAGGCCTTGGCGGAACGACCCGAGTTGCTCGACGCGCTGGACCGGTGTACCATGCACCGATCATAGATGGGTTACGGGTGCTTGCAGGTGCGCAAAGTCGCACACGAGCACCCAGAGGAATCCCAGACACGACCTGGGACCTCGCAGGTCTTTGCATCTTATTCTTCTTCTAATACTGCATCAGTACGGCATCTCAAAAGCGTCGGGGAACTTATAGACATTGGGCATTGTATTGTCTACTCTACATTTGGCGTTGTGGTCGCTTTTCGAATGGTAGAATGATGCATTCCGGCTCTTGATACCAGAGCGCAGGACCAGTTTGGTTCGCAACAATGCAATGCAGCCTTACCAGGCAATCTCCTCTCTATCAGTGCGGTGGTGTTTTCACAGTTGTCGATTCAAAAGCAATATGGCGTCTTTTGACAACTAACATCGGCCACCTTTCGGCCAAGCAACTTTATAAGCGACTCTCGCTATAGCCGGATGTTTACACTTGTGTCGAGCGACAGTTGTTGAGCCTAAAAAAACCTGTCATGTCAGGTTGCATTGAGTTCGTCATGTCGTATCTCATTCTCTCTACGATACCAGCTCTACTATTCAAAGGCTGTTCTCCCCGTCTTGACTGTCTTCAGCACGCCCTCATCCGCCAACTTCTCAATCATATTGTAAAGCACAAAATCGCATCCCCTCTTTACCACCATATTGATGGTTACAGGCACCATTTCCTCATGGAACGTAACCTCACTCCGGTACGGCACCTGACCAATCGGAATCGTGAAATCGGCACACCCGAATATCGGACATATACCTGCACCAGTGATCTTTGCCCCCGGTGGTGTCACAGCTAGGTAAGAAGCATACGGTGAGTCGTTGAGGTCCTTTTCGCGGTATGAAGGTAAGCCGCCGGTGCCAATGTCGTAGAGCATCACAGACTCTGAACACGATTCGGGGGTGCTGTATTGGAGTTCCCTCTCGTACCACTCTACGGCTGTGTTTTTGGTTACGAGTGCTGCGTCGTAGGTGGTCTGGTTGGTTCGCGATTCGTCGAAGGCGAACCAGCCGAGTCGTCTCGCAGGATCAATTGGCGGGAAGCGGCCGTCGAAGAGGGCGGCCCAAGCAGTGACTAAAGGCTTTCCGACGACTTGCCATGATGACCATCCGTTTATTGCGCTGGTCGCCTGGCCCATCCTAGTGAAGTTGCTCGCAATGGGGTCAGATGAATTCTGTACCGTAGCAGTAAAGTTGAATTCCTTCACAGTCATGTTGAAGATCCTCGTCAAGTTGGCAATGAAATCTTGTAAGATGGGTTCTGCGGCCGAGTTGTTCAGCGGGAGGTAGTCTGTGGGGTAGAGAATGGTCTTGGGGAATGCGTCTGTGTCTGGAACAGAAAGCGGTGATAGACCGGTGATCGACGAGTTCTGGTAGAGGCTGGGTGTGTACCAAGACTTGGCGAATCTGATCCATTTGTAGGGGTCGCGAGAGAAGACTCCTGCGGTGTCGGTCGCTGCTCCCAACGGAATGACACGCTCGAGTGATATCAACCCCTGACTGGGACGTTGTCCATATACACCAGCTACTGCGGCCGGTCGCCTCATCGAAGAGCCGGTGTCGCTTCCGATAGCATAGTCAAGCCAATCGTACGCAGCAATGGAGCAGCCTCCGCCGGAAGAAGAAGCTGAGCACGTGAGCCATCCATCACCTCTTGGGTTGAACGGGTAGTGCTCATCTTGCCATTCCCAAGGATTGGCACCGGAGGCGAATTGAGCGAGCTTCTGCTTACCAACGACGACACCTCCGAGATCGAGGATCTGCTGCACTGATGGCGCTGTACCGTTCGAAATGGGAGTGATGCGAGCCCATGCCTGACTGCCGCCGGAAGTTTGCAGGCCCTTGACATCGTACAAATCTTTGATTGCAACGCGCTCCCCAGCCAACGGTCTGTCGTCTCCCCAGTAGTAGATTCGTGAAGGAACACTGCGATCTCCATTAGTTCAACGTCTCGCGTGGGTGGCTAGCTGCTTACGGAATCATGGGGTCCCAAAACTTGGGCAGGAAAACACCGAGCGGGTTGTGATTTTCCTGTCCATCATTCGCGTCGTACGCTCCGAACAGGAATGTACGGTAGGTATCCGGATAGAGCCGATATACAGTCGCAAAGCTTACTGAGCCATCTTCGACTGATGCGAGGTATGGCCCAGCTGGAATGTCGATAGCCGATTCAAGCACCATCTTGCTCATTGAGGCGTCTGCAGTGACCGAGGCGTCTACGAAAAGCATGCTCGTGTTCAAAGAATTAAGATGTTCGACAGCAGAGGCATCCAGCGTCGACTTGACGCCCGAGGAGAGGTACAGTCCATCCAGGAAATCATGGCTGAAGACATCGTCGCCAGCGAGATAGGACGATAGAACGCTTTCTAGGGCATTCTTCGTGATAGTCGTCTCGTTTGTCTTGATGACGGTGATGGGTATCGATGTGGCAGAGCCGGCCGGGGTTGAGCAGCCAGCACTCGCCTTGGGATGTTTGGTATTTGCCAGGTAGGAAACATTCCCAAGCTCAAAGACAGCATCACCGTAGGGATTTTCCAGAACGAAGCTGTAAGGGTTCCTCTTGACGACCGGAGCAGCCAACACGGGGATAAATGTAAGACTCGCAGTCAGCAGTCCAGAGAGGAGAAAACGGCCCGCCATGATGAGCGTTTGGTGAGTAGCACACCTACAGAATCTGTGGCCGTCATTGTTGCCTTATATACGTCCCGGCGGAACCATGGCTCAGGCTGCTACGATACCCCAGATAACGAGGCCTACAGAGATGCCTCTTTGGTTCATGGTATGAGTACCACGCTGCTACCGAAGTTGCTAGTGACTTGGCAAATGCGGGCTCAGCCCGCATCTCCACAATCGAGGCCTAACCGGATGCAAAATGCCGACCTTTTGCTTATCGCATATCGCATGGCGTTCATAGTCATCAGGCTGGCAGTTGTTAGCAATCTCTCCGTTGTGTGTTGAAGTGCGCAAGGCTTCGCGTCGGCTGAGACGCGCCGATTGCTATCATCTAGGTACGCCTCCGGGGATAAGGCGACCATGGGAGCGACCCACGATGCAATTCTTACAATGCCGATCGGATTATTGCGATCAGATACAAGTCGCTGGTCTGGCGTTCCAGTATGCAGTCGATGGCGACTATCGCGAACGTTGTGGTATTGGTGCTCCTTCCGCGTATGAGTGATGGATGTTCCTTGCGGTCCGAACGTGACTTCTCCACAATGACTTCATCGGAAAGCTGTTTCTTTTGATCCATCAACAATATTCTTGTGCGGACACGAGTGACAGCGCGTCTGAGGTCCAGCATAACGAGCAAACATCACAACTACTGTGATAGGAAATGGCTATGAACGTCACCATCCCGGACCCGCTCACGGTCCTACCTCCGGAGATCGTGCTCCGCATCCTCGACTTCACGCCCGTCTCGGCTCTAGGATCGCTTACTGCCGTGTCGCCCGCCTGGCACGAGTTCATCGACGGGACACACCAAGAAGCCATTTACTCGTCGCCAACAAAGACTTTGCAACCGCACAAGACCTCACAGCCACCTGGTGGCGCACGCGACTTCTCCTTTGTCGACGACTACACCAGCTTCTCCAAGCTCTTTGATGGCATCACATCATGGAAAGACCTGTGTAAACGACAAACGCTGCTCGAGCGCAACTGGAATACACCCCAACCTATCACTCGCGAGTCTATCTTGCAGGTTGGCAATCATGCGGTATGGCGGTTCAAGGCTGACTTCAAGCGCCGCATCTTCATCTCGACATCTCATGCAGGCGGCTTGTACGTATCAGACATGGATACTGGTCGCGTCTTGTGGCAGCTGCCTTCAGCTCTAGACACGACTGAAGACCATGCCGTCAGACCGTATGCGCATCTGGAGTATCAAGATGGGATGGCTGCCTTTGATCGCGAAGGAGATGCAGTTGAGATTTGGCGGACGGATCAAGAGGGCACGGCAAGAGGGGAGTTCCAACGCGTCGCTGTTTTGGATCACGATTGCCAAACAAGAGGGTTCCAACTTTCGTACTGGACGTTGGTCGTGGTCTCAGTAGAAGGCCAGGGCTTTGTATACGACATGAAGCAGAACCCACCAAAACTGACTACGCATCTGGAGATCGAGCAAGATGCAGTGGGTCATTTAGATCAGAATGAGGACGTGGTGGTATACTCGATGGGCACGCGTGGTTATCATGTTTACGACAAGCAATCCGGGCAGGCCTTGGGTATCATACAGCCATCGCAATTTACGGAGAAGTACCATGTTGAGCCCTTGCCACCCACCGATGCACCATCCTCCAATGCAGCATTGGCTGCTTTGCGCTATGGCCGCCCATCAAGACGCATCTTCCCTCCTTCATCACCCCGCAAAAGCCGCCTGACGCCTATACATTTGGGCAAAGGCCCTCTTCCAAACTCCTCTAGCGACCCAAACGAGGAAGACGAATGGGGTGCCGGTATGCTGGACCGCGGCAGCAATCTCTTTGTAGGGTTTTCACGTCTGGGTCGTGTCTTTGTCTGCTCCGATCTCCGCAAGGCATTGGAAGACGGGTCGAAGAACTTAGCAAGTGTTAGTCAAATTCTCGAGTGCGAGTCTGATGGTTCGAGTTTTGATCTTGGTGGTTGGCTTTCTGCACGAAATCACCGGATCATGTTTGAAATCCAGAACAGAGTGTATGTCGTTGCGCTTGACAAAGACAATCGCATCAGTGTTGGAGACGAGGCTGAAGAAGTGAGACCTTCATACTCGTTCCTCACGAGTTCGGCGCCGCAACTCGCAGTACCAGTCAGTTTCATGGCGCTATTCGACGATGCTATCATGACAACATACGCAGTACGCTCGCCGCTCAAAGTTTGAGGATATAATGGCTAACAGACAACAGACACTGGGTCAACGACGGGAAGAAGGAGGAAATGGCCGCATCTTTCCGACAAAAGCAATTCGCATCATCAGCCTTGCGCCTGGCCTTGACAATGGCGATAACGCGACCACCGAAGTTGAGGACCCAGTACTTGCCAATTTGTCGCAGCATATCGAAAGACCGCAAGACGAGTTGTTGCGCTTGCTGTTGATGTTCGATGAGGAGCCGAGTGATGACGATGAAGTCACGGGGCTGGAGGATGAGTGGGTTGACGAAGAGACGAACTGAATGTAGTATTATTCATTCGGTACCAGGAGACATGATGCCTATCAAGTCACTCTAAACCCCATTCAGCCATCCTTTTCGATCATGACCGGGCCCTTCGACAGCGAGCACGTGCCAAGTGAAGTGCCATGTGCGACCAGGAGTTGGTATTGTTATTCACAATAGAACACCAATCGGCCCGATAGAAAGAAAGCTACGGTTGATGCGCTGCCGAAACTGTCGATGTGTTGTTTCAGCCAATGACAGCAGATATGGCTTTAGTACGGAGCGACGCCACCATTGTCCTAGCCAATGAACTCCTGTTGTGCAGTAGCAGCACTCCCACCGTCTTGCTCGTCAAGGCTCGATCTCGCTACTAGCCTAGTCCAAGCTGTATATATGAGGAACAACCACAGTCCTCGCTGGCTTTCATGAAGAAATGCATAGTTCACTACATTCCATACTTCGAGCAAACATCACATTCATCCCTACCAGTTTGTCGCGCCTCAGGCACAACTGTACCTGCCATAAACACATCACTGCAATACTCCTTCATAGTGACTTCTCCGATCTCTTTTGAGCATATCCATCCATTCATTTTTGGTTACATCGCATAGGAGCGTTGTCAGTTTACCCGTGGGCCACTTCCAGACATGATGCCCCTCTTCCGGCTTCTACCTGTTGCTTTCGCATACCTCTTCATGAACGCATACGCTCGACCGACACCCGTATTGCTCGAACGAGAGCGTCTCATAAATTCGCCTATCAAACCACAAAGTCTATCTGTGGAGGCGATCGTTGGTGTAATCGCAATAGCCGTAGCCATATTTGGCATAGCGCTTCCCTTCATATGGCCTAGCTTGAGGGCAAGGCTAGATTCCCGCCGCCATTCTCGTTCCCGTCCCAGCTCCACTTGTATGTTCTTTCCACAATCTCACAAGACGCGACACGATGTTAACGAAGCCTAGCACACTTGCGAGTTCCGCTCGTCAACGGTTCGCCGCAACATGCGATGCCACAAGTCTCGAATGAATCCTCGACAGCCGCCGACGCAGGTTGGGCTGGGATAACCCGACCACAACGCGTGCGATCCGATTACTGCGAACAACAGCGCGAGCTAATGCGACGCGTTTCTACGTGCTGAGGACATTGGCACAGCGAAAATATACATATGCAGTCTGGATACGATGCTCAAGGCCTTCGTTGGCGCAGGCACGTGGCGGTCACGTGTCGTCCAAAGGGAGTTGTTGTGTAGTCGCATTCTGCGACTCTTGAGCCTATTTTCGCTGCAAATTACAATCTTCCTTTATCGTCTATTTACGCCTTTGATCCTTGGAACTTCGATCTGGTTCTTTCTAGATATTATCAAAACATTGCATTGATGCGAAGTATTAATCAAGATTATGTATCAACACTCCTTCATGACTCTTTTTGGCTGACAAGCTCGTCGACCACATTCACCAAGGGAGCTGCAAGGGCGTTTTGGCGTTACACACAAACTATGCACTATGATATCCATGCTGTAGAGTGAAATGTGCAGACAAAATCCTCCCATGATGTCTATTTCCTTAACTGTGGTGATGCAGTGTGTTGAACCGGCGAGCCGATAGGCTGGGTTTTGGAAGCGGTGGATGACGTTTGAGCGGCCGTGCAAGTAGAGGGTCGGCTTCTTAACGATCAGCACGAAATTTGTTGGATCCAATCAACTGTTTGCATAGACCAAAGGACAGGCAGTCTCTCATGTGACCAAGTAAGAGACACATCTACAGGAAGCCTGATCTGCAAATGGCCTTACTGACACAACTTCCGAGTGGCGGTTATTACAACGCGCAGGTGGTCGACCACAAGATGCCTTGCAAAGCCGAACTGGTCTTCAAAAAACGTATCGGTTTTCCATTCTTAAAACCGAGCGGAGGTTGTGGCAGAAGGCAGATCACGCAAGTAAGATGGTCTCGCGCACTAAGCACCCGGCATTTAGCAGAAGCCTTGTCACGACTGGTCATAGCGTGAAGGTAGTGATACTCCGCCTCAATCCGCCAAGCGGTGCTGGATATATACAGTGCGTGCAGCTCGTGAATTATAACAAGACGGCAGAGCTACTTGGGTAGGCACTCGCAGCGGAAACATCTATTCATACTTGCCGAACTCGATTAGCCACCTTTTATTGATCTTGCATCTGTACTTCCACAATGCATTCATACTATACCCCATTACTGTTGAGCGCGCACATTATCTCCTCCACCCACGCAGCCGCCATACCACACGCTGCACAGCGAGACCCCATCGCGGGGAAAGCTGTCCAATCACATACCCTGTCCATTGAAGCGCTGCTAACGCTCATCGGCGTTTGCGTAGCTGTTCTCGGTCTCGCACTCACTCTAGTGCTGTCGTGGCCTAGCTTGAAGTTGCGATGGGGGCTGTGCACATCTCCCTTCCGCTCTCGTCCCGTGTCGACAGGTACTCCTCCGCGCACAACAATGAAATCGACCTCCAGATGCTGATCGAACATAGCGGACTCTACAATTCCCCTCATCGACGGCCACGGAAATCCTACTGCCCCTGTTCACTTGTCCGGACCCTGGACTTACGGCTTGAACGGCGACGAGATTCCACAACCGCAACGCGTCCAGTCGTGCTACACTGAGCAACAACGCGCACTGATGCGACGCACACGCACTATGTAAAGGCTCAAGTAGCATTCGAAAGGCTGAAGCTACAGCCGGCATCAGCGGGCACCATCGTTGTTTCGATGTCTTCGTAAGAGAATATTAAAAGCAAATAATTGGCTATTCAGGAGTTCCATCATCGGAAGCGGGCTTTGTGATTCTCTAGAGGGATTTTGTTCACATCTTTGTCAGCACGATTCTTTTGTTGCTGAACAAGAAACTTCCACGCTTTTCCTTCTTCCATATACTCAGATCACAAACTCATCATGTCGGCGCGAAACAATGTAGAGCACACTCTTGTCATCTATCCCTATCGAAATCGGTTCATGTCAAAACTGCTCTAGTGATGCCTGCTGCGCCGGGGATTGTCGAGCGCATATTCAGGTCGTTGATGACTACTGACGCAACGCTGGCACCTGCAGCTAGTCGAAAGACGTGGTCAACAGAGATTTTTGATATTAGCATGCTTGATAGGTCGCGAAAGAGTGCTTGGATCAAGATAATCTTTATAATCGTCACTGAACGCTCCGTTTGCACGTCCTGAGATGACAGTCAAGGCTGCCCAGGTGTACTCGAGCACGATAACCTTAAAAAGAGAGCAGTTTTAGTGATGCAAACGCGCTTCAGGGTACGGTATGGCAGAGTCTCTTGAGTCGATGTTGGATGACAACGAGAGGAACTACGTTCAGATCGCGACCAAGTGTATCTAGGTAGGCAGAGCCAGCGAATGACGTCATCAAAGCTAGTTCAAAGTCGTGCGCAACGCAAACACATGTAGGGAACCACTACAGATACTGTTCATTGGTTCCGCGTCGAGCACAATGCATTAAACGATAGTGTATGTGCCACGATGCGCAATGTTGATGGGGTGTCGGGTGGCCGGTTCGCGAACGTACATAGCGGCGCGAGCCGGGAATCATCCAGGATTGACGACGCGCTTTGCCATTGGCTAGCGGAACACTTCTTCGGTGTATCAACAAAATGCAATGCATGTGAAATTTTGGGATGACGAGTTGGTGACGGTGTACTTGGGCGTGATTCAAAAGTTGGTTGATGCTGTTTCAGATGGCGTGATGTCATTGAAGTTGGAAATAGCGTTCCTTTTATTTATTCTTCCCTTCGCGGTCTCGACATCCACGCAAACCTATTTGGCACCTTGCTAGAAACATGTCTGAAGTTACAAGGCATTCCGAGCGACTCACGAATGGGGATGATGGAGTGGTGAGCTCAATTCGTGACGTGCCTGTCACCGAGCAACGAAGACCGTACACGAGCACAAAAGGCTCAAAGCTTCAACACACCGGTACGTTTCCGCTTATGGAAGATTCAATAGCCTGATTGCTAAGAAGAGCAGGTACTGCCCGTGCCAATCTCGCCCCATCAGCAGAATCGCCTCAAGGTACCAAGGGCTGGGCGGAGCAGCATTCTCACCAGACTGTTCTACAACAACATTGCGACTTCTTCGATCGCGACCACGATGGGATCCTCTGGCCACAGGATACATTTATCGGCTTCTATCGGCTCGGATTCGGTGTAATCCTATCCATGGTCGCACTCTTCGTGATTCATGCGAATTTCTCATACCCTACATGCGAGGGCTGGCTGCCTGACCCATTCTTTCGTAAGGTCCCCAACCTACGAACTGCATTTGAGATACACGCTAACCTCTTGCGCCAATCCTTCAGGTCTTTTCCTTAAGAACGTGCACAGAGATAAGCATGGTAGCGACACTGGAACGTACGATCACGAAGGTCGCTTTTTGCCGCAGAGATTTGAGGACATATTTGCAAAATATGCGGAAGGAAGAGACTATCTGACCATTTGGGACGTGAGCAATGTGCTGAAGGGTCAGCGGTGCATTGCTGATCCGATCGGCTGGGGAGGTGCCTTCTTCGAATGTGAGCCGTATTCCAGCGTTCTATGTAGAACGCGTTGCTGACGAATGCAGGGATTGCCACGTACATAATGCTTTGGCCTGAAGACGGCCGAATGATGAAGGAAGACATACGTGGCATCTATGACGGTAGTATATTCTACACTCTTGCTGCGAGACGAGAGAAGGGCATGTGAATGAAGGCCGCTGGCTGCGAGATACTGTGGGGGGCTGCTGACTGGACCGCCTACCCTTGTCACGAATGGTACCTTGATAGATGACTTCAAGCTCTCTCGAGACGGAAAGAAAGCGCGGGCAACTACAAATCCTCTTAGCTAGTTGATCGAAATCAATATACCGGTCATAAGTCTCGAACCTTTGCGGAAGGCTGGAATGCGACGCCTGCTACGTTGGGTTCACGGGCGTTTCGACCGAGATCATGTCTATTCCATGACTGGCAGATATCCCCACTTCTCATTTACGAACACTGGTGTGTATGCGGGTAAAGTCGTGAAGTCTGTCCCGATGACTTCTGTACAATTCCTGTAGTCGTTGGTGTCTGTTATGGCTCATGAATCGAGTAATACACGTATCTAAGTAGGCTCCTAGAATAGAGGTGTTGATGGACTCTTTGTCGCAATTTAACTCCCTATCTCCAATATCATCAGATGGTGAGAGGCCGCACTGACTCTCGATTGCGTGCTTACACTCACTCACTCACTCAACCCTTCACTGAGCCCGCTCCGCCACTGCCTACACACGCCCCTTCACTCACCTGCCCACCAACAACTTTGGAGATTTTCATGTCTATCCTGGTATTATATATCGCTGATCGCGGTCTTGTTGTACTATGTATTATATGGCGTTTAGGAATCTTCCATCAAACATAAGGCATGAGGTCGTGGGACCAAATGCACACCTTACATCACGGTCTTTCATGTCCGTATGTGAGCCTGAGTTCGAATTTGGGTGTTAGACCGGTTAGCTCACAGTTGGTCTTCTGCGGATTCGAATTTGGGAGTGGCCTTGTTATGATCTGGATGCGCATCCTTCCTTTTTGCTTTGTTTTTGCGCATTTTCGCGCGATCGTGTTCTTTTTGCCCTCTTTCTTTTTGCTCCACTCGCTCTCGTTCTTATATATTACAGTGCCAGGTAGGTGTAAGTGGGAGTGATATTCTTCCGCGTCCTGTCGATGCAGCGCTTCCGCATTCCAAGAAGGTACGCGAGAAGACTCGTCCGAAGTTCGATAAGAGCACACTCCACGTCGCCAACAGGTCTTCCGGGGTATCTTCATGGTCACGAAGAGGGTCAACGGAGTTGGACGAGAGCATATTGAAGCTTACGCACACAATGAACTCTAAGTTGGCCTAGGGCGCAGCTGAGCCTGTTGTACATGAGTACTTCTTGAAGACATGTCTGAAGTCGAAGAGTGCGTTGAGTTTGATTAGCAGTACAGATGTCGATACCAACAAAAGCTGAATATGTGCTGAGAATGATTAGGCTCGATGATGTTTCGTCGATGTAAGGCTGTTACTTTGCAGAGTGGTACGGAAGAACGATGCACCGAGCCTCGGCTCGTCCCCAGCTTCCAACATCCGGGGCAAGCTCCGATGACGAACATCTACCCGTGTGTCGCAATGGATATCCATATTTCTCCTGACGACGCCTGCACTCCTTATCCAACCCACACTAATCATCAAAATGGATAACAGCTCACTCTTCGATGTCAAGGTACGCACATAACCCACCCGCACCTTCGATCTTCCAACTGACTCTCCAGGGCAAAATCGTCCTCGTCACAGGCGGCGCGAAAGGCATCGGTCGCATGATCACCGAAGGCTTCGTCCAAAACGGCGCTACAGTATACATATCGTCTCGGGACGCTAAAGCCTGCGAGGAAGCGTGCAAGGAATTAAACGCCCTCGGTAAAGGCAAGGCCGACTTCATCGCAGCCGACCTGTACAAGGAAGATGCAGCAAAGAACATAGCCGACGAGCTGAAGAAGAGAGCAGGCAGTAAGTCCTTCCATGGGCTGTTATCTATGCCATCGTCGCGAGACAATAGTAGTCGCTGATAACGTACAGAGCTTGATGTCATCGTCAACAATAGCGGAAGCAACTGGGGCGAGTCGTACGACAACTACCCTGCCGCAGCATGGGACCGCGTCCTTAATCTCAATCTCAAGCGCGTCTTTCAACTTACGCAAGCCGTCACACCCCTCCTCGAAGCCGCCTCGACCCCTACATCTCCCGCCCGCATCATCAACATCGGTAGTGTCGACGGTCTGCGCGTCCCCGCCCTCGAGACTTTCGCCTATTCCGCTTCCAAAGCCGGTCTTCACCACATGAGCAGAGTACTAGCGAGCCACCTGGGCAAGCGCGGTATCACAAGCAACACGATCGCGTGCGGTCCCTTCCAGAGCAAGATGATGAAGGCTACATTGGAGAAGTTCAAGGATGTCATTGAGAGCGGGATACCATTGGGACGCATTGGCAGCCCAGAGGATGTTGCGGGAACTTGTATTTGGCTATCGAGCCGCGCAGGGTCCTATGTTAACGGCGCGACTATCGCGTTGGACGGTGGTAGCGTCGTTGGCGCGAAGTTGTAAATATACCTTTTGCATATCATCTCACATCCACATGAGTTACATCAATCAGACATTACGAAGGCTGGATATCCTCAGAACGTAACTGGTCTTTATAGACATCTAGCAGAAGCACATGTATACCTCAAACCTCCTCGCGACCTACTCAGCTGTCGGCTCCATCACCGTGGTGTTCATCAACACCGTCAGTTCAGCCAGAGCCCGGCTGGAATCCTGCTTCTCTACATCCTCCTGGAGGATAGCCTGAACCTGCTCATGAGACGCCCAGAAGCTCGTCTCATCAACCACGCGATGCTCCTTCTCTTTCACCTCGCTTGGATGCTTGAGATTCCTGTCGATGGGGAGGAGCAAGGCCGCCAGGAGCTCTTCATTCCGATCAACCTTGGACATGCCTGGATGCATCAAGTCCTCCTCATCAAAGGGGTCGAAATCGTCAGCCATCTGATAGTCCTTGGAAAAATAGCCGAAATGGTGGGCCGCCGCAAGATTGCCCGCAGCAATCTTAGTTCGCCTAAGGTCCAAGTTCGTCTGGACGACCTCTTCTTTGTCGTCAATCTTCTGTTGCCGCTTCTCGTACTTCTCGTTCAGACCAATCAGCCACTGCAACGTCATCGCCGCACCGAATTTCTCAAAGATGCCTTCGTTCAGCTGGCCTTTGCGCACGGCCCGCATGAAGTCGTCTGGTTTCGGAATGTTCGGGAGGAATGCGGCCTGGGCCTTGAGTATGTTGACGAGCTTGTTTACCGTCTTGCTTCGCCTCGCACTAAAAAAGTGAAAGTCAAAGGGCGAGGCCTGCCATAGGGCGATGAAGGCTTCGCGTTGGGTGAAGTTGTTCTGCGAAGGGTCGTACTTGAAGACCAGTGACTCGATCCAGGCCTACATTTTATTAGCTATGTGCATAGGTCATGAGGAAGCCAGTAGTTCTTCAGTGTAATTTAAATCTCTGTAGGAAGTTTGAAAAGACACTGAAGATGGACAGGCAGTTCTATCGCGAAGATGACTTACGCGCAGAAAGTACTTGACAAACTCCTCGTACCCCTCTTTGCAGTACTTCGGATTGAAGTTTGACGCCCACGCGAAGGCCATCAGGAGGATATTGAAACGGATCTGGTCGAAGAACCGCGAGAACGAATGGCCCTTGTCCAGACCATAGAAGAAAATCGCCCGATTGACCATCGGAGGCAAGCTCTTGTCGGCGAGGAAGTTGGCCATAGCGATGTCGTTATACAAGATGAAGAAGCTGGCGAGTTGGAGGTCCAGAGGAGCTTGGGGTACGACTGCCTCGTTGGGATGAAAGTAGATACTGTGGAGAGAGGGCAGCAGGGTGATGCTCCTGTTAACCTTGTACGTCTTGGTGGCAAGCTTCTCCTCAGCGTCGCGATGCAGGGCCTTGACTTCCACAATTTCCGGGTGCTCAGGCTCAGCGTTGCCGTCCATGTCGACGTCGCCGCCGACCTCATCATTGACGTCAACGTTGTGCTCCGTGACGTTCTCGTATGCGGTAAAGAAGACGGTATTTCCGGACTCAAGGCCTTCGTCCACGCTCACACTGGTTTCGGGAAGATCACCCATGCTGACGTCACTGTTGTTGAGGTTGTCCATGGTGTCGTCGATGTCGTGTGTACGGGTGTCAATATACGGACCAGTGCGACGAAGAAAACGAAAAGAGAGCGGGGATATTGCGAAAAGTCGTCCAAACAACAAGAAGACCCGTGGGCGCCCAACCTGTAAGCGACGGAGAAACTAGTATTGCAGTCAGCCGGCACGTTCTTCCGCTGATTCTGTTGTAGTGAAAGGAGAGGGTGGCGAGTTGCGTACCTGCGACCCCTGTCTGCTCTGCAAACAGGCGTCGGCGACATCGCTAGCGACATTGATGCTAGAATTACCTTGAGCGAGGACTGGGAGATGATGTAGGATGTAGGGTAGGTGTAAATGAAGAGGATCAGGTCGCTGATCTATATACATTTCGTGACACATTGAATAAACACTGAGTGTTTGCGAGACAAACACGATGTGTTCGTTCGAAAGGGAAGCTCGCAACAAGTGACACCCCCGAGGTCTGTCTACCCATTAGCTTTGCCTCCTGTTTGTTGCTCGAACAAACGTCGGTGACATGATGATATTCGTGGAGGAAGAGCATATTACAGCAACTCAAATTCGACGAAAGATACAGAAGTAGATGATAGTGACGAAGCAAGATGCTAGGATAAGCCTCGGAACGAAAGATAACCTACCAGAGACACGGAAAATTCCGCGCGAGATAGCGTAGAAGGTTCATCTGTTGTAGCCTTATCAGCGTCGCATCGTCCCCATCATCTAAGATTGCACGCCCACCTATCGTCCCCTGAGAACTTGTCGAAAAAGTCGTTTAGTCTCTTAGTCTCACTCCTGATCCCAATATCCTTCTCCTCCTCATAGGCCTTCTCATCATATGCCTCTTCATCTTCCTCGTCTTCTTCCTCAATCTCGTCATCCTCATCTCGTTCATCTTCCTCGTCCTCGTCTTCATCAGGAAATGAAACATCGTCATCAGAAAACGACACACGAAGCCTTTCCAGTTCCCAAATCATATTCGTCAACTCTATCCTCAAGGCACTCTGTTCCGGTCTTCCACTCCACATCTGCTTCCTCCAGTCCTGTGCCTGCTCCTTCTCAGCAGCCAAGTCTTTCTTTAAAGCATCTTGAGATTCTGTCAGCCAAGAGATTCTACTATCCCTTTTTTTGACATCGCGCCTGAGTCGCGCATTCTCCTTAGTCAACCTGCGTATGCGCTCCTGGTCCCGCGTAAGAATGGGTTGGGAGACAATTGTCTGATGTTCGGCAAGTTTTGGCACCTCTTCTGTTTCCAGCGCTCTGGGTTGTAGGTTAGTGAAATTGGGGTAAAGCGCTTGAAGAGAACGTGTAATTTTACTCAATTTGTACCCAAGCGCCAAACTTGTAGCTTTGAGAGGGGTATGACGAGGGCCCAGAGTGTGGTGTCGTAGAGGAATACATTTCAGAGAAATCTTCGTTACACATTCTAGCGGCTTCAATCTCGAGGGAATAAATGTCGAAGAAATTCATTTTTATGGAAGGATGTTCGGGGTGAGAAGGTGGTTTTGCGAAGATGTGAGTATAACATTAAAGTCTGTGTTCACGTCCAATCTCGGTACCAGAGACAAGGTATGTAGGGTATCAACAAAGCGGTAGCAGCAGTGATAGTAATAACCATATTCTTATTGAGTCTACATATCCCATTCCAATCATAACCTCATTATTCATAAGTATACCAACTCTTTTTCAGCTCCCTCATAGCGTCCTCTGCTTCTTTCCACTTCCTACTCCCCTTTTCCGCGTCGCCCATCCACTCCATAATCGATTTTCTGTTTCTCATATACTTGGACTCCGCCCTCTTTCTCTCCTTCGCTTGGCTCTTCAGATAAGAAAAGTCGTCGTACCTGACAGCTTCCTTCCAGACGTCGCGCATCCTTGGACTCCAAAGACAGCAGCTGGACCCGACATCAGGGTCTTCGCCGGGAACTAGCTGGATTGACTTGTTGAACATGTGCGGTATGGACGACGATGTGGATTTAGATTGCGTAGCGGGCCATATAAGTTCGTCGTAGCATTGCTCGCAGACTGTGAACTCTGGCAGCGAAGGGATGAAATGCCATGGTTTACGGAACAAGATTTTGTACCTCGCGCACTCGCTTTTGTAGGAGTTTTCGCGCAACAATTTGACGAAGCGGTTCAGATCAGGTAGTTGACCGGACATTTCAGCCTCGGCGTCTAGCTCGACGAGCAGATCTAGGTACTTTGGGAAGCGGGTTGAGCTCGTACGCAAGCTACATACGTGCCTCTCGTCCTTCGGCATCTTAGCGAAGCAACCACGAAGAGAAGGCAACAAGGCCTCGAGCATCCTCCTATCGCTCGAGCATATAGCAAAGTTGGCTACATGGGTACCTTCGCGTGGGTTCGTAATGCCGTACCAGCTGATACGGTCTTCTGCACCTGCCTCACGATCTCCAGGACACGGCTTGGCTACTGTGTCCATGACATCCGCAATTGCGTAGATCAGCTCGAGCGATTTGCGACGTTGTTGAACTGTCAATAGCCATGCAAGACGTGTCCACGGACTGCTGAAGTCACAGCTCCGCTCCAACGAATAGTCATTGAGCCATATCTGTTTGAAGTCCACGTCAAAAGACGTCCCGGCGAAGACACCCTCGTAACAACTAGGGCAGATGTTGAAGTTCTTGTGGTCTCGAAGCGCGTACCAGTCATCGTAAGGTCCAGTCTTGTAGGGTCTTGGGCAATCTGGAAGTTTGCTGTCCATTGAAGCGGTCCTTCGAGAGGACTTGTCACGGCGACCATGTTGTGAGCGGAAACTACCCGACCTAGACCTCCTTAGGCGTGCCGGCTCCTCCAATGTCTCAGTATCTTGCCTCCTAGCCCGGGAAGGTAGATCTCGCGTATACGGGGAGCCGGGGAGAGACGGGGACGTCGCTCTCGGAATGTCCACGTAGCTTTGCCTCGGCGAACCGACGGTGGAATGATCGAATTGATAGTGCTCTTCAGGTGGCATGAATACGTCAATGAGCTGGTCGTCGATGGGGTATGGTAAGGAGTCGCCAGTGGATTGCCTCGCAGGAGACGGACTATGCACATCGATGCGGGGCCTCGGGAGTGGCATGGTGTCGTGTCTACCATATCGAGAGGGTTGTCTTGACCTGTCGTCGGAAGGTGCTGGAGGATAGGTGGCGTGCCAATCTGACTCTGATACAGGTACGCGACTGCGGCCCGGCGAAGAAGGTTGGAACGAAGAAGCGAGCGGGGAAGTAGGCCAAGGGCCACCGCGGGACGAAGGCCGAGAGCCTGGAGGGGAGTCTCGCAATCGGGTAGGCAGCTGAGGCGAGGGTGCTCGATGCAATGGAGAGCTTGGTCTTGACAGTGGCCGTGAGCTGTTAGCATAGACTGTGTCTACGGGCACAGGCCTCGATCTCCGCGTGCTGTGTACCGAGGACGAAGACGACCGCGGCGACTCAGCATTCGAGTACTCCTTGTACGAGCCTGACGAATCACCCTTACGTATCGTCGGCAGGGGACGCTGCCCGGAGTCGTGCCGATGCGGCTCGGGCCTCTCCTGTGTATCGCGCAGGTTTGTTCTCAGATCCTCCCTTTGTAGGTCGCTCTTCACGAAGCTGTAACGCGCGGGCTTTCGTTCGGTTCGCAGGTGGGTTGTGCTGTGCGTCTCGGACTCAGAGTCCGAGTCGAATACGTATTCCTTCTTGGACGATGGCGACGTGTAGGAGTTGTGTCGGCTTTCAGTTGGCATCGGTCTCGACGGTCTGCTTGCATCTGACCTGGGATGGCTGCTGTTCGAAGGCGTGATGGGTTCTGGCGAGCGCATGTAGTCTGCAGTCGAGGGCGCGATGGACTCCTTCTGGGGCTTCGAGTACCCATAGGGCGCCCTCACGCGCTCAGTAAAGACAGGAGGGTCTGGCACGTCGGTGTTGATGTGCGACATGCCCCCACGATCAGCAAAGCTGCGCCGGCGACGGTCCCGACGCGTGCTGGACCCGTGCGCGCCGTCACTGTCGGTGCTGGATTCGGAAACGAGCACATAGCGGCGGTCATGGTGTTGTGCGACGCTCGGCTGCTCGATCTCGTCCAGCAGGGAGTCTTGGTCGACAGTGCCCCGCGTGTTGCTCGGCGGCTCACCCTCGGCCTGCCCTGGCGACCCCACGGAGGACGGCGCCTCCTTTGCTAGCGCCTCCCTCTCGTCCTCGACGCTTGGTGACGGCGGCCATGTCTGCTCGCGCGTGTGCGACCTGTACGAATGCGGCGCGGGTCGCCGGGGTGGGAGGGGTGGTGAAGTGCGGGGCTCATAGGTGTAGGTGTTGTAGGACGAGCTGTAGGACGAAGTGTATGGGTTGCTCTGGCGCATGTCTGCCAGCTGCTCGCGGGCCTCAGCTAGAGTCTTGTCGTTCCTCGCATATGCATAGGGGTCCGTCTCTCTTGATGTATAGTGGGAGTCATGGCGCGGGCGGTGGTGGTACCGGCTGTCGTATTCGTAAGACATGTATGGGCGTACGTGAGAGAGGGTCAGGCGAGCAGTGGGAGACTAGGCAGTGGCTTTGGCGAGCATGCAGCTTGGGCAACTAGCTACGGCGGCTTCAAGAGTATCAAGACGAATATGGCGGAGAGGGCAGGTTTACATAGCGCGGCAACAACGGCCATGTTGGATGTACAAAGATGCTAGGTGACGCATGTAGCCGTCTGTGAATTGCGGGTCGCGGCTTCCTCGCGCCTTCGCCCTGCACTGTCCCCACCGCCGGTAAAGCCCCATTTGCTCGCTTCCCGTCCTCTATTCAACGCCCACCGCCTGTTCGCACATCTTCGCCTGGCAGAGATACCTAGGTCCTTCCTTGGAGGTATCGTCACGGCACAGTCGTCTTCATCGCATTCGCTGGCGTGAACATGCAAGTGTCGGTACCTGTACTATCGAAGTGTCATATCAAGCATCGTAGTTCCCTCTAGCACATTCTGAACCCTTGTCCGAGCAGAAATAGCAGCTTTCGCCGTGATGCTACTGTACAGCTACGCTATGACTTCATGGTACTTGGGTGGTTCTTTTCTTGTATAGATCCAATAGTTATATGCCATACTATGGTCATGGTTAGTGGTGAATCGACTGTAGATCTGCAGATTTAGGAAACCTTTCCCTGCCCATGTGCAAATATAGAACATGATCCCCCAAATTCGATATATATCCTTACGATAATCATGATACACACAACTACCTCACGCTCATGTTCCATTCAAACTCTCCCCCTCTCCGCACAACCGGCAGCCTCCGGAAGAGCGGTAAACGGCACTCAGCACAGCCACACGGTCTGCAGCCACCTCACTAGCCTCACCACTAGCCTCACCAACTTTTCAACACTATATCACAATAAAGAACATGATACCACACTATGCGGCCACAGGACAAATTTTTCGGGCGCAAGAAACTGACGGTCGTCTTCAGCCTCCAACTGGTCACAGTCTGCCTCACGCCTCCATTCCTACCAACTACACCTGGGCACGACTAAATCCACCGGTGCGCAAGACCACAACCTCACAGCCAAGTGAAGCACTCACCGGATATGCGGCTCTGCTCATACGCTCAGGGCCATACTTTCTCGTAATCACCCAAAGAACGAGAGTCGCTGTAATCAAGGGCCCGTCAAGCGCGTGATGCACGTAGCTGCAGGCAGAAAGTGGCTGTGCAAGGCTTTCCCGGAAGCCGCCGAAGACGGAGCACTGAACCACCGATATATATTACCAGTCGCAGGAGAGACTCGGAATCTTTAAATCCTGCAATGCTAAAACGTACTTTGAAAGGCACATCGATCTTCTTAAATCCGGTGGACTCCACTTATTCTGCCTGAACTGGTGCATTATCATGCTCGTAAGCCCGATAGCTCCATCCTGACACGTTGTGTCCGCAGCATGGATACGCCCCGTCCAACATAGGTATGGTATGCTGTGCGAATGAATTTGTACATAAATTGAAGACGGACGGTAAGACTGCATACGACCCAGATATTGAGAGAAGCAAGAGCAGTCAACCAACAAAACTCATTGCCTTGATCCCAAACATGTCCACCCCCACTCCCACAGTCAACCTCCCAAACCTCACCGCTCACCAATCCATAACCGACACCCTCCACCGTCTGACCTTAGGTCTCGATAGCAATGACCGCTCCCTTGTAGAATCCGCCTGTTACAGAGCACCCTCTATGACATTCACCTACGGGCCGCTGGGCGCCCAACAGACCGTCACCGGCTTCGATGCCATAAACCAGATGTTCGACCGCGTCTTCAGCCTCGTCACCACACACACCGTGAGCAATGTGAGGATTGAAGTGGAGAGCGAGAATGCGACTTTTGCGCGCATGACGGCGCATGCCATTTCGTATCATGTGAGAGAGGAAGAGGCGTTTGTGGCAGCCGACACGAGTTATACGGCGAGTTCACTGTACGACATGCAACTTCTCAAAGACGAAGCCGACGGAGGATTGTGGAAGATCACGACGTGGAATGCACGCATGTTGTGGACAACGGGAGATATCAAGGTGTTGCATCCGTGAAGACATGATCTGCATATATCGACTATATAGAATGAAACATTTTCTTTCATCTTATTCTCCCAACTGTCGTCTTTTTCCGTGGTAAGTTTGAATCATAAGAAAACATCTGCCACACAGTAGATCATATCGCTAATCCAGACGCCGGCGCCGAACCAACATGTCCCATTAATCGCTATTTTCGCACAGACGGACCAGAATGTCGGGCGCACTGGTGTGTCGTAAACACATATACATGGGTATCAGATACAGCTTGCATAAAGCCAAAAGGGGGGAATTGAGAAGAAATCGCTTGGATGTGAAGTCGGGTTAAGATAAGAATGTGGCTTGATAGTCGCCACATTTAGAAGTAGTTGCCCTTGGGGATGGCGCAGAAGATACCGACGGCTACGGCGGAGATGAGAAGAGCGCCCAGAATGGCTTGAATGAAGATGGTATCCTGGATCTGGCGGAGAGCAGGCTCTTGGATCCAGACTTCACGGTCAAACACCTTCCGGACGACATTGCGCTTCTCGTAGCGGGCGACCCATGGCTCATCTTCCCAAGAGTTGCTCGACGCGTGCGAGTCGACGCTCTGGAAGGAGTCGGACTTGAAGTCGTAGCTTTGCGGCTCATCATCGGAAGCGAAGAGCTCCCACGGTCGCAAATGTCGGTGGTGCATGCCGTGAAGTACAACACACATGCCCTTCCAGGCTGCGATCAAAGTTGAGATACCGATGAAGAAGCCAATGAGGGAGATGACGCGCCATGCACGGCCGGCGCTGCTTAGAGTGAGGATGATCGCGACGATCAGACCAGCGACAATGCCGAAGATACCGAGACCACGAGCGAAGATCACACGCGGACGGTTACCATTGCATATGGTCCACCGAACAAAGTTGGGGTGCGCTTGGCAACGGAGCGACCACTCGACGGTCGTGATAACGTCGGTAAATGCCGACGGGTGGGTCGTGTTTTGCAGAGCATGCAGCAGTGCTGTGCGCTCTTTCGATGAAAGGTTCAGCTGTCGCGAACCGTTGTCGGCAATGTAGATGGAGATGATGCGGTTGATCTCTTCCCGGTAAGGCTGGACGGACACTGTGTTGCATGAGCGATTGGACCCTAGAGACGCAGAAGGAAAATTAGCAAGGGTAATACTCACGTGGTTTCCATTTTAGTCCTGCGTTATCAAACGCACCGGCAGCACGTTGAGTGTGGTCAACTTTGCCGGTAGTCATGCTGTCATCGTACGAGTCGAGGGAGTACTCGCGCCTAGGTTCGACGCTGGTTGGCGTGCGAGGAGGCGTGAAGAAGGGGTTGTTGCTACCCTTCTCCGATTCAGCGACCTTGCCCTCGTTGGCGAAGTCGGTGCCCTTGAGCATGGCTACAGCGTCGGCATTATAGCTGACGGTCGCGGGCTTGGCTTCGGGGACCTTTTCGCCAGTCCACTCGGGAGACAGAACCCTCTCGCTTTCCGGCAGCGCATTGAAGCGCTTGACGTAGTCGCGGTACCAGAGGAAGAATTGCAAGTTCTCAGCCGACAGTTCGATGTATTTGAGGAAGTTCATGAAGTCGCGAACAGTGCAGGGCTGAGGATTGTTAGTAAAGGTACTTGGAGAGTGATGCTTGACAGTGGCGACATACAGGGCAAGCGCCGCCAGCGATGATGGTGTCAAAGGACAGTGCCTCGGGAATACCGTGGGACATGCCGCTGCTGCCAGACTTGATAGAGGCATTGATCGACTTCCGCTGCTCTTCGGTGTTGGTGGAAGAGGGAGTGCTGGGACGAGGAGCTCGCTCCGGGCGGCGGTAAGATAGTGAGTAGACCATGTTGGGCAGGATCTGGGGTCGAATGTAATCGCAGAAGGAACGTGGTGTTGCAGGGTGACGACAGCACGTGGTCGTTTGGTCAAGATGGTAGGAGCAACCGTTTACACGCACCGTACCGCGCGTGGAGATGGAATGCTATATATCTGCACGGCCGATGGGGCGAGTGGAGTAGTGAGACTGAGCTAGCAGAAGATCTGGAAGAAAGCTACTTGCGTAGTCGTCCAGTAGTCGAGCGCTGACACGGATTGCCGCAGGGCAGGGTGGTAGCGTGGATCTAACTAGTGAGGGCAAGCAAAGCTTGGGATGGAGGTAGAGGAAGTTTGCGCTGTGCCTCAGGCGAGGTAAAGTAAAGAAGGTAAAGTCGCGGTCGAGCATCGGTGTTTATACCTGTCTTCTCGGCATGGCCGTATTTCCACCATGTCTTCTCAGAAAGCGGTCCCTATTCGTGGGCAGGCACATGGCTCTCCACCTTCACTGCTTCCTGCCGCCTGCGGGCATTTTCCCAAATGAGCCGGCTGTAGCGTGGGGACGTCAACGCCTGGTCGCACATGGGATCCTCGAGGTCGCCGACGAGTAGGTGCGCCCCACCGCGGCCGTACAGTAGACGGCATCGCGACGGACGGTAGACGCTAGCATGCCGGGACATCAAGATGTGCGCTAGGCCCACGCGCCATGAGGAGTCGGCAATCTGGGCAGAACCCGTGTCGATCGTCTGGACCCGGCTAAGCTCTCTTCACAATTGCAAATCTCTGCCCTATCTGCCTGCCTTTTGGCTTTCCACGAGACAGCGTGGCGCCGACGGTCAAATGTCACATTGCGGTGCAGCCGTTGGGAAATGAAGACTCGACACGCCTGCGTTGTCAGATTGCCTTGGTGTTTCAGCGATGCGAGGCATCGCAAGCTCAACGCTCGCAAGTGCGGGCGGAGAACCGAAGCGAGCGACGGTCAAGAAGCTGCTTCGAGAAGCTGCAAGAGCGAGTGACGTCCTTTCAGACAGCCACAATGTTGTTTTAGACAGCCACAAATTTCATAATTGTACGCGATCGACGCTGCATGCATAATGCCAGCGAGCAGATGAACGCCAATAGCCCAATCAGCGGCCGTCAGCGTCCTGATGGGCGGTCAGGATGCGCGCGCTCGGCTTCAGTCGTCACCATGCGTACCAAACTTTGCAACCATCGCTTAAGCCTGGACCTTCTCAAACATCTCCTCCCCAAAAGCTTTGCTCCACGCCCTCACCACTGCGAGTAGTTTTGTGGCTTGCGAGTCAGTATGATAACGTCGAACTGGTGGGCAAGGCGAAAGAGCTCACCGGGTCCCAGCCACGGCCAATCTAGTATGCAGCAACGGCAAAAGCAAGTGTGCCGCCTACGACATCTTCGAGTGCGAGCCAAGATGGGGAAAGCGCCACTATCGCCAGGTCCCTGGAATTTGGAAGTCCGGACTCATCGGACTCATTCCGTGTCAGCCAGCCTGATAAAGATGAATGACTATTCGGCCGAATAAGTCGCGTGCAGGGTTTTTACAATTGAATTCAACCCCTATGTATAGACTGCGGAGCTTCCGCGGATGAAGCACGCAGAAAGGGCCTATTCCGACGACACCCGTCGAAGTCAAAGATGAGTCGCGGACACAACATGAGTTCTGCGTGCTTGCCATGTCAGCACCAGAGTCTCAGCACAACCGAAAGTCAAATCTTGTCCCCGCCGATGGATGATCGATCATGTGCCTACCAACAAGCGTGCAAGCACCGAAACCTTCTGCGGCATACCTTGTTCTGGGAACAAATGTGCGCTGGAGCTGGGCTGCTAGCTCAAACGCTTCATACGCGCCGTACAACGGTACAGATGTAGCGCTAGAAGCTAGATTCGCCGAAACTCTGATAGTCGACAAAGTTGACAAGTCTGAGGCTGAGTGACTGAGTCGCAACCTGGCATTGCCAAAAGCGGGTTCGCGCACTCTTATGTTTCCCCAACGGGCTTTGTGAGACATGATGGCTCACCACGTCTCTATGCACAATATGCGATAGTTGCCGCCGCAAACTTTCGCAGTGCGCGACCAAAACTTACGAGAATGTGCGCAACGTCCTCTGCGTTTGGCCAGCGCATGTTACCAAGCCGCCCAGGTTAGCAGCTCCCCGATCAGTGGGACTTGGATGCTAACATCGAGACTTCTTCTAGTGGCATGCGCTTTGGCCCCGCCGATTGGACTCAACCCTCAGACTGGGAAATTGGCGTCATTGGGGATATGTGTGGCTTTCGTCTCGTCGCATTGGACCCTGCGCAGTCGATGTGCAAACGGGATGTGTTGCTAGGGATTCTTTTTTTCTTCTTCCCGTGTAACGTTCTTGCGATTGCTTCCGAAGCCCTGTATCTGGAGTGCGCCGCTGGTCGTACCGATAAAATGCATTCCAGCCACGATTGCTATGTACCTGGACTACTCGATTTTTCGCCAGGAAGCACCATGTGCTACTGTCCATCTCCCGCTCTTCGGTTTCCCTTAGGCATCACCCAGCAGCATCTTCCTGGAGGGGTGTTCTGCTTCGCAGGACCGAGCGTTTCAGGTCACCAGCAACCGAAAAGAGTATGCATGTGTACGCGACGACAGCGGGAGGCTCAGGGGAAAACTCGCGTGCTCGCGTGGCCTGGGATGTAGCGCGACGCCTTCAACTTCTCAGTCTTCGTGACCTCATTGGTGCGCTGCGCGGGACATGGGAAATGCGCATATTGCTCTCCCGTCTTTGCAAAATACCATGCCCTCATCTCCGTCCCGTGCGCCATCGTGATCGTTGACTTGCTTTCGACCACAGCCGAGCTCTTTGACAACCTGAAGGATTGGTCGCTGCGTGGCTGGTGCTGCAGATTTTGCTGTGTATGTGGGTTGAGCGAGGCGACTCATGTGCTATAGAGCTGACCAACATGTGTGGGATGTCACCCGTCTGCCCAGGTGGCGTTGCCGGTGGGCGGGAGCAATACATTGGATACGTGGGTAGTCGGATCGCGTCCGCTCGGCTAGGCAGTGGCATAACTATCGGCTGCGATTTGAGTTTGTCCGTCGTGCTGTCAAAGTGCATCTCCCTTTCCTTGGCTTGGCGCAGGTGGTGTTGATGGTGAGTCGCAATGAGCGTCCCGGTCAGCTTATATGAACGGACGAGTTGGTGACACCTGCCATATTGCGCAGTCATACGTATACGGCAACACCCAACATGATACCACCTCATCCTCACACTGGCTAGCATATCGTGTCTTCGCGCAGAGACTACCGGATACTCATGACGATGAGTTTCGTAGTTGTCGAGCTTGCAGGTGTCTGCTAACCACTCATCTCACTTCCACTTCTCTCGTTTTTTTTCTCCTTCACCGCTGTCCTCGATCTTTCCCATGTCATCGCACGTCGTGATGCCCAGTTTTGAGCAACCGCGAGTCCATGGCGACTGCGACTTCCATAATCATCCGGTCTTTCCACAACGTTTGGCGCAAGACCTTCCTGAACAATCAGAACAACATGTTGACGCCCAATACTTCACTTGCATCTCCATCCCGCCGCAAACATTCATATCGCAAGTTCTTCGTGCGAGCTTCAGCATTACTTCCTCGCAGAGATCGCTGCCATGGGATCCGCCAATGGCCAGCCGCCCAGACAAGTTTCCACATACGCCTATGAAGTCGTTCGTTTCGACAGGACCTCTCACTCTCTCAACTCCTGCATTACTATACATCATATCGGCAGTTATGATACCTTCGCCCGCGCTCAGGCCAAAGCCCACGAATATCTACAGCTCGCACTGAGCGACTACTATCGTAACGGACAACCCGTTGGCTACTTCAACGAGATCAATCTTGAGCGTTCGGGGTCGATTGTGGTGTATCAAGAGCGTCCGTCGAATGGGTATATGGAAACTCGTGAACTAGTAGTTAGCGAGTTTCGCATGCTGCTAGTCAACACATTGGATAAAGCCTGGCAGGCAGAATCGCGTCTTTTTGGAGAGAAGTTCACGTTGGTAAACCCACGCGTTTCCTACATCAGCAATGGACAAAGCTCGACCGCACTTCCGCCAGCTTCGCGCAAGCCGGACCAGAACAAAGAACCGGTAACCCCCAGCGATGTAGCTAGGCAAGAAGAGCACGTTACCTTACCCGAGCCCACTCCACCGCCCTCGCAGTTTCCTCCGATGGGTCCCCAGTACGATCAAGAAAAGCAGCCAGACTGGACGCAGACTCGCATACCTTTGTTCGACCGTCGAGATGACGGACCCTTCCGCAGGCCATGCGACAGACCATACGCGCATACCATGGTCCTCTTGTCACCTCCACCCACTTTACCCGCAAAATCTGGCCCACAAAACTCCGGGGCTATCTGGTCGAAGGCAGCAATAGCTGTTGTCTAGGGGAACAGTGAAACAAATGTTGAGTAAGGGCACGGAGAAACATATGTTGGTGCAGATATTATTTGCAACGCAGCAAGAAAAGGAGTTCTTGAATTGGTGCGCGTGTGCTGAAAGCTTGAATCCGAGGGGACATTGACTGAGAAGAGCTATTATGGTTAGAATTGGGTTCATTCGGTACACGGCCTTGGTACAAGGGGTCTACATACATGTACATTCCAGAAGCTGGCCTCTAGAACCACATTCGATGCAAGGTTGACATCATTCCGTCTTTGATATTGTGAATAGATGCTGCAATGGACCCTTGAATGTATTGCCCAGGCGACGGGTTTCATACTGTAATCACAATGTGATGCATGTATCCCCTTCTCTGGTCCATCCTCCTGCGCATCCTCCTTTCTTCCACTCCCTTGCGGTACAACACACAAGCGCACATGGCAACCAGTCAATTCATACCCATCTCCACATCCCCGCTCCCTACACGTCATACCAATCGTACCTTAGTCCACCAAAATGTTCAGACAAATCCTCATCCTCGTCTGTCTTCTTCAGCGCCACCACCGTCGCCAATGACCCCAATACCTGGCGCTGGAAAAGAAGCACACGCTTTGTGAACACGTTGAGTGACGTATCTTACTGCCGAAACTGCTAGAAGACAGTCTATGTGTATGGCAAGCCACGGTGTAGTAGTGTGGTGGCTAACTGTGAAGCAGCAAGTTTCAAGACGTTGATCTAGTGGGGAAGAACTACAATGTGCTGCTTTTGATGGATATCAGGGAATTGAATTGAAGGGGCGATCCAGCGGTTGAGGTAGCGCGTTGACGTAATGAACTGCACGGTGGCTTCTTTCCGTACTGGCAACTCCTGAAGATCTTGCAAGCGTCTACATTGCAGTCACAAAATCGTGATGTGATCTACTAGATCAGATAAGTTAACCGGTGACCATCAGTGACTACTGCACGTTAGACGATGTGTGTGTGGGGTCTCACCGATCAAAGCAGGTGTGAGTGGGGCTCTGCGGGAGCGGCGCATTAGGCACGAAGAAAAGCATCGGGTATGCAGAAAGCGGTAAGCTACCCCGTACATCAGATCTACAAGATCTACGAAGGCCGAAACAGCGAGGTCCCAAAAAGAAAGGATACCGACGCGTGATCATGTGAACAAGCGTCAAAGCTCCCAACCATCATACCTTTTCTGCGTTGTCGTCAAAAGCAGAACAAAGGCAAAGAGAAAGATGTGATCTACGCACGAAACGCTTTCCCCGTGGAAGTAACCGTCCACGTAGCATTCGAATGCCCCGGAAGCGCGGGGATCCAGCTTTGATCACCGATGTCCTCGATGACCTTGCGCGGCACGCTACAACTGTTCATCATCTCCATACTTTGTGTTTTCATCGTTGAGCAGCCGACATAGCATTCCTCGTCCATGATCTTCTGCAGCGAGTCGTCTTTCCAGCCGAAGATGTAGTCGCCGTGGTTACCGTACCCGGTGTGGTCGTCGAATGAGTAGACGAAGGGCTGGCTGCCGTCTGTTGGCCAGAGAGAAGGGTCGTTGAAGGGGCCAGTTTCGTAGATGACTTCGTACATGAGTTGCGGCATGCGCACGGGATGGGAGGTCGGGCAGGGACCTTGGCTCTCGAAGGTACCCGATACCGGGTAGGCCTATGATGCGTTAGAGGGTGTGGTTTTTGAAGAGCGTGGCAATCTTACCATATGAGCCATGTGGTCCGGCGAATCGAGGTCTTTACCGTTCCAACACCTGCTTCAGTCAGCATCTTTCCGACTGCGAAATCTGCGTCACTACTCACGTCGGGAATCTCAAGTTCACCATGATGCCTGTTGGGCAGGGTTTAGTAGGGAAAGCTTTGGTCTCTGGAAAGCGTGTGCTCGGGTCTTGGAGACAGGTATATGTGAGTTGCGGATACCTATCCGCCTCTGCCTTTGTGGATGCGGTCGGTGAGCCGATGAGCATGCGAAAACCCGGCTGAAAAGCCTTGACCTTCGCCTTCTGCTGGTAGTCGGCAAGCTGGTTTTGCATATAGTACACGGTCTTCAGAAGTGGGATAGTCAGTGCATATCCTAGGTAATGTGTAGTCCACGACTCACCATGCCACCGTTCTGACCCTCAAACCCCGCATTGCCTTTCTGACTGACACGCTTATAAGTACCATTCCTTGCGCGAAAATAAAGCGAAGCTGTCCAGTAGTTGGAGAAGTCATCTGCGGGCTGGCAGGTTGTGCATGTGGACATCGCAGGTGGATCATGAACGTCCGGGCTCATATCAGGGACGAATGAGTTTCCTCCGATGATCTGGTGGAGATGCGATGATGGAGCGTTGCCTGGTTCAACCAAGGGGTCAAGGCGATCCACGACCAGCTGCGAGCACCCAAATCGAATAAGAGCCTCGGTTGGTGCAGCGAGCGCCAGGCCGGCGAGAGTGTTCCACAGCATCTTGAGCTACCTTGATGCAAAAGTAACGTAACGATCGGACGTTGGGAGTTTTATGGATAAAGGTACTCTGATTTATATATTACTGGGTAGGGATTCTTCAAGATGAAAGTGCATGTGCCGAATGACGCACCTCCCGGCCTACATCGCAACCCATCGCAGCAAGCACAAAAATCGCATGGTCGATAAGGGGATAGGAGTTGTCATGTCTGGCCCGGAAATACATTACCCCACCTGAGCCATTTCAGTGACCGTTGAAGGTGTCTGTTGAGAAGAGCAAGTGCCGGGCTGGGTGGACCATCGTTCATATGGGTCTTATCGAGTACATTACACTCAATCTCCAGAACCCTTTTATTGGAAGCCGATCAAGAGACACAAAGGTCACTGATTGTTTGGGTTGTTGCTATTCGACGGTGTATAGTGTAGATGCATTCGGTGATGATCCATACGTGATGAAGTCCGCTCACTTTGACATACCGAACTATATACCGAGCGATGATGTGCGCAGAACGACCCCGGTGTCACCGAGGTAGGCAATTATTCATTTGTGTAGAACAAAACTCTCGGCTGTCTTGAATGTCGTCTAGCGGTCGCTTGATGGAAGGTCGGTGGGTGCCAAGTCCTCTAAGGCAGTACTCTGGCTTCTCCCTTATGCTGCACATGGGCAGCTCAGTGAGCACGAAAGCGAACGATAACCCAGGACAAGTGATTCAAAAAGCCGAAAGCCTTTTCATACTGTTCCTCGAAAGCATCCAAAGGCATTGCATGTAGCCATCTGCGACTTGGATGAGAGTGAGCTCCGCCATTATTTTCAGCATAAGCCGGGTCGACCCCACCGGCCGTGCTATCAGGTATATTGGTATGCGGGGCATCAGCCATGACGACCGCGTAGTCTCAAAACCTTCTCTTCTCTCATTGAGGCTGCTGCCCTTGAGTAGGAACACCACGAAAAAAAAAGCGCGTTGAGCAGCTGAAAGGATAGCTATCGCGATCTGGCGCAGCGTGTTAGTACTCGATCGGCGCGTGAGCCATCCGTGGGAGTCGCGCACTACGCGCAAGTACCAGTAGGTATACGGCCGCGGATACCCCCACAGCCAACGTGGGTGACATGTACAACGACGACGCCCCTGAACCAAGTTTGTTGCGCGATGGTAGGTGACAGGTGCGCGATAGCAAGCTTCGCGCCACAATGCCTGTCGCGCACGTCCCAAAGCGGTATGGTCAATTCGCCGACACGTGTCAGCTCAACCATCAGACACACCGCTTGAGCCTCATTTCCCATCACGATCGTTCGCTTGACGTCCAAACCCACAGTAATGGAGATCTGAATGCAGGACCGCACCAATCATTGTTCTGCAATGTCCAAGATGCTGCACGTAGGATGCAAACGCTTATGTCTCACATCGGGGTTGCAGCATGAGCTCCACGCGCAGAGCTGGTTCCGTGGAATGACTCTTATCATGCGTGCGCGATCGTTGAGGCTGTTGACAAGGCTAGGCTTGGATGTGATTCCCTTTGCTAGACCGCTAGGAATTGCCTACCCCATAGCGGTGTGTTGTCTGGAGTGGATCGTGAACCCGGAGCCGCGTCTTCGTACCATATAGTCTGGACTTCCCGCTTTGAGAGTGCCGTATACCATTCCTCTTTCTCGTCGTATACATTCCGTATAGTCATCTGTTGAACGCATCACTAATGCCTATCATGTCGCCTCATGTCATCACTGCTTTTCAGCAGTATCTCAGATGGGATAACGATATCAAAAGACATATCGATGCGAAGACTCGGGCACGAACATCCTCCATCACACGAAGCGGTCACAGTGCCTCTACAGAATGGCAAGAACAGATTATGTGGCGACCAGGTCATGTCAGGAGGAACTCAGCGGGAAGTGAGCGTTCAATGTAAGGCCGCAAGTATGGGTCTGGGTTGAGAGGTATGTCTTTCACCTTCACTTCACGAATTCGAAGACACAAGCAGCATGCTTCACCTATCGCTTTCACCATCACCACTCATGGAAACTGAAGCCATGAGAAAGCTTTTCTCATGCGAAGTTTCTCTTGCTCAACCTCACCCTCGCAATACAATCTCTGCGGATATTGTACAGCACACCATACTAATAATTACACCTAGGAATCGCTCGCGAATTCCTTCAACATGACCAACCAGGGCAGCTACAAACGCCCAGCCAACGACAAGATCAACTACCATCCCACTCTCGGGGAGGTCGTCACCAAGTTCCCCGCGTACGCCAGCTACGTCAAAAAGCCTGTTGCCGACTACAAGCCCTTTGAGATCAGTCCTTCGGCCCAAGATGATACCCCTCTGGAGCCTACCGACGAAGACCCATACCACGTGGTCGCCTACATCCACCCCCGAAGAGGTCAAACTCGAGTTCAACCCACCACTTGTAAACTACACGGAGCTCAGGGGCGGCCCCCCAATCGGCTATGTTTGGATCCCACCGAGCTCTCCTGAGCTAATGCCGCGCGAAGCAATTCCCGAGCGGGATTTCGCTTTCGCCACTCCGCTGAGGCTGGCGAGTAGCATGGGTTCTACCAAGAAGCGCAAGAAGACTGTTACTTTCGACCTCAGCCCCCAGAAGAAGCGCAAGCGAGATACTACCGCTGAGTACCAGGTGCGCTTCACCAGTCCGCTGTCGGAGGATCTGTCGAATGCGCCTGATGGTCTGCTGACGCCTGAGCGGAGGGAGCTTGTACTACGCCGTCGCTAGTGGGTGGGAGAAGGGAGTTGGGCGGATACTGGTAGACGAGATTGAGTGGTAGACAGAGCAGAGGAGAGACTACTACGTTTAGGGGTTTGTTTGGTACCAGGGCTATAGCTGCTTCTTCCCATTTGCCTTCAATGCCATACCCTTTTGTCTCTTCACACCCATCAATCCTTCCAATATGCTGACCCACATCTGAACCAACATGATGACGATCCTCACAACCTGATCCTTCCACTCCAGAACTGGTTTCCTTCCCCTCATGAATTTGGCATCTATTACTTCCCATCCAGCATCGCCACCCAAAGCCTCTCCTACCTGCAATCCACTCCGGCATCCGTCTTCGTGAAAACCATATCCTGTCCATGCGCCTGCGTACCAGATGCCTTGCTTTCCTTGGATCTCGTGGAGACGGTCTTGCGCAAATACCATGCGGGAATTGTATAGTGGGTGTCGGTATTGGTATGTTGCCTGGGTCAGGGCAGGAGAGGGAGGATGTGGTGGGTTGAGAGTGACAAGGACGTTCTTGTAGATGTCACGCGGGATGTGCTGTAGAGTGTTCATGTCGTAGGTTAGGCACACGGTCTGTAGGGCGCCAGAAGAAGTAGTCAGGTTGGCGGATGATGGTGTTTTCTGCTTGGAGGTGGTGAGGTAGTTCCATGCGGACCATGCTGTGCGTCGTTGAGGCATGAGCTGAGCGTTGTTAGCAATGGCTGAGTGGATCCATTATATCTAGGACTCACCGAAAGATCGGAATGCAGATATGCTGTGTTTGGTGTGGTTTCGAATGCATCCAGAATATCCTTCTCCGTCGCTGTCGCCTCGTCGCCTAACGTCCACCTCGCCTGGTCTCCATGACACGCAAGCACTACTTCGTCAAAAGCCTCCGTCTGGCCTTCTCCTCTTCCACCTAGCTTCAATTCAACTTTACCGCCTTTCCTTGTCGCCGCTAGAACTGGCGTTCCAAGATGGCCCTCGCAGTTCCCAGCCAAATCCAGGACCGCATCTATGTATTTGCTGGACCCTCCTTCCACGGTCAACCAAGGTGGTCTCTCTGCTATGGTACTAAGTAGGTGGTGATTCCACATGAACCGTACCAACGTCAACGCTGGAAACTCCAAAGCGCATTTATCTGCGCCTGTACTCCATACGCACGCGGTCATTGGAATCAGGTAGTCATCTCTGAACGCATCCGAATACCCTTCTTTTTCGAGATACTCGCCGATGCTCATTTCCGTAGCGGCGACAGCTGCAGGCGAGCCTGGTGGTATGGCGAGAAGATCCAAGGCAAACTGATTGAACCGGATGATGTCAAATATCATGCGCCAGAAAGAGAGCTTGAGCGCATTCGAAGGCTGCGCGAAGAGCGAGCCACCCGACGTGCCAGACCATTCAAAAGCACCAGCATCGCGAGATATGCCAAAAGTCATCTCTGAAGCGACGGTCTTGACACGCAACGCTGAGAGGAATTTGATGAAGTTTGCTGGACGCTCGTTAGACATGGGACTATGGAGGCATGTGATTTTGATAGGGAACGCACGGTATGTAGCGGTATTGAGGACGATGAAGCCCGTATCCACAGGCGTGCTCTTGCCATTGTGTGTCCACGTCACTGTGTTGGTATGGCCACCAAGACGTTCCTCTTTCTCGAAAAGATGCACTTCATGCTGGGTGTTGCGAAGTGCATAGAGGGCGCTCAGGCCAGATATGCCACTGCCGACGATGGCTATGCGCTTCTTCTCTATTTTTCCGGACATGATCAACTAGCGCGTAATTATGGCGAGGATACTAACAGCCAGGTACACGGTTGGAGTTGACGCACCAAAGTGACGAAAGAAATTGAGCAAAGGAAAGCTGCTGCTGCAAAGATGCGAGTCATGATGTCATCGATTTGAAGCGGATGCCGTTTCAGTTGGCGCATGACTAGTGTCGAAGGAAAGTACATACGCTCGAAATGCAGGCATTGTAGGTATCGCGAACTCTCAGCTGTGTGTTCTGAACACAGGAAGAGGTCCGCGGCATTATACAGTCAGTTGGCCATGCGTTCGAGACCCGCTCTCTTGTGGACACCGCAGACCAGGACCCATGGCATTATTAGCATTATTGTGGAGTCGACTTTGCATCTTCGCATTGCTACCGTGTGGAATACATGAGACAGTCAGGAACTATACGACGCGGCTGATATATATGCAGGTGGCTGTCGAGGGGCCAGAGCAACACATACGTAATTCCAACCTCGGCATCGACGACGTTCGTGTTGAATAATGCGTTGTGCGAGCAAGCCATCAGAGGACGTACCTCCGTCGTATCAAAGCATTAGTGGGGATGTGAAAGCAACAAAGGATCTTAGGTGGCCCTGCCGCTTGAGGTTCCCCAGATCCAGAAAGGTAGTGGCACACGTGACACGGCAGGGATGACCTTGGCAAGTGCGTAATGCGCCTCATGAGCTCCGGACTCCAGGCTCGACGTTGCATTCACGAACACATCCAACCAGGCCGCCATTCACACTCCAAGGACGATAGCCATCCCTATATACCGAATCCGGCACTGCGCAATCCAGACTTCACCGCCACCATGTCCAACCTTATCGACGCCGATGCAGGCACCGAGCGCTTCAGCGGCTACGAAGCCGAGTTGAAGCTGGTACAGGCCGACCTGAGCCAGCAAATAGAGCAGATCAAAGAAACCAGCGGAGAGCCCAGGAAAGCCGCCATCAGCAGAGCAGAGCGCGCGCTGGAGGAAGCCGAAGAGCTGGTGAGTAGCCGCCTAAGCACACATGTCGCGTATGCGACAACGGCCACCACCACCACAACACCAGCACCATGTACAAGACCGCGCTGCTTACCCACCCGCCCAACAGATCGGCCAAATGCGCCTGGAAAAGTCCAACATCCCCGCCAACCTCAAGTCGAAATACAACGCGCGCTTCCGCAACTTCGAACACGACCTCGACACGCACAAGCGCAAGCTAGAAGCCTACACGACGGACAAGGCCAAGCTCTTCGGCGACCGCTACACCGACAACCCCGAAGGCGGCGATGCGCAGCTCGAGCAGCGCCAGCAACTCCTCTCGGGAACCGATCGCCTGAACAGGTCGAGTGGCCGGCTAAGGGAGAGCCAGCGCATCGCGCTCGAGACGGAGCAGATTGGTGCGGGTACACTGAGCGATCTTCATAGGCAGAGGGAGCAGATTACGAATACGAGGGAGAGGCTGCTGGAGAGTGAGAGTTATACTGATCGGAGTATTAAGACGTTGAGGGGTATGGCGAGACGGTATGTTTTCCCGCTTCTTCCTTCGCATCTATCATGCAAGCTCCGGTTGATGTGGAGTCTAGATGGATGCCCTTTTGATCTTCGCAAGAGGGTGTGCTAACAAGGTTTCGTGCAGGATGGCTACGAACCGCATCATCACGATTGCTATCATCACTGTCTTGGTGCTGCTTATCATTGCTGTCATTTATAGCAAGTTCAGATGATTGGTCCGACGCTCGAGATGCGTTTCTGTTTGGCGTTCTGGAGCATACTATATTGTACAGATGGATATTCTTGGGTTAAGGTTTAGATATCGAATGGCATCCACAACGGTCGTTTCAGGGAGCAGCATTCTGCCACATTTACAAGCCACATCCTCTGATTATTGAAGCACATGCATTTAACGTCTTTGTACTTTGATATTGATCTTCTAAGACATGTGGTTTCTATTATCTGGGTATTACATTATCTAATGTCTTTTGCTTCCGAGCTCCCCGTACCATGACCGCGACTGTATGCAGAATAGAACGTAGATGAAGATGATGTTACAATGAAGTCAGAGACCAGTGATTAGGCATTACATAATTTGAGAGTGAGAGAGTATGACAGGAATAGCTCTGGAGAAAGAATGGCTGATGTAAAAATGTAAGACAGCATAGCATGTCTGAAGCGAGCATAAAGTAACATGCGCGATGCGGAAGATGCACGTGTGAAGTGTAGACAAACGTATATCGTGCTTGGCTTTCGTCCAGCGTGGTGTCGCAAGGGTATACTAAGTAAGGGGCCGTATGCTTTGTAAGCACGGCTTCTATGGGGCTGATACCCGCATCCGACGTGGCCGTTGTATCTTCCCAGTGGCAGGGTACGTCCGTCGTGGTGATCATCGGTGGTGCGATGGTGGAATGAGCGTGATGATGACATCTCGTGGTCAAGAGTGACTTTGACGCTGTCAGCGTTGAGACCGCCGCATTGGCCGGACTGCGGCGAGCCTGATTTAGACCATTGGGGCGACATGAGTCGTGTCTTTATGGCAGCATTAAAGACGTGCCCTGTGGCGTTTTGTGTGGGTAACGAGCGTGTCATTTAGGTGTGATATATCATGGGTTTTTCTGTCAGGCGATAGGATCATCTGGGGTGGCGTTCAGTCTGCGGTTCCAACGGGAAAAGGCGTAAGAGGTAGCTGTTTGTCTTGTCCCGGCACAGGCGTCCGTGGTGGTAGTGGTGATGGCGTCCGCTGACTGCTTGGTTGCCGGGCATTGGGACCCAGTGCCAACGGTGAAACGGTTCGTAGAGGGGCGGGGAATGGTGGGCTGAAGGGTGTGACAGGCGACATGCGAAGAGGATCAATGCTCCCTTGGAAACGTGTAGCAGACCGTCCTCGGGGAGTGCTTTGTGTGCTTTGTCCAGAACTAGTGCTTGCGTTGCGGGAGTGGTTGTTGTAGCTGTGCATGCGGATTGTGGTCGGGCGGCTGTTCGTAATGGAGAAACGACCGCTTGCGGTCCGGGAGAGCGTCGCTGGAAGTGGCTGAAGGGGCATGATGTCGCTTTGGACTGAATCTGCCCGCGGCGGAGTGTATGTCTTGAGCTTGATGGCCTGCGAGGTGTTTGTCCGCGACGATGACCGCGTGCTGGGTCTCGTCAATGTGGTCGCAGTATTGGGCCGAATGATAGTATTTCTGGCCGTGTTGGGTGCTGTTCTCGTAGTGGCGGTAGGAGGACGAGTCATGGTTGTTCGTGATGTGTTGGGCCTAGTCCTTGTAGTTGCGGTAGTAGGCCGGACGCTCGCTCGCGGGCCAGTTCCAGGCTTTTGGCGCTCGATATCGAAGGCTCGCTTGTCCGTGTATTGTGTTGCTGTCGAGAAGTAATGCGGTGCTATCAGAGCGAAGAGCGGTCGCATAGCTGGTAGACATGCACAGATGATTCCAACATTCACCTCCACCGCAGATAGTGTTGCGTGATCTTTGTTGTCAAATGAGACATCGGTCGAGTTGGCGATATCATCCAAGGTATACAGTCGGATGATGGAGACCATGGTACCGCTGTTGGTCGGTTAGCATTGGTGATACCCGGAACTGCCTAAGTTGCCCTACCTAGCGCCCAACACGAACATGCCCACTAAGCCTTCCTTCTGTGATTTGGGTATCTGGAGGGCCCGAACGATGGATAATGGCATAAGGAAGATGACTACGTCTTGCGCAATGTTGACACCAGCATTTGTAACCCATATGACGAGCTGGTTCATGCAGCGTCCGTTCCCGATGGACTTGTCCCATGCAAAGGCGACAGGACTGCAGATGAACACACTCGAGAAGGTCGCCCAGCCTCCGTAGGTTAGGACAACACCCAAGACAGCGAAGCATGCTATGCGGAAGTTTCGTACGGGAAAGATGCGGAGATACTGTACAAGAATGGATATCTTTGTCACAGTGAGTGTGAGGTTGTAGACCCAGACACTCGCCCAGAATGACTGTGTGATTGTTAGTCGCAATACAGATAAGCGATGAAAGGTAGAAGCCCCTCGGTACGTATAGGTGAGGCATCTGCATCACTCCATATCTTGACGACCGTAAGATGTGCTGTAGTCAGGCACCTCATAACAAATGAGCCTGGATAACCAAGTATACCGCTGGACAATAATAGCTTTTCTGGACTTACAATTTGCAGTCTATCTAGCTTGTCGTCTTCTATTCGCGCACTGTGCTCTCCAAGGCCATTCATTACTTGCTCTGCCGTCAGCACAGCAAGTGCGATGGAAAGAACCTGCCAGTCGTCAGCGAAAGATGTACGCTGTGCAATCAGCTTCACTTACCATAGCAAATACGATGCATGCATCTTCAGGCCCAGCTCCCCTGGAAATCACCAGTCGCGTAAAAAGTCGTAGAAACACCACCAAGCCAGAAACAAGTGTGAAAGCAAGTACAATGATATTAACCCGGGTACCAGCGGGCGTGATGCTACTCGTATCCATGTTGACCGTATTATTAGAAAGACGAGTGCGTAGAACAGGACATGTAAGGGAGTCGGAGCGGTAGACCTGCGAAGATGCGCATGGTTCAAGCAGTCATAATAGCTGATGCGGAGAAGGTGGTAATTGGGATATTCAAAAGCTGATCGGGATAGGAGATGCGGTGCGAGGTCGGTACCGCAGTACAAAGTTGAACAACAGCCAGTGCTAGAAAGATGGCTCGGTGTATTTCAAGAAGAAAAAGCGCTCATTGGTAAGGAAAGTCGGACGACGACAACCCCCGGGGACTTGAGTGATACGCAGGTTCCCGACGTTCATGCTGCATTTGGAAGCGCGAAGGGGACCAATATCGACAAGACTCTCCACACCATGGGCACGTTCCTGCAAAAACGACCGTCTCATACGTACGATAGTCACGGTCCGCAGATCGCGTGGTGCACTGGCCTAATGCTGCCTTGTGGCGACTGGCGAGGCTCCAGGTTTGGTAGCAAAAAGGCAGAAATAGTCGAGGAAGGGGGTATAATGTCGCAACTATACCCCTAGGGCCAACTCGTGGCAGCCACGGTTAACAAGTCACCGGTTTAGGTTAGCTTTGAGGTTGCATGGCTGAGGCCAGGGCGCAGCGGAACTGTTGATGTCGCATGTCAATAACTAGATGCCGCTTTTGACAGTTCTGTTTGGAAGCAAAAGGGCTGTCTGAACAATGTCGAGCCGCTGCGACAATGTCATGTGGCGTGTGGTGGACGAGTCTGTCGCGCGCGAACATTGTGTGAGGGGCTGTGGTTGGCCCATTAAGCCCGTGTACCTGCATGTCGTGTGCTCGAAGTGTAGCAGCTCGGATGGTATGGCGCAAGACTAATGACCCTGCTGCAGATCTAGCCGAACGCAGACCGTGCACCGAAACCTTGGGGACTATCTTACGGGTCTGAAACGAACCTAAGACTATCGGCGCGCTCTCCACCATATAACGTTTTCTCCAGGCATTTCGTGGCTTTCTCACACAAATCTTGGTAGATTTGATGAGAACAGAGTTGATTGATAGGAACTAACCTTGTTTTGGCACACCGATAAGGCCCGCATCATGCCGCTAACGGTGGAATTCGAGATCTCGTCCTTCTTTCCGACTAGGGAGCGACCGCGGCTGATTCCCGACTGCTCGAATTTACGTCCGAGTCACACGTGGTGTAGGGTTCGGTACATGCCGGCCTCAGACGCAGGTTGGGTCGGATTGCGCACTCTGTTCGTTTACAACCTTCTCTGCATCTTCTGACAATAGCGTGTCGTTTCCGACGCTTATGACTCAGAATGCGTTGAGCGAGAACAATGCCAATATCGATGTGACCAGACTCGCAAGCGAATGCATAGCCAAATCTCCTTATGACGAAGCAACTTTACGAAGCTCCAGCCTCGTCTATAGTCATGGCCGGCCTTAAAGTTTGTGCGTTGTCTCTCTCTAGGCGGCGGGACGCCTGGGGTGTGCCAATGAAGTTTCCCTAGGACAGCATTGCCGAGGGTTAGACCAGTAACGCAGTTACTGACAGTTGTTGTATTGAATAGTGCCGCTGGTCTTGTTGTCTCGAGGATGACCGTTATTGGTTTGATCTACCGGAGTGGCCCTTTCCCTTGGTCGTGTCAAACGCAGTCTTTGGAATCAGCGACAAATCCATCCATGTCGAAATGGACTGCATATATTTCATGCATAGCCAAAAGAGAGCTGTCGCAGGAGCCAAGAAGCATTTTTGCCTGGGAACGAAAGCAACGTTGATGCGTCTCATGCGACCTGCTGAAAGGCATAGTGACTTGAATGGGGACAATGTTGTCGGCGATCCAACGCGCACGGCATGGATCTACCAAGTAGATCCAAGGGGAGCTCGGTGCTTTACGCGGGGGTCCAGGGGATATAGTGGAGAGCCGTCTGGGAGATCATCATGTGGTAGCATCGAGGGATGCGACACGTAATTTATACTTTTCGGCACCAAGCGCGAAGCGAAAGCAAAGCCGATCACATACCGACAGTAGGCACCCGTAGACTGCATCGTCCTAAACAACGCTGATCTACGCCTTCATCGTGTGCACTGTATGAGTGCAAACAAGCACCGTGCGAAAGAGACACAGCAGTAAGTTCGTAGATGAGGAGCGGCCAACCTCTTCAAAGGCGACGAGCGGCGAGCGCTTGTGACGTACAGAAAGCTGCGAGATATGGCGTGAAGCAACAAACGTCGGATTGTTTAACGTGTGGTGCTGAACATAGCGCTGCATTTGCGATGGGCGAGAGTGCGCTACTCGTGAGGCTGCAGAGAAGGCGTGTGTAAGTCGTAATGCCACTTAGATAACGGCAGGTCGACGGCGGCGTGCGGTGTAGGAGCGACCAGGTAGAGAGGTCAGGAAAGTCGCGGGGTTCATCGTTGAGGGTCTGATTAACTCTTCTTCAATCAAGTGGCAAGCCACAAAGATCAACGAAAAGCAGCGCAAAGCTAGCATTAGGTGTCAAAAATTCCCAGCCGATCCGAAGACCAACTGGAGCGGTCATAGTTGTAGTTTTCAACTAGCAAAAACGCTACCTCGGACGAATCCTCACTGGTAAGCGTAAAGCCCGAGCACTTGGATGCAGAAGAGAAAGGAGGACGAGGGGCCGCGGGTTTATATACTGGCGAGGGACGCGCTAGCACCTTGGCGCGCTAGCGTCATGTGATTGTGCACGGCCGCGCAGTAGCGGGCGAACTCCGGCGGAGGGTCTCTCACCCAATGGCACGAGCAGGCGCAACTAGGCAGCAGGTCACGGTTTTCACCCAGCGTAATGTCTGCCTCCTGGTCCGGCAAAGATGACCGAACAGCGACAAATTCACGGTCGAGCATTGAAGACGCTACCTACATCTGCGTCACTCTACTTGAAAGCCCACAAATACTTGCTGCCGTACGATCCTGTGCATGGGCCGGCACGCAGTACCCACTCTACGCTTGCAAGACTTTTTGGCCTGCCAAACTTGGGCATCAGAAATGCAAGAGCAGCGCCATGATTACGTGCGATGTGCGCGCATTGCTTCGGGCAGCAAGTACTGCGTTGGAACAGCTTCTGTGCGTACAAGACGAGTCGTTGTGCAATGACCGAGGTGTCGCAAGTGCAGAGTCGCGCCATTGGCGATGCAAGACTTGGGCACAAACCCTCGTCTACCTGACTCTTCTACCAGAGTTGTCGTCTTCTACATCACAAGCTAGCTTTCTGTGTTCGATTCAAGATGCTCTGAAGAACGGAGTTCGAGTTGGAGCAGCTGTCCGGGACTCGTGCGACGCGCAGCGCACCTTCCTCACTGTCACCACTACGCTTTCAATGGGCGGATGCACCGCACTGGCGTCTTTAGTTGTCCTTCGAAGTACTCGCATCCATGGCCATATTATGTATCAGATAGCAAATACGTCACTAGGAATTGCAATTAAGGACTGCATGAGGCCCCAAGAGGAAGTCTGCCCATGTGTGGTTATGCGCGTCCGAGTCATAGTATCACCAAAGGATTCGTGATTGCGTCGGGAGTGGTTTCCGCGTAACTGCCGGCTGCAGTATCAACTAATGTAGGGCAAGCTTGTACGTTGCGAGGCTTTGTTGTACTCTCCGCTGTGACCAACACTCGCCAACGCCAGGCTGAGGGCGGACCCATCTTCCCTCCTCGATTCGGAGCCCAATACCGCCCATGTTCGAATCGAAGCTTCGCTTGGGGAGACACATGAGGGTTTCAATGTAGGATTAAATACCTGTATGTGCTTACTTATCTACGCTGTCCTGTCCGCGCCTGCCTCCTGCGTACGTGTTTACTTCGCATCACGTCGGATCAGCCATCGCTACTAACGATGCAACAGCTCATCGACGGATCTCACAATCAACCGCCTTCTTTACACGACTTCATCTTCTCTGCATCCGCCAGCACTCCTTGCTGCTTGAAGGTATGGCTAGACCGCGGGAGGCATCATCTCACCTCATCATGTGGTAACTATCGTCAAACATGGAAGCCTCAGGGTGGAAAGAGGTACCCTGAGCGCCTGCACTATTGTAGCCTGCCTGAGTATAAGATCCAGGTATCGATCCTGATGCTTGGCCCATAGTGTCGGATTGCGCCGATGAATTCGGCGACGGGCCTGCACGAGTGTTGGAGGTCGACGATCGCACCACCGAAGGCTCCTTCCGCTTCCATAAATTCGATATATCGACGTCGTACCGTCTCGCCAGATCCTCGAAGCAGCCAATAGCCACACGGTGCGCGCGCTCTGCCACGGGTCCCTTCATCATCTGCAGCCATCGGATCGCCTTTCTTGTACAATGAATCATCATTGTAGGCTCACACGATGTCGATGTTGGGTATGAAAGACCGAGAAGACAGATGGAGATAGCTTGCATCATGTGATGCACGAGACACCACCAGGGACACTGCTCATACATCTGAGGATTGTATTCCTCGGGAAGAGAAGCGACGATTGTTCTGGCAGCTTCGATGCAGCTGTCCGCCATGCGCCTCGAGAAAGTTGCGTCATTCGAATCCTTCCACGGTTGTCGCCGTGCAGTCAAGGACGGCCGCGTGAGCAAGATCCGCGCGGTGCAAAGCTGGAATCGGAGAAGCATGCGTTCCCGGGCGAACATGTCATGCGGTTCACGCAACCCTTCATGCGACCTAAACTCTGGCGGCAATGAGGAGCTCCACTGGTCGAGCCGCTGGCTCAGAAAATGGGTATCCTGTTGGATCTCGCTTGGCGTCCGGATCATTGTACCCGCGGAGTAAAGAGATGTGAGAATATTTTGGGATATAATGGATAGCTGAACGACAGCTCTGAAGTAAGAGCCCGAGTTGGCATCTGTTGTCCGAGACCCTATCGCCATTGAGGGAGGGTTCGCGCCGACGTTTGAAGAAGCGGAAAATGTGGGCGAGTCTGACAATGGTGCAGTCATCATACCTATGCCGTGTGTTGTCTCCGCTTCTCCTGGCAGTTCCTCTCTTGGTATTGTCATTGGCAGTGGTACCGAACAGCACGAGTCCACAATGATGCTGGGCCGACCAGTAATGATACTGAGGATTCTTTCGAGTGAGTACAGACTCCACCACGTTTGTACCAACGTCTCGCGTTTTGACGCGTTTGCAGAGGGGTCCTCGTTCCGTACATGGAGGCCGAGAGAGTAGGCTGATCGCAAAGCCATGCCAACAAGCGTCCACGCCCTGGATTGATTAGCAAGCCTGCCTTCGGGACTAACCCCACGTCCGGATTGTGACTTACCGACTGACCTGTCCAACGCTTAACCAATAGAATGCAAGAAGACCCAAGCCTTGGATTTGCGGCACATCAGGATGTGTGGTCAGGGAAGTTTCATTCAACCCAAAAGCTCTTGCTCTTGCGTGGAACATATTCGCGTCGCCCTCTGGCCAGTCTTTGTTATAAAGGTACGAGTAGTTGGCGCCGATAGCGAACACGAGATTCAAGATCGCCTGCCATTTGGGATTCAGACGCGGTGCCTTTCCCTCACGGAGCGCCGCAAAGTACACACGAGTCTGTTTGACGAAATTGCGCGGTAGGATAGGGAAAGAGTCGTGCACTCTGAGCATGTAGCATTGCACCAGATGCTCGGCAAAATCGGGTCGCGGCAGTTCATACGGATCCACGTAAAAGTTGACACTCACGTCATCGCAATCGGCCCAGAAGCTGAATGAGCTTACTTGCTCGTTGCTGAAAACAATCGAAGGACGGCGTTGAGACCTCGATCCGGACCACTCCCCGTCTATTCTTTCTTGTTGGGCAAGAGCTACTGCACGCAACCATTGTACTTCTGAGCTCTTCCCAATGAATCCCGTTGATCGGGCTTCATCGGTACTGTGCAAGTCTTCGTCCAGCAGGTCCAGTGCCTCAGTCTCAAGATGCTCAAGGTGGTCGAAACCGCTCATCTCTCCGCTGCCTTGTGAACCATGACTGTCGACGTCTGGTTGTGAGGGGATTGGGGTCGGAGTGCGCCTCTGTTCGGACAGGTCTTCATCCATCTAACCCATGTCAGCATTCTAGTCTTATCCTTCTGCGTCTTATGCTTAAGATCTTTTGGGACCAAACTCACATCTTCCAGAATGTCGGCAATCCGTTCCCCATCTTCGGCGCTTACCCGGTCCCTTAACTGCGTCAGGAAGTCCGTTAATTGGTGGCATTGTTCGGTCACGCTTGAAATGTCAGCAGTGCGAACAGAATTTCCGAGGGAGACTGGACAGACATTTTCAACCGATCTTTCCGGGGCAAGATGTAGACGCATTCGCGATTCGTGGTCGCACAATGCTTGCATCTTGGCTTCTCACCCGTGCATTTGATCTTGTGGGAACGACACTAGATGTTGCCGCTGTCAGAAGCCGTGCCAAATTCAAAGAATGCTGGCTTATCGGAGAGCCTATCGGTTGAGATTCCTGCTTTTACCAGGACTTGTATAAATCAAGCACCGGTCATCGGCACAAAATTTTTGTACGCGATTCAGACTTACACCAGTACAGGCGCGTGGGACTCGACGCCTATCCTTCAATCCACTTTGCCTTTGCTCGACTCTTTGCAGCCGTGGAATCGCAACTTTCTGTTGCCCGAACGAAGGAGAGCCATAGTTTCCTTTGTAATGATGCTCTGGGATGTTCGATGCCATGATCCAGGGTAGTGTACCATGGATCGACGTGGGATGTTGTTCGAAAGACCGAACGTAATTCCAAAACAGAAGAAGACGACGCGGCAACGGAGCGAGTAATGTGAGAACCTCAGACTACGGCGGCTACCCGAGATCAACTTCGTCCGCATTGAGGCTTCAAGTGAGCGACCACTGCCAATCCGGATGAGGACATGCAAGCCTACCCACTTGATCTCACATGTACCCTGAACTATACGCATACACGGTTACAGCTGGATGTCTGCTGAGCTAAGGTTTTGCGGTCCTTCGCAGTCTCTCGGGAATCCCGTCGGGATGCTTCACCGTAACCAATAAGCGCATGACTTTAGTCCCCAGCCCTTGTCCTCCGATCCCAATCATCAGAATTATTGCGGGTTGATGTCACTCTTTTCCTGTTATTGATTGTGTAAAGAACATCATCCAACGGTGATTTCTTCTATTCAACTTCATGAAAGATTTGCCACCCACACATTCTAGTCGCCAACTGTTTTCCCAACGATATGCTGCGCTGCTGCTTGTCAACCAGGATACCCATTCAGGATTTTGGCTTTCCAGGGCGTTGTGGGCGGACCACTCCGCATGCGGCCACCAACTTCTACAGTACCACCTCAGCCATAGACTAGGATTCTATATGATTATGGGAAAGTCGATCGACATGCAGAACTTAATGCCAAATCTTACATGCGGACTATTCGCCATTGCATGTACAACCAAGGCGGGAAATACATTTCCGGTATCTCTCATGAGACGATAGTAGTAGCTGGACCACGTAATGCTTGCTCAGCAATTGTGGGAGCATGAAAATCATACTCTCGTGGGTCCTAGCTGCCAGCCTCCAACCCTGCAGCACAACCGGTCGTGTCAGTGGTGTTGCGGGGCGGCTGACTCGATCAACAGAATCGCATGGCACCATTATTCTTGCTTTGAGTCTGGAACATAAACCAACGTGGAATTGAAAGACGAGTCGGCTCTGCGGCACAGTAATACCGGATAACGAGAAAGTATGTACTTGTCACTTACATATGCCGACCGTTGATCGTCAAGTTCGGGTCTGTCGCTCTTTACTCGAAATGACTAGCTACCCTGGTTAGCGCAACGAGTGTCAATCTAAAGAAGCACACCCTCTGCCCCGTTGTCATGTCAAGGAATTCGTATCGAGGAAACAACAGCTGCGTAGGCAAGCGCTAAGACGAATTCATCAATCTAGGGCTGCCACAGGGCCTTGTTGCGCATGGACTTCGCATAGAGTTGGTGTCGTGTCACCTGCACGGCGAAACAAGAACGTTGATGAATTGACTCGAGGCCTGCGTCTTGAGTATGAAACCTTATGAAAAGGCAAGTTGATGCATGACGTTAGGCAGGCTACACATCAGTGGCGTCCGCAGAATCGCCAACCAATGGAAAATTCGCCACGATCAGCCTTGCACGTGGGGTCCGTCTCTATAGATCCACCCACCCGCTTTAGGCACGTCGCAACGCGTCAAAGAGAATTCAAGCTTTGATCTGGAAGATTTATCGCATGATCGCAGTAACGCGATGGCCTCATGCTCCGTGTCGCTATGTCATGCTAAAAAATTTCCAATATATCAATGTGTTCAATACTCCACGGACAGGCATGGCACGTAGTTTTTAGTATTTGCGATCTAAACAGACGCCCTCCAATCAGTAGAAGCCCAATCTTACGACCCGTGCATATCGCTTAATTCTATACGTTAGATACGGTCTAACTCGGTCAGCAGATTCGCGCCGTTCCACAGAAGCACGATAAGACCTCAATCATGCATCGCAGGATCTTGTTCAGGATCTCGGTCTAGTCGGCCTCGGTCAGATCCAGAGATACAGACCTTGATGTTGCAATCCAGTTACGGCTAGCCTTTCGGCAACTGGCTTCCAAGGTTTCGGATGACAGCGTCTGCGCACTTACATTTGTCCGGACGCACATCCGCCGTTCCTCCCGCGCGGTAACTAATACACACAGATCTTGTGTCTTGCTGAAAATTCCTCATGCGACCAATTATGTCCAAGGCCGTGTGCTTTTAATTTGTCCACTGCGCGGTTTCCGGTCCGCTGCCTCCTACACTCAATCGTTTCTCAGCTTCCGGATTTCGCACCTGTCAATTACTCTGTCATTCAGAGCATCGTGGAAACGCAACGCATTCGATAAGTCAAGCATATGACATACGAGCCTAGAAACGAGTCAAGATAAGCTCTGGACACCATAGTCATCGGACGCCCCCCATTTCGAAATAGTTCAAAGACAATTGAGTGCACTATCCCCGCACATTCCTCAACAGAGCATTCGCGATTCAGTATTTACCATCGTTTTTAACCGTGCCTGGCAACGTTTATGGGTCAAACTGCTCTCATTCGGTGGAGCCATCGCATTCGCTTTTGGTGCTTGTGGAAGCGACTGCAAATCCTTGGTTGAGATGCAGCCACCGCATTGTATTAGTCTGTATCCAGGCTGTCACCGACACTAGTACGCAGCTCAGTTACGCTCATCACGGTAGGTGCAGAAAAGCAACATCTCAGCAGTAAAATCTCCATGCTATGATCTTGACGAAAACAGAAAACATTCCCCAAATCCGGCATTGCGCATGACGATTCACTTCCGCCAGTTGAAGGACCTAGCATGATACGGTAGCAGCCGCGATCGCTACCAGCGTGCAGAACAACCAGAAGTCTCATGGGTCCCACTGCACATTCTTCAGCTTAAGCCGCATGCCATTCCTCGGCTTACTAGCAATCGCACCACTTACGACAACCTTCTCTTCAGGATTTTCCAGTTCCAGGTCGAAACTCCCCACAAGCCCCCTCAGCTCGGCTCTTGCGAATCTCTCTCCTATAAAACTCCTCGGCCCATGCAAAAAAAGTGAGAAAGCTGTAGTTACTGCCGGCCCCACCGTTCATCGTCGCGCGCCCCATCTTGCTGTCGATCCAGCGCTCGGGTACGCACTCTTCGGAGTCAGGGCCCCACAGCTGCAGATTGCGGTTTATCGCCCATGGAGCGATCCATAGCATCGTACTTCCAGGTATGACTTGGCCACAGACTACCATGTCACGGATGGCGACGCGCGCTGTGATGGAGACTGGAGGGAAGAGGCGCAGGACTTCGTTGCAGACACAGTTGAGGTAGAGCATACTTTCCAAGAGGCTGGCGGCATCGGAGCTGGAATCTGAGAGAACTTTCGAATCAGGGGTACATTGCTGGATCTCGCAGCGAAGGCGGGTTTGGATGGCTGGGTGCTGAGCCAGCATGTATGACGCCCATGTCAGGGCAGATGACGTGCTTTCGTGACTGCATCGAGTAGCCTTGCGTGCGAGTACATTTTAAGGTGGGACTACTGACCCTGCGGCTAGTAAAGTGAGAAGTTGGTCTGCAAAATGATTGTCCGACAGCAGGTTGTCGCGGATCATGATCGACAAGATGTCACGACCCTCGACATCCTTACTTTCCATCTTCGCCTTCCGCTCCGCTACAATCTCCGAACATATCCTGCGCAAATTCCCCGTCGTGACCTTCACCCGCTCATGCAGTTTCCATGGTAGCATGCCGACCAACCATGGGGGTAGAACGATGTTGGCCGTATAATACGCCATCTTCTCCTTTGTCGGCTCCAGAATCTCCTCGTAGTTCTTTATCAAGTCGTCTTCACTGTTCCACAAAGACCCGGTATCTCGACCCATTCCAGCGAGACAGATGAGATCTAGCGTTACCCGCGATGTATAGCGGCAGATATTCAGTACGCCATCCGGTCGCCCACTGAGCTCCTGCCCAATCGCGCCGCAGAACTCCATCGACTTTGCGCAAAACACCGGATACAACTCTTTCACATTTCGGAAGTGAAATGCAGGCGCTAACCTCTTCCGCTGGAACCTGTGCTCCTCTCCTTCACTCAGCAACAGGCCCTCTCCCAGGAACCTCATCAGGAACCTTCTTGCTCGAGACGGTTTCTCGTAGTCATAGCTCTTATGTACCAGTACATCTGCCAGTGCCGCTGGCGTAGTCGGGATAAGTCTTGTACTGTGAAGAAACCCTCGCCGGAGGATGATGCCGTCATGAGGCACTGTCTTCATGGTTTGCAGATGCCAATCCCGGCCTGACTGACGCTTCTTCAATAGCAACCGTCCGTGGCCGAAGAGTGGAATGAAGCCTTTGGGTTGCGGCAGCTTGCGCAGTGGGCTGAGGAAGAAAGGACGGAGGACCATGTTGTAGAAGACCAGGACAGTGCTGTTCAGAATGGTAAAAGCGAGCCAGTACATAGTGAGAGAGGCATTCGGTAGGCATTCCGCAAGCAGATAGTGTGCGACAACTGCTTCGAGAGCCGGTAAGAGGATACAGTTCGCGCCGTTGAAACTCATGGTTGCGGTGCAAGAGCAAGAGACAGAGAAAGAGAAAGAAAGCACGTCAGGCAGTGTTGTAATTATATTGGATGTCTGATGATGCTGCCTCTACAAACGGATGTCTTTGTCTTCCACACCTGTAGTCATGTAGCGCATGAGATATCTCGAGCCACACACGTCATTGTCCCCGATTGGTTCATCTTCTACAGCCGGAGTCTATCACGCAGGTCCCTTAACCGCGTAGCAACGTCTATGTTATAAGATTAAACATAGAATATATCCAGGCGGAGGCGTAGCTATCACCTCGCTATTAACAAGCCTAAGCATCGGGCGTAAGAGGTAACACCCCAAGGTCGACATCGTTATCCAGGCTTATTGTTCCTGCAGGTGCATCACTCAGCGTCAGCCATGCCACCAACATGTGCAAACGACTGGAACGCGATTTCGGGAGGCCGAGAAGACAGCGGTTCCCTCTTATCACGCATCTCACTGTTACACCACACTCTTCCGTCCCCACTCCATCAACCCAACCTTCTCCTCCTCACCCACCAACTTCTTCGCCAAACCTTCCTTCCTATCCTTAGCATCCAACCCGGCACACATGAGCGCAAACTCACCAATCCACTGCTCTGCTTGGAGCGAATTCCGCGTCAACGCGTGATCATCTCTATCGAAAAGTTTCAGTTCCCTTATTCCCTATGTGGTGGATAGTGAGGTGTGACGAGGATACATTGTGCGTGTTAAAGTGTCGATATGGGCGAGGAAGCGTTTTGTGATGGACATGGGACGAGGTGTTGATCTTATGAATCAAATTACATTGCTACATCGCTGCAATGTAGTGTTTGCCACTTGCCATCTGTTGCCTCATGCTTCGTGAGGTATGATGTCACTTCAGAATCACACCACTCAAGTGAGACTGGGTTGCGACACTGTGAATATTATCGGCTTCTTCGATCGTTTTGCTCCGAGGATGATTTGTCTGAATGTCGCGTTGCTAGAACGAGGAAAGGGAGCATTGGAAGGGTATGGACTAAGTCCAAACGCGCTAGCTGATTGGGCCTTTGCTCTGTTCGTGTGACAGAGAGGCACAAGATCATGACGCATGTGAAGGCAAGAGAATGAACGCGCACGGAAGGCTCTTGGAAAGAGGGGAAATCTTACTAAGGACTACGATTATCTCCTATGCTGTAGTACTAGCGGAGCATTGCTCGTCGACCAATTGGCCAACCTCCATCAAACGCCATGTCATGCTGAGCTTTGAGCTCTCTTATCCTAAACGCCGCTTACTTTCTGGATATATAATCCATTGAACGCCGACCTGACCATATGACTCATGAAAATCGACCCGGGCGCCGAAATCCTATGCGCCCCTGTGCTCATATTGGTGTTTAAACACCTTCATTCCATCGTCACCTTTCTGTGGTCTCCAAGACCAGGGCCTCGGTACCTGACTCCAAATCATCTACACGACCTCCTCCGAGTTCCTCACTGCCTTCTCTACTTCTTGATGGATGTTGGGCAAGAACAGGCGAGTCCGCACCATCTGAGAAGTTACCGACGCTACTCTCGCGTACCCGTTGTGCAACACTGGCTGCGATCTTCTCATCCAGCATGGTTACTAACCGTTCGGAGTACTGGTCCAGTAATTTGACCATGACCGTCTCCTCAAAGGCCTTGGATTTTATTCTTTCTCCGATTGCCCTCGCGGTAGCCGCAAGCTCCCTTTCGACCTCTTTCGCTATCTCTGGGCTGATAGTATCGCTAGTGTTTGCAAGACGTTTCCTGTAGGCTCGCAGTGTCCTGCATAAACTTTCAGTCGACGCTCCAATCTTGCTAGCGTCGCTGACAGGTGCTTTCGTGCGACTTCTGGCGTCCATTGAGGCGCGGCGTTTGCCGAGTTGAGGGTTCTTAGGGCTAGGCGGCGATGGGGAACGGTTCTTGTTCTTGCGTATTGTACCTCCACCATTCCATGCTGTTATTCGGCCTTCGCGTGAACTTGTAGGCATAGGAGATGGATCCAATTTCGGCGTTGGGGCCAAGGAGAATTTTGATACTTTTTTGCGCAGCTTTGGTGACTTGCTCCCAGTGTTCGGAGGAGTCTCTTCCACGGGTGAGCGTTGGAAACGTGCTAATTCGGATTGTGAGAAAACGCGCCTGAGAGGTGGCTTGTTGGATAGCAGATCCTGGTTGGAAGGCGTATTTGGGGCGAGCAAGTCCATCGACTTTGATATGTCTTGACGATTAGGAGCTTGCAAAGCCAAAGCCCATGCAAATATAGTCCCGTCTACTGCTACTGTGACCAGTGACTTCTCGCCCAGCTCTTCACTCATCTGTCCAGGTGTTTCCACGAGCGCGATATCAGATACACCTTCTGTATGGCCCCAGTCACGAGCGACTAAAGAGCCGCTTTCATCGTAAACGCGTATCGACTTGTCGGTGCTTGACACACCAGCTATTAGTGGAGCACCCCAATTGCGTGGTATGTGGACCAGGGAAGATAGAACGACGGCGTCCCCACCATCAGTGTCGCATGCACGGAAGTTGCTGAGACTTTGACCTGTTCGAATGTCGAATTTGTGGACCTGACGGTCGATGGTTGACACAAGCAAGACATCATCCTGATCGACGTCCCAGGCTGACGACACTGGAGTTGCCTTTAACATAATGGCGCGTGACATGACAAAAGCGCGGGTCGTTCCACGAGCCTCCTCGAGTGACAACAGTTCGCGGACGACGAGACTTCGATCGCTGGAAGTCGAGACTAGACGAGTGCCATTTCGTGAAAAGGAAACCCCATTCACTGCTCCCACATGCTCGTCCAAAGTTTGCAGCAGGTCCCAGGTCTGGTCTAACCGGGTGAAGACTTGAACGGTGCGGTCTCGACTGGCGGACGCAACGAAAGTGATGTTTGACTCTTCGTGTATGGCAATGCTGGTGATTTCGCTGGCATGAGCCTTGAACTCTAATGTGCAAGTTTTGGTGTTGCAATTGATGAACCGCAAGACGCCGTACTTGTCTCCAGCGACAAGGAAAGCGCCATCAGCAGAGACGCGAACCGTCCTTAGCTCGTTCGGAACGGCCTCAGGATCCTCCAGCTGCTCAAGCTGTACTTGAAGTGAACCTTTACAGGATCCCTGACTCCAGAAGATGACAGTCCCATCAGCCGCCCATGTGTAGTATGAAGCCTCGAAAACGTTCGGTTGTTTCAGACCAGCGTGTACTCCCAACACAGCATGCCCGTGCGCAGGTAATGTGTGGATGACATTGCCGACGACGCCTTCGTCGTCTTCGGAGCACAGTTGTGACAGTCGAATCGCTCGGTGTGCATCGACAGTAATGAGATAATCTTTTAGACAAGCAATCACACCAATCTGACTGCTGTCCGTAACCGAGATGGATGGAGACTCTATGCGCGGTGGAGGCGAGGGCGGGGGAGTCAGTCTTCCGATCATCTCCTTTATGTTGAATGTTTTGAGCGCTCCTTGGCTACCGGCGATGTGGAGTCGTCCCTTGACGTCGACGGCTAAAGAGCTGACAGGAAAGCCAGCGTCTACTAGCCTCGAGAAGCGATGGTCGGATTCGGTATCGTCAATGAGACATATGTCTCCCTTGTCAGACGCCACGATGGCCTTGTTCCGGGCTATAGCGACGACGCTTGTGAATGTGGACTCCTTCAAACTTTCCAGGATGCAATTTCTTCCCGGCAATGTCTTGTGCGTTGAACCTGAGAGGAATGAGACGTCGCTCTGGCGCGCCTTGCTAATGCGCATTGTGGCGTTGAGGTCGTCGATCTTCCAGACCTTGACATGTCGGACACCGACAGTGACGAGCTTGTTTCCCATCCATGCCATCCGATTGATGTGGCTGACACACTTGTTGCTAGCATGTAGCGTGGCAGCCCCGGTGCGGGAGTTGATGTGCCATATGTATAAGAAGCCATCGTTGGCGGAGCCAAGGCTAGCCAGGAAGCGTGAGTCGGGACTGAAGGCTACGCAGTTGACGCCGAAGGTGTGATCCGAGAGAGACGTGAGGGGCGTGTCCGAAGGGGCGTCTGAAGAGGCGGAGAAGATAAGTACACGCGGTTTGTAGCCCGTCTGGAATAAGTTAGGATAACGCAGCATGGACTGGATGCATGTCTCACCTCTCCGACGGCAAAGAACTTCCCGTCAGGACTGAAGCTGACACAGGTTGCCGCCCTGATCTTCTCTTTCATGTTCCAAGCTCTGTTGCTCGGCGAGTCTGCCCAGTCGGGCGCACTGGGCGACGGGAGTGGTGAGCCCCCGAAGCCGGCGTCGCGCAACGAGACGGCGGTGCGGTTGCGGCTCTCATTTTGTGTCGGGGTGGATGGCCCGCCATAGATGGAGGCCGAGGGGTTGATGGGGTTGGTGGTCGGGCGTGCGCGGTAGAAGCGTTGGGTGACATGGCCTTGGTCGTCTATGCACGCAATGACAGCGGCAGCACCCGCCGTGTAGCCAAAGGTGCTGCCCGAGGGCAGGCTGTCAAACGCATTGGCCGAATTGGTCGTGGTGCCGATGACCTGGCGCAAGGCAAGGCTGGCTTCGGCGCGTCCAGCCTTGACGGGAGAGCGCGGGGTCGTCTTGAAGAATGGGGAGGGAGAGGGATTGAGCTTGATGCCGGACCCGATGACTGGGCTCATCATCCGGGGATTGGAGGGCGTAAGCGACATCGCGGCCTCCAGGTCAGTGGTGGAGGAGGTTTGCGATGGCTAGCAGACATCTCAGAAAGACGTCATGGCACTAGGCGCGCCTGCTTGCTGGGGGAGGGCGAGGTGAGGTGAATATCGCGTGGTTGGTAGGGATTCTCTCTTGCGACTGCGGAACGGGGACCCGGCCGCTATCAAAAAGGGACGTGAGTGCGCAATTGAGCGGGGTGAGTGCGGTCTAGAGTGATGACGGTGAAGGGGCAAAGAACCTGCAGCTTGAGCGGTCGTGCATCAGACGGCGACGCGCATCTGAGGGTGAATTGGCTCGACGGGGCCTTTGTTTGGGCGGTCACGACACGCAAGGAAGCGACGATCTGCGGCGCGAGGAACAGGCGGAGTGCAGCTCGCTAAACCCTATCACCATGCATCATCACAATCTCGTCCAGCCACGCCAATTTCCCCAGGCACTCCCGTCGACTTTGCGGCTTGCACAAACTGATGACATCGTGAGAGGCTCCAATATGCAGGGCTCATCGACGCAGGTGTCCGGCTGTTGTGCGACCCAGTCATGCATCTCCCAGCTATCCCTGGAGATACATGCACGTCGGACCAGTACCTGCACCGAGTGCTGCGACGTGGCAGAGTATACGTGTGTACACTCCGGTCAATAACAACTTCGCATAGCAACGAGCGAGGTTGAGCATATCCACATGCTCTAGTGTCCACACGCGGGCGGCGCAGTGGAGTATCTCGTTGGAAACGAACAAGTGCAGCATTCGAAAAGTGGGGCACATACATGTACAAGTCTCATCGGTGTACCACAAGATATCTTCAATTACGCTATCATGACAAGAGCAGGACGAAAGACCAAGTAGAAGCTTCGCGCACCATTCAACTGTACTAACATCCTTCACATAAACACGCCGACACACCAACAATTTGCTTCCCAAGTCCGACCGATACCCAACTTTTAAACTAACGAACCAGCTTCCACCCGTTCTTCTTCGCATCCAACCATCGAACGTTCAGGAGACAGAATAGCGAGATCGTCAACAAGGTTCCGGTATAAACAATCAACCTGACAAAGTCTCTGCCCTGCAAGTCTATATCGGCGACTCTCGACACCAACGCACCTGCTATCGGTGCGCTGATGACAAAACCGACTCCGCGTATACTGGTCATCATACCACTTTTGGGATAGTACATCTCGGAGCCAAACAGCATCTTCTGTGCCGAGTTGATGACGACGTTAAAGACGCCGTTGCTCAGCCCGTGGCAGACACTCATACCGATGTAGAGTCCCACGTTGCTCGTCATTGCGGCAGATAGCCAGAATGCCCACGTTGCGATAACGTACACCGCAGTGGCAACAACGAGCATATTCAGGTGTCCAATCTTGTCTGACAGCCAGCCGGTGCATAGTCTTCCCGGGATCCCTACTCCTGTGTTGATGGCCAAAAGATATGATCCATGGGTGATACCTGTTCCTATAGACTGGGCAAACTCAGGTCCAAACACCATGGGTATTGCCATCGTCAACGGATGTACTAGGTTTGCGACTGCGAGTGAAGCGAAAAGCGGATCCTTGAAGACCTTCCAACTGACTATATCGGTAGACCGCCTTTCGAACTTTCGGGGTGGGAGGGCGAGCGCACTAGAAATGGACAGGACTGCGAGGCTGAACATGGAGAGTATTCCTAATGTCCACCGGATACCGAGGGTCTCAAGTGACTCGGTCAGTGCGAAGACCCATACCGTGCTCCCTAGAGCCGCGCATGCAAACATGATACCCTGTGCGAGGCCGCTCCGCTGTGAGAAGTATTCCGGTAATATGGGCCCAAGAAGATAGATGTGAATGCCGGCTCCAAGGCCGACCAGGAGTCCCTGACACGCAACAAGTGTTGCTAGCTGCGTTCTAGTAAGCGACCGACGCGAGACCAGTTGGGAAGTTTTACTCACATTGTGGCTTCCTGCAGCAGCTGCGAATCCGATCGCAATCAAAGCCGTGCCTAGTCCGCACAGATATCTGACATGGCCTCCTAATTGGGGAAGATGCGGGTAATAGAGCACTCCAAAGGCGGCGAAGAGCCCTCCATTTCCTAACGACCCTATCGCCGAGATCAACGGGCGTTGAGATAGCTCCATCTGAAGAAGGACGCCTTCTATGGCAGACGCTTTTCGTCCGTAGTGTGCTTGGAACACTCCAAAGGCCTGGTTGAGGCCTACTAACGTAAAAGCCATCAGACAGGTCGAGGCCAGAATTCGGCACTGTTGCGTCCGTGTTACAAGGTCACCGGGATTCTCGGTATCTGGATGGGTGGATATGCTGGATTGTCTGGAGTGCGACTTCTCGTAGAGCGAGGGTCGGGCGCTGCCGACTGATGTCGAAGTCAGCTCACATCTGCGCAAATGATCGAAGGCGCCGAGCTTACCAGCTTGTTCAGCATCAGAGACGTTCATCTTTTCTATCGCAACAAAAGGTATCTGTGTATCAAGAGAGTAGAGAAGAGCGAGTACCGTCCTGCCATTCAAGAGCTGTATGTGAGAAGTCGGTTTTCCACTCTCCTATCCCTCGCGGAAATTATGTAGGCAAAACCATGCGCGAACTATGGTTCTGCTCATTGTTGAATTTTCCATTCGCTACTGTTCCGTGGTACTGCCCTATGTCATGTCCTATGAGGGATTTGCCCCATCTCTGGCACCTAGGCTGACCAACACTTGCCAGTTTCAAACTGTATTAGCAGGCTCAAGATTCGAGACTTCCGGTTGGTGAGATGCAGCGGAGTCAGGTCCCATTCGAAAGCATCCCAAACGCGTTGATAGACTGTAAGTGCCGCATCAGACGGACATGCAGTCCTGACCCACTTGCTCCATTGTGATATCCAAGTTCTATGGACCGTTGAACAGCATGAGCAAGCAGTTTTGGAATGCTGCATATAATCGGAGTTGGAGTCATTGTATTCTTCTAGCCTTGATGTCGACATGGAGGGCTCCGAGTGGTCTACCAAACTTTGTGGTCAATAAGAACGTTCCATTGCCGCGCACATACTGCTAGCTTGGCCAGAAGGCGGCAGCTCCCATAGTAACTATGTAGTCTGGGACTACGCAGCATGCTGCGTCGTTTGCACATGCGAACTCCTACAAGTCGATGTCTTTTCATGTGCTTATGCCGACTGCATCGCCTACGTCATAGGTTGCCAATCTGCATGTTGTGTTGACTGACCTATCTCTACATCAAGGAGGATATCAATCACTACCAAGGATAAACGGGGTAGTACTAGCATCGCCGTCACAATCAGATATATTGCGATGCGTTGGGGTAGGGAGATGGGCATAGGGCGGGAATAGCCGGCGCGTCTTGGGTGGACCCTTGTTGGGGGAATATCAAAGAAAGTTGACGATGGTTATCGCCATCAGACGCAGCGCCGCGCATCGCCTCAACCCCTCCGCAGCCTACGCCAACTCCTGTAGGCTCCCTTCCTCCCCAATTCTGGGAGCGCCTTCGACGTCCGTATGTACGTGATTCGGTCCGCACTGCGAGTGTCTACGAAACGACCTCCAGCGCGCTTTATCCACGGCCGCCGCTACCCTTCGACACCACGATTACGAGCATTCCATACCACACGCATCCTCGCCCAAGCCGCGAACCCACCGCCCGCGCCCAATAGCACCCCCGCCGACCAAGATGACGTCAGCAAGACGGACCGAGAGAAGGCAGCAGCAGCAGCAGCAGTGGAGGAGCCAGCCGACAGTGCGGTAGCATCAGAAGACCCAGAGGTTCTTGCACAGAAGCTGCAGCGATCGCGGGAAACCTCACGCAGGTACTCGGCTGCCTTGCGACGCCAACAGCGGGGGAAGAAGACGCAAGGACTGCCGCCTGTACACATACCCGACTGGTTTCTGAAGAAGAGGGTACTACGCCGCCAACAATATGTCGCAGACCCACGAGTAGCCAATGCGCCCACGGTGCTCTCTGTCGAAGTTGCTCATACTGAGTCCGGAGAGCATGCCGCGTGCACCATACCGGCTCCACGCGATTCAGACGCTACCCAGATCCTGTCGCGACTAGTGCGTGGTCTGTGGAACAGGCGCCTGGACGACCATGAGAAGCTCAAGGTCGAGAAGTATCTGGAAGAGCAGATTGCACCGATCGACCACGCGGAGACACACCAGTCACAACTTCAGAATGACGAAGCAGTCGCCAGCACCGAAGCAGGGCGCCCGGACGAAGTACCCATATCCACAATAACCGAAGACACTGCTTTCATGGACGCTTGGTCTAAGCTGAGCAAGATCCAAAACGACAAAGATATGGATCCGCGCCAGAAGATTGAGGCCATGAAGAAACAGAGTGTAAAATTGGGCATGGTTGCGAGGAAACGGGAAATCGCAAAGACTCGGCAGGCGGGCAACTCCAGACGCCTCTCGTCTTTGGTTGTTGCTGAGATTCGAGCGACTATGGCTGCGTCGCTTTCCTCGTTACAGCCGGCAGCTGGCGACTCGTTTCCCGTCACAAAGACAAACCTCAGCCTTCACTCACCCATGGCTGAACACGAGCCATTAATAGATGAATGCGTAACATCTACTGCTCTTGAAATGGGAGCTGATGTTGTTGTCCTGAAGGCTCAAGATCTTGCTCACCTTGCCGGGGATTACCTCGGCGAAGGAGCAGAGCCATCACCACGTTCGATACGCTCGCTGGGCTATGAAGCATATCGCATGAACACAGACCTCGGCGATCTTATGAGGGACATAGAAGACTCTATCGCTCAGGACGACTCCGATTGGAATCAGCCCTCGTCGACGGAGCAGCCCGATCCCAATTCAATGCGCCCCCGTGCTATACCCCTCTCCATAATCTCTCTAAAAGGCTCTCTTTCACCTGCCTTGCGCGCTATGACGCAGAGCTTGAAGGGCATGGGCCTCTCAGCAGGCGAATTCGGGACTGCTGATGCGACAGTCGACGAGTCTGGGCGCAGCCAGAATCCTGGGGACGTACAGCTTGAGGATCTGAAGTTAGCCACTCTCTTAGACGCACTCATTGATGCGGGTGACCTGAAGCAAAGCCGTGGTTTCGTCGACAAGTCACACTCTTCCCACTCGTCTGAAGAGTCTCAAACATCGTTAAAAGCTCCCGCCTTTTTCGACTACTCTCTGAAGCAAGAAGGTGCCGAGCTTGAACTCAACTCTGCCTTGCCGTCTCCCGCAAAGACAGACATCAGTATGACTGTTAAAGTTGGTTCAGCTGCGAGAACCCTCAACGCCCCGACAAAGTCTAAAGTCATCTACATCCCGGACTTCAAACAACTAAATGCTACGCATTATGGTGGCCGCATCGTTCAGAAGCTGGAAGAGCTTGTTCGCAAGCGCCGCAATGCTGGAGAAAGCGTCATGATTGTGGGAAGCACTTGTTCACGCGACCTCACGCCTGAACTATCCGCCAGGTAAGGAGTACCCACAACGTAGAAACGGCCAAGCTAACACACACTAGCGGAGTTCGTGCTCTTCAAAGCGAAGGCGAAAGCGGCTTCTTCAGGACCATTGTTGTCGCAGTAGACTCTGGTAGCAGTAGTACACCAAACTTCGACGAAGCTCTCGCATCGTTGGGTAGCAACTCTGTGTCGTCGATTGACCTTTCAACAGCAGAAAAAGATAAATTCCGACGCATCAATCTATGGCATATTCAAGACATGCTTCGCTCATTAGACCCAGCTGCGGCTGCCAATATCTCGAATTTGGAGCAAAGTCCTTTCCGGTTCGCCGAGTGGGCGCCTATATTCCATTCATCACAGTTCAACCGTGTGTTGAGTTACGATGAGGTACACAGGGTGGCATTGACAGCTCTCGGCCTGCTTATCACACGCCCAGCAAGCGAGGCAGCAGCCTCTGAGGACGCGCCGGCGCAAGTAAGCTGGGCACATGTTGCGCTTGCTATGGGCCTGCTAAAGGCGAGTGATACAGCTAAATACACCTCTTTCGAAAAGGCTGCGGCAGCGATCCCGAAACGCTCCAAAAACGCTTTTGGTAATCAAGAAGGGGGCTTTGAGGCGGATCTGGGCAGGAAACGTCCAGACGAGAAGAGCATGCAGCGTCAACGAAATTTGCAACGCATAGCATCTACAGCCAACAAACACGAAAAGCGACTCATGCCTGGTATCGCAGACCCGGATCAGATCAAAACTACCTTTGACCAAGTACATGTGCCCACCGAAACGGTAGACTCGATACGAACCATTACCTCATTATCACTACTACGTCCTGAGGCGTTCAGCTATGGTATTCTAGCGACGGAGAAGATATCTGGTGCCTTATTGTACGGACCTCCAGGCACAGGAAAAACGCTTCTGGCCAAGGCTGTAGCGAAGGAGAGTGGCAGTACGGTGCTCGAAGTTTCCGGTAGCCAAATCATGGACAAATATGTGGGCGAGGGTGAGAAGAATGTGGCAGCCATCTTCTCCCTAGCGAGAAAACTGTCCCCATGCATCGTCTTCCTCGACGAGGCAGATGCAGTCTTTGCGTCCCGAGACGCAATGCGCGAACGAACATCGCATCGCGACATACTCAACCAATTCTTGAAAGAGTGGGACGGCCTCAATGACCTTTCCGTATTTGTCATGGTAGCTACAAACCGGCCTTTCGATCTCGACGACGCTGTTATCCGCCGATTACCCAGACGATTGTTGGTAGATCTGCCTACTCAGGCCGACCGGAAAGAAATCCTACGCATACATCTCAAGGGCGAACAGCTTGATGACTCTGTCGATCTAGCAGACATCGCCAAGCGCACGCCGTTCTACAGCGGAAGCGATCTCAAGAATGTTGCCGTTTCTGCCGCCCTCGCATGCGTCAAGGAAGAGAATGAGCAAGCTGCCATTGCCGCTGCGAAGGCTTCTACAGAGTCTAAGTCTAGGCTCACATCTACCTCTGACTCGGATCTATCGGAATCTACGACCGCATCTACATCCACATCCACAACCTCTCCACCAATCCAACAAACTTCCTCCTCGCCATCATCACCACCAAAACCCCTACACCTTGTCCGCGGCCAAGACTACACATTCCCTGAAAAGCGGACCCTACACTCGCGCCACTTTGATAAGGCACTGCAGGAAATCAGCGCCAGTATCAGCGAAGACATGAGCAGTTTGAGTGCGATCAAGAAGTTTGACGAGCAATATGGTGATCGCAAGGGGAATAAGCGAAGGAAGGACTTTGGATTCGGGGTTATTGCTGAGAGGAACGAGAGTGCGGCAAGGGTGAGGATATAGAAGATATAGTAGGTAGGACATAAGGGGATAGATGGGTGTCAGGCACGAGGTTGAGAGTGGCAGGGAACGGTGCATGTACATGCTGTATGAGTAGATACCGATCATGAAGACGAAGAATGAGTACATATTACCCGACTATCCACAACCCTACGTTAACATCTCCTTAATCGTCTCTTCCAACCCCGTCGGCGTCCTCCCCGCCTCCTTCAGCAACGCCTCCAACGTACCATCATCAATCTCGCATTCCCCTTCTTTCAACGCATCATACGTACTGCTCCACCACTCCACACTCGGCCTCTCCATGCCCTTCTCGCTAACATAGTAATCCTCATACTCCTTCCTACTCACAACCTTGAGCTTAACCTCCTCGCCTCGTACTTTACTCACAATGCGCGCAATATCACTCAGCGAATGAGATTGCTTCTGCGACAGATAAAACGTCTTTCCAGCCCATTGCTCGCGCGGCGCCGCGAGTACTTTCGCCGTGGAAAACGCCATATCAGGTATACTCGTCCAACTCACCTTGCCGTCCCCGGCGACAATCACCTCCTTCCTTGTCTCCTCCTTTAGCCCAAAATAGTATCCGAAATATAACGGCCAACTCTCGTTATACAATCCTTCCCTGAGCACCGTATATGTGCACTTTTCTTCTTTCGCCAAGTCCGCGAGATATTTTTCCGTACGAATATGAGCCCGCATGACACCGGCTTTAGAGGGGTTCGCGAAAGCGAGCGAGGTGTAGTAGATGTGCTGCACGCCTGCTTGCAAGGCAGCGTCGATGGCGGCGCGGTGGTGCGCCTCGCGGCCGTGCCAGAGGGGCGCATTGTTGTAATCCATTTCTATGCGGGGCGTGGAAACGAGGAATAAGGATGAGCATCCTTTGTAGGCGGTAGCGAGGGAGGAGGGGTCATCGAAGTTGGCCTGCCGCAGGGTGATGGATTGGGCGCGGAGGGAGGAGAAGCGCTCGGAACTTGGGTCACTTGATGTCTGTGAGGGTTGTTAGTTACGAGGATTGGTAATTGGAGGGGATAGATGGGAAGAGAGAGACGTACGCATACTACAAGCTCCTTTGGGTCAATGAGCTTGTTGTCGAGAATGGCGTTCAGCACGGCGCCGCCGAGCTTGCCTGTCGCGCTGGTGAGGGCTAACATGTTGGTAGTCGTATGCGTGAGTATTTCTGCGAGACTTCGAATTTCATAAAGAGGTCTGATGTTGATCTTCTAGAAACGCGTCGTGATTAGAAATGTCACGTCGATGACTTCATTGCTAATCAGGGTCCACGGCAGTTGTGGTGGGGCACGTCGTAGGACATTCTCGAATTGGAACTCGGTGCGCAACCCTATAAAGTCGTCAGAATGAAAGCTATAGCTGCCGATCGTGGAGCTTGCCATAGCATGGACAGCGAATTGGTCGCGGGTCGCGAAGTCAATTTAGAGGGCATGGTTAGATGCCTGGCGTGCCGGGAACTTCGCGGTTCTGACCGCAGCTGATCCGCGCTTACTGGACATCAGATCAACAGCCATCGCGGGATCGTGTCGCTTATTCCAGAATTTCAGTCTTCGCATCGTTGCCAAAAGATCTGGCACTCTCTGCGCTGCCAATGACCGCTCAATATGTGATGATGCGAACCCAGGTGGTAATAGCAAGAGTGTGAGGATACTTCTGATCTTCATATGATGGTGATTGTCCGTGTCTGAAAGTAAGCATAGACAAGATCACTGTCAGCATCTTTCTTCCTCGTAACATGGTCCTCAAACAGCCCCACTCGACGATATATCCCTTCCGAAGCTTGTACGAGTAGCAATCCATAATAGGATACCTGTTTTCCATGCTGTGCCGCCCGCGCCAACCAGACTACCAAGACCGGGATGCTAGCGTCTTCGTCGCCGTCATACCAACCGGTTTCTCTAGCGTCTCGAGTAGCAACTACACGTCTCGGAGGGTCCGAAGGGAAGTCAAGCCACAGCTGATTGTAGTACCACGTCGTACGTAAGACGGGCGCCTCTAGCGTTAAAGACCCTGCATATACTTTGCCATATGTTGTACCTGGGGGCCACTGTCGGATGGCGACATTGGTTATTACGGCTGTTGTGTAGACTTCGGATTCGAGCTCCAGCTTCATAGAGTAGATGCTCCTGGACCCGTCTTGGTCCTGTTCACGGGAGGGTACATCGATGGCAGCCCAAGACCAGGATGGCGCACGATATACCGTCGGTCGTGGAAGTAGCTTATCTTTTATGGGCGCCATACGCCATACATTTCTCCAACAGAGATCTGTAATCAGAGATTCTTTCCAAAGGCCCGCGACATAGGTGTAACGCGTACGTTTTCTGTACACGTCGGCAAGAGCTGAGAGTGCCGTCAGCTTATCGGAAGGGAATGTGAGCTTTCGATCCACGTATCCGTCTACCATAGCATGCCATTGTGGTAGATTGTCATGACCTGAACACGGTCGGTAGAGTCGGTATTCTGGCGTAGGCTCTTCTGTCCCAGATGTCCATAGTCTTGACCCATCGCCTTGGCATCGCTTTCCTGTGCAGCAGTACAGAACGACTTTGTTCCATCTAAAATCGAGAACTCTGGGAGACAACCGCCGTTCCTGATAGGTCCAAGCACGTCCGTTGATAGGCTCATCTTGATTTGAGCAGCTGGTATTCTTGGGGACGAAAATAATCTCTCCAGTGCCTACGCCATCATCCGCTAGGTATGGCAGTGATAAGGGAGTTGCACAGTGAGAGTAACATCTTTGTTGCAAGAATCCATCCGAAACACTCGGCGCAGTCGATGCAGAGATTGTGACCCAAGCTCTTTGATAAATCTGGGGCATAGATGCCAATTCGCGCGTCAGGTCATTAGGGTCGTCTTGGATTATGCAAAGTGAGTCTACCCAGAGTTTGTCCAGAGACATGGCTCTACAAACTATGATGGCGTCTTGGATTGTTGGTGGAAGTTTCTCCACTTCGATACCTGCTTTCATGTCGACAATGGAGTCCATAGTAGTCTTGAGACTTGTGCCTTCCCCCCACACGTAGCTCAGAGCAACCCAGTCAACCTGTCGATCCTGCCAGTCTTCTACCAGACGGACCGTATCTTTTTCCGTGCTGCTGGGCTCGATGTGCAGCAGTCTTCGAGGCACAAAGTTATCGTGATCTTGTCGGCAGAGAGGATGAGAAGAGTGACATTCTGTAAGCCATTGGTACATTTGGACCAGACTCGATTTCGATCCTACCCATACGTTGTGGCTATGCGCGATTAATTCGCCTACTTCGGTGGCAGCTTCTCCTAGAACAAGTCAGATGGACGTTTTCTCGCTGTTTCTTCTACATCACATACCTGTCACACCAGTCGCTATCACCATAGGAGAAGCCAGGTGTGTCTGCTCACGCCAACTGTTGTGACTAAAGCTTGGACAAGTATAGGATGCACCGTTTCTTCCCAGGGTCATCGAAACATGCTCACGAACGGAGAGTAACTTGGGCATAGCTAGTATGTTCAGATGACGAGGTTGGGCTTTCTTACATCCAGGGCAGCTAGAGCAGGACAGGAAAAGCTCAGGCGCAGACTTTGAAGCAAAGAGCCTTATGAGCATGCATTGATCTACCAAGGCCTCTCGTATCTCGGACTTGGTGTGTGGTAGTTTGATAGGATTGGCGAAGTCCAGAAAATGTTTCTTGCGGAGCACGATCCGCCGGCAGTGCTTGCAGCTGTGAGGTTCGATGGGACTGAAGCCTTTGCCATCCCGAGGTCCTTTGTCCATATTGGGTTGATTGTGAGAAGACAAGTGGCGATTAAGGTCGTAAGTACGCGGAGGTACGTTCGACCCTCTTATCCAAGGTGCAGCCTGCCACAGTGGCGGTGCATGTTCAGCCTTGTCGCTGAGGCGGGAGGACAAGCACACCTGAACTAGAATCGTTTGGCATTCTGGTCACATGAGGGTATTCACACATGCGATTGATGTAGTCACGGAATCTGGCGACGATGCAATCTGAGCGCGTCAATGCGGTGGATGTTTGACCTCGACAGTGAGTGCCTCGTAATGACGATATGCACGGAAGCAGTTGACGTTATAGTATAGACGAGAGAATTTTGGCGAAGAAGCCGTTCCCGCGTGGCTGAGCGTGAGGAAATGAGTTATACGAAAGAACTCATTTTTATTGGGTTGTAGGCTGCCACCAAGAGCCACACTGACCCTGCAAACCCATAAAAATGGTTCCTTCGTGCTGCGGGGTGCCTGATTGTGTGGTGTGCCAGGTCGCATGGATGCGGGAAGGCACAGAACAATGCGCGCTTAGACCCATCGGCTACCTGAGGCAGGAGCAAAAAAGCTCAATTCCGGTCGCACAACTCATGGACACACTGCTACGCGATAGACGAAATACAAACTTGCACACAAAGAGGGATATATTCTTTCTTTCCACTCCATCTACACCAACACCATCTCCCACCACCCATAAATCCCTCCTTCCCCCATCCCTAATGCAAAAACGGCAGGCTTTCCACCACCTTACCACTAAGAATCACACAAACGAAACAAAAGTATAAATAAACGCCGCTAACGATGCAAGAATTCGCCCAAATCCCCTCAGCTTCCAAGCCCGGGGTGTAAATGACCGTGATATAGCCTTATCAAACGGCTTCCAAACAAAAAAACAAAACGAATGCTCAAGCATACCGCACACTACTCCTATGCACCGGCGGCGGCATGGGCACATTCCCATTCGGCGCATGCGGATTCGGTTGCCACGGGCCCGACGCACCGTTTGATGGTGGCGGTCCCTGCGGAGGAGGATAGCCGTTGTTATATTGGCCCATGGGAGGAGGGCCCATAGGTCCGCTTCGATTCCTCCTTGAGCTACCGCCGGATTGGTAAGGCATGGGTGGGGGAGCCTGGGCGTATTTCTTGAGTTTGGAGCGACGGCGGTAGGAGCGCAGGCAGCCGCAGAAGATGCAGAGGAGGATGGCGCCACCGATTCCAGCTGCAAGGCCGATGACGAGTGGGAGGTGGCGTTGGATCCAGGTGGTGATTTCTTTGCCAACGGAGCCGCCTTCGCATACCCCCTGTGAGGTGTTAGTGTTTGAAATGAGGTAGGAGAGTAAACGAGGAGAACTTACGTTACTACATTGACCCCCACCGGTACAACTTGTTCCATCGAGGAAGTTTTGCTGAATTCCATAGCATCTTGCTCCGAATTCTGGGCTGGCGCAGCTGATCATGCAGTTGCTGTTGTCGCAGGCGTAGGTGTCGTTGCCCTTTGTGTAGCTACCCATGATGGTCTTGCACTGCATGTCTCTGCTCGTGCACTGTCCGGAAGCACAGCTAAGACCATCGCCACAATCTGAGCCGTCCTTCTTGGTCTTGTCCTCGGGGCAGTATGGCGAACTTCCAGTGCACGTCTCTTGTGGATCGCACTCTCCGACGGAAGCGCGGCAGACGGTGGTGGCAGGAGCGAAACCGCAGTCGCGGCAGCAGTCTTCGTTGGAATCATCGCATACAGCGTTGCCGATGAACCGGCAGGTCTCGGGGTTACAGCATTTGTTGCCCTCACAGCCTGACGCGCCACCACAGTCGCACTCCTCATCGCCTTCGACGATACCGTTACCGCAAGTCTGGCCAGTAAGAAGAGTAACATCGCGGTTGTTGGTAAGACACTGAGACTTGACACTGTTACGTCCGAGCGCAGAGCAGATGTTTCCAATAGAGCAAGCGGAAAAGCGGGAAATGCCGTCAGAAGTCGAAGGGTTCATAATGAAGCCACCTCCGGCGTCGCATTTGCCTTGGCTGAGGGGGCAGCATTGTTGTGCGCTGACCAGGTCGCTGTTTGCGCAGGATTGTGAGGTGCAGTCGTGCACAGCACCGTAGGTATGTCCCGTCTCGTGAGCAATGACCTGCCACTCGGATTCAGTTTTGATAACAACGTTGGCACCAGCGACAGTCTCGCCAGCGTTTCCGCTGTTGTCCTGAGAGCCTGTTGTGCAGGCTTGTCCAAGCCAAGCCAGTCCAACAGCGGATCCGGTGTTACAGGTAGATAGCAATGTCCAGTGTGAGTATTGATCGTTCTGCTGGCCCCTCCATGTGGAAAACTGGTTCAGACGGTCTTGAATAGTAATGCTGCCGCTGCAGTCTTGGTTCCATGGTGTCGCCTGCTGTTGCTGTGTCGGGCATTCGGGTTCCGTGATGAGCAGATTGGCCAGGCCGAGGGAGATGTTGAAGGTGCTCTCAAACAGCTCAGAAGCCGAGTTCATGGCGGCCATGATGTTTTCCTGCGTCGCGTTCTTGTCACCGTTGAAGGAGCGGACATAGGTGCAGTCGGCGGCCACACCGACGAGCGCGACCTTGCGCGTGCCGGGGCATCCGGCCGTACTGCCAATGGTGGAAGAAAGGTCGACACCTGCACCGTTGCCTCCGGGCTGGAGGTCGTCCTGTCGCTTGAACATGGCACCTATGAGTGATGGGGACATGGCGGGTGAGACGTCGCGGGCGCGCATACTAGCAAAGACCGGGTGGTCTGCCTGTGTGTTGAAAAGCAGCTCGTCTGACGGGCATTTGACGCTGTCTGCCCGCTTCTTCAATTCCATGCGCTCCTCGTCGTTTTCGGCGGACTTCTTCATGTCCGAATCGCGGTAAACAACCATGTATTCCTTGTCGCGCAGGTCAACGTCCGGGTCGTCGGCTTTCCGCACCGTCTTGTAGTTTGTCGCCGTCTTGACATGGTGGTGGTCGTGGTCTACGGTGAAGGTGCCCTCGAATAGCGGTTCCAGCCCGTCCTTGCGTATCCCTATCCGGGCCCAGCCGACCTTGTCCCAGCGGTTCCCCCTCTTCAACCATGCTGTGCCTTTGTAGAGTTTGTGCCGCAATCGCTCAATCGGTTCTTCCCGTGCTATCGATCCATCGGAGTTGAGGTGTGTTATACGGCCGCCTTCTACAAAGAGGTCGTGGTTGGGCTCGAGGCTCAGGCGGATGCGCTTGCCGGAGACATCGAAAGCGAGGTCGAACGACGAGACGGCGGTCACGCGGTGTGTTTGTGTGAGGATATCGGCATTCTTGGCGAGCGCAATGCTTCGCAATGGTGGGCGGGCGTGTGATGAGGCGGCTGTTATGGTGGCGAGGCCGATGGTGATGGCCGCCCGGAGACTCCCAAAGATGCGCATTCTCGTGTGGCGGTGCTTCTCCGCTCAGGAGAATAAGGGGAGGGTGGTAAAAAGCGAAAGCTACGACGACGCAACGAGAGACATGGGTAGGCAAAGTACGTGTATACAGAAGAAACGCTAGTAGAGGCGAAAGGCTATACGCTGGGTGAACGATGGCGAGCGATAATGGAGAGTCGTAATCGTTCTGCACAGCCATGACAGCCCCTGCCAGCCACCGTCTTGGCAGCCGACAAGCGGACAACGAGGGGGGTCTGGGCGCGACACGAATGAAACTATCCACTCTGCCTGCACCTTTCCGCCGTAGACTCTTCTGCTTCGTATCTGTATACGCCGTCACGCCGCTATTCGCGCGTTTGTTGTCGTGTCGCTCCACGCAGGAACAGCCGGAAGCACAAAAGTCCAGTCAACGTGAACCTAGCGGCTGCATATTCGTACTATATTCGTACTAAACATAGAGGCGCACACGGCGGCCGCCCAAACAAACACAGCATGGTCATGCCTCAGCGCGCATACTGCCTGCGTCTCACTATAGGACTGCCATTGCTCGGCGCTTGTCTCCCTCCAAGCGCGACGGAATCCCTCCCCCACCAGACTAACAGAGCTTCGCATGCTTCCCTCCCATAGCAACCACGCATCTACCCGAGCCAAGTCGAGCCGTTTATTTTTTCTTGGACTGGTGCACGATATCGATGATCTTGTCGACTACCGACGGATCCGAAAGCTGTCGGGAGGCGTTAGTAAACATCATCCCACCAAGTACGCGTCATCGCCGTCAACAAGAGAAAAATATTGGCAAAACTCAGACTTACTGTTGTGATGTCGCCCAACTGGTCCTCCTCTCCCGCCAAGATCTTGCGCATGATACGGCGCATGATCTTGCCGGATCGCGTCTTTGGCAGATCCGGCACCACAAAAATCGCCTTTGGTGCCGCAAACGGTCCAATCGACTTGCGCACTTGCATCACCAAGTCCTTCTTCACCTGGTCACTTGACTCTGTGCCGTCCTTCAGCGCTACAAAAGCGTTGACAGCTTGGCCTGTCAGTTCGTCATTGATACCCACCACGGCAGCCTCAGCCACCTGGTCTGCGCAACCGTCAGCAACTTGCATATCGGACTTTCGGACATAACTTACGGTGCTCAATAAGCGCGGCTTCAATCTCAGCGGTAGACAGCCTGTGTCCCGAGACGTTGACAACATCATCGACACGTCCGCGGATCCAGTAGTAGCCCTCGTGGTCACGTCCGGCACCATCTCCAGTGAACTGCAGATATTATTAGAATTTGCATGACAAAAATCAGCTTTGCTAAACTCACGTAGTAGCCCTTGTATACGTTCAAGTATGTGTCCATGTATCGCTTATGCGCTCCCCAGACTGTGCGGGCCATGCTGGGCCACGGCTGTTTGAAGGCCAGTACACCCTCGACATCGTTGCCATGGATCTCCTCACCAGATACGGGGTCAATAATCGCAGGCTCGATACCGAAGAATGGCAAAGATGCAGATCCGGGCTTCGTAGGTGTGATACCACCCATGGGCGAGATGACGTGGGAGCCAGTCTCGGTTTGCCAGTAAGTCTGTCCCAGTCAGCAATAATTTCTATAAGCGTACTCAGCCGCAACTCACATCAACAACGTGGGCCTCCTCCTTTCCGACAATCTCAAAGTACCACTTCCACACCTCGGCGGCGATTGGCTCACCAACAGATCCGAGAATCCTGAGGTTCTTCATCTGGTGCTTGACGTGCTCGTCACCCGCACGCTTGAGCAGTCGCAGGGCAGTGGGGGCGACGTAGAACTGGCTGACATTGTACTTGTCGACAATGTCCCAGTAGCGCGAGAAGTTGGGGTAGGCGGGTGTGCCTTCGAAGACGACGGTAGCTACACCAAGCAGCAGAGGGGCGTATACGACGTAGGTGTGTCCTGTGATCCAGCCCACATCGCCACCGCAGAAGAAGACGTCGTTGTCGTGGATGTCGAAGACGTACTTTCCCGTTGCCGCTGCGCCGAGAAGGTAGCCTCCGGTTGTGTGCATGACACCCTTGGGCTTGCCGGTGGAACCTGAGGTATAGAGCAAGAACAGAGGGTCTTCCGAGTTCATTGACTCTGGCGCAATGTAGTTGGGGTATTTCTCCACCTCCTCGTGCCACCACCAGTCGCGTCCCTTGGTCCAGGGGATCTCGGCACCGGTGCGCTTGTAGACCAGGCAGTGGCTGATGCCGGGGCACTGCTTGAGAGCATCGTCGACGATCTTCTTTGTGCTGATGGTCTTGCCGCCACGCTTGCCCTCGTCGGTGGTGATGACGACCTTGCACTCGGCGTCGATGATACGGTCGCGTAGCGAATCAGACGAGAAGCCCGCGAAGACAACTGAGTGGACGGCACCGATACGTGTGCAGGCCAAGAATGAGATGACGGCCTCTGGAATCATGGGCAGGTACAGGGCGACAGTGTCACCCTTTCTTACGCCCATCTCCTTGAGTGTGTAGGCCAGCTTCGAGACCTGGCGGAGGAGTTCTCCGTATGTGATGATGCGGCCATCGCCCGCGTCGTCGGCCTCGTAGATGATGGCAGGCTTGTTGGGGTCCTTGAAGGCATGACGGTCGACGCAGTTGTAGCTGGCATTCAGTCTGCCCTCGGGAAACCACGCGACATCGCCGTGTTCGAAGCTACCCGAGGTCACGGTCTGGAAATCGCGCTCCCACGTGAGCAGTTCGCGCGCGAGTCGGCCCCAGAAAGCTTTTGGGTCTGTGATGGACTCCTTGTACAGCTTCTGGTACTCTTCGAGGTTCTCAAGATGCGGTTTCGAGTGCGGGTGCTTGCTGTGCGCGTGTTAGCTGCGTGCCGTGCTCTGGTCTGCATGCGATCGCGATCTGGTGCTCGGCCAAACGCTCGGCGGCGCGGGGTCACCCCGCCCACCCGCGAGCTCTGGAGCTTGGATGACGCCGCAGCTGTCATTGTCTTGGTGCATGATGCAATGACCAAACAAACAGAGGGACTCACTCGTAAAACGCCTTGGGAACGTGGAATGTGTCTACCTGATGGGCTTCGGCCACGACAGGCGGCTTGACGTCTCCTTCAGACATGTCTGGGCTGGTCGATGTGGATTATTTAGCCTGGCTGGCGGGGCAAAGGAGCTCGGCTTCGGCGCGCTGGAATTTCGCGACGGGGACAGTTCAGGAGCTTCACCAGCGTAGAAGCGTAGTCTGGCAGGATCGCAGGTCAGAGGCGGACGGATGTCCAGATCAGTTATATGTCTCAATTCCGGGTAAAGGGGTCGGCGGTACGCTTGATTGCCGCAGGGGCCGGAGTGAAGTTGGTGAATGTTCGGGAAACAGCTGCTTAAGTGGAGCTGCGCGTGGCTGTTCAAGGTTCGAGATTGAGGCGACGCGGTTGGGAGAGGGAGGTTTGTAATGCAGAGCACGAGATGGGCGAACGGCACTCTTATGAGCTGCGACTCTAGCAGGGCGTTGGTGATGTCGCCTTACCCCTCGCGTGCCTTCGCTGCGGGGACTGGAATATGACGAACAGCTTATTGCTGGCCTTTGGCTGGGCCCACACGCATTCCGTGGGCGGCACCATGATCCAATACGGATAGCATCCTGTGATGCCCTCCGTTTCTCCGGATCACTAGCATACCACGCCAGTCAGACTGTACTGTTGTGCCGATCTGGCCGTCAATCTGCGTGACTGCCAATAATTGGCAAAATTCGATGAGCCCTGCTTCACATGCTTCACATGCTGTAAACGCGTGCAGCGACATGTTGGCTCATCAGTGCGGGCACTTCATCACCATCACCATGTACCTAGATATCCATGACCCTAAAGAAAACAGCTTCGGCAGGCAGCCGGCCCGCAACTTCGCGACCGCACAATATCACCCGGCTGTACGCAATTGCCCGATTTCAAGCGGCGCAGTCGGCCTATAATGACTTGCAAAACTGTCATCAACATCGAAGAGCAAGAGCTCTTCCGCAAGCCACAGCTCGGCTCCAAAGGTGCCGATCCCTCCTACGCAGCTCTTGGTATGACACCACACAAGCCCCAAACACCCCATTGTGACCAGACAGTCAAGAACACAAGTCTTTACACATCTGGCAGGATGTGGAGCTGATCGCATGTCCCTTTGCAAAGAAATGGGCCTGACCACGCGATGCCTGCAAGCATCAGCTTTCGGGCGTGGGGAAGAGGAACGCAGGGCCCATCCGAGGCACCGGCAATTGTTACCACTGGGCTGGTCGCCATATCTGTTCCCGCTTGTCTGTGCTAGCTGTCCATTACAGTGGACACTTTTGCATGGCGTGCTGGATTCCTACAAGAGCTAGCTGTTGTGGGTGTACTGTTGTGTGCGGTTCGCGCTAAGCTTTCACCGTGCGAGAGGGTAATATGTTCCGTCCTCGGTTGAGACCCGCGTGCGAACGCCCCTTGAAAGAGCGCTTTTGCGCGCGTGTCTTTTTGCACATGTTCAGTCGTGCACCGCAGTTTACGGTAAGGTCTAATGTGCGATCAACACAGTGATCGCGATGCGACCGTCCATACACATCTTGGCATCCATTCGGCCTTCGTCATAGCTACCGGCATGCCGTATTGGCTGATGTCGGCGGGTCTGGGCACGCTGTAACAAATGCCGACCAATAATGGCTTGCAAGGCCGGATTATCAGGGCAGTTATCACTGCGGGGCCCCGCATAGCAATAGACAATTCAAACATCTCGATCAGTTTACTGTGCCTCTTCAAATGAGCCAACTCAACGGTCATGCATTGGGAGGAAAGAATGGCCTGCGTACCCGGAAGTTAAAATCAACTCTGGCAGGAACAGAAGCCGTTGTAGCCGTGTCTCGCGTCAAACGGAACCTTGCAGCTCAATGGCAAAATACGGGAATGTCTTCATCAGTCTACATAGCAACAACAGCCCCATCCACTACATGTACAACCACATCCCCCTCCCCACCCCCATCTCTACTATCACTCCTCCATTTCCTCTTCACCAACCCAGGATTAATCACGATTCCCCTCTGCCCCACCCCCTCCCACTCAAACTCATACGTATCCAACTGCCCAAACAACCATATCCTCACCGTCAGCGTATCCGTAATAATACGCGCAAGATCATCGTCTCTATCCTGATCGCTAGACGTAGGATTCGCCCAAGGAAAGAAGGTAAGCGAGAAGTGTTCAGCTGCTTCGCGCGTTTCGGACTGTGCCATCCAGGATTTGCGCCGGTTCGGGTACCCGGTTATGGTGCTGTAGAGGTAGACGGAGACGCGGCGGTGGAGGGAGGTGGCGGCTATGAAGTCGGGATCTAGGGTGAGGTGTGAGCTTAATACCTTCCTTGGATCGAGGGGTAGGGATGGGATGGAGGTTTACCTGATCCAACGTCGGTGCCATTTGCGACATGTGCCAGCTCTTCTGGAAATAAGGTGCCTTCCCTGTCTCCTTTTTGCTTTGGCCCTGTTATACCCAGTACGTATGCTACGAGCGCATGCTTGAGTGCCGCAGTTGGACTCGAACATTCTTGCAAGAGTTCCGCCATGTTCACGTCCTTGATGCCGAACTTCGCGATTCCAGGTCCCATACTCTGAGTTATACAGGCATGTACATCGCGGTAGAACTTCTCGATATGCTCATGCATCATGTTGAACAAGTGCGACACGCCATTCCACACTTCATCGTCGTCTGCTGCAGGCGGTAGGAAAGAGGTGACATCCTTGGACGACTCGTTTGCCATGGCGACTGGTGTTATCATCGGAGGCGATAATGCAGCAGTGGGCGTCGCTGGCATGGGTGTTTGTGATACTTGTACATATGGGCTATGGCGTCCTCCTAGACCGCCGACACCTTTGTGTTGCATCATTCCCAGATCGGGCGCAGAGTCTGCATAGCTTGGGTAATCTTTAGTACCGACATTTGCATTCTTGTGTTTATTCCGTTGCCTGAAGAGGAAGAAGGCGGCGGCAAATGCGATTGCTGCGCCGATGATGAATGTTCCGATAGCGATACCCGTTACTGCTCCGGCACTCAATCTATTGGTCTCGTCGCCGTCCGATACTCCTGCCAGTGTTCCCATGGTTGCTAGACTTGGATCTTGGGTTGTTACGGATGTTAATTGACTGGGTGTGGCGGTTGGGATCCGCGATGTTGTGATGGACGTTCTAACGATTGAGGGTTGCGATCCAAAGCTAGTGAAGGTGGGTTGGGGGCTAGAGTTGACGAGCTGTGTGTTGCTATTCTCAAGGCTATCAGAGGTAGGCAATGGCTGTATGTCCGAAATGCCATCGGATTGAGAAATCTGCCATTGAGGCAGCGCACTTATCGGTGTAAGACCATTCCCGTCCGTTTGTGCGGTGCTTGTGGGGGCAAGACCATTGGCGTTCGTCTCTGAGGTATTTGGATTGAATTCCTCACATCCCTCAAAATAAGGAACGCATCGCGTTGCATCGTCTCCAACTTCGATGGTCGTGCTACTCCGGATAAAAGGTAGCATCTTCACGATGTATTTCGCCAAACGCAAGGCGGAACCTCACCCACGAATACAACGGGCAAAAGGCGAAAAAGAGAGAAAAAGATCAAGAAACGAAACAAACCTCACCGGCCTTGAGGCCACCTATGAACAAAGACAACACGTTCGTATAAGCCGATCAGGCTCCCAGCTCAGCCGCAATCCCACCAGCATCCTACAAGGCACGCCGCACTCCGCCTCACGCACTGCAGCAGCCAAAAGCCGAATCCTTCCAACTCCCAGACACACGCTTTGTTGCTTACCGTCGTACGGGCAATCTGGCAGACGCCTTGTCATGATTGTGCAGCTTCCACTATTGGGACGGCGTAACGTGGGGCGCAAGGGTAAGTAAGCAACCAGTCCAGTATGAGTGCGCGGATACGGTGATCCATTTGTTGCGCTAAAGCGGCGGTTTTTTGTTTGGGGGCCTTAGTCTGCATGTGGATAAGGTCGGCTGTGCGCAGCCTTGTTTACACAGCCCACGTAAGGGTTGCCCGCGGTTGTGCAGGGTAAGGTGGGTTTTAGATTGCAGGTGTCTCACTTGTTGATGGTGTTTGAACGGAGATCGTCACGGCACGCGGTGGTTAAATGGGGTGAGGGAGCGAGGTTTGCACATGCCATTTCTCAAATTCAGGTTGCTGGCGGACAAGGGCAGAGTCTATGTGTTCTAGCGTCCACCACCACTTCTTCAAACCTTGTTTCTGGTTTCTTCGGTGAACTCCCTTCAAGCTCTCCTACCGGTATAGGCACTTTGGAGCCCTCGGTACCTTGAAGTTCCTGTGCAATTTCTTGGCATGGAAGTTCAGCTGTACTGTATGATCCTTTGTGGGCCAGCAGTTCCACAATTTGGTGATGAGCTGAGACCTCAGCTGCGCTTTCATCGAAGCTATACCCCCGCGCTCTTTGTTTGCGTCGCCTGATACATACAAAGGCTATGAGTAAGGCTACGAATACCGCCAAAGCCACGATGCCGGCTGCGATTCCTCCCTTTGCGCCGTTGGGAAGACTCTTTGAATTGGTGGATGCCGCCGCCGTGTTGGTGGATGTAGTTGACGGCGTCGACGTGGGAGAAGTCGAGGAAGCTGTCAACATCGATCGTTAGCGATTATTGTGTTGCCCACACGAGATCATAGAGACATACCCGTCACCTTCTCCAACCTTCCGTTCTTCAAAAAGCACCCCCGCAGCCCTAATCTCCGACAATCATCATCCAACCCCTCCACAAGATCCGGTGCCAACATCGCGGCATCAATCACAAACCCGGGATACACGGCCGTCGCCGCATCAAAAGTAGCGTTCATGAGCCAACAATTCTCATAGTCTGTTGCGCCGAGAGGACGGAAGTCGAAGCCATAACATAGCGGCTCCTTCCTGACGCAGCGGCCCATGCAATCAGACCAAGTTTCTTCGAAGGTGGGGTCTTCGAAGTCCACTTTGGCGCCGATGTCTTTTCCGCATAGATTTTGAAAAGGTACGGTGAGGTTGAAATCGTGGTAGGTGGTGGTGTTGCCTTCGCATCTGTCGCTGTCTGATTGCCCGGAGGTGTGGGTGACGATCGCAAGAAGGCATGCGAACCAAGTGTATGAACGCATTACGGATAGCATGATAGCAGCTCTTCTCCTATCAATGCGACGGTGAAAGGGGAATTAGCAGGTGCAAGAAAGGTTGAATACACTGAGCACCTTCAGCAGCTGAAATACATCTTTCTCTGTCTTCTCCCACAGCCTAGTTACGAGCATCGGCCCCCCAACAGATGCAGTGGATATGCCACAGACGATCCTCTCGACGTCAAGATCTGTACTCTACCCAATGATACTCGCAATGTGTATCTTCTCTTCCAGCCACATGTCCTTGGCAAAGCACGAGGCGTTCTCAGCCTTGTGCAAACCTCAGAAGCTATGCTGAAAAACTAGGTTAGTTGTAAGGGCGGAGTGTATTAATAGTATGAATGAACGGGAGAGAGGATGATCTTGGGGTTTACTGCGCCCTTGAACAGGAATGCTGCGCAGAGAACTGGACTTATTGAGTAGCTAGCCTTGCCAAAGTGGACGATTTGTGCGCCAAGAATATGGCGGTTCATGTGCATTGCGGGGCCGCCTGCCGTAACAGTCGTTCGTAGAAAAGATCAACCTCAATGTTGATCGAATTTGCAAGTGTTGACTGGCTCGACGTTGTCAAGGAACTATCGTGTCTTTTCTACCTTCCCTCAATAAGAGAACGGCCTAACAGTATACGTCTCCTTCTTCTCCGGCAGTGGCGAAACAGGCTTCTCCATAAACTCAGGGTACAAATACCACGCCAAGTGCTTGCCCTCCGTCTGCGCACCAGTCCATCCATTCCCCAACCAAGCCAACCTGTTGGCCGTCTTCCCCACACCATGTAGTTCGTTACCGTCACTTTGTCCCTCCAGCTCCTCCAAATAAACATACTCGAAATCTTCCCACCTTGGACTTCGCATCGCCTCAATACAATGCAACGTACTTCCCGGCCAGAGCCCAACGACCTCGCCCGTCCCCTTGTTCTTATACCAACTTCGGCATTCGTCGGCGAAGACAGTGCCCTGGAAGTAGGCGTCGACGTATTCGATGAAGTCCTTCTCGCGCGCTTCCTTGACAACCATGGCTGCGATGTTCTCTTTTTGGATCTTGCGGATTGCTCTGATGATGTAGTCGCCTAGGGTCTCAATCATACACGTCAGGCTGCCGGAGCCGATTGCGGCGTTGGGACCGAGCATGGTAAAGAGATTGGGGAAGCCAGATACGGAGTGTGAGAGGTAGTTTACGGCGCGGTCCTCCCACTTTTTGGCAAGTGGCAGGCCATTGCTGCCGGTTAGGGGGAATGGAGGTGGGGCTGAGGCTTTGAAGCCTGTGGCACACACGAGAGCGTCGATTTCGTGCGTTTTTCCGTCGGCGGTGTGGATTGCGGATTCGGAGATATGTGTTATGGGTGATGTGACGAAGTCAACGTTGGGCTGCGTCAAGGCTTCGAGATAGCCTGGACCGGGCGTCAACCGACGGCATCCTGGCGAGAAGGAGGGTAAGAGTGCTTCGAAGATCTCAGGCTTGCTCTTCAGCTTCTCTTTCATGTGCTGATGGAACATATCCTTTGCGCCCTTTTGTAACTCAGTCCCTTTCATGGTAACAGCGTGGATGCTGTTCCCATCTTCCTCAACCGAAAGCCTGAACTTGTGGTAATATTCTGGATCATTCGCGAAACGATCGCGAAGCTCTGGGGGGATCGTCGAACCATTGAAACCGTACTTGTCCCATAGCTGTTGGCCGAAGGGAGGCGAGATCCACGTCTTACTACGCACAAAGGTACTAATATGAGTACCTGGTAGACGCTGCAACGACGGAACAATCTGGATAGAAGAAGAACCAGAACCGATGACGCCTACTCGCTTGTTGTCGAAGTCGTAGGCTTGATTCCAGACTGCCGAATGCATGACCTCGCCTTTGAATGTCTCAAAGCCCTTTATCTCAGGCCAAGATGGTGTATTCAAACCACCCCTCCCTGAAACAAGTACGTCGGCCTTGTCCTGCAGCACATCTCCTGTGTCGAGATTCTTCACTGTGATGTTCCACTTCGCAGTCTTGTCATCCCAGTGGCATGCCTGAATCTCATGGCGTAGCTTGATGAAGCGATCCGCGGAGTACTTGTGCGCTACGTCTTGGAGGTAAGATTGAATCTCCGCAGACGGGGCGTAGAGCGACGACCAGTTCGGGTTCGGCTGGAACGTATACTGGTATGAGTGTGCTGTAGATTATTAGCCGTGGTTGTACTTGTAAGTTCAAGCTTGCTTACATGGTATGTCGCATGCGCAACCGGGATATCTGCGATCGAGTCAGTGGATGCACTGCGAAACAGTAAAAACACCTTGGTTAGTCACAGAAGAAATGCTTACCTGTTCTCGTACCAGGTCCCTCCAACGCCGGCATTCTTCTCATAGATGACAAGATCGACATTTCTCAATCTCTCTGGAATGCGAATGCCACAATAGATGCCCGAGTATCCAGCACCGATAACAACAACTCTCAGACGTCGCAAGTTTTCCACAGGCGCATCGTTGAGCTTGAAAGGCGGCTTCGCTGAAAGTCCATTGGCATCGTCGTTGATGGAAATGCCAGGCGCGTCGGTAGGAAGGTTAGGTACTGCCGACATCGTCAAGAAAGAGCGATCTACACAGTAGGAGTGGTTGCGCGACGTGTATCCAAAGTATATGGTTTATTCAGAGGCTAGACTGGCCAGCGTAGGTAGTAGTATAGAGTATGACAGAAACGATCCAGATGATGTTGGCCGCAAAATGGCGACAGAGAACCGTTATAAGTACGGCCACCTACACCCCTCACCATCGTCAGGGTTAGCCGTATGATACAAGTGCCGAATCAGTAGGCGGAGCGTTAGCGAGACGTCGAGTTACCAGTCGGATTCAGCAGACGGCCTGACTTTCCACCGCTATGCTTAGCCTATCAGAGCGCGACGGCCTCCGCATCTGTCTCGGCCGAGGCGCTATCCCGGACCTCCACATGCGTCCCGCTCCATCCCGCAACGTGCTCTTAGTGACTTCGCGACCGCGGAATGTCCCCGTGAAGACTTGCGCGTTCGGCTCTGGATAGTTTTTTGTCCGTTCTGTGCAACACAGCTGAAATCTCTGTGATGAGCGGCGCGATAGTTGTGCCGAAGAGCTGCAATTGAGTTTGTTTCATAGACGATCCCCGGTACTACCTCGGAACCGTGACGATAGCAATCTGTAGTAGTATAAGTGGTTGAATGCCTTCTGTGCGCATGTTACATACCTGGTTTCCAAGAGCAATAGACAATCTGGAACTATCTGGATCCCAACCAAGACTGTACTCTCCGTCTATGCCAGGGTTCCATTTGTCGCTGGGAGTTTCACTGGCGCGCCACGAGGCTATTGGTACATCTCTCTTTTCTACATCCCAAACAGTGACGGCATCGGGGCCTGCAGCAGCTAAGAGCGACCCGTCTGGAGAGAAAGCAATCTTAAAGGCCTGCGTACCATCCGTGGTGGGTAGGTATTTGACGCATTTGAAAGGTTCGTTTGCGTCCCAGATGCGCGTTGCACCAGCCATGGAGCTCGTTGCAAGCAGAACAGAGGGCAGCGAAGAACCGTTGGTGAGGTGGCTGGTCTTTGATTTTATGCGGAAGCTGAGATCGGTGGGGTACTCATCAGGATATTCGTGGACCTGTAGTTGTATCGAGTCGTTGGGGTGGAGGATGCCAAGATAGTACTTCCTGTCTTCGATACCCAGCACGGCGATGATCCTAGACGCGGCGTCATACTTGACTGTTTCCCATGTTACTGAAGTGTCGAGGGTTTGCTGGGTAGTCAAGGAATCGTTGACTTCGTAGATCTTGAAGAGCTTGATACCACAAACGACAAAAGCAGAGTCGCTTATCCAGTGGGCGTCGAATATGGCCGTGTCGGTGAATTCGGTCCATGCGGGTATAGAGTCGCTATCATTTTTCCACACCTTGATAGAGCCCTTCTCGCCGTCTGTTGAGATTGAGAGTAGCAGGTTTCGTTCCGGGTTCCAGCGAAGCGTGTTGATGAGGCCGGCAGTGGAGGAGATGACTTGCGAGGCTTGGCCGCCTTCGGTCAGCTTGATGAGCTTGTCCATCATCATCTTCTCTCCGACTTCATTGGATCGCTGTTCGCGCACAGAGACCGTGAGTTCGTTGTCGGAATGCCAGCACAGCGCGGTGACGTCGAAGTTGTCGACGGGTAAGGGTATGTCGAAATGCTGGGTGGGGGGTTCATGGCCAGGTTCTTTGCTCACAACGTGGACTTGGAGTAGGGATTTGCCGGCTGCGAGTAGCACAGGGGAGTCTATGGGCCCCCATAGTGTGTGCTCAATAAGACATGCAGGGTCTGAGGGGGGAGGGATGGAGACGGTGCCTGGAGTGAGATCAGCAACCGCGATGGCCTCCGTCTGGATCTCGGCGTCCTGGCCGATGCTGAGCGTGGATATGGGGATATCAGCAAGTGAGGGCGACTCGGCTTCCGAGACCATGGGCTCCGACTCAGCCCGCACGCTGTTTGTCACATGGGTGGTGCCGTTGGGCTCAACGTCCATGGCATCGCCGTTGACTTCTGGCTCGGGGCGCGGCTCGACGCCATTCGTGGGCTTCGTCTTCTTGCGCTTGAGCGTCTTCTTGGGCGGGGGTTCTTGGACTGCTCCATTCGCCTCGGCAGCGAGTTCGTGTGCGGGTATGCCCTTGTCGAGGGTCAAGAGGTTGCCATTGCGCGCCGAATAGGGTCGTCCGTGGTCGCTGCCGAACTTGTATCGCGGCTCCGTCTGTGCCCGTCAGTACCAGCTTCCCGCGCGCGTGTATGCGACGTACATTGCAAGCCTCGGCCTGCAGCTGGTCGAAGCACAGCCCATCCTGCACGAGCCTGATGAGAGCGTGCTGCTCGATGTTCTTTGCAAAGGGCAGCGTGTCGGGGTCGCGGACCCAGCATCGCGAGAGTTGCAGGGCGGCATTACCGAATCCGGCCTCCTGAAGATATCGCCATACTGCACCTAGACGTCAGTCATGCAGGCCAACAGAGGCGTGGGCTGGGGAGGTGTACCGAGATAGTTCATCGCGTTGCTGCTCAGAGTCTCCGCCATGGCGCATCCTGTACGCGCTGCATGCGCCGGGGAGCAGACTGCGTAGATTCGGGGATAGGCAGGGCGTCGTGGGTGCGCGATTCGTGGTGGTGGTGGTCGTCGTCGTCGAGCTTGTTGGAGGATCGAAGGCTACCTGCAACTACTCAGCACTCTGGCGGCCGCTAGTCCCCACAAGATCTTCGTCCGAGCGCCGTTCATGATCCCTGCCGTCAACACATGCAGACATACTCACGCCTGCATGCTGCTTTCACCCTCGACACCTCCACCGCCCGTCTGGACCTGCCCGGGCCGATAAGTGAAGGACGCCGAATATCCTCACCTCTCGCCTCCAGACGCCTCGTTCCCCCACCATGGCGCGCATCAATCTTCCCCCGCTCACTCGGGGCGTGCTGGCGGCCGTCGTATTCTTTACGCTGATCAATTTCGCACTGCGACCGAACGCCAACTTGGTACAAAAGATCGAGAAGCCAATCATCGGCGTGGGAAATGGCGTCCCATGGCTTACCATCGTTCCCCGCCGTTCGGTGCCGTGGTATCCTTGGGTCTTCGCATTGGCGACTGTGGTGGAGCAGAACCTCCTCGGCCTCATCACCACCGGACTCACCGTCTTCTACGGCGGACGCTACCTGGAAAGAGCGTGGGGGTCTCACGAGTTCACCAAGTTCATGCTCTTCGTGGCCATGATACCCAACGTGCTCGCATATCTGCTCTACATCGTCGGCTACCTGATCATGGGCAAGACGTCTTTGATGTGAGTACTCGGCCTTCTTCCCATGCGCTGTACTGACCAAGTCTAGGCGCACTACCATCTCTGGTGGCATTGCCATCCAAGCTGGCTTCCTCGTCTCCTTCAAGCAGCTCGTCCCCGAACACACCGTTGCCATCGCAAAAGGCCTCATTCGCATGCGCGTCAAGCACTTCCCTGCCATCTTCCTCCTCACCAACACGATTTCCGGTATAATACTGGGTACCGAGACAGCCATGTTCCTGGCATACTTCGGCTTCTTCACTGCCTGGATCTACCTCCGCTTCTACCGCATAAGCCCATCACTATCGTCTACTGCAACGGGTGACGGCTCTGTCATCCGCGGCGACGCCTCAGATACCTTCTCGTTTGCCCACTTCTTCCCGGAGCCCATACAAACACCCGTTGGCGCCCTCTCCGACGGCATCTACAACACACTCGTATCGCTCAAAGTGTGCATACCGTTTTCAGATCAGGACATCGATGCAGGCAACGAACAGGCGAGCGCCCGGGCTGAAGGGGGTCTACCGAGCATCATGAACCCTAACAGCAAGGGCGGTCGAGGAGGGGCCACACGTGCTGAGGCGGAGAGGAGACGTGCTCTCGCTCTAGAAGCTCTGAACCAGCGCCTGAACGCAGCAGCGTCTCGGGGTCCCAGTGCCGCTGCTCCTTCAGCGCCTTCCGTCTCCGGACCTACCGAGTCACTGGGCGAGACAAACTACGAGCCGGACCGACCGGAGGCACCAGAGAGATCAGGGGCGTAGTACACTCGCTCCCAGGGATATCTAAGATCGCTTTGAATACCCATTGTCGTTCATATACCCGCAGGAGCAGGCGCCTCCCCCGCTCCATCGAGCACCTACAAATTCTTGGTGTCTTGGGCATGGTACATTGCGACGGCGTCTTGTTAGCGTTGCAGCGCTTTGTTTGGTCGCGTTATTGGAGCGCATATGATACCACCACTCGGGAGGGACTTGTCAGTATTCTTGTACCCAATTATTGTCTTCTACCAGAATAGAGTAAGTCGACTGTTTACAAGTCCATCCGTTTCATTCGCCGACTGTTGCACTTTGCGAAAGACGTTGCCGCGACGCAGCGGGCCAGTGCCAGAAACGGCACCTCATCAACAATGCGCGCTCAAGTGCTCAACTGTACTCGACTTGAATCAGCACCGCCGTTGCGTTTCAGTCGACATGCATCTCTCATGCGCACATAATCGAGCGCTTCCTAGTCACCACCCGCACTTTTGAAGACTGCGTTTCCGCAGAAGTCCTCGAAGGGCCGCACGCAGCCTACGTGCAGACTGGTCGCGTACTGCAGGTGATCAGTGCAACCAGTCACTTTGTTACACAACTCTGTCCGCCGAGTCTCACGGAGCCGGTAGAGAGCAAGTGTTGTGACAGTTGATACACAGAAAAAGAAATTGCCGTCTCATATTGCTTTGGGAAGAAAGATGCTCTCACCTCCGCGAGACGTACAATCCATGAGGAGTACAAGTAGACTGGAAATCTCTATAGTTTCTCCAGACAACGCGCGTCCTATTCACACTTCAGTTCCATAAATCCTCTCTACTTTGACAGTAGCAAATCGTCCATCATGTACTCATCCATCCTCACCACCCTCATCGTGACCAGCACCACCCTCGCCGCAAGTCTGCCCCCGAGCCCAGGTCATCCTTTCATCCCCTCAGAATACGTCCCAGAACCTGCGTATCCAGCTGCAAAGCGACAAGGCCTCCCCCTCGGTGATGTTTTGGGCGGAGGCGATGCCTTGGGCGGCCTAGGAGACTTACTAGGCACTGGAGGCGACACAGAAAGCTCCTCCGTTGCTCCTGCACCCGCTCCAACTCCTGCCCCCAGAGCATCAGACATCGTCATGACAACCACAATGGTCACCGTAACAGCGACGTTGTCCACGCCGTTACCAGTCGCGCCATCAGCTTCCGTATCTCCCGTACCTGAAGATCTGGCCGGCGTCTACGTCTGCGACGACATCAACTGGAACGGCGCATGTTCGCATCACTTCACCAAGCCAGGCGGTTCAGATATTGACTGCGCACAATTGTCTGGCAGGGAATCATCCATCGGACCGGATCCAGGCTTCTTGTGCGAGTTCTTCACGTATGTCAACATTTCACCGCTCCCTTTTGCGGGCCTTGGCTAATACTTTTGTCTACAGAAACTCGTACTGCAAGAAGGAGGCTAGCAATGAATCAGACTTTCTCAGCTTGAGCTGGCCTGGTAATCCCGATCTGAGGAGTACGGATAAGGGCAATTTGAATGATAAGTTATTGAGCTATGTTTGCTTTAAGGTGCTGTAGGGATATGGTTTGGAGGATGGGGATGGAGAGTTTGGGAGGAGGTCGAAGCTGGATGAGTAAAGAGGGCAGGCTTTCTTTCGTTTAGGCTTAATTGATGAATTAACGACTCAGAAGATCTTGGCTTTAAGTACCACAAACTTCTTTCCGAGTGCGTTAGCACCAGGGGTGGCTAGAGGTGTTGGTGGTGATTTCAGGGTGTGTGGTTCCTGCACAACACATTGCTCATTTGGATCGTCACTGACGATCAATGACCATGTGCTGCTTCTCGTGCATACATGTTTCTTGGTAGCACATGTCAGGCACGCTCGCTACGAGCTTGCTCCTCACATGTCCCATTGCGTTCTTTCTTTGTTTGTTTACTTGCTCCCAATCTTCTTCCATCCTACATCACCATTTTCTTAACACTATTCTTCTGAGACTGTTTCTTAGTATTATTACGGCATCTCTACCTTGTTCATCCTCAATCTACACTATCCCTCTCCATGTCATCGCTATCCGTCTTATTCTTCGACGCACCCAGGGCGTCATCTTAGTATTGTTACAACATCTCTACGCTTATTTATCCTCGTTCTTTGACGAGCGCATCCTCATCGTCGATATATACCTTATCCTCCGACGCACCCAGACCGTTACAGCGTCGATGTCAGTAGACAACGTATCACACGATTGGGGGAATTGATCTCATCGAGTTCGATGATTCATTCTCGCTACCTTTTAGTGGCCTTGGATAACTTTGCTGCTACCGCTGCCCTCATTCCAATTGTTCCCACGACGGCACTTGGGGTACGTCTCATTCGTCTACCATCTTGTTGTCCAAGCTAACTTCAGCTTTCCAGCATCCAGCCATCGCATTGCTCTATTCTTGGTATCGTTCCTCCAGGGCGGTCCCCATTCTCGTCATCAACTATTGCTTTCATCACTATCGACATGATTCAACAACATTTTTACGATCTATTAACAACTCTATTACTCCACCAGCCATCACTGGATTCCAGCGATATAGCGAGTTCGAACTTCATGAGGATCTGTCGGAAAATTTCTGCAGCCAGTGGACTCGGCTTATCGAAACTCCGATCACAAGTCTTCACTGTAAGATTCCCTCCTAACCGCGCTTCCTCGTCTAGAGAGGGTACGCAATATACTCTAGCATCTCTTCGTGCTATACTAATCTGGCTCCAGCATCCTTCCACTATCCCTACACCATTCCTTCGGCAATCGCATTCCTATTATCGATATTCTTGTTATCTTTCAACGCACCAATCACCCCAATTACAGCAAACCGCCAAAACGCAGTTCACCGCCATATGGGCTTCACTCACGCCCTCTTCAACGGCGCTGCCTTCGCTACCAAGGAGATCACGGTTAACTAGGAATGCGAAGTAAGTACACATGGATCTATGCTTGAATATTATGCTAACAGTTGATAGAGAGCAGAACGCAGACGCGACAGCCTATAACGCGGCATCAAATCGCTAAATGAGACTACTGCCTTTCCACAATCCCAGGACTAATGAGCCAATCCGTCGCCGTCGCGACACTTGGGGCCTACTCGCAATGATACTCACCCCCTCAACACATGCGCATTCTCCATGGAGACAAAAAGCGCGCTGAAGCCACCAATTTCTCCTGGTGCAGCTACGCGTTCTAGTTCCAGCTACCACATCATTCCTATCGCCTGTCATTCATCGATATCATATCCTTATACCTCGGGCGGCCACACACATTCGCATCCTTACCTTCATTCTCAACATCTCTACTCTTCATCGGCGTCTCCAGCGGCTGTTATTGATGCCCTCGTTATAGCCATGCCTCTGCTCCAGTCAGTACCAGATCTGAGGGGTGCGATCCCTATCCTTTCGCGTTGATCCATATCCTACCTAAGTATCGTTGTGCCTACGACGTCGCACAGGACAAGCTCCGTTACCTGCTCCGTATCCTTGACAACTGCAACACATTGAAACCCAAGAATTCAAAGACAAAGACAATTTCCGCGCACCATCTTTGACAGGATCAATGGTCCTTGGGGTCCATGGGCTGGATGTTATTTGTCGCGATTCGAGGTCGATGGCATCCTGGATGGAAATGTCACCTTGGAAATGTTGGGAGCGGACTTCGTTGGTGTGGCTCTTATTTTAGAGAATCATATGTTCTCTTCTCAATCTTGCTTCTCATGTCACAGTGATGCTGATGTTCTGTCTGACGCCGAAGCGCAGAGAAGGCATACTCCAGCTTGCGCTCAGGGCTTCAGGCTTTCTTTCCATCTCTTACAACACCAATATTTACACCCTGTGCCAGAAGGCGTTATTCATTGTCGTTCACTCGTACCTTCGGACCAAAGGAAGGGAACAGCCTTCGTTCGTGGAATTTATGTCTTCCGCACCATTCCCAATCAAGTTTAGTGCATCAATTACCAGGTCCGCGATCGTCATCGCAACGGTCATCTTGCCACATACCCACCGCTGTACCCCCGCATCGTCTCAAAATCTACGACTACCACACTTTTCTAGTGTCATGCGCAATATCGCAAAATAAACGCTTGGCCAATGATGTCTACACAGCATCCAGTAGCAACGTGGCCGTAGAAAGATCGCGGAATTCTCCAAAGGCTACCCGGCTTTCTTGTACTGCACGCAATATATTCGGAGGCCACGATCCAGCTAACTCCGGAACTTGTTTACTATTCTACGAGACTAGGAACCGTCTTCCGTGTTAGTCTCAAATGTGAGCAGAATGTTGCACAGTATAAATGCGCCTGTAGTCGCAGTTCCATAACGTGCTGTGCATCTAGCAACTTACTATAATTCGTCATGAAGCTCTCCGTACCCCCTTTCGTACTACTAGCAGTCATTGACCATGTCACTGCCCTTCGATTTCTCGGACGTGTGAATCCGGACACGCAAGAGTTGACATGGCCCGGAACCGGCGTATCCTTCACCTTTACAGGTTCCTCAGCTAGCATAGGCATCGAAGCCACGAGCGGCACTAACAGTGCTGAGCTGACCATCGATGGTGTAGCCACTGTTATCTCGGATGTCAGTGGAACCTCTATCAAAACGCCCGCTGACCTCCGCAACGGCAAACACACGATCGAACTGCGGAAAAGATCAGAGGCTTCATATGGCACCATAACCATCGGCAACGTAACAACGGATGGCACCTTCGGTTCGGATGTTTACTCATCCCGCAAGATCCAAGTCATTGGGGACTCCATCACTGTCGGCTACGGTCTTGACGGTGTCAACCCGTGTGTGAACACCGCAGCCGTAGAAAACAACCCCAAGACCTACGCCGCCCTCGCTGCCGACGCATTAGATGCCGACTACGACATCATCGCCTGGAGCGGCATCGGTCTAACCAGAAACTACGTCTCTTCAACTCCCGACCCAAGCGACATCATGCCTCAGCGCTGGACCAGATATGGCGCTCTCGATCCGTTGAACAGCTACACATTCCCAGCAAACGCGACACCAGACGCCGTAGTTATCAATCTCGGCACCAACGACTTTGGCTATCAAGCTGGTGTACGCGACCCAATCGTCCCGGCAGAATACACTGCCGCCATGGTCAACTTTGTCAAGACGATTAAGACACACTACCCAGACGCTGCTTTCTTCCTTCTGACATCGCCTATGCTTGGTGACGGATATCCTGCAGGTCAGGCACAAAAGACTACGCAGACGAATGCGCTCAACGCTGCGATTGCGCAACTTTCAAACAGTACGAATATTAGTCTGGTGGATATGCCGACGCAAGGCTCAGACGTTGGTTGTGACTACCATCCTAATGCTGCGACGCATGCGGAGATGGCGGAGATTCTGGCCAAGGCTCTTGCTGGTGAACTGGGTTGGTGAAAAAGGAGGGAAGTTGCGTAGAGAGTTTGAAGATGTATATACTTGGAGAATGTAATTGTGTCCAAGATCTCTAAGCTTGACGACTTTCTGCACATGAGCTCGCTGCAGAGGCGGACCATTTCAGGCTTCCTGCTTAGATGTGTACTACATAAAATGCGACCTACGTAGACAAGATTAATCGCATCACCCACGGTTAGCATCTGAGCAAGGTGCAACATGCAGATGTTACGTCGAAAAGCCCGCGTAGTATAAAGTGTATCACCGCCATATCTCCCGGGCAAGCACTCTTCTCCCAAACCGTCACATCTGTGCAACACTGACATGTTGAATAGACCTTCTACCGCAAATCTCATCACAGCTCACACAGACTATCGTGAAGAGGAACCCCTTGACGTTCCCATGATATGCCCCGAGAGTCACTCCTTTACGTCTACAGCTCCAGTCCCGGTGATTAGGCCCCAGGCACAAGCATCTCCCTTCCCCGCGCTACATCCATACACCTCCATACTTCCACGATACCACGATTCTCCACATGACCCTCTACACCGAAACATCTTCATACATCTACAACCCACCTCCACCGGTCCACCCCCACCTCACGCCACCCCAAAACCCCGTCTCACCTTGCCCCCTCCGCCCACAAAATTTGCCCCCCGAGTCGGCCCTTCACCCACAATACCAGATCCGAACTATCCCCTTAGGCGAAGATCCAGAGTCCAAAAATCGTATGATAATACATCAAAGTTCACCGTTTCGGACCGTCGAGGATAGTCATCACCTGGACCCTGGCCGGGGGTTCTGCTACTTTCGAGACAATTGCACTCGTAACGAGGCTGGATGCAGTCTCAATCCGGTGAGATGGAAAGCGGAAAGGATGTGAGGAGGGAAGGGATGTGTTGCGTTACAACGATTGCGCCATATAAAGTTCACACCCGCTCTTTTACTCTTTCGGTCTGTTCTGGGATGTGAACAACTTTAATTTCCTGGACGCTGGTTTTGGGGAATCTGGAATCTGGGAAACCTGTGTCTTCGATGCGAGGCAGCATGGGGGGGTTTTTGGGGGGCAGGATTGTCTCGTGCGCTTCGTTTGGCTTCTTCCGGCTTTTGAGTTTATGGGTAGCTGGGGTGATTGGTGCGAGCGTGTGATGCTGGATCCTTGCGTCTGCTTGCATCCCGGAGGACCCTGGAGATCTACTTGCGTGCTCTCGCGCATGTGTTCACGCGGCATATCCTTGTTGTAAGGGGTAGACTGAGTGAATTCTTGAGGCAGCTCGGTAGCCGTGTAGGCTATTGAAACCGTATTTGAGGGGTTTGACGGAGAATTGTAGTTCATTCACCTACGCTGCTTGAAAGACCTCGCATTCGCATTCAGCCGTGCGATAGAGTTGATAAAGGGCGTGGAGATGGTGGTCATCTGAAGGTCAGTGCTGTTGTGGGGTGAACGACCCTGTGCGAGGGTTGCCAAGCATCACGAGAATGTTGGAGCTAGTTGACCGCATCTTCTACCGTAGTAGAACAGCGACATCTTATTAAACATTGACGTGCTCACCGCCTCTCAAGCATATCGCACCGGACCAAATCAAATGACTTCGTATTATAATAGTCAGAGCACGACTCTCACATTCAGTGCTATGCGCAGCCCGGCCATCTTGTCTGACGTGCTCTTACGAGCGGCGAGACACGAACGGCCATAAGCTCCGTTGCATCGCGTGGACCCGTTCTAGACGGGCAACCGCCTAGCAGCGAACGCTTGTTTGAACATGTTTATCAGCCACGCACTAGCCATGCCGATGCAGTGGCTAAACTTCGGCATCGGTGGATGCGAAAACCACAAGTCCGATAATCGTCAAACCCCAAAGTTTAAAATCCGTCTTTCGCGGATCTGTCCAGATTCCACCTATGCTTAACCCACGGGTTAAACATAGCAACGCGTTCGGACCACCTTGACTCCTCGGATCGGAGCGGAAGATCGGCGGGTACCGTGAGCATCGTGATCTTCAGCATGGTTTGAAATCTCCGAACAGTACCGGCAGTCGTAGGAAATAACTGGAGAAGAAAGCAACTTGACTCGGCAGGATCTGAGGTGATTACTGATTACAAGACCTGAACCTGAGGGCGGAGGTCGTTGAGTAGTGGCAGGTGGAGCTCACGGAGTCTACGGTGTTTGCTTACACAACCCTCTTCTGGATATGCTGGCTGCGATATGTGGAGCGTATCTGGAGGTGGCTGAGGCGATCGAGCTTGTCGAAGTAACACTAACCGGGACAGTACAATACTCCGCGTGTTTGTCGATCATCGTTTGATGTCAGTACAAAGGCGCTGGTTGTGGCTGCATGTTAAGCCTGTCACCGCGCAAGCCAGTACGACGCGCATACATCGTGATAGTACAATATATGCCTGTAAGCGATGTCTAGCGGTGATCAATTCCGCTCCTTGTGCTTGCGCAGTAAAGATCAGCGAGATCTCGCAGGTCGTGAAACCTTATTTGCGCGTGGGGAGAATGTAGTTTGACGATGATATAAAGTTCGGTCGGCTCCATGCTAAAAGGGACTAACTTGCTAGTTCGTATCGCGCAATGTGACGGAGTAGACAAGTGCCTCACCATGGCGTCCTCTGGCACCTGCATGTCAAACCCGGCTGACAGCGGATTTAGTTTAGACGCACCTGCCACGAGTTTAGCGGAAGGAAGATGTTATAGAAACGTGCAATTTCATTAATGCACTTAGTGCGACGCCACATGCTGCAGCAGTGGCTTCGCCAATAGATGCGGGATCTGAAGGCGATCTGCAGATCTTCATAGACTCATGATGTCTGTCGTCTGAAGAATAGTCCAAGTCCTGATGCTGATCCTAACGCCTATACCGCCAGTGACGCCGTTAATTCATATGCTAGATGACTGCCGTTGACGAATGGTGATGCCTCCCTTAGTCGACGGGCGCGTGCTTGAAGAGGAAACTAACACTCTCGCCGTTGTGAGTACGCCTGCAGGCCTCGGCAAGCTGTGTGCCGTTAGAGCGGCATCTTTCCAAAGTATACTGAGTTACTTACGGTCGGACTAATATCGATTGTCTCAATGCGGTCACACAACTCCTTCTTATCCTCATGGGGTACGGTGTTGGTGACGACGATCTTCTTGAGTTTGCTGCCATTCAGAGCTTCAATGGCATTGCCGCTCAAGATGCCGTGGGTGACGATTGCGAGCGCATCCTTCGCACCCTCGGAGATGAGAACGTCCGCTGCTTTGACAAGTGTACCGCACGTGTCGGCCATGTCATCGACCAGGATGGCCGTCTTTCCTCGTACGTCTCCTACTAGCACCATACGCGAGACCTCATTGGGGCGCGTGCGCTCCTTATGGATGAGGGCAAAGCCAAGGTTCAAGCCATCCGCTATCGAAGTTGCCCTGAAAATGCGTTAGTACTAGTACCTTCTAGAAGTCGTTCTACGGAGAGCAGTCCGAGAACTCAGTATGGTACAGAGTAAAACTCCAGGGTCTTGAGTTTGCGCCGTTGTACCACTGCTCACTGCCGCACTGGGCACCAAGACTTGGGGCAGTTGTTAGCAGACGGGACGTGTGGTCTTACCTCTTCGCGCCTCCCGCATCTGGACTGACGATGACACAGTCCTTGACGTCCAGGTTTTCGCGAATCCACCTGAGCGTGCTAGGTTCTGCATAGAGGTTATCTACGGGGACATTGAAGAACCCCTGGATCTGACTGGCATGAAGATCCATTGTGATGACGTGGTTGCAACCGGCGGTTTGAAGCATGTTTGCCATGAGCTTTGCGGTGATTGGCGCACGGGACTTGTCCTTCTTGTCCTGGCGGGCATACGGGAAGTTTGGAATCACGGCGGTGATACGGCGCGCGGAAGCGGTCTTGCATGCATTGATCATAATCAGCAGCTCCATGAGCGCATCATTGATGTCGCCTGGTGGTGTGGACTGCAAAATGAAGACTGCATTGTGGTAAGCCGAGCACTAGACGCAGCGGTACTCGATCCCATGTAGATATAATGATGCATACCATCTTCGTCTCGAACGGACTCTCCGATTGTTACAGAAGTCTCCTGGTTCGAGTATTGGAGCACGAGAATCTTGGTAAGCTCGATTCCGAGTCTGTAACTCAATTAGCGATGCAGTTGGAGCACGTGCCTGACACTCCGAGGCCCTGTTCCTGTGTCCGTTTCACAAGAAGAAAGAAGAAAACATCAAAGAGATACCGAATGACTCCGCAGATTGTGCGATGCCCATGGCTATTGCATGATGGTGGGGGTGAAAATGTTGCAGTCGTCGGGCAGCTGCATGCCAAGTCGTAGCCTCGAAAGAGCGTCAAGAATGAAGAACTTGAACATACCGGTCGGCAACCAGAGCCGCAAGTTCAGGATAGCTGTTGCCGGTCAATAACTTAATGCTGTTGGTAGCCATGATGGTGAGTGTGACGGTGGAAATTATGGCTCTCTACAGGTCGTCACGTCGTCGCCCAAAGAAGTGAGGTTTTTCGCGCAAAAAGGCGGGCACGGACCATGCGGAGAAAGGTGGCGCCGACGCAAAGAGACTGGAGCGTCCGGCCACGGCAGGTGGAAGCGGACCCTATCACCCGACTACTTGCTGCATCTCGACCAACATGCCGACTTTCGCACCTGCTGAAGAGGGTTCATCTCTGCTAAACGGCAAATATGCCTCGAGTCTCGATGATGGCGGGAAGTCGATGCGTGCCGTCTGTTGGGATAGGCCTTGCAGTCTTCTAATCGGCTTCTGAAACTTGACGGCGGCCGAGATCCGTATCTGGCCCGCAATGTGTTCTGGGCGCGTCCTACATGTTTGCACAGGTCATCGACTGTCGACGCAATGTACATTGAAAATTCTGCAAAACTCGTCTCCAGCTCAACAAGGGTGAGAACAAGGAAATTGATGTGACTGCTGTGCGGGTGCGCAACTGTGCATCCCCGCCTAACACTATAGACACCCTGGCAACCTATAGAAACAATACTCTGGGCAGAGTCCCCTCTCATGTTGCTAGCCCCACCGTATGCCCGTTTCACCGGACACCTCTCAAGACGCTGCGATATCGTCGAAACAGCCTATAACGGGCATCATATAGCAAGGACACTGGTCTAGCCACGTGCGGTACGTAGCTCAGTGAAACAATTCAAGCTCTAGAATGCGCACTTCTCCGAAGCTGCGCTTGCTCCACTGCGCTCGAAGGCAGATTACCTACTATCGTCGTGACAGTAAACGTCACAGCCCTCGGTTGGAAGGAGAAAACTGGACGCCGTATCGGCCAAACCCGTCAGTGCGACATCTTAGAAGGCCCAAGCAACATGTTGGAGTAATGACGATGTCTCGGCATGGTCTCTAAGCACGATCAACGCCACCAGGATTATTGGGAAGAGACCGAAACACTTGGCTTTGAAATGTCATTCTTGATTCATCTACCCCTGCAGGTAGTACCTAAATACATGGTGCGCCACAATAGCGCCCTGCCCTTATCAAAGCTCAAACATGAAACGCCCCCCAGCATGGTCATCACCATTCCTGACATCGTGATGTAAGAGAAAGTATTGATGCGTAAAAGACTACTTCGAAGAGTAGAAAGGATGGGCAAAAGCTCGGGTATATATGCCAACGTATACAATAAAGCAGAATGTCGATGGTATGAGCGTTCTTTTGTATGGACAAATGTCAATGGGCCACCCAGGGAAGAAGGAACGAGTAATGGTAGGAGCAAATATGCTTTGGCCGTTATGGTACAGATAAGGAAGTCGTGAGATGTCCAGGGTCGAAATTAATGGTACGCCATCAAGGCAAGGAAGAGGGTATCGATGATGGAAAGATAGAAGAAATGAATGTCGTGAAGCGCTCAGCAAGTTTGCTCGCACATCTTGCCGATGGCCTTCTCAATGTCAGAAAAGAGATTCAAAACGTGTCCGTCGGCGTATATCTTGATAGACTCGGTCTCTTTTCGTTCATGTCGAGATGGGCTGTCGATCTTTACAGGGCTTCGAGGTGGAGTAGTTTCGGCTACTTGATCCCGCGCACTAGGGTTGAGCACAATGGCAGCCGCGACGTGCTCGAGTAGCTTTTGTCGAAGGCGCAAGCGCCGATTTTCGGCTTGCTCTAGTTTCAGAATGAACTCGTCGATCGAGATGTCCAGTTCCGCGAGTGCCTCTTCCTGTTTGAGAAGTGATTCGCGTGAGAAGATGACGGTTTCTCCGCGCCTGAGATAAGCAATCATACGGCCATGTAGCTTTTGGCGGCCCGCACGTAGTGATTTGTAGGTCTTTCGAAGGTAGTCGCAGCGCTCGTCGAGTGCTCTGAGTTCCTGTAGTGAGATTAGCATTGGTTACACCGATGATGCTGTGAATGACTTACCCTTGATAATGATGCTACATCACGTTTGTTGAGCACCTCGAAGTTGCCAGCTTGATCATAGGCCTGCTTGTGGAGTAGCTTCTTGTCGGCGTCACTCATACGTCTCGCAGCTTCTGGCACACGCATGCCTTCAGGCAGCTTCCATGCGTCAGGAGTAGGTTCCGAGCCATTAGCCTCTGACATGGTCCGGCTGCGTTCTCTCTTGCTGTTGCGTCGCTTAGGCCGACCTCTTTCCATGATGGATGACTCAGACATATTTCGGTTGTGAGTAGAACTTTGTGACGAAATGGGATCTCTCCTCTCAGTGCGAGGTGAGCCTCGGTTCGAGGCGGGTGATGATGCATAGAAAGGATTGGTAAAGGTCGAGGGTGGGGTAGGCAGAGGAATGCTGCCATTGGGTGATCGTCGGAGGTCCATCGCACTCAGTGGTGTGTTACCACCTGAGGTCGTTGATGCAGGCGTAGTCAGCTGTGGCCGGCTTGCTTTAGAGTTCAGTACGAGTGGGGCTGGAGACGTTTTGCGTTCAACGGCTGGTGATTTAGGCGGTACTTGTGGGCGAAGCTCGGATTCCTCGTCGATGTTGGCAGTCTGAACCTTGAGATAGGGTCTGGGTGTTGCACCGGGGCTAAGGATTGGGGATAGCGGTCTTCCGGAAGCATTGGGCAGATCAGAGGACATAGGGCCGTTGGTATGGTGAGATGGGACAGGGGAAGGACCTGTCACACAGGCCATCATTGCATCGCCAAAGGGACCCGTCCTCCAGTTGGAGCCGGGAGCACTGCACGATCTCTCGTGACCGAAAGCTTCGTAAGAAAGCTTTCGAAGAGGTGGTCTCCCTGGGATGGTTGCTGGACAGATTATCAGCCATAGCTCGGACGAGGAGATATCAGTTCACACTTACGCGAGTCGATAGACATTTCCTGAACGGTAGTCATGGTGTTTCCAAGCTCAGGTACACTGACTTTCCTCCTTCTTGACAAGGATCCAGTGCGCTGCCAAAAGGGTAGACTGCTCTCAGGCAGTACGGCAGTGTCACTGAGAGAAGTGGCAGAACGACCAGCTGAAAGGGCAGCCAGCTTGTCAGAAGATTCTTTGTGCTTTGGCAATCCGACAGGGCTTTTGGAAGAAGGCCAAAGTTGGTACCTGGAAGTACTTGGCTGTTGGAGGGTCGCCAGCGAGGGGCTTTTGGAGTGAGAAGAGATGGTGGGCGATTGGGAGTCTCGAGTAGCCTGAATATCTCTGAGTGAGCGTGAACGTCGGGGCAAATGGTAGTTCATTGCAATGTGGAGTGGAGCAGAGTGGCTTACCATCCTGGAGGACGTTTCTAGAGTTATATAAACAGGAGACTTTTCGGAATCCGAGCGCATGCAATTGGCAATGTGTGCCATGACGGACGTTTGAGGTTGCCGTGGCTCACTGTCTGAAGTACAAGGTTGGTGAGACTCGGGAGGCGGGCACGTCAAACATGAAGGCTTTCCCTGCATGTATGTGGTAAAAAAGACACTGCAGCGGGTTAAGTGTGGCTCACAAACACTAGTGTTGATACGTGCAGCAACGAGGAGTGCCCCTGCAAGACGCGAAGTACCAATAACAGCAAAAGTGTCTAGGCTGTCGGCGGCGCGTCCCAGGTGGGATTGGCGGGAGTTGGATGAAACGCGAGCCTAACCTCGCATGTCTGGCGATTCGTGGGGTAGGCTATATCATCACGCAATTAATGCCTAGGGTGATCTGCACGATGGGCACCGCGGCACCACCCTTAGCATCGAGCACAGTGCATGGTTGCGACGGACGGTGCCTTTTGGCTGCAACATGTTGATCTGCAGCATAGTGTGGAGGCGAGTAGCAGCGCTCGACTGAAGCATCAGGTGAACATGTCTAGCGCCAGCGAAAACGGACCTGATGCAGTTAATCGACTATCATCATCTATCGTCTCTTGCGGACCGGCTGCTCATATGCCAGGCGGTTTATCAATGCCGGTGGTTTGCACCGAAGCGGTAGGAAAGCCGGCCCACCAGCTGCGAACAGGGCGACGCAGCTAAACGGCCGCTGGCGACTGAATAATGGCCCTGGTGGCGAGGTGAGGGCCGCCAGTGATTGGCATGTTGTTGAGAAGAAAACATGTGCCCCGTGCTGGCGTAGTGCATTTGACTCGGTCGCAGTTCAGATGAGGTTGTGCAGACGGCGCGCCTCTGGCCGGCACGCGGCGAAAACGTTGGTGTCAGTGAGTTCGGGGAGAGGAAGGCAAGTGCGCCTCAGGAACAAGGCAGATACAAGCGAACGTTTAGAACTAGCAGGGGGGCTCCATTGGCTGCGGAAGCGGCCTCGTGGCATCCCTGGGCCGGAAACAGGGTCATCACGGCACAGCTGCACCCGCTCGACTCGTCAAAACTACGAGCTTTTCCAGACGATGACGCTCAAAGCTTGTTGCACGCGTTGGTGCGACCCTTCAACGCTGCCCTGGCAAGGCCTTCTGCTCCACTCCCCGGCTAGCTAAGGACCTGAACCTCATACGAGCGGCCAAATACCGTGAGCGAGACGGCATATTCCACCGAAGCCCATGTTTGGGCATCCTCTTAGCTAACACTCGAGACGACGACGATGATCTCCAGTTAGTGACCCCTCACATCACTTGTACTGTCATCTTAGCGACTCTTCGACAACTAGAATCCCAATTTCCCACGCAGCAGCTATAGGCGGGGGCTGTCATCCGTCGCTTAATTGCCCACGGAGATGTCCAAAAACATCGTTCGGTGAAGAATTCATGGCAGAGAGTCACGTCTAGCGTATCTCTGGTACTAATTCGGTCTGTGGTTTGTCACTTGCCGGTTCCGCTCGACGGTTGAGTGGGATCAGGTAGAGTCCTGGTCCAAGCTGCCGTGGGTCCCTGACACTGTCTCTCCATCTTTTAACTTTGCGCCATACTAGTGCCCATGCCTAGTTCTTCCTTCTTCATACGCCTACGCGAGCAGCATGGTGACTTGCGTCCTTTCACGCCGACATTGATGCGAGCACGAAAGCGAATCTGAAAGACCCGCTTTGCACTTTGTCTGCGATTCCCGTCCGCTGCGGACCACAAAAGCTTCAACGCAACACGTGCAGCCGCATCTGCCTCTTTCTCCCAAGCCTACTACGCCGTTTCACGCTGGTATCCGTGCGGTGGCTAGTTATCACACAGCACAGCCGAGCGTTGACCCCCACGAAACATTATGCGAAAGACATGTGCGCTCATCTTCCTCCCTATCTGGCTGTAGAGATGATAGTGACGGTGCATTCTCCAAAGGTGATGCCTCGTCACGTCAATATGCATATAACTATAGCTGGGTACGTTGCGCTACTCAATTTCGGCTTCCCGCACCGATTACATGCAAGTGCTTTCCGACTTCACGCCAAGCGACGCAGTGAACGGGCCAGTGTCAGCAAGGAATGGCTGCACGAGAGTCACCAACTTTTTTCGCAGAGTCAATATCGTCCGATTTGCACCACATGCGGTTACTGTCTTGCCTGTTCCTTATCAAAAGCACTTTGGTGTGCGCTTCGTCTTGCTGTTCATACTTTCGCCTGGCCCATCTTTCCCGAAAGAGGACGCCTCGGCTCCATCGCACCCTGGCTTTTGACTGACTGCTCTGAGCGCAGGCTGCATATCATCACGTTTGGTTGGTTCGCAGGCAGCGAACGGTGCTCATCGTGCAGTCAATATTGGTCCGTTACATACGAGTAGATCATCTCGCGTACAGCTGCTACAGCACCGGCCGATCGGGCGTTGAAGGAATCAACTCGCTGCACATGTGAGAAATAGGCCGTTCCCAATATATCATGACATCACGTTGAGAATGTCTGCGTTCGTTCTGATTGCTATGTGCCGGTTCCGATCGTTTCGAGAAGAAAAAGCGCCACTCCATCATCCAAGGCGCGGGAGTCAGCACACTTCGCCTGATCACCAGGAAGGGAAACGCACGGGGCCTTTCTCCGTTCAAAAAATTCAAAGGAACTGCTCGCCATAGCCATGTTATCTTGCGTCGAACGCAGGTATGGTTTTCGGAGTTATATGATGATCAAACCCGCCGCGATATTTACTGTACTAAGCTATTAGGTGCATATTCAGAGCATACCACGAACCGCTATGATCTGTTCTTAGTAGCGCACTCCTATTGCGCATCACCACCAACATCATCTCCGAAGCATCTATTGAGCATTGCGGATATGGCGCAATGTCAAGCACAACACGTCCGTGTTCAAATGTCGCTTCAGGGTCAGGAAATAACTTCAATGCTTCCAGGGCTCCACTCGAAGCATACACCTAACAACCGCGACAATATGCCGAATCGATGCGGCTCAAATCGTATCTCTATCACACACAAGCTGGCTAAATACGATTCACCATCACCTCGTTTCAAACCTCATCCGCTTCATTAACGTTATCTCTGTTGCAACATGTTATATCGTCATGTGGTAGCACAGCAGGCATCAAGGGAGTACAACTTCCATGTTTGGCGAGAACAATTCCCCAGCTCTTACTTTGATACTCAAACGTTCCGAGAGTTTACATCCTTGCAGCTGGCCGTTGCCTAGACACCAAACTCTTGACACCGAAAAGCAAAGATTGACCACTCGCCGTCACTCAACAATCGTCGATTCAGTTTGAATCTCGATCGTCTCTAAGAACAACTTCACCTCATTGTGCTCAAGCCATAGCATGTGGCTATTTTGGTGTTTGTGGGGATGATTGCTGCGGGACGAGTACCCGGGGTCGAATTACCACACATGCGAGATGATCGTTAATCTGCTGTAACGGCCGTTGAGAAATGCTACATCGCACAGCAGCTACGATCTTTCGCTCTCTGCAAGGCCGGCATTCGCTTGGTCGTACCGGCTGTTAATGTGCACGATAACAACATAGGAAGTCCATGCTATCATATCACAGCGACATATGCTTGGTACAGAACGTCGGATTCTCGAAAATGCGCCAACCGCCTCATCAACACAGACTTCAATCTTTCTTGAATTTGGCTTTATCACAACGAATCAGATGCATAAGAGGTCAAAGAATCATGCAAAGCAAGAAATTACCACAAGGCTGACCTTCCACAAAGCAAGTAAAAGGAGCTCATCCGTCCAAAGCTTCCAAAACGAGAGCTTCTCGAAGACGCATGGAAGCCTAAGGCGCAAAAGCAACACAATCGCATCAGCCCTTCCGCCCACGCCACATCTGCCCCTGCGCAAAACCCCGAAAAAAAAGCTTCCAAATCCCTAGCGAGGATTCGCAACACCCATCTTTCTTTGCGACGGAGGAGCCTCCTAGCAGCCTTTGGAAGAACGGCAGCTAGAAGCCCTCCTTCGACGTCTCTTCTAGCCTCGTCGGAGTTTAGAAGGTCCGCCGCTCGCCAGCCAGGCTAAACCTACACCAAACCTGCGCCAAACTTAGACGCCAAAGGCAAAAACATGTCGTGCTTTGATCTATGGGCTAGTTTGACTAACCTAGCGACAAGCGTGTTCCCAGGCAAGCAAGCAAGGCGCAGGGTCCGTGACAATTTTGGGTTTGCCTACTTGGGATGCCGCTGCGAACTGCAAATCACGTCTTATCGCATGCGTCTCGAGCGTGTAAGTTTGAACGGCGCATACTCGCGTCGAAATTTGGTGTTGGTTTGAGGGAAACAGGGTCTCTTGCCCCACCAGCTTGCGACCTGCAGGACACGCCGGTGAACTTAGCCACTGCAAACCATAACACCGCCGCATATAGGGCGACCAACATTACAAAACCTGAGACGCGCATTTTAGCTGACGTGATGCCAACCTTTTTCTTGCTGCATTGTCAACACCAGGCATTAGTGCTGTTCAAGACTGTTCAGGCTGCTCGCGTGTGGAAACAGGATTTTCCTGCACGGTACCTTGTGTAACTTGTTTTTTACTCCTTCCTTAACCGGAACTTTTTGCGGGGTGCCGTGCATGAGGCTTGCAGTTGACAAGAAACGTAGGTGCAGGAGGGAGGTACCGAGTCTGGGACCTAGAAATACCGAGTACCGGTGCTCTGAGTGTGTAATAATAGAGATTGTAATACAATAGAGTTGTGCTTGAGTTGGAACTATGAATATTGTTACAGCATGTTGTACATTGCGAGTACCCGGCTTTCAAGATGAAGAGGCGTCCAGGAGATACGCAAGCATGCAACCGCCGCCCACTCCTCCACTTTGTATGTCAGGCAATCCGTACGGCAGATATGATGGTGTTTAGCGTTTCGAGGGTGTGATGTCCTGCATACTCGAGGAGTCTGGCCACCCAGGAACCACAGCATGCAATGGCAATCGCCGTTAGAATTGAAGGGATCGATAGCCGACATTAGTTTCCTCTCTTACACACACAAACACCCACACCTACTTTCGGCAGTCGTCCG